TATTCTCGACGTGGTAATTTATGCCGAAGCATTGGCTTCCTGAATAATAACATCGCTGGCCTTCTCAGCAACAAGGTGCAGGGGCTGCGCGATATAGAAGCCAGGGATCTTGGGAAAGACGCTGGCATCTACAACACGAAGGTTCTTGGTGCCGCGGACCTTGAGGTTGGTATCCAGGACCGCATTGACGTCGTCGTCGGCGCCAATGGGGCACGAGCAAGAGGCGTGGTGACCCCAGGCTTCACGACGGGCGTACTCCTTGAGCTCTTCCGTGGTGGATGCCGTCTCCTCCGTAGGCCAAACCTCAGTGAAGCCGCCATCGAGGGGAATCACGTCCTTGAAGGCGCGACGACCAAACTCGAGACCCTCGGCCACGGCCTGCAGGTCCTCGTCGCCGCCGACCTGGAATGAGTTGAAGTTGATGACGGGCATGTCCCGCGGGTCGGTCGACTTGAGAGTAATGTTGCCGGCATTGTTGCGGCTGTGGGCCTTGAGAACGATCCAGGACCAATGCACGTGATCCTTGAGAGCCTCCTCGCTCCAGCCAGGGTAGTAACCGGGAAAGTTAGCGGGGCCACCAGTGATGATCAGGTCGGGGTCGTCGGTCTCGGCGGCGCTGGACTTCTTGATGATACCCAAAGCAATACCGTTTGAGGCATATACACCCTTGGCAGTCTGATCATCGTTCTCGAGGTAAGTCGTGAGGCAAGGGTCGTCCTCAGTGGTCATGAATGTGCATCCGTCAATGAGAGAAAAGTTGGAAGGCGTCTCGCCAATGAGAGTCTGTTCGTATCGGTCCTGGAGGTTGAGGCCAACACCAGGAAGATCAACCACGACAGGAATGTCCCACTTCTCGAGCTCGTCCTTTGGCCCAACTCCGCTCAGCTTTAGCAGCTGGGGGGTGTTGTAAACGCCGCCAGCAATGATAACCTCGCGGTTGACAGTGACTGTACCGTTGCCAGTCGGGCTTGCAGTCGAACTTCTGCGATCGGCACGGTACACTAGTCAATTTTGTGAGTTATTGGTCGAGAAAGGTCGCCGTTTCCACGCGCTGTCAAGTATGGATACTTACGACTTTTACCCTCTAGGAACTCAACACCAGTAGCCACGGGCACGTCACCGCTCTCGTCAAAGATAATTTTGGTCACCTAAAACTATTGTCAGGCCCCTGAGTGTCCACCTAGCATTCGAGTCCACTTACCAAGGTATCAAGCTTAATGTCCAGTTGGTACTTGCGCGAGCCGTCGGCGTTAACAGCGTTGGCAGTGTCAATAATGTGATCTCTGGCACCGCCGCGCTTGCTGTCCCGCATGGCCAGAGGAATCTGGTATACTCCCTGAATCTTCAGTTGACCAGGAGCGTTGATATCGGTCAGCAAGACGCCCGCCAGACCCGTGACAGTGGTCAGAAGAGCAGTCAGAACGGTCTGACCCATGGCGGTGGCCGATGCAGCAATGAGCGATACGAGCTTCAGATCCTTGACGGCGGTAATCAGCGAGGTCAACGACGTGTCGTACCATCCGCTGAAACCATGTCCGATAATGCTGGATGGGATGTAGTGGTTCTTCTCGATCTTCTGCCAGTACGTCCTCATATGGGCCGCCTTCCAAGTGTCGTCTCCAGTGAGCTCGGCGATGCCATCCCAGTCACTATCGAATGCCTGAATGGTGACAAGAGCATTGTGTCGAGAGCATCCACCCAGAGTGCCGGATCTGGGGTACAAAATACCTAGAGGCTCGGCATCCTCGGGAGGGTTCAATCCAGTATATTCAGTTCCATCCGGTAGCAGGTAGGTCATTTTCGTGTCCTGAGCCTGCTCCTCCAGAGTTGGGTGGTGCCAAACGTAGAAAGCCCATTCAGTCTCGGCATAAGCAGTCGAGGCGAGGTTCAAGGCGGGAACTTCCTCGATCAACTCTGTTCCTTGGTCACCACCAGCGTCGATGAGGAGAACCTTGAACCCGGCGATGGCGAGATTGGCAGCGGTAGGACCGCCACCCGGTCCACTACCGACGACCACATAGTCGTATCCCTCCAACGAATCTCTCTTGCCTAGGAAAGGATTGTGTCGGGGCTTTGGTGTTGTGAAACGCCATGGCACAGATCTGAGATAAACCCGCTTGTCAACATTCCTAGTCTTCTAGGTTGAGAAGGGAGTATTTTCTTACAAGGACACTGCGCTATTCGCAAGCAGCAATCCTGCTGCAATGGCCGTGTACGTCCGCATATTGGGAAAGGACGCTCTGAATCAAATGGAAGTTTGCAGCTGTCTTGGCCACAGCTTCAGATGTAAAAACAATGAATGTGTCAGCAATGCAATGCAATGCAATGCACTGTCAGAAAAGAGCGTCGAGAATCAAATAGTTCCCTGGGCGAGACCGAAAAGCAATGCTAAAGAATGACTGGCCTTGGCATGGTGGTGGCAAACTCGAGGGCGACGATCTGGACACGACACCTTATAATGTTCAAACCCGATGTCCTTAGCATGAATCTAGTTGTATGAATTCATCTCAGGGTCTACTATATGACTGAGGTAAACTCTATCCAGGAATGGGGCTCCCCGGAGTTTCCCTCTGTCGCCGATCTGGATACTCTTCCTGGGGCAATCATCCCGCGCCTCGATCCGCTGATCTCACCATGCCTCGAACGAGGTTCGTCAACAAATCAGGTCGAAATAGATTCCAGCATGCGGCTTGCCAAAATCAGGTCTAATATGTGGGGACATGCACCGGAGTCAATACCACCTGGGGCTGGCTGAATATTCACAAGCTTGAAAAGTTCCAAGTTGTTGGTTCATAAGAAGCCCCCCTTGCAGCTTGAATAACGACCAGGGCTGAGCAGGACTTTCGAAACCATCTACTAGAATAAGCACTTTTGGACGATCTTGGAAATGATCGACTTGCACCAACAACAAGTGTTTTCTTGGGCAGGCGGCTGCTGGGATGCGGTAGCCCGCTGGTGTTGATTTTCATTCACTATTTGCGACGGCTTTCTGCAATGGCCAATTCAGGTCAGTGGCGTCCATCCTTCGTGTTTTTTTTTTACTCCAGTGGCTCATACATAGGGCATTTGATGTCGGTCCGTCTTGCAGGCGCGAAGAAAGAAGAAATCCTGCGGTCTCCATTGTAATTTATTTGGCATGTTGCGGTTGCCAAATAATGGAACCTTGCAAAGAACGTGGCAGCGATGTGATCTTACGGAGTCGATCGGCCCCGAACCGAGTTTTGACCGTGAAGGCCTGGCCGTAGACCCAACTTTTCACGATCCCTCCCAACAGAGCGGGTGAGTTGTGGTCGTGCTCAAAGGAGACGCAGATTAGAGTACAGCTGCCCCTGTCTGTCGGACAAGGGTCGTTGCCAAGGGTCTTTTCCGCAGCGGGCTTGGGTAACTGTTGTTGGCTTCACTCCAACTCTTTAGAAAGAAACTCCTTTAGTGGCCGTACTTGAAATAATTGGTGCTGTTGATCAAAATTACCTACATTCACGCCAAAATTGTTCTAGCTATACATGCTAAAACCAAACCAACCTCCCTTCAACTTCTCTAGACAGGTCAGATTTATATTCTGCCCACGCGGCTAGGATCGAAGCCCAAGGGCACGCGGCACTCGCTGCCACTCTCGGCCGATAAGCTTGGCAGGGGGTTCTCCCTCCGCCATCTGCAATTGAACGGTATATTCCGTCTAGCTGGCAGATATGGAAGTCGGACTGCCGATCTGACGGATATTGTAGACAGCCCAGGGAGCCGAGACTTGACGCGAATTCGCGCACCATGACATTTCCTTGGCAAGAAGATAGCAATACTAGATACGTGATTGCAGTCAAGATGTTCAAATGAGGCCCCCTATTTTATGACATGCTTTGCCTTGTCTGTCAAAACTGAAGTGCGTGGGTTGTTTGGCGTGTTTTTTACTACGTAGGTACCTCAGATGAGCCCGCTTCCTGTGCTAACTCAGAGACCGTTTGTTACACCTAACCTAGAGCGTCCCGTCCCGTTGCTGCTCGCGCCGGCGGAAATGGCCCCCATCTATGGACTGCTGCTCGAATCATGAAGTCGGCAGCTCCATAGCAAGTATGTGTCATTGAGAGAAGGAATATAGCATGGGCATCATCGGACGATAATGCACACACTCATGTCTGTCTCCTTCGCTCTCGGCCGACTGTCAGTTTCTAGACATGCACGTACGGCAGGACCCGACAATGCAAAAATTCGGATAGCGAAATGGGTAAATGAATGGAAACCTCGTCGCTCTTCTTGAGGACTTGGGACACCCATGCTTGAAAGACGGAACTAGACTACTTTTTACAAATGCCGAAGATCTTTACTGGATTCGCTCGGGGAAGAAGAAAAAAAGTGGTTAAAGTTTATGGGTCTCGTCCGCTGACAGATGCACAGACCAACGATGAAGGGGTCTCCCTAGTCTGGGTCCTCCACAGTGTACCGTACGAGCCATATCCGTTTTCAGTTGCCCCTCTGCCCTGCTTTGCCCTACCCTGCTGCCAAATGCTAGGAAATTTTACACAGACTCTCTGGGGGCCGCTGGCTTTTGCGTATCCTGGCGCTCCCACTCAAAATCGAATCGTGACTGCTTGCGCTCGTGCCGATGCTGCTCATCATCGGAGTCGAGTGGTGTAAGTTCCACAAAAGAGCCCTCATCATGGGCCTTGGTTCGAGAAGTGCTAATAACAAACTCTGATTTGACCTTGATTCTGCTCGATATCGATTTGTCGTTTGTGGACTTGTCGTTATTCGAGGTCGAGTTTCCGGTAGGGTATTGACTTTTGTGGTGAGTCGTGCCAAAGACTTTGGGAAGTACGGTGGCGAACAGCGACCGCATTGCCGGCATACATGCGCAGATGATGCCAACGCTCGTTTCGACGGTACTCCAGACTCCGACAGGGACGAAATCCTCTGATGAAAAATTAGTATATCCATTGTAGTTACCAAGCGATTCAACTTACGTGTAACGTTTGTTGTCTTGGCGAAGACTAGCAGCCACTGGAGACGCAATATCGATACGATAGTGACACTATACCATGGTTAGAATCAGCAAAACAAAAATTGGATCGCCCGGTTAACTCACAATATACCGACTGCAAACATGAGCATAACTTGCACCTTCTTCTTCATGGACAAGTTGAGGTTCCATAACTCGGGCATTGGGAGCGCAATAAGGGCAACGTCCAACACGATACATACGGCTGCGGCAACCCAGGCTTGCAAATTGACGTCTCGGCAAGTTGCCTCATATTCACCATCCCATTCCAACCAGGCGCCCGGAATCGGAGTGCACTGAAAGATTGTAATGATCTCGAATGCGACAAAATATAGGACGTTCAAGACAATGAGGGCGTAGGCGCCGATGCGGAAACCCCTCCGAGGGAAAATTCTCAGGTAGAAGCATAGAATCGAAATCTTGGTGGCGGGTACAACGAAAAGGTAAAGGATCTCATCCCAGTAGTAAAGCTATATCGCAGCTATTAGTATTTTCTTTTGTTCCCTTTCAGTATCAGGGAGCGAGCATGGACTTACATAGAGAATGTAAGTGATGTCGTCGAAATCGACCATCCACATGTCATGGCCAAGACCATGTTTCGCGAGGATCCAAGACAGACATGTCATGGGAATAGATGCAATCTACCATCATCAGCTTTCTGGGTTTCCTCAGTGTTTGTCGGAATCACTCACCACAGTTGGCACCATGATCCAGTCATCCATACCCCATGTTGCCCTGAATCCGGTGAGATACCTGCTCACGAGGCGCAGAATCCAAATAAATAATGCTAGTGCTCCGAACAATGGCGTCGTGACAATGATTTGTAGCGAGTTGTCCTCGTGTGATCTGCCGCAGGAAACGTCCGAATATTTCTTGGTAGCTGGGGGGAAAGGGGTCAGTAAAGATGCTTGTCAGCACGACTTGAATGGACTAACATAGAGCGTCTCGAGTCGAGCAGCTTGCGTAGACGCAAGTTGAAAGATCAGAAATGACGTCTTCGTTGGTACAAATACATGTCAAGTTCGTTATCGACGAACAGACTGATTCGGGCACAATTTCCAAGATGCATTTCAACTAAACAGTCTGTTAACCTCGAAAATGTGATATGTATGGTTTCTCCTCTTTTCACTTACGCCACATGTTGGGATCGTGACATCAGTGTCGGTGCTATCAGCCGCGGCGCAGAAACGGACTTGCAGCAGAGCTGCAAGCAAAAACGTAAGGAATGAAAGCTTCATGGTCGAAGAATGTCGGAGGGAATCAGCATAGCAAAACAAGAGCAACGAAACAGATGAGAAGAACAATCAAACGAATGTATGGAAGAGCTTTTCATGCCAAAGCCAGCGGCTCCAATGATCTGATATTAAGAAAGGGAAAGAATATTGCTATCTATCTCAATGATTTGCATAGGCCTAGATTCCGGGGGAGCGAAGGATGGGCTACCGAAGGCCATGCATCCTGACGATTCCGTCTAACTCGCACCGCGGTTTCAACGATAAAAAATCCATGATGATCCCAGAATGATGCCAAGCCTGTAGGTGCGAGGATTATAAGTGGGGGACAGTGAGGAGTCAGGTACAAGGTTTAGGTCAGAATGCCCAAGTTGGCGCTGGGAAGAAGAGATTGCCTCTAACTGTCCCCATCTATGGTCATGTCCGGGGGTCCCCGGTCCGGTATCCACGGACCAGGACGCCGCGCGTTGAGTCTTTTGAGCCTTGGCCCGCTTTTGCACGGCACATTCGAAGTCCCGTACACTAGAATTCTAGCCTTGGACAAGCGAGCTTGTTGGCCTCGAGGCTCTCGGCGGGCTAGATTGAATCCAGTCTCGTCTTCTATTCCTTGCGTTCCTGGCTCCTTCAAAGGTACCAACCAATGCGTTCCGATCTAAGAACGCTGGAACCAAGCAAGTTTATTGATTAAAAAAACACCATATGTACGTGGTATGCACATTCCAGGTTCTTTTACGGCACAAGCGCGGGGACAGAGAGGAGAATGAGAGAGGGTCTTCTGCTCGCCAGCCGCGGCTAACCCGGTCTTTGAAGGTGCAGTCATCTGCATTGGACACGACGCCTTCTCCGCTGCAAATGCCCCAAGTACCTGCATGCGCGTTGATAGGGATATAATACAGAGTACACGACGTTTACTGTGTAGGTACTGTGTGTGTAAACTTGAGTTTAGCGGCTTGTACCAAAGGAGACCGTTGAGCTCCCAAGAAAATTGCCGATATCCTGCTAGTAATGCCCCTGACGATGCTGCTAGAAAACCATATTATATCGGAAGATTTTCGCCTTGTGTAGCAGGCACTAACCTGGGAATGCGAGGTCTTTCGAACTCTGTTCCCCACAAACTTTGTCGATTTTGAGCTTTTATTAAGGGTCTTTGTATAACATTTGTCGATCAGCCCGCTTGTCGGGAGCCAGCAATCGCTGCCCAGCCTTCGCGCCTATTACTACTAGTGCTGGCGCCAACTACGGAACGTGGGAGAGGAACATTCTCAACAATGTCAAATAACCACTGCAGCAAAGACTTGCTTCATGTCGCTATCGCGGCTCGAGATATGATGACATAACCCTGGTCTCCAATACCCTGCTGGTCGTGCCGGCAATCTGGCACACCTGATCATACTTGTCTATTCTCATTCCCGATCGGATATGGTCCTGGATACATAGTCGCAGCCCGGAGGCAGATCGTGGGTATCGTCATTTGCTACATTTTCGGCGCCAGCACGACTTAATCGTAGCGAGGCCTTCTGTGCCGAAGATCTTTTTCAGGGGACCAACCAGGGGGGGCTGAAAGATCGAGCTCCTGGCTCCCGTTCTCGAACATCTTGGAACACTTCCTACTTTAAGATCGCCGTGCATACCAGGCAAACTATGAAAATATACTTGGTGTTTAACAAGGACAACCTCTTCGGTAAATCTGATTCCTTAGCCGTTCGCCTCGAATTCCAGGTGATTAGTCAACACTCTCTGTATACGAGAGGGTCCGGGGATGTTCCCCGAAGTTCCCTAAGCATGCTCGGAGAACGGTTTTTTATTCGCTAGGAGAAGCACATCAAGGTTCCGAGTGGCTCATTTTTATCGTGGCTGTTTTTTGTAATTATTACTCTTGCGGAACCCTGATCGCCGCAGTCTTTCGCGAGATAGGATCTGTCGGATTCACGGAGAACCATAAAGTTGAACTCATTGCGGCGCTCATTGATCAAACTTTATCCGTCTTTGCAGCACGTGATTCTGCTTTATTATCCTTAATGGTATATAATGTGACATGGGTCAAATAAGTCATGTGTCATCCCATTCGATTTAATCATGGTACATATAGACATATTGTCAGGTGAGAGTCTGGGGCAGAACCTGTCATGACGTATCCAGCTGAAAGCTTCGTCGGCTGTGCTTTGCGAGAGCCGTAAAGCCTAGGCCACAAAGCCATATATGACCTAGGCAATTTCTATAGAGTGCTATAAAAATATGGATCGTCTCCTAGGTACGACTCGTGCCAGACTCATTTCCATTTCTCTACTCTCGTTGCAAATACTTCTCCTCATATCTCACCTGAGCCAAGGTGAAGTGCAAGACAAGGTCGAGGGAATATAAGCAAGATATCTGAGTTGATCCCACAGATCTACGGAAGAGAGGTGTTAAAGAGCTATCTGATATATCCGAGCAGGTGATCTGCAAAGGGTACTGGCTGCGTTAGTGCAAGATCATACTGCGGGAGGTGCATGTCTCTAGAATCAGTGTTAGCACTACCGTGGACCCCATTGAACGAATAGTGAGTTGCCAGAGAAGCGCACCTACGGACATTCATTGATCAATATACCTCGACTGAAGCAATGAAGCACTACCCAGAAGGTTAAGTAAAAAAAACTCATTCCTTAAATATGGTGGTTCCCTTCCCCTCTTTAAGCAGTAATATTTGTGGAATATCGAACTTTGTTAAACAGTAGTGATTATGTCGAAGCTTTTCTTTGAACGTATTGCTTCGACTTGAACTTATTATGTAGAATGGCTTCACCATCCGAATGGATTTCACTTCGTACAATAAGTGACGGCAAATAGATCTATATTTCACGTGACGTACAAAAGTGAATACTTCCTAGCGTACGACGACTGTAGATAATGCTCTCTGACGTTCGGATGCTAGCAGCCGTCAGCTATATCGTGGCTGTGGTGGCGGACTAGCAGTATATCAGCCTATTCCAACTACTTAGATGACGTCCTCGTACGAGACCGCAAATGCCTGTATTCTAACATATCACGTATCTTGTACTTTTGTCCCACTGTTGATTTCCAGAGCTGACTTTATTCTAACTAAAATAATGTGTAAATATCGCCTTTCTTTGAGAAAACCAGCTGCGCCTGATATTACTAGCTGATCCATTACATTATATTGAATATGCGTACATATGAGAACTTAGTTCGATATTATTTGATAATATGCTTTTGTTATTTTGATATGGAGCACCCAATCTTTTTTTTTTTTTTTCCCAAAGTAGTTTTGCCTCCAGCCCACATGAGGGGGATTGAGATGTTCTTCTTGAGAACTGCGCCGCATTTGGTCAGACTCCGGACTCCGGAATCCAGATATTGTGTCACAAAGGCAGCCTCAGATTGGCTTTGTGGAACTGTTCCGGACTCGTCCTAGCTACAATCAAGGATAGTTGGCGATGTGACGTCGTTAAGTCAAGCAGCTTCAGTCAACTGCCGATGATTTTGATAGGCTATTGATGGCTGACATCTTGGTGACACTGGCACCGGCTCCCGATGAGAGAGCCAGAAGAAAAAGCCAGTTCAGAAAGATAATCAACAAGCAGAGATGGCAGTTCCTCTTGCGATAGTGTAATTCGCATGAGATTCCACCAGGATTTGCCAAGAGAGCAAAGCCCCCCGTCGCTCCGCTTTGTATCCATCCGGCTTCGGCATTTCGTATTGTCACGTGACCGATCTAGAGTGCCCAGGGTGTTTTTCCGGTCTTTTTTTGAGGCCTATCAAAAAGCTCAAATGCACCATCTTTAAGGTCGTGTCGGGCGGCGGTGTTGCTTACATACGCCGCATGAGACAATGCCGGGCGGCACAGCCAAGCACCACAGCTCGGCCGCGCGGCCCCGGTCCACCGATAACGAGAAGCAAATTTCGCGGCGGAACGGACCGAAAGTTCGTACGGGCTGTAAAACTTGGTAAATTTTACCATCATATCATGTCCCCTATTTAAGTGGATTTTTGGAGCTAACTGGCCATGCACTAACCATAGCAAGTGAGTGGTAGTATTGCACCTCAGTGTTCAGCCCTATGGCTGACCGATTCGGTGTTATTATTGAATTAGAATACGACGGATCAAGTGCGACGAAACACGGCCACATTGTACCCGTTGCACGTCTACAGGACGCAAATGCGATGGTTATCTTAGCACGCCGAAGCCCGAAACTGGGCCCAAGAATGCACCTAGTACTTCGGACCTGACCTTGACGAGAAGAAGATCCCAAGCGACCGTATTGCCGGCCTCAATGAGGCAACTCAGCTCCGATATACAAGGCACCGAGTGGGAGAGATTTTATTTCCACCGTTTTCGAGCCGAAGCACTCAAGGGACTCGTTCTACATGCAGCTAACTCTGGCTCATTCTGGCAAGGCCTCGTGCCCCGATTTGCTCACCATAACGATGCCGTCAAGCACGCGATTATAGCGCTTGGTTCCACATATCATTTACAACTTCAGCAGAGAACAACTGTTGCGCCGCGACTCGAGGCTTTTACCTTGCAACAGTACAATAAGGCTATCCAATCACTGCGCGAGCCCTCTGATGGCACCCCGCTTGAACAAGTCGAGGTTTTACTGATGTGCTGCCTCATCTTCATCTGCATAGAGTCTTTGCGAAATAACAAGCAGGGAAGTATTCTACACCTCTCCAACGGCTTACAGATCATTGGACAACTCCCGACAGCGCTGCTGGCACACATCATATCCGACACAGACTCGGATCCTAATAATTACGAAGAACGATTGACCAGGTCAGAATTAAAGCAGTTTTTGGCATACTTTCAAGACCTTGAGATTGGTACACAAGTATTCGGAGCACCGGATAAGCCCGTGCTATCTTTGCGCATGTTTGAAGTGACCAAGGATGACGATGGTCCCCGGGACGAGTACAAGTCATTACAGGAGTGCCATACCCAACTAATTCGATATGGCCATAATGTGCACGCGCGTATCTGGCACACCTTGCCATACAAAGGCGACAACGAGTTTTGGGCGTCCCCTGATCAAATCCGCGAGCATGAGCGTCTCTTGGACCGTGGGAGACGCGTGCTAGAGATGACTGATCGGTTCATGTCCAGTCCTCTCGGACCTGACCCCGACACGGACAGGGCTGGATTCATTTCCGGCACGCTAGACAGGATGCATAGCCGTGGCATCCTGCTTATGGCCGAGTGCATGCCCAAGAACATTACCCGACGACAGTTGCACGAATTGGATCCGCAATGGAGCGAGGTGGCGACTTTGGTGGAAAGACTGTACGACCTCATTCATTCGCCCCCGGAAGCTGCTGAGGATGGGTTGAAGAGAACGTCAGCACTGCACGAAAACACTCGGGCAATCACCATTGACAATGGTCTGCTGATAGGGATTCACGCCACGCTCTATGGCTCGGGCAATCGAGATACCAGAAGACGAGTCATGGATGTGCTGAGACGCATGGAGAGTAGGCGCGAAGGATTGTACGATGCTAGTGTTCTTCTCCGGGTGTTTGAAGCCATGGGCGCTGATGGCCATGGCACATATGCGTCCGAACTGCTTCTGGATGATCTGGCGGGGCCCGGACTTAGCGGGGTCAATGGTCTATTAGGACTCGAGGCCAGGCTTGCAGAGCTTCATATTGGTTGGAGGGTGCCGCCACAGTCCTAAACAGAGAGCCCGGAGAAGCAATCATGTATTTTCCCAACGACACAAGACAACCCCCAAAGAAAACTCTCCACAGATGCCTAGTTGGATAAAAGAAAAATCACATGATTTCCAAGGGACTTTCCCCGTGACAATGCCCAAACCCATCGCTATTCGAATTCAAATACATGGAAAAGAGGACAGAAGCAGCGGCCTAATGTCAATTGCTTGTTCATAGCACGTCGGTCCTTGCTGTAAGGCGACAAGCTGAAAGGCAATTTCTGTTGCATTCAAAATTCCACCCCTAGATCGGAACACTCCAATGTCCAGGCTCAGATCTCCCCTCTCTCCTTTGCTGCCTTACTAGCCGGATGGTTGACCCTCGCCCTCAGCAATCTCTGCGTCTGCCAGTCACCGGCCTTGATGTCATCGTATTTCGGCTTCTCTCCCTCGTCCAGACATGTTGGTAGTGTCCGGATCATGACGTCTTGGCTAGGACTGAAGAAATATGCTAGACTGTAGCGCTCCCTGCCGCTGATATTCCGCACACGGTGCACTGTGCTCACAAATTTGTCATTGGTTGCCCGCTCAAGAAAGTCTCCAACATTGACCACAAGGCTGCCGTCAATGGGCGGTGCCGGTACCCAGTGCCCGTTTGCGTTCAACACCTCCAGCGCGGGCGTATCGGTGAGCTGATTGACCAGGGTAAACCAGCTATAGTCTGCGTGGGCGCCGATGCCGATCTGGTTGTCGGCCGCCACCGGCTGTGGTGGATAGTGCAGAGCACGTAGTCCCGCCATGGGGAAGGAAGTCATATAATCAAAATAATTCTCTTCGAGATCGAGTGACAGGGCTATCAATCGCAGCAAGGTTTCGGAGAAGGCTTGCGCTGCGGCTCGATACTCGTAAATGGTTTTGCGAAATTCCGCCGGATGTTCGGGCCATTGAGTGAGCGGCGGCGAAGGGTACGCCGACAGATCCAGATCTGGAGGCGCGTTCTGCTCGGGCTCGAACGGGTCCTCGGCCATGTTCCAGGCCTCCTTGAGATCGCCTGCCGTGCGGTCGTCCAGGCGCGTTTCTAGAAGTGCTTCGTACCCCTTGATCGTGGGAGACTTGTTGATGTGGATCTTCATCTTCTCTTCGAGCGGCTGCGAGAAAAACTCTTTGATCACATCTGTAACCCGCGTCTGCAACGAAGCACTGATGCCGGTATTTGTCGCGTACATGAAGCCCACCTCGGTAAAAGCCTCCCTCACTTGACGCGCCACGGCTTGACGATCGGCAAGCTGAGGAGACGACGCGAGGCTGAAGTCAACCTCTGGCAGTCGCTCAAAAGTCGGTTTCATATCCGACCCCCGTAGGACTGGGCGCGACTGCTTGCCCTTGCCGGCGTGGAAGACAACCTCTTCCGGCGCATCATTGAGCAGAGCACCTGGTGCCATTGTGTTCAACGCCAATCAGCACGAGATTCGAGTGCTGCAATTCGTTCTAATGACTAGAAAAGATCAGGAGTCAACCGTCGGGCGCGACGAGTCTTTGCGAGTCACAACATTCAGTACCATCATCAGATTATTGCAAAGTTACATTATGAAGACCCCGCCCCGATCTTCCAACGGAACCACAGTTCCGAATGAGAGAGCTATAACACGGGTATAAGCAGCCACATCAACTATAGGCTCAGTATGGGTCTCCACTTGGCGTTAGATAACACTCAGTAGTCGCCCTGTTCGGCGGTCACTGTTATTCCCGGAGCGCCGTCCTTATCTTTCCAGTCGGACGTTTCCCGACTTACACCAAGGTACCGCACATACTGCACCTGTAGCAATGCCCGACCTTGCTACTCAACGACTCGCTCTGAGTCCCAACCCAGAAGATTCGTTCGAGGGTATTCAATTTGCACGACATAATGGAAAAGGTTCGCCGAAAACTAGCCTCGGTCGAGGTGGCATTCAGTAGCAAACGCGCATTTTTATCGGCCATTGAAACAAAGGAGTCGGCAGCAGGTCGGCTTAACAATCGGAATCCATGGACAAATGAAGATCTAGACATAAGTCCAAAGAGGGATTGGACTTGGGCCTGGTGGTAAGTGCAACTCGTCGCTCTCGGCATAAGGTGATGCCTTTTCTTGTTTTCGTTCTCGACGATATACTAACGTGTGGATGAGATAGGGATTATGGTAAGTCATGAAGCGCCTCCAGAGTAAGGTTAGACTTAGCTGACAATTGCTGCAAAGCGGCATTCTGGTGGTCCTATGGTAACTCGCCCACGACAATGAACCCAATTAGATGATTTCACTAAGCATTATATCAGGGTTTTCGACCGGAGTGTGGACTGCCGGGTCATCCCTTGTGTCTCTTGGACTCACATCGTGGCAAGCCATCATCGCCATCTTCATCTCGCATTTTCTCGGCGCTGTCGGCATGGTGATGCACTCGCGCTCCTCGGCGACATATCACTTTGGATTCCCCATCGCGTGCCGCATCCCCTGGGGCCTTTACGGCGGGTACTTTCCCGTGTTTGTGCGTGTCGTCGTGGGCACCATCTGGGTCGGCGTGCAGATTGCACAGGGGGGCTACTTTGTCGCGGTTCTTTTCCGCGCAGTCTTTGGACAGGGTTTCGCAGACATGAAGAACACCATTCCTGCGTCGCAGTACATTACGGTACAACAACTGGTCGGTGTCCTAGTGTTCTGGGTCTGTACGTTGCCACTGTTGAGTGTTCCAATCCCCAAGGTCAGGGTATTGTTCACGATCAAATCCGTCGTGCTCCCACCTATAGTCATTGGCCTGTTTGTCTTTTGTATGCTCCAAGGTCGGTCCTCGGGTCAGTCCCCCGGCGACTTTGCGAGCTCGGGCACGCTGTCTGGGTCTGCGTTGGCCTGGACCATGTTGGGTGGTATCAACTCGGTCATGGGCAAGACAAGCACGAGTATTGTGAATCAACCTGACCTTGCCCGTTATGCCCGGACCAGGACTGCGCCGACGTGGTCGCAGCTCATAGCACTTCCCATCGGAAATACGTTGTGTGCCACGCTCGGCATCTTTGGTGCAAGTGCGATACGTGCTGGCTGGGGCGAGCTGATCTGGAACCCATGGGACCTTTGCTCGGCGATTCTCGACAGATACTGGGGTAATGGAGCCCGAGCTGGCGTGGCTGTTGTGTCGCTCGGCTTCATCTTCTCAATCATCGGAAGCAACCTGGGTGCGAATGTTATTCCCTGGGGCGCCGACACGACAGTCTTGATGCCTCGATACATCAATATCAAGAGAGGAATGTACATTTCGTACATAATTGGGCTGATCATTTGCCCGTGGCGCATCCTGAAGAACGCAGCTACCTTTCTACAGTTCCTTGGCGGGTACAGCATCTTCCTTGGACCGTTTGTAGGAATCTTCCTAACAGACTATTTAATCTGTCGCAGAGGCAATATCTACCTCAAAGAGCTCTATACGCCGTCGGGGCGCTATTGGTACGATTTTGGAATCAATTGGAGAGCTCTGGTTGCTTACTTGGTGGCCGTCGTCTTGCCCATACCTGGATTCGCGGAGACCTTTGGGGAGCCGGTCCCTATTGCATGGCTTCGTATTTACCAAGTAGGTTGGTTGTTGACATGCATCCTCAGCAGTATTGTCTACTGGCTTCTCAGCTTTGTGGGCAGTTTTGCGCTGGAAGAAAGAAAGATGGGTTTCGAAACTATAGCTTGGGAACAATTGGATGCTTTCATTGAGCCGGTTGCTGAATATTCGGGTCATGACGGGTCGCAATCCACTCCCATTAGCCTTCTAGCCGACCCGAAATCATAGTCTCAGATAATAATCCCACATTTATCTACTCGGTCCCGAAGGCACATATCCACCGGCCGTAGATCTTTGCACTCCGTCGTGGCAGCGCTCTGCCAGATCCGGTTGTTATCTTCCGGACTTGCGTTATAAGTCAAATCCACCAAAACGGCGGAATCACGTCTCAGAAAGATCTTTTTCAGCATTTTGCCTGCCGAAAACAGGCCCAAAGTGGCATGATGTTCATGTTTGCGATCCTTTGAGGCCTCACAGCTCGCGGAGGCGGTGCTTCTTCCATCGCGCTCACCACCCACACACAGGGGTGACCAATCAGATGTTATAGAATTCGGCTGCCTGAGAATATCAAAACATGCACACTCACCTTGGCGACAGCGCACCAACTGTCCAGACCGGGGTCAGTCTCGTATTCTATGGACATGAAGAGCGATCAATGATGCATATGTTTATCTAGTACTCAACTTGCCGCGTGAGGGATCTGCAGTTGTGTACCATAACCGCTGTGTCTCGGGATTTGGATATTCCACAACACACCCAGTGACCAATGACGGGGATAGAAAGATCCTTATTTCTATACATAGATGTACACACTGAGTAGTATATTAAAGTTAATCGTTCCCGATTTTCTGTTGATCGATTCTCTGATTGTTTAGGCACTTTTAACGAACCACCATTACCTGCACACGATTTCTACGCTCGTTTGATATGGTTAAAGGAGATTTTGGTATGTAATTGTTGCTCAATTTATAGCTCAACCAGCCATTGATTAACTTCTGACTGCTTCAAGACGTCATGTCTACCACCCGCTTGTCCGAAGCTCCGGCTGCCACGCCGCCATATGCCCTCGAGTACGGCCGAGATGAAGAGCCCTGGAAATGCAACGGCCATTACCAGCCCGGAAGCGGCCCGGCGCCCTCGTGCTCCCAGCATCACCACCACTACCACGAGTCGCAACAAAAGACAGCCAACGTCGTCCCCGTTCCCCTACTGGGGCGATTCGCGGCCCTGGCAGAATGCCCCGGCTGTCGTAGCGTTGGTCCGACCAGCGTCCAGTACCGCCCGGGCAAGGGTACACAGTATGTTCTCCATGGTAGACGGGATAGCTTCATTGTTCCAAGTCATTTTCAGAGAACGGGTTGCTGACGATGGATATTATCAAGCTGGATGGCAACGTTCTTCTTTTTTACTACTGGCATCTTTGCCTTCCTGCCCTACTCAATGGACCACTTCAAAAACGCCGAGCATAGCTGCATGAAGTGCGGACGCAAATTGGCGACACAGAGGTTCGGAGGAGGCACTAGGTCCCATCTCATCTAAAGTGGTAGATGGATGTGGTCGGATGACGTGATGCCCTATATTACGTGGATGCGATGCGGCATCAACCATCCTTTGTCTCGTGTGGCTCAACAAGTCACAGCTGTGGAATGCGGCTAGAAACATGAACATGATTACAATGCATCACCTTGAATCGATTGATGTCAATAATTTCTACAACTCACGTGAATTCATTGGATATTCAGATTTGAACTTATCAGGGGTCGCAGCGTTTACCATACATCTTGGCCTGGGCCTCTTTTGACTTGGTGGTGTGTGTTTCTGGTGTCCATTCCGGATAGCGGCTGAGAGGTCATTCGGTGCCAAGATTTCACACCAATGAACTATTGGGTCATAGTTATGCAGTCCGGCAACTAACAGCTAATGACTTTCGCTCCTTAATTGCAGAAACTGTTATTAACTGACCACCGACATCTACAAGATGAGAAAATGCGCGTAATGGCACAATAAGCATGACTACCTGAGTATCAAACGAACGGAACTCTCCTATAATTTAACAGAAAAGAAATATTCAAGCAAATATACTTGTGAAAAGGCACCATTTGAGACAACATTTGTAGTCTCACGCCAACGAGATAAGAGATCCCTTTGCCTCATGTAGGCCAAATGAGCTGGGCCAACTCTTCAGAAAGTGATATAAAGCACTTTAGATGGATAGGAATACTAGTAGCCGATTGGTTTTGGTGACGGAACAAATGCCAAAGCAGCCGAGGAAGCAAGAAGAAAACCGGCCTGGCCAGTGACTTTTGGATCTTCACCAATAAAGTTGTTGGGAAAGCCCGGGTTAAAGTGTACCACATTTTCCAGGTGTGCAATTTGCTCCCTGGTGAGTATAATCTTGAGAGCCTGAATGTTGTCGTGCAGGTATCGGACCTTTCTCCCTCCGACAAGAGGGAAGACATTGGGCGCTTTGCTCATAATGTAGGCCAAAGCTACAGCCGTGACAGATTCGGTGCCATGCTCAGATGCCACTTGAGCCAATGCTTCACTCATTCGAATTTCGTCCTGGGTTTGATTTGCCGTCATATCCCCACTGAACACGCTTCTCAGACTTTCTCCCTTGGCCTTGCGTGCTTCAAGTTCGCGCTTGCTCTGGAGCTTGCCACCGCCCAGAACATCCCAAGGCGCGAGCGCCATGCCGAAATGGCGCGCCATCGGGAGGATGTCGCGTTCAAAGTCGCGCAGCATGACATTCCAACGGCCCTGGTAGATGACAAAGGGGCTTTTGCCATGGGCGGCCGCGTATGTATTCACAGCACTGGCGACCCAAGCAGGAGCGTCAGAGATTCCCAAGTACAGAACTTTGCCCTGCTCGACCAGTATATGCATGGCATCCATGACTTCTTCAATGGATGTAGTATGGTCCCACCAATGCAGATACAGTATATCAATCCAGTCGGTCTGGAGCTTGGCAAGAGAATCACGAACGCTCATGTGAAGGCTTCCCCGGTGGTTTCCAAAGTGGTTGGGTGTCTTGCCTCTGCCGAGGGCGTGGGCCTTGTACTCGGTGGTGAATTTGGTGGAAATGACCAATTGATCGCGGTTCTGACGCGCTGCCATCCACTCGCCGATCCATTGTTCTGGCTGCTCATTTTGGTAGTTGTTTGCAGTGTCGATGAAATTTCCACCGGCAGCTACGTACGCGTCCAGTAGTTCAAAGGATTGTTCCTTGTTCATGCTACCCATGAACGCGGACCAAGCATCACCGATGGACATGCCACCCAGTTGCAGTGGTGATACGCGAAGACCGCATTTGGGAGAAAGAATGCGGTAGAGACCAAGATCGGTCGGGGGCGTGATGGGCGTTGGGTCATCCATTGCTAGGGAGTAATGGCGCTTTCGGTTGTACGAGAAATGAATTGATGAAATGATGGGAACTTATTGATCATTAAGTCGGAAAATGCTGGTTTTGAGGTTCTGTTATATACTTTGATCGGAGTTAGTGATAACATCTTTAGAGGCCGTTATAGCCGCAACAGTATCCAGTTGGGCACTTACATGATCCACTCGCCATTTTTGCAAACAAGACCACATGATGCCATAGATACTACAGAAAGAACTCCGAGCTTCACCATGCATGAGGATTAATGAGGCAAAGTAAGCATGTTCTAGCACTCACCCACCGTCGAAGGATTATCATACATCGAAGGATCAGTACAGAAATGGGGTCACGTTGATAACGTATATGCCCTATCTGGAAGTGGACCGCGAGCGATCTAATCCGTCTCGGCCCGAGTAGCATCCAAGTTTCCCTTTATCTCCGTTGAAAAATTACAGTATCTTGCGCGGATAATGAATTGTGCGACATCAAAAATTCTATCATCGACTTTGCACGAGTTTGCAAAGTTCTCTCCAGCCCGGATCTATATCCACTGGTTTGGTTGAGATGGCCGCTTGCTAGTTGTACCATTGCGGTTGCCGTGTAATGATGTTAGAAAGTGGTAGTGTACATTTGCCCAAGAACCCCGGCACTACCGCCATCATTCATTGCCTTGCAAAAAGCTCGTTCAAAGACTTTCTGGGTAGACCATGGTCATCACTTGATCAATATTGATGCACCAACGCGGCGAGAGCAGAATGCTCCGTGTTATCCGACGTCTCCTCGTAGGATTTGAGCCCAAAGAAGAAGTTGAAAGGTATAGAACAAAGGAAACACTATGTGAAGCATGGGCAAGAGATTGGATGTCATTCTCGTCGCATGAAAAAATCTGCTGCAAGGTCTTTTCAAGTGGTAGTGCATCGACAGCCGCATGTAATATGCAGGTTTTGCCTTTATCAACAATAATACATTCATAAGTTGAGAACCATGAGCGAATGACAATTCCACTTGTTATCGGTGACTGTCTCTGTGCAGACATGTTCTCTTCTACGAGGAGGTCGACTGCGGGATGACTCCCCAATGGGATAGATTGCTTACTCACGAACCTGACCGCTGGGCGTTTCTTCGACGAATACTCTTCAACAAAGGGCTGTAATCGATTCCCCCCCTGCCCCATGCTGGATCATGGCGCAGAATTGGTGCATGGCTTGAAGTACCTTACGTCTGTGATCTTTATCGGCTCTTGCTACCCGTGCGCTTTTGGGATCCAAGAATGCAGGGTTTTCAACGCTCATACATATCTTAGCCTTGTAGGGTTGACGAAGGGTACACCTTTCGGATCCTACCACCCAGACTCGCATTGATCTCCGGACCGACATACAGGGCAGGGTTGAACCAAATTGAAACCTGCTTGGAATGAGGCGTTTTGCTAATCAAAAACAAAGTATCAAGCTCGATATTAAAGTATCATAGTGTTATCATTAAAATTGTGTAAATAAGTTCCCATTGTCACAATCATAAAAGTACTTCTTATACAGGTTCATAGTCCCACTCTCGTCGCAGCAGCGTGTGCCGGCCCGAAGGCTTTTGGATAATCGTTAGCCGATGACGAAGCTTTCAAGGGTAGACCTCCATATTAAGCTCAAACGTGGTAGCAAAGGAACAGAGGTACTGAAGGAATTAAGGCACAGCAGAAAGCCTGATATGGACGAGTCAATCATTGGGGGGCTTTTGGTCACCTGCAGGTAGGCTTATGCTTGAGTGGAGGAAAGGTATACTAATCCTTGTCATATTCAAGGATAACATTTGAGTTGTAGATGTCTACAAGCAACTGGGTTTAAACGAGAAAAGAATCTTTAATTACCTACCATTGCAGAGACTGCATGTCCGCGCTAAATCCGTCCGAGATCATCTATTGGTTTGCCGTCCTTCAGTGTAGAGCAATACATCAAACCTTCCTTAGGGGTACCTAAAGGAACACAGGGAAACGAAATGAATGCTGCGCTTGTCGCGTTGAACGTTTTTCCAGCTCCAAAGAATACTCATAACTAGGATAACTGGGTAGGAAAAACATAAGTGCCAGCAGCGCGAAATCTGTTTTTGCAGGAGTTTAAGATATGTTGAGCTAATGTATACAACCTTTTGCAGCCCCCGAAACCATCACAACTGGAGTACGACCGACTCCGCCGACAGAGGCATCAGGAGAACAGAACACATTATGAATGCTATCTTTATGACCTGTCCACCAAAAAGAAAACATATTCCATTCGCGTACGATTTGACGCCGCCGGTTGGCAGAGTCAAGGCTCGCACCTCAAACGCCTGGAAGGACATGTGAACGCGTGCGGAGGCTGGGAAAGCTTTGCATTCATGCTAAGCGCCCGTATCATCGAGGCGACAATGATACTCAGCAAAGTTGGCAGACGAAATCTCAGAAGTACTTAGTAGAGCTGAGATAGAACACTTGCGCACTAACTGAAAGTGCAGCAAATCTCGGATAGAGAGCCACGTTTAGTGTTCAGGGTGGAGTATATCGGTGTGCTGAAAATACTTGCTGCTTGTAATTTTGGTCAGGGGCCGCTCTCCAGCAGGCTGCGGAATAGAGTGATTGTGTATTCGGATAGCAAAGCAGACAATAGCTAACTCAGGGCTTACTGCACCTTTGCCATTATTCGTCGGTATGCACGTCTTGTATACCTAATCTGGCTTTGCTGCCATTGATCTGATGTTGCTCGGTGACAGGCGTTTGATCGACGTGACAAGGGTGGATCAGTACAAGGGAACTTGCCTCGGTGGTGTTACAAGCGGCGAAGGTTTTACTTTCGAGCTCAGCAAAGCATAATCTTCATGCACATGAAGCTGTCAATATATATATATATATATATATATATATATATAAACCGTAAATCTATGATAGTATTACTTCTTTGATAATGAACAATACATAGAGATGATATTACCGATCTTTAAATTCTTAGTTATGCGCCTGTGCCTTTTAAGGCATTGCTCCAGACCTTTCATTGTGTTTTAGCGACAGCCCTCCCAGCAGTCTCCGCCAACAAAAAGCGAACCAAAACAGGGCCTAGGGCATAAAAGCAAGAGCACAAATGGATGTCGGTTCATGGATGAATAGCGAGAAATAATAAAGGAATTGATAGTGACGACCACTAGCTGGGACCGGTCAGCCATCATGAGGAAATTTAGGCACTCCAGTGGCCTCCAAAATACTATTCTCCTACGTGTTCGTCTTTTAACTCGTGCAGATACCGAAGTCTATGGGCCGTTGCGGTGTCAGCATTGAAATCTGCAGATAGTCAGTAACATCGTGGAGCAACAACTCACGGTAGGTAAACATGATTATAATACTCTTGCAGCATTTTGTTGCAGAGATCTTCGGCACTAAGAGACTCATTTTTACTGTCGCGTAGCCATTTGCCCCCGCATTGTACACACGTCTCCACTGCCTTGGCATAGTCGTCACTGATGGCTCTTTGCAGCAGCATGCAAACTTCACTGAGAGTTTTTGTTTCGGTAGCTGCATTGTTCTGCGTCGCGATGGGGTGCATGCAGAAGGAATGCTCGCCTTTGTGGTTTCTCGAATAACTGGCAAACTGACCAGTGCCGGCTTGAAGTATCAAGGTGCCCACTAGGAGTGCGTCCCTCGCAAATTGATGAGCATTTCGCCGTCGCTCATTATGGCCATTTGGTGGAGTCCTGCGTGGTGTTCCATTGGTTTCGAGGTAGAAGTGTCGCGTTTGTTGTCCGTCTCGCCCTGAATGGACATTTCTGATTTTCAGGTCGGCCATCCAATTTGTTCCGCAAAAGAAAAAGCCGTACTCGGCTGTCTTGAAGGCAAACATTATACGTTCGGATAGGGGGAAGTCCTGGTCTGGTAAGTCATCGTATGTAGTCGTCAGACTATAAAAGATAGACGAGATGGGCTTTAATCGTTGCAGCCACAAGTCGCCGTGTTGTCGGAAGGATTTGTCTACAGCTGGTGCTGCCCGACTTTCCTTGGATCCGAACCAGGTATTACCAACCTTGAAGAATTGCCTCGCGGTATTGAGCCTGGATTCCTGGCAGGCCTCGATAAAGCTACTGTAGCTCGAGGTTGGCTCGGCCTCGATGGGTAAAGGACCTTCAACAACCAAATCATAGAATGAAAAGGATGCGACAGGGAGGTAGATGTTGTATTGAAGTTGAAGCATTGACCTCGTGTCCAAAGGGCCGAGATACTGTCGGTATATATCCATTTCCAGCTTGGCATTGGGCGATGGCAATCTTGCTTTTGCAGCACAAAAAGAGTCATAGAAATCTCCGGATGGAATTCTCGAGTCGTAGATAGCTCTCAGGAACATAATCTCCTTTGCTGACCCTAGTATCTCTTTTGATTTTGCGGCATCCATTTCTGCCTGATGCCTGTTCTTGAATGCAGCATCGGAGAGACTCTTGACTGAAGACATTTGCGTATTAATGATTTCAAATTTTCTCAAAATGTCTGGTGCTGAAGTTGTGACAAGCTTGAGTATTTTGGCTGGCTTGCGCCCGCGGTGAGTATTGAGAATATTTTCAACCTCTCCGTGTAATCGCTGTATAGAGCTCAGGTGACTTTCAATCGTGTTTGCTGCTGTTCTGCCCCAGAGTCCCCGTGGATAGCCTTTGTCAATATCCCTATTAATATCCCACATCTCTCTCCAGGCCTCTAGGTTTGCCGAGCTGGTATCAAGGGCAAGTTTGAGCTCGTCCAACGTCTAATAGACCCATTAGCTTCACCACAATATTTTCAAGTCGTTTGTCGATGAAGACAAAGTTTTGATAAAGGCGACCGATTTTTTTCACTCACTTGTTCACCCCTGCGGACCTCGATTTGAAATTGTCGCAGCTCCTGGATCCAGCCTTTGACTGTGTTCAAAACGGTGACGGACCCCACCACAGCGGTCCAGATTGCGAACCCTCCACCGATTGTGGCCATGTCGATTGTCGATTGTTCCAGCGCTATAGGCGACTTGTCAGAATGGACCGCTTCTCAATTTCAATGAGATTATGCTTTCCCCAGAATGATACCCGTGCTCTGATGAGGCACAAAACCCCGCATGTGGTGTACGACACTGGTTCGCCTGGAGACCATCAGGCTGAGCTGGTTGGCCAATATGGACCGACAGGCATCCTTGAGAGATGCATGAGCAGAGATAATCCGTACCCCGCCAGAACTTGGATCACATCAGCCACTCAGCCTGCTTTATCATCACATGTGCCTGCTTTAACAACTTAAATTTCTCATCTCGATAATAGCGCGACATCGAAGCCGCTCACCCTTTCCGTAATTTGAGTATTAACACAGTCATTGCCATGGAGCTGCTGGAGTACCGTAAAGGGGACGCGGATGTTCTAGAGGAAACATTGAGCATTCCAGGTAGGCACTAGGCTCTAGCATAAGCTAGCGATTATGTGGGAGGTGATTTGCTGATCCATCATACCAGTAGGCAACACAATCGAGCTCGAAGAAATTCATTACAGTTTGGACCTGGATGAACAATGCAACAGATGTATGGAAAATCTGGGTCGTTGTCTCCAGATGGCCGAAAGTGCCGCCCAAGTAGAATACACGTTTACACGAACAAGAGTACGAGTGCTTCAGAAAATGGTTCAAGAACGCAAGCTTCGCCTCGCCATTTGGGCCCACGATTGCGGAATTCAGAAAGATGATCTTGCGGCTCTTAACAAGGACAAGGACACAAGTCTTATCGATGCTCTCGAACTGCTTTTCTCTGAAATATTCAAGGAGCAGAAATGCGTTTTCAAAGGATTCTGTGATCTTAGGAATATGGCACTTGAAGCGGTAAAAGCCAGACCACAGGTATCTCCAACGCATGCGATTTCCTGGATCATGACCTACTGACACCATAGATAGGTATCTCTGGACGCGATTGATGAAGCGCAAAAGAATATCGAGGGTGGATGTGATCGGTTGAATCGACACCTCCATGAGCTGGCCAAGCTTCAGAACGCCATCAAGATGAGTTTGGCAGTCAAAGGCAGGGGTTCCGAAGCCGATATGTATAACTGGATCAGAAACAGATCCCAGGCTACTGAAACGGATGCTATATCGACGGTATCCACGGGCAATGCTTCATACAAGTCTGGTGATGAGCAATGTCCGAAGTGTCGAAATTGGTTCCCCTCATATGCCTTTGATCTTCACCAAGACGACTGCACTGCGACAGAGCGTATCCAATCTGAAGGGAACGGCGACGCCGTGGATAAATCTTCAAACGAGGATATATCACTTCCAAAAGATGCCACGAATGTGACGACAGTCGCCAAAGACGGGCCCTCTCAAACCAAGCAGGCATCGCAGACGCATGTATCAGCAACGAAAGAGGGTCATAAGGGCGCGTTCCTTGCTTCGACACCAGCCTCGGCCAACAAATCGTCGCTCCAGGAATGGAAAGAGAAACAGCATCCTAGCAATAAAAATCTCTCGAGCTCCATTTCTGGTAGCCTTCGTGTGCATCCTCTGACATCGATCAGACGCGTTCAAGGTTGGTCCCCTCCCTACTCCGTAACCCAAATGCTAATCGTCCGGGTCGCCAGACGGCACTTGGCGAAATGAAAAAGTGTCTTTACACACCGACGCAGGGCTGAATATGAATGTGGATGTAATCGAGAATATCCTACCTCAAATCGATGATATTGGTATAATGTTTGTTACCCAATTGAAACTTACTGGAGTCTTCACTACTAACTCTAATTCTTTCAGTATCGTCCCTCTCACAATCGTGCGTAAATGTGACACTTGTCAAGAGCTTTTTGTACAAGCCCTCGGAGCTCCCGGCCACTGGTGGGATGAATTCTTGAGCAACGAACCGGGGCTATCGTCTGCAGGATATTTCGGATGTGAGGAACTGACTGATGAAGATGGTGACTCACTCGCCCATGGTAAATGTCCCATGTCGATACTCATCTCTTATCACTAATGCATGGTAGTCTCATGGTTACGTTCGTCCATTAAAGATGCAAAGAACATTGGCGAGGGATACAAGTGGGAAACCATTGAAATCTTTACACATTGGTCCACTCGACGAAAGCGATCAATAGTAGCCATCTTCTCGGAAAATGCGACACTATCAGACCAGTTTGCCCATGAGCTTTCACAGAATGTCAAGGCCTCCAATGATCCCTTTTGGGTTTACCCCAGGATATTTGGTGTCATCAGTCGCCTGCAAAGTCGTGCATGCCATGAGATTCAACAGTCGAAAGAGCTTTTGGTCAGTCCTGGGCGATATGTGCCTCACGAAATGACACTGTACAATCTCTGGCGCAATGCCACCGTGATAGCAGAAACGATAGAGATCAACCTTTGTAGCCTATCAAGTATTCTGGCTCAGCATGGTCGCTTTGTACCGGAACCCGAGGACAGAATCACTGCATCAAGGCAACGATTGATGCTAAGAAAACTCCGCTCAGAGCGCTCAGAGGTACACCAGCCACGGCAACAATTGGGGGCGGAACACACGAGCAGGCAAGTGCAGGACAGGCTTCTATATTTCCAGCAGGTTTTCAGAGGCTATGGGGCAACCATGGCATCCATTAAAGAGCTATTAAGGTTCGTCACCCGAGGTCCCGCCCCATAGTAGTGTTGTTTTCAGCTATGCCAGGGGGGTTCTAGGCTTTCTTTCGCTGCATCATCCACTCCAGCGCCTAGGTAGGCACTAATGCACTGGTTGCCGCCACCCTATTGAGAATTGATAGCAATCATGTACAGAGTAGACACTTTGAATTCGCATAGAAGTTTGTCTGAAAAGCGCAAGATCTTGGTGGGAAATGGCGGAGAGCATTGATTGTATCAGCTTATTCATATATTTAATTGACACCCGCTACACAAGATTCTCCAATCCAAAACCAACAAAACGTGACTGAAAAAAGAAATCCCATATTTACAAATACATCCAGTCCGAGAAGACATGATTAGCAGGAATGAACTTCATCATTTTGACCACTGTAGCAGTCCTTCCATGCGTCCGAGTTCTGATCATCAGGAACATCAGACCTATCGCCACAGTTGACCCACTTGGGAATAACCAGCACGTCTGCATCGTCGCTGTTGATGGACGTGGCTTGAATGTCACTGCAGGCATTGGCGGTCGTCTTGGAGAACGGCGCATCCTTCAAGCACACAAGGGGTCCGAATTCTCCGCCTGTAAAGTTTGGTTCGTACTCTGACAAAGTGCCGCAGCTGTGCAACATCACTGGAGCCTTGTACCTATGCGAGAGTTAGTCCAATTGGTCTGATTCGCCATCAATAAACATGTTCATCGAGTTCACTTACCACCAACCACAAGCACCCTCACCAAAGTTGAAACCCTGGGTAATGGAGGTCGTTTCCGAGACAGCGATTCCGAAGCTGATGCCGGCACTGAGAACGGATTCCAAGGGACCTTCTCCCTCCAGGCCAAAGCTGACTGACAACGACTTTTCAACCGTGAAGGATTCGCCTTCCTCAAGGTAGCAGTCATTGCCCTGGTCACATGATATCAGTATACCCGTCGAATCCAGCACTCAACTTGGACGGCGATAACTTACAGCACAGTACCTTGTATCGTCATACACCTCTGCTACTCCGTAGTACTTGGCCGCCTTGACCTCGCAGTAGTAGGAGCACCCGTCCGTCTCGTCGTTGCCAACATTGGGGCAGTCGCCGCTCCCGTTCATCTCAATAGCAGGGCTGCAGACAGTGTCCTCGCACCCGGTAACTTCTTGTGTCCCCGAGTCGAGGCAACGCTTGACCGGTCTACCACGCTTGTCTACTTTGCGACCGCTAATGGGGACCTTGGCGTAGATGGCATACTGAACGCCGGCAGAAGTGCGAATTGTGCCAGAGGACTTTTGGCTGGTGCAGGTCTCTTCAATGACATCGAAACCGACTGCGGCCTGCGCGGGCGTGACCTCGACGGGGCTGGTGCCCTTGTTGCACACTTGAGCCATGGTCTGCTCGACCTCTTGGTGAAAACAGGCTCCTGGCTGGATAGTGACAGGGGCGCCTCCGAGACTGCTGATGAATAGGGTTGCAGCACCAACAGCACTGACCCAGTCTGTTAGACCATTGGGTGGACAGTCTACTATGCTATCCGGACCAAGAAGCTTCTCAGCCTTGTCTTGGTCAACATCTCTAGTGTGCAAGTCGCTGGTCCGTGGGCGCAGAGAAGGGGCAGTGCTACGACTTTTCAGGTCCCGGACGAATTTTCCTGGTCCTTGGTAGCTCTCGATACCTCCGTCCCTCTGCCATATCGGGAGACGGGAGGCCAAGACCTGCGAGGCAAAGGCTCCAGCAAGGAAAAGCTTGGGAAGCATTTTGGCCAAGTTGAAGAATTGGAACAAATGTTGCAATGATTGAGAGGATATGTGACAAGATTTTAGTCAAGCAAATAATGCTCCTTGCTCCCTTGGCTGGAATGAATTGTAGTGAAAGAGGTTTTGGGTGCTGGTTGGCGCTGAAGATTATGTTGTGATGAAATATTTCTATACACTACGATCTCAAACATGTGAAGGGCTTTATAGTTAACACTTATACGCTTATCCGTCTCCTCGTGGGTGGAAGATCGCGATGCATGTTGATGTTTACTGCCAAAGATTGTTGCTATTCTGACGTATGTGAAGATATTTCTGGACGACCTTCTGAACGACTGTTGATCTTGTACCTTTTGAAGACATATTCCAACTAAGCCTCGTGGGATGTTTCTAAAAGGGTGACCAAATGTAAACGCCAAGTCGCTATATCACGAGATAGGATTGTAAGAATCAGCCAGCGCAGCTTGGCAACTTGACTGGCGGCGGAGTAGTAGAAGCCTCGACGAATACGGCCGGAAATTGCCGATTGATCCATGATCAGGAATATGAAGCATCATGTTCGACGGTGGCAGCTGAAGGTGTATTGTTAGATGCGCCGTTTTCCTGGGATCTCATTGAACCTAGTCTAGCAGTGGCCTTTGGTCTCTTGATACAAACAGCCATGCTGCGATATTCACTGGATCTTACTACTGACGCATTTCCTGGCTAATCACTAGATTCTTACAGCTGCTTGCCTGGAAAGCCAATCCTTGGCTCTTCAAGATTTTGACAAGACGACTGTCGTAAAGTCTTTGCTTCCAATGGCTGTCGCATGACGAGTAGGCGTCTATAGCTTCATTTTGTCAGATCACCACCCCACAGGATCGGTGGCCCAATAAAACACAGTCACCCCAGACTCGGTCAGTTCTGCACGGCTACAGGGCATTATACAAATGCTTGCCAGGTACTGTCTTCTTGGCATCTTCATAGATACTAGTGTAGGATGGCACGCCTGGAGAGGGCGCAATTCTGCAAGGAACGGGATTATCTATCTCAGAAGAACTATGACGCAGCAAATTATATTAGGCAATCATAAAAATAGGTACTATTCTTCTCTCCGATACAGTTGTATATGCTTTACGGGGCTGGCTTAGTACCAATGTGAATATCCCAGCAGAATAGGAGTTACAGGATGATGGATCATATCATCTGCTGGCGAACGATGCTCATTGATCCTCACATCTCCGCTGAAGATTAAAGATGATTCCCGATCACCCGATGTTTTGCGGCCCGAAGCAACATCCGTTGTATTTGTTTCCCAAGGTGCTGTTCGCGACTCTTATTAGTTTGAGCGACCGCATGAGAAGTTCAAACACATAGGAAAGCCGGTGTTCATGTATATCTCATACATGTTATCCAGCAATTGAAATGCGCCCAGGACCAAACACCGCAATATCCAAGTCAAAGTACTCTCATTAGATCGCCTTGAGCTAAAATTCGAGCTTATCTCATCAACAGATTGAGATGTGATCTACACAGCTGGAAAACGTGCGCGAGAAACGGATTTCCTTGGCAGTAAGGGCGAACAGGACCCGCTGTCCCAGATGGAGAAACCTCCACCAGAAGGATTTTTCCAAACAGCTTGCCCTGTCTCGAATGCGCTTGACTGCCCCCCGGATTATTTGCTTGGCGTGCGCTTCAAGTCATATGATTCTTCCAGGGGCCCTAGGCGTAAGTGGGTTCAGCTTTGCCTGATTGATTCAAGATCGTCATTTTCAACAATGAAGAGAATGATTCCAAAAGAATTTCACAAGAGCTCAGTGTATTTGTAGTAGCACGAGTAGATGAACGCAAGCTAGAGATTCTGGAATTGACGCGCTGGTTCCTATTGAGCATCTACGTGTTTCGACACAACTTGGCTTACAAGACAAGCGCAGAAGCACGATTATCCTTTCCACCTATGTCTATCATCTGACAGAGTCCTTTGTGCACTAGCAGCCAATCCTCACCAATTGCCCCAACAGCCTGGCCCATTTACAGCAGTGTCTGTATAATCAGAGGTGCAACTGCCAGCAACAACAACCCCGTTCCCGTCACTGTCGTCTTGGATCCAGCGCCATCCGAAGTCTGAGTGTTGCACACTGCAGAAATCAACTTGAATTCTTCCGCATGTTGCACAAGACATGTTTCGCAACTTCCATCGCAGGTGCACGTAGATCGCTCCCAGCCTACTGCGGTCGCATTGCTGCAGCAGGGCTGAAAGATGGAGAGAGTGATATTGTCGCGATCGTTCCCAGTCAAGAGACTGCACTTCCCAGACTCTGGAAATTGTAGAATGGGTTCTGAGTGGTTGTAAAGACTTGTTGAGTTGCTGAAGCTGTTCATTTTGGATTGTGGTTGGTGGGTCTTGTGAATTGAATTGGAGAGGTTTTGCCGATTCTTGAGTGACACGAATTGCGCGATAGTTGAATAAGAGATGCCACTATGAATTCAAATCCCGTGCGAGAACTCCGGAGGAACTTCAACTTAATAACATGTTACACCTCGTTATGTTAGCTGAGTGTTGGTTTATGTTCATTTGTTGTCTGACGTCACAGCTGTATTACCTATAAGGCCCTGGGGACGCCGAGCTTCTTGGCTCTGCTGTATCGAGATGTGGGCAAACAACACGCCAAGACGCCAGGATCGTAGGTTTCTTTAAATATTGGCCAAGACTTACTCTGCCACCCCCAATCAACTATACACTTGCAGTATATACACTGGCGATCAAATAATCTGAGGACGTCTTCAGGAATCCATGCCTGACTTTTACCTAGTTAATTGACAGGGCCAACTCATCCCGTGTCTTAAGCCTCCCACTTCCTCGATTTTGCAAAGCAAACTTTGGAGCACAGATCATTCTAATCGATTATGTACCTCTTCCCACTGTTTGCGTTAAACGAATCATTCTTGATGGAACACCACTGGTCGGATAGTCAGCTCATGACCTGGAATTGAGCCCCGTCAGCACAAGCGTGTAATGGCACGTAAGAATGGGGCAGGGGCTACAATAGAACTCACGGAAACAACACTTCCACCTTCAGGAATCTGCGGATCCAGACAACGACAAGTCCTCATAATTTCCAGATCTCCAACCTGGATGATTCCCTTCCACCTCATCGGTACGGAGCGCCGTTCCCCGAATGACTGTTGGTGTCTCCAGTAGATTCCTCGATCGCAAATGCCACAGCGGCTTGAATATATCGCATGGTACGGAATTATCGTCCCTGATGTCTTGGCCATTCACGACTCTTTCCCAATTAGCCGCAACCTCTTCGGCAAGTCGGACCATGCGGTCGACGATTGGCTGTACCCCGATGACTAATTGAGTCATTGTATAAGTCTGGATCAGGTTCCTGAGATCTTGCCCGTGTGGCCGGTCTCGAGTGAGGTCGGATGGCTTGGTCATAGCCCATATGTTCATGCGATGGTGAATGTGAATCATACCCAGCCAGACAAGAATCTTGCGCCAGGCAAGATCTGTGTGCTCCGGCTTGTCAGCTTCAAGGGGCAGTATGTCTATTGCGCACTGAATTGAGGTGGTTCTTGGGCGAGTGAAACTCGCTGACATCACATAGTTCAAGTACGCTTTCCATTCTTGTTTCTCACTTGATTTTTCCGCACTAGTTTCACTGCTGTGTAGATCAGCATCGGGGTGGTCCTTCTTTGCGGCCAGTGACTGCGTTCCAATACGATCCAATGACAGTTCATGGAATATGCCTGATTTCGAAGTCGCCTCGAAAATTGTGATGATGGTCGGGATAGCCGAGGCCCAAGTCTTCTTCTGCTCCAGAGCCGCTGCTTTCAGTAATAAAGGCAGCTGCTGTTGGATCCTTTGCAAATACTTTGCCCAACAGCGAGACTTCTCGGCCATGACCTTCTTCTCGCACAGAGGAAGATGCACATCGAGTATCGGCAGAGTAAGATGCCTTATACAGAACCCTAAACCGGGCTCGCGCATCGAATTAGACAAGGATTTGTCAACGAGCCCGTCTTTTGCAATAAGCGTTGCTAGGTCGACCACAAAGTGTTTTCTTCGGTCTCTCGGTGTTAGTCGGTGTCGGCCGCCTGTACGCCTCTGACCAATGTTTGATTGCTGGTCGTGGGCCCTTTCCGGTGCGAAGACATATCCTGAAGACTCTACCAGGGGATCTTGACCACCATCAGGCTTCAGAGGTCGACTGACTTTGCCGTCGCTCGGCCACGACGATAGAACTTCATCTTGCAGAGTTCTCTCAATCTCTGCCAAAGACGGCGGCAATTGAGAGCTGCTTCTTCGTGGATTTAGAAGCAGTGCATTATTACAGAGGCGAGCGACGAATACTATCGGGTCATTTGATGCTGCTGTACTGAGTTGCTTGTTGGAATCGTCTTCGGCCGCTCCCGTGTTGGGTCGGGCTATTCGTAGCACTCGAGGTGTAGCTGTACGGTCCTCCTTTTGCCTACAGATCACAACGCGGAACAACGCTCCTGAATAGTCCTGGACAAAGACGTCCAATTTGAGTAATTTCGAAAGTATCCTGTTCTCTAGAAACCTTCGATGGGTGCTGTTCTTTTCACTGAAGTCAAAAACGTGGGCTTCAAGACATTCATCCGCGTCTGTTGACGCATCCTTGATTGCGAAGGTGGTGTAATATTTCTTCGAATCCCTGGCATGCGAAACCACGAAAGCTTCTCCCAACACCGTGACAAGGAGTGATCTTAGGTCCCGATCGTTGGCGCCCATAATGTGGTATAAAGAAATTTCTGCTTGCTGAAATGCAGGCAAGTCGTGAAGACAAAAGCACGAGTCACATGTACTTGAAAAGCTGAAAGGTGATATTTGTATGATATACAGTGCAGCTATATTATGTTGGAACGAATTCTGGAAGAGAGGTAAAATGTTATTCATGTTTGAGGGTAGCCTTCTTTTCAAGGGTCGGGGGAGATTATTGCAACCTGGGGGCCGGTCGCTCCACCACGTACAGGTACATCTTGATGCATGCATTGCCACGCAGATTGTGCATTTATTGAGTAGATGACCCTCCAGTCTCCCCATCGGCTGATCCCTGTGTTGCTGCAATGCTCCATTGGCTTGATGCACTGTGCGCACATCGTGAGGCTGGTTGCGGAGAATGTAAAATGCAGGCGCCCAATGCGACATTGGGCGTTTTTGCAGGCTTGATATGCGTCCAGGGCTCGTCTGACTGTGATTGTAGAATGAACCGTTCGAGGGGCAACAAGCTGTGTGCTATAGATTGGTCAGATTGGCTGTAGTCTCGCTGCATCATCAGGGATCTTCTATCCAACAAGTCAATTGGGAATCCTATCATTTGCAGTCTTCTTGGCCGACTTTTCGGGCTCCATATCAAGGACTTGCTAAAACGAGGACAAATTGCGTGTTGGTCGATTTTCAATTTATGGAATAAAAACAAATCTGCTACTTTCTTTCGAGCTGTTACTTGAGCATATATATTTGGCATCCTTTTTTTCCATCAGAGAACAACTTCTTTTTTTCTAATAGCGTTAAGCAAAGCTATGATTTTATTGGTGGCCCAGATGGAAATCATCTGTCGCAATCTCACCAGTTAGTGCCCCTGGAAAACCTGCACTTGGATGCCGGATGGTGCATCGCAGTAGGTAGCCCCTCAAGACAAGATAGAATCATGATTAGTGGCCCAAGATCGTTTCGCCAGTTGCAGAATTGCATGGTCTCACCGAATGTGCATACGAGACGCGGATATTTTCATGAGCACTGAGCTATGATTTGTGTCCCTCAAAATCAGCCTTGGTAAGTGCCTTTTTGACAATCGTCCCCATTTCAATACATTTTGGGCCGCCAATCAGGAGACCATGACTTACCAGGGCTGTGCTGGAGATGCAGCAGCTGGCGGCATCTCATTGGTGCCCCAAAAATCCAGCGAGTGCGTGAGTGAAAGTACCTCGACACGTAAACTCTTGAGTGGAGATAACATACCAGAAGCATCGCGAGGCGATGTGTAAGAATGACCTTCCAGATCTAGTGTCATGCCTGCTTGAAAGCCAACCAATAAATTACTGATCACCCTCCTGCTAAGGCCTGTGGCATTCTTTCCCTCCATTTCAGTATCTGCATTCAGAGTGAGCTTCGGCCAGCACGAACCAGATACGCACAAAACCAGTCTTGCTGTTGGCGCAATCGATTTTGATCTTCACAAAAATCAGTAAGTATCAGGGCCAGTGGAATATTTCGCATGTAGCATTTATCCAGAGGTTCTCAAGCGATGATATGATACTCATGCTTATTTACTGTTTTTACAATCAGGTTTCGGCCGTGAAGCCCCGACTCGCTCGGGGCTTTCACAATCTCGGAGAACCATCATGATCATCACATAAGGCAAGATGGCCGCAGCCGCCTTCAGAACCAGAATGATTTTCTTCAACACGATATTCCGGAGTTTGATGTTGGGGAGGCCACCGCAAGTAATGCATCAAATCAAGCATCAGAGCAAAGCTCAATAAACCTAGACTTTGGCGCTTCTGGCGAATGGCCTCCTGCCTCATCCGGATCGTATGCTCACCCTTTTTCTCACTCATGGATGTCAAATATTTGGACCCAAAACTCTTACAACACCTCTCTCCGGCCTCAACACCTATTCCTGCCTTCAACTGAAGTTTTACAACAATGGCCAAGCTGCATTGGTGAATCCGATGATCCCTTTCTCTCTACGGCGACACAGGGTTCAATGTGTGCTGACTTCTACGTGCCGCACACGCTTGCGAATCAATTCGATCCCTTATACCCAGGCCATCCATGTTCACATTCTTTCTGCCCCAATGTTCAAGTCTCGCAACCAAGCACTGCCAGCCTTGACGCAGATGTATTCACACCTTTAGACTGTCAAACTCCGTTGGGATCATCTTGGTTCTCGCCAGTTCCTGTCCTCTCTTCGACTATGGACTTTCGTTGCAATCTATTTGACGCAGGTCGGAGCCCTGATGCACTGTTTGGAGCAGATACATTGCAGCACATGGAGATGTCTTCAAACTATGGTCACGACACGACAACTGCCTCGAACATTGCCTTGGAATCAAGCACTGCCAGTACGCCCGCAAGTACTTCCACATCGACGCCCAAGACGCGACTCTCGAAACTGGTTTGTTCTAAAGGCCAGTCAGGGCCCAAAAAGAGAGTCGCAATTGATCCTATCCCGCCGATCAAATGTTCGCATTGTCAGTGGGCGCACTGGGATCAAAGCAAAGTCAAGTAAGCTGAATTTGGCAAATCACAATGATATTATACTAAACAATGCGAAGGTGGCATGAAAGGAATAAACATTTCAGGTGTAGCCATGCTGGATGCACGGGCAAATCTTTCTCAAGTAAACGAGCTCTGCAGAGACACCTAGAAACAAGCAAGATCCACCAGAGCGACGTCCTTCGATGTTACCGCTGCAGGTGTGGTTCGTCTACAAACCGTAAAGACCACCACGTAAACCACATCAGGACTTGCAACAAGTTGTGAATCCACTGTTCCATTGCATTTGCGACAGTTCAACTACAGACGGACAGTGTCACACCGCACGAATCAGCTGCTGTACATTTTCGGGGCGATATTAGACAACTCTAGCACAGAGTTTTGGGTTGTCTCCTTTGACTTTCTTGTTACTCACAAAACAAGCTGCAAAGTCCACAAACTTTCCGTTCATGAAAACGACATGACAATTCAAACAGTGACACACGTGTTGGGCAATTTCTATTCTGGCGCTTAGGCTCTCGGCCATCAACTGCTGGTCAGATGGTCAGTCAACGAAACACCCGTCCGCAGAGACATCCGAGCCGATGGGCTAGTCCACGGATGGAATCATGTTTCAGCCGATGAAAAGCGACAAATTTTGATTGTGTACAAGTAGCGTTGGTACAAATATGGAAGGCTGATATCGTTATATTCGATCAGTCTAGGAGACAAATCCCCTTTGTGTATTCCCATCATCATGAGCCAAAAAGAACAAAAAAACCAGTAAAAGTAAAAAAAGATCAGGCTTCGGCCTTACAAAGTACTTACATTGAATCTTCATATTCCTTATAGTAATGTGAAATGTTGGCAATACGCCTAAAAAGGATATCGTTAAATCTGAAATTGGGAGCGGAGATGAGCTTGGGCCTGGGTGCTTTATGCGCCCATCGTCGTCGGATTTTCGTCAATTATTCATGCAGGCAACCGTTACTTGCTTGCTGCGATGGACAGATTGTGGCGCAAGGCTTTCATGAATTTGTACCTAGGAACCTACTTAGGTAGGCAATTGCATCACTCACTCGTGTCCACCAACTTACCAGCATACAGATTGACATGCCCATCTTTTTATAGGGAATAGTAGTTTCGCAGAGTAAATCTTCAGCACGATAAGCGGAAAAAGACATACACTCCTATCACGAGAGTAAAAGATCATTGCTTTTGGAGTGATTGATTTTGGTGGTCGAGAGCCACTGGATAGATATCGTGCAGCTTATGGACAAAATTGCACCAATTCCTTTCAGGATTCAAATGCGCCTTCACATTCAGGTGCAAACTTGCATAACGTACATGTATGTACTAAGTCAATACTTTCAAGTATTAGTATCCCCTCACTCGAGACGATAAAGAATTGTTCCAAAGCCAAGCTGATCATACCCACCGCTCGTAGTCCCATAGTCACCTCCACCACCTTCTGCCCCCCCGCTCTGCTCGACGACGAGATCGCGATATGCCCCAGTCCATGACGAATTCAGTCCTTTCAAGGAGCTGTAGTGAGCAAATAGCAGCTCATTGATCGGACGGATGGTTCCGCGGCTCGAGTTTGATATAATGGGCTGGCTAACATCCGAGTTGTTGTAGGTGGTGTATGGTACATTATAGCCGAGATTGTATTTCGATGCATACTCCGAACTTCGTTCACTCGTCAGCGCATGTTATCTTGGTCGGATATAATACTCACCCAGCGAGAATCCGGTTGTTCAAGTATCCAAAGAGGTCGACACCTTGGTTGTATGCTTGCTGGGCAAAGGCACCCAAGAGGGCGAAATCAAGCGTCGCGTGGCCTTGGTCTCTGCCCGCCTCTTGGTTCTGACCCAGGACCTTGCCGGAGCCACTCTCATTGTACGTGACCCAGATTGCTTTTTCAATGGCGCCATTACCTTGTCCACTCTTGAAGTATGTAACGGCTTCGTTGGCCATAGTCGCATTATCAGACAGGACACCAATGGCGTACATTGAAGCCAGATTGCACAAGTCCCAGTTGGCCCAATAGTGATCAATCGCAGCATCGTTGTGGTTTACCAAGAAATTGTGATTCATTGGATAAAAGACATTCTCGAGCATCGAGGTAAGGTTGTTCAATCCCTTCCAGCCGGAATATGTGCGAAGAATCTCTCCGGCATTTGCGAGCTGGTATCCGTAGAGACCACTGGCGAGATACTTGTCGGATGTGCCGTCAATGGCCGTCAGAGTCGAGGACCAGGCATCGAGAATAGAACCAGAGACATCAGCGTACTGGGTGGATCCTGTGACCTTCCAGTATATGGCGTTGGTGTATGCTGCGGCCGCATCTCGGTAGAGCGAGGGATAGTTTTCGGTACAGTCGCCCCCAGAGCCTCGACAAACTGTCGCCTTAGCGCTAGGAGTATATTCGCTGTATGCATGATTGACTAGTTTGAGCCAGCCGGTGTACATTGGCTCTCTCTGCTCGTTGACGAAAGTCTTGATACGATTGAAGTCGGATTCCGTATGCAATAGGCCAGGGTGTGTGTAAGTAGTGGTATTAGGATAAGTAGGAGTATTGGGAGAAGTAGTAGAGTTATGGAAAGCACACCTGGCACCGAGGGCCAGCGTTGCCAAGTACGATATAATGATCGTTGTCTTCATTTCGAAAAGTTTCGACACCGCGTTTTCCGTAGATATGCTTGACCTGGTTGTGGGGAGATCAAGTCAAGTATCTGGACTGGAATGAATTGTACATTTATACTTGCTGGCTCCTGAACGACAATTGCGAACTGATAATCTTGTCGATCTGTGAGTAACAAGAAACTTCGAGTTATCTCTCCGCGAAAGTCTCTTGCTTGAACACGTGTGTCCCCTGAGGGTATCCCCATGGGGAAGTCAGCCTCTGATGCCCGGGGTACTGTGGAGGCCGGACATACTGAACTCGAAGTCCTCCAATTGAAAGAGAAACCTCCTTGACTGATGATTTCCGTTCGCAACCACAAAGAATTCGCTCCCTCAGCCGCGATGTTCTTGTGATATCATACGGGCCATCTTTCGGAACATGAGTGGACAAGCCAAGTACTCTTATACTCTCTTTGGTGTGTATCGCAGCCGTGGTTGAGCTAACCTCTGGGTAAAAAAGTGTGGATCAAGGGGTCGTTTCAGATAGAACGTATTCATTTCCGACGAACCAAAAGCTAGCAATAGGGGATGAAAGCTATAAGTCGAATGACTACGCGTAGAAGTGTATTAAGCAGACTGAATAATTGAGCGTATGCACTGTGTAAACTGCTCTTGCTATGGAGAACCCTGACTCTAGACAAATTTGATACGTCTGCTGCGTACCTATGACAGTAGTAAAGACCTTGCTGGATAGTCGAACCGTAGCAGATTTTTCTTTCACGCAACAAAATACTACAAAACTATAGCGAATTCGCTGCATTGTGCCATTCCCTAAAATTATCAGCAATACGGCAAAGCCGTGTTGGAGCAGCTTCCGGCTATGAATGATTGAGATGCCCGAGGCAGGTCTGCCTCAAAGATCTGCGCTGAAGGATCCAGAAAATGATCAATTATGTGGACCAGGCCCTGTAAGCGAAGTCAGTGGGTGGGCAAGTGGCAGACTTTCGAGAACCGTCAACTCACATTCGTCACTGGAATGTCGGCTTCAGTGACAGTGGATGCATTGTTCAGTCGTAATTGATCTCCATCGACTTGAGCCCCGATGTAGAGAAATGATCCCGTTTGGAATCGCAAAGCGGTCGAATTGAAAGCCGATGACTTCAATTCAGTGTTTGGCACATAATGGTGCTGGAGTAGGTTGCCGAGCCACCATTTGCCCTTTGGAGTGTTTGCAAAGGTCTCAAAGTACTGACCCGTCTTATCGAATGCTGTATTGGAGGGCGCAAAAAATGTGTACTTCCAGCTTGTCGGTGTATTGAAAGCTTGCACGAATCCTGTTTGTCTTTTTAGCATGGTATTCCCCATCAATTCTGTTATTGGCATGCACCTACCGGGAACATCTTCCACCAAAGCCGAAAGATTCGAGAGCTCCGGTCTAGTGTGGATAAAATTCAAGAGCGTCGTGATGCCCGTGGGGACGGGGGCAGTGTAAGCGCTGCTTGGTACCGGAGCATATGCTAACAGCTGACGATCGACAATGCTTGCGTAAACAAGCGATGTCAGCTGGGCGAAACAGGTGATGCTCAACTTCATTGAGAAATGGTTGTCTGAGAAATGTTTTGAGAACTGACGGGGCCAGACGCTGGCATCAACCGTGATTCAATTCGTGTTTTTCACAAACGTGATAATTATCTATCCCAGGTCGACTATAGCGAGTCCTTCTTAGCTAATATCTGGGGGCGGTGCATCCTGCGGGGATGAAATGAGGGGGCCCCACAACAATGTCGCATCACGAAGTATAGAACTCGTATAATTCGACGTGATCCGGCCTCGGGCCAGGTACCGGATAGTTCTCCGGGCCTGGACACTAGTTCCTGGTTGATCGCGTGGCTCGACAGGGAGTCAAAGTATCTATATCCCTACCAGCACTATATACTGGTATCGTAATATCAATCAAGCGCTAGATGTCGGTCCTTCTAAGCTTGTGTTGGAGTTGAACGTTCTGTGCACATTGTGGCACTGAGAACTACAGGAAAGATGCAGCTCCTTCAACTCTTACTGCTGTCGCTGCCTGGTTTGGCAAATGGCCTGGCAAAGAAACCACAATTGGGTATATGCGCCTTCCCGTGATGCTTCTCGTTGATACATGACTAATCTCAATGTCTGTTGTAGGCTGGAACTCTTGGAATGCCTTCAAGAACAACATCAACGAGACTATCATTAAAGCCACGGCTGATGCTTTGATTGACCATGGTCTCGTGACAGCTGGCTACAATTACCTACTACTGGATGACGGTTGGGCTGCATACCGCGACGAGAATGGTTTACAGCAGGCGAATTCTACTCGCTTCCCTAGCGGCATTGTAGGAATCACGGACTATGCGCATGAACGGGCGTTGAAAGTCGGCATATACAGGTTTGTGGGCAGATCCCTGAGCAATATTTGTGTGAAATTTCTCTTGCGAATCTGACAATTGGGATTAGCGACGCCGGAATCTTGACTTGTTCTTTCAAACCTGGTAGTTATGGATATGAAGAGCTTGATGCCGCCACCTTTGCTGGCTGGGGTATCGACTACCTCAAGTACGATAATTGCGGCGGTTTTCAGGCCAACACACTTGCCCCGCAAGAACGCTTCTGGCGCATGGCGCATGCCCTGAAAGACACTGGAAGGGAAATCTTCTACTCGCTGTGTCAGTGGGGCAATCAGTTTCCGTGGCTCTGGGCCGATCAGTTTAGCGACTCGTACCGCATCGCCGGTGACATCCATGCATCGTTTGCTTCGGACAGTTCTGGTGTGTGCACGACTGCGTATTGCCTGAATACAGGATACGCCGGGACAAGTGTTCTTACAACGATTCGAAAAATGCGAGAGCTATCATATTTCCAGAAGCCTGGATCGTGGGGTAAGTTCTGGTTCCGTTACTCTGTACTGCAGCCGCCTGCTGAGCACGAATACGCTAATGCAACATCTCTCACAGGCGACATGGATGCACTAGAAATCGGTAACAATGCAATGACTGTTCTCGAGGAGCAGACTCACTTCTCTTTCTGGGCCGCTCTAAAGTCACCGCTCATTGCTAGCACCAATCTGTTATCAATTAACCAGTCATCTTTGGACATGTTGCTCAATCAAGAAATCATAGCAATCAACCAGGACGATGCGGGGTTGGCTGTCAGTTACGTTCCAGACCTTTCGTCGGAAGGCAGCGTTCAGATCTGGGCCGGCCCGCTCACTTCAGGAGACTCAAAGTTCGTGATTCTGGCTTTCAACGAAAAGAACAACACTCAAGATATCTCATTCGATCTGGGAAATGTACCCCAGTTCGCAAACAGTGGTGGCGGGAGCAGTCGGATTAGGGACGTTTGGGGACAGAAGACTTTTGCGGTCAATGGCACAGTTCTTCTTAGCCAGGTGGGAGTGCATGAAACCAAGGTACTTGTTTTCTCATGATAGGTAATTGGTAGTTCATATAGTGGTTAATTTGCAGATTAACGGCTCGTCGTTGAGATGATCTTGTAAACTTTGGCACGATACAAATTGTTAGATAAGTGCTAATAAGCGCATAATAACTAAGAACCAATCTTTTGTGGTGCAGTGGTAAAAACCCCACCATTTGACACAAATCTTCAATGTTAGCTCATCTGGACACAGCGCCTGTCGACTTGGATGATCAGCGGCAGTAAGAACAGGCGCGAAGGGGGAAAAAAAAAAAAAAAACGCAGTGGGGCATGTACTAAACACCCCAGGAGCGAGGCCGGCCACACCGCGTCGTTGTACCATACAATTGCCAAAAACAACGAGAACGCGTTCTATACCTAGCCAGTCCTGCAGTCGTACAGCTATTTCTACAGCCATGGGACGCCATTTGACTGAAGAAGAGCAATATCGTGTTCGTACGCTACGTTTCGACGCCGGCAAGACTTACGAAGAAATCGGCAAAATTACCGGCTACACATCTCATCAGATTCGCGGTGCCCTCGCCGAAGATCCGAAAGAAAAACGACAACGGCATGCACGCGAAAATCGTCGCCGCGGCCGGAAGCGACAACTCACGAAGCAACAGGAGGAAGATCTCGTCGAATACGTTACTTCCTCGAAAGAGGGCCGAGAAGCATCGTTCCTAGAGATCTCGATGACGCTTTTCAACTGTGTTTCCGGCATGTACGCGATCCGGGCCGCGCTTCGTCGCATGGGATTCAAACGATACGTTCCTCGACATGCCACAGTATCCACGCAATGAATCCGCTTGGTACAATGTGACTACCGTACTGTTTTACTCTTATGATAGGCCGTGATTCGCCGTGCCATCTCAGCAACCAAATTGACTACCACCTGGTCGGGTCTTTTGGTCAACGTTGAACGAAGAATGTAATTTCGCCGGCAATAATCTGTAGGTGCAGCCAGGTCCGCGAGCCGAATGAACGCTACTTCAGCATCCAGGAGTAAAACTTTGGGGGAAGGTGCCCTGTGGGACACCTTCGTATATATATAGTTTCCCGTTTAAGGACGGCTTATAGTCCGTACCTGAATTTACCCACTTTTCCCCGAATTGTCTTTTTTTAGTGTCCCCGGCGAGGTAATCGGAGCTATACGCGTATACGCAAAACGGCTAAAAAAAAATTATAATATAATATATAATTATTTAATAAAGGCAATAATTATACGACCGTTTAATAAGGATAATAACTAATATATTTAGTTTAATAGGAAATAGCGTAACCGTTTAATAAGGATTATAATACCGAAATAATTTAATAAAAATAAAATATTATTCGTTTAATAAAAATAAAATTATAATATAATAAAATAGCTTATAAAAAAATAATATTTTTACCTATTTTTAAAATTAATATTTTAGGATATATATATAAATTAGAAAAGTTATTAATATTTAAAAAAAATAGGAAATAATATAAATAATAATAAATACCTAAAAAGAAAATTTTTTCCTTATATTTAACTTTATAAACGTAATTTAAAGGACCGGAGATAATTAAAAAGCTTTAATTATATTTTATATTATAATAAATAATAGCAAAAAAACGTTAAAAAATTAAAATTGCGAAAATACCTTTATAAACGAAAAATCTACTTTTATTATAGCTATTTAAAATATTTATTTTTTATTTTTTAATTAGGACCCTAAAATAATTTATTACCTAATAAAATTTATAAAATTTAATATTTATAAAAACCTATTTTTTATTATATTTTTAAGCGCGGAATTTCTTTTAAATATATTATCGGAGTTATTAAAAGACGTAATAAAAATAAAAGCATTTCCGAATTTATCTATATACGGCAAATTTAACGGATCGGAAGCTATTATTAAATAAATCTTTTATTTTAAATAAAAATTTAAAAAAGCCGGATACGCCGCTTTTAAACCGTTTTTTTATTTAAAAATTATTAATATCTAATATAAAAGAGCCGCAGCTATATTTTTAAATAATAACCTTATAATTTAGCTGGCTTTCGGAAAGGTATCTTTAAACGCCGCTATATAAAAAAATATTTTTATAATCGAATAAGCGTTAAAGGAAAGATTTTTTATATAGCTAAAAAATAACGCATTAATCGAATTTTAGGATAAATTAAAAAAGCTCCGATAAAAAAAAAAATTTTTAAGCCGTATACGCCGGAAAAATACGATTTATTTTTTAACAAATAAAAAAACGGGATAAGCCGCGTTTATAAATAAATAATTTATTTTTAATATTTTTAAAACGATATTCGCTATAAAAAATAATTATAAATTTCCTAAATAATTTTAAAAACGAAAAATTTAAAAAAAAGCTATAAAAAAGGTTATCGGATACGCTAATATTTTTTTATAAAAAATCTTAAATATTTTAAAAAAATATTAAAAAGTTTTCGAAACCCGGGATAAAATATATAAATAAATAGCTAACGACGTCCGTTTTTAAATATTAAAACGGATTATTAAATTAAATACCGGTATAAATATTAATTAAATATTATTTAAAATATATTTAAAATATATACTTTTTTTAGCTATTACCTTTAAACCCTAATTAGCTTTATTTAATTAAGTTAAAATATAATTATATTTATAAATAATCGTTTAAAAATATATAATATCCGGTATTTTTCCCGATTTATTATTTTTCGATTTTTAATTTTATAACGATTAAAAAAATAACGGAAGCTAAATAGGTTTTTTTAGGCCTTTTTTTCGTAATATTTAGGTTTAGCAAAAAAAAAAAGCTATTTAAGCTAAATAAATCGGGTTTTTAAAGCTAAACCTTAATTTAGGGATATTTTTACGGCTATACGGATAAAGCTTAAAAAGAAAATTTCCTTAAATCCTAAACCGTATAATTTTTAAAAATCCGTTTATTAACGGTTTTAAAAATATCGCGAAAAAACGAATTTATTTTTTTTACGGAAAGCCTAATTATATATAAATATAATATTAATTTTTTACCCGATTATAAGTATAAAAAAAATTATATTTAAAGGCATTTATTTTTTTTAAGCCTAATATAATATTTTCGAAACGGTTATAAATATATTTTAAAAAAAAAGCTTATTAAAGCGGTTAACGATATTTATTTTAAAAAAATCGAAAATTACGATATTTATAAATAAAAGGCTTTTAAAAAAGCAAAAATCGAAAAAATCGAAAATAACGCATTTATCTTATTTTTCTTAATCCCGTTACGATCGGCAATATTAGCTAATATTAGTAAATTAAACGGTAACGAAATAAATAATAAATTACGGAAGGAAATTTTAAATTTAGCCTATTTTTTAACGTAAGCTTAGGAATAAGCGGCTAAAAAGCAAAAAATAAGCGAAAATATATCCGTTTTTAATTTATTTATTTAAATAAATAAAAACGGAAATAATTTAAAATTAAGCCTTTTAAGGAAATATAAATTTAGGAAAAAAAAAACTAGCTAAACCGCCTAAATTATTTATTAAAATTAAAGGCTAAAAAGGAAAAAAACCTATTAATTAAATTAAAAAATTAAAAAGGATTATGCTTTTAAATTTTATATTAATAAACTTTTTTTAAGCAAGCCCGGATATAATTAAAAATTTTAAATATTTTATTATTCGTATAATTAAAAAGATTTAAAAAAAAACGGCTATCCCGAAAAAATTAGCCGCCCGGTTTATATTAGCAATTATCCGTTTTTTAAAAATATATTAAATATCCCCGGTATTAAAATTTAAAAATATTAAAAGGAAAAATATTATATATATTATATTAAAAGATGCTTATATAATTAATTAAAAATCGGACGTAAATTTAATTTTAAAAACTTATATTAATTTTATTAGTTTAAAAAAGCGGCTAATAACGGAATTAGGTATTTTACGAATATATATTATAATATTATTTTTAAATATATATAAGGTAACGGAATTTGCTATATTTATAATAAATATTAAAAAAATAACGGAATTAATATAGGCCTTTATTTATTTTTAAAATACAAAAAAAAACTCCGCTAAATTATTATTAAATTTATTATAATTATAAAATATCCGAGTAATTTTTAATATCCGAAAAAGCCTATTAATTATTTATAAAAATAAAAAAAATAATAAATTAGTTAAATTATAAGGATTATAATTAACGTAAAAAAAGAATTATAATTTAGCATTATTATTTTATCCCGAAAAACTAATTATAAACTTTAAAGCATTTATATTTAAAAATAAAGCAAACGAAAACGATTCTTTTAATAATTTAAAAAATAAAAAAACTTTAGGATCCGAATCGGAAAACTAATTATTTAAAAATAACCTAAATAAATTAATAAATTATATCCGGGCGGATATAACGAAAAAACCATATTATTATATTACTAAATATACACTTATATATTTAGATTTACGGCAACGTTAAAGCATAAATAATAATATAAATAAATTATATTTTTAAATTTTATATTATGCTTTAAAGAGGATTTTAAATTAAATATAAATAAACGCGAAAAAACCTTTTATATTTTATCTTTTTTCGTATAAATTACGGATAATAAATCGAATAAAGCGGTATTTTATATATTTATTTTAAAGCAAACGGATTTTTTATTTAAAAAAAAATTTATAAACGATATATTTTATCCCGAAAATAAATCGATAAAAAAAATTTAAATAAATTTTAGGATAAATTAAATATTAAATTAGGATTATTAATGCTAAACGAATTAGTAAACGAAATATAGCGGATATTTTATATATACCGCGATTTTAAAGCTAAATCCGTAAAAAATATACCTTTTACCGATTTTTACGTTTATAAATTACGAATTTTAAAAAAGGTAATATTATTTAAAATAGCCCGGAAACGGTAAATATTTTTTTAGCAGTATTAGCTTTATAAATTAATTTAAAACGAAATAAACGCAAATATATATAAATTTACGTATTAAGCTAACGGAAGGCTTTCGGATTAAAATAATTAATTTATTTTAGTTCCGAAAAATAAAAACGAATTAATATAAAATTTAGGGCTAAAACCGAGGCTAACGTTTAATTATAAAAAGGTTATTAAAAAAATACCGAAAATAAATATTTTATTATTAGCGGATATATATAAAAACTTTTCCGATTTAAGGATTAGCTCGTTTTCGTTTTTTAATTTAAAATATATATATTAATATATATTTATATATTTAAACGACCGGTATTACCTAATATTCGATATAAATAAATTTCGTTAGCTTTAACTAATTAAAATATTATAAAAATTTAAATCCGTTACCTATTTAATAGCGGAGCTTATAAAAATTATTATAAAAGCTATTTTAAGCCTAAGCTCCGAACTGTTTTTTTAGCGCGGGCTACCCTAAATAAATTAAAAATGCTTATAAAATATATGGATAATTTATTTTTCGTATATACTAATTTTCGTAAATAATAGGTATTTATTAGAAATTATTTATTTTTACGTTTAAATTAAATAAGGCTAAAATTATTTTTTAAAAAGGTGTCTTTAGGTTTAAAAAAGATATTAGCCGTAAAAACCGTTTATAAAATCGGAGGCCGATTTATCGTAAAAATAAAGCGTATAAAAAAGTTAAAAAAATTAGCTAACGCCCTAAAATTAAATAAAAATAAAAGCCTTTATTAGCGCTTTTAGCCTAATCCGAAAATAAATTAAAAATTTCTCCGAAATTAGACGCCCGCTTAATTATTTAATTAAAAACGTATCTTTTTTATAAGGATTAATAAAGGCTATTTCCTTTTTAATCCTAAAAAAAAGCAGCTATTACTATAAAAATATATAAATATAATCCTAACCTACCTATAAAAAGATATTTAAACGCATTAGGGTATAAAACGGGATTTTATATTATTTAAATATAGAATAGCGTATTAAAACCTATTTTTTATAATAGTTTTTTATTTATTAAATCGGAATAAAATTATAAAATATATAAACGTAAGCTATTTATAATCGTTAAATTCGCTAAACGATATAGCTATTATTTTTTATTTAAAAAAATATCCGTTATTTTTATAAATTATAAGCCTTTAACTTTTTTCTTAAATAGCCTAAACGTTAAAGGTATTTATATTAAATAAGCCGGGGAGCTTTATTTTTTAAACGTCTAATTAATATATATTAAAGGAAAAAAAATAAAGTAGCCGACGCCTTTTCGAAAATAATTTTTGCGTTTAATAATTATTAATCCGAAAAGGTGCTAATAAAATATGGCTATTTAGACCCCGATAGTGCATAAATATAAAAAAACGGCCCGGGAAAATACGAAAAACTGCTAAATACTTATTAAAAATAATATCCGGATACCTTAAAAAATAAATTAGTAATTATTTTATTATTTAAACTAATAATAATTAGTAATAATTTTATTTTATTATTTTTAATAAATAAAAATATAAAAAAATATACGAATAAATTTTAGTATTCGGATATATATTTATATTTAAAATATAAAGTCTTTAATAAAGCGGATAAATTAAGGAATAAAAAAATAGCAATTAAATCGAAAACGTTCCGTTAAAAAATAATATTTTATAATATAATAAAAATAATATTTAAAAAATTTGCTTATATAAAAACTAGGTAGCATCCGCTTTTAAAGCGGCCTATAACGAAAACGGATATTTTGCGCTTATAATTATTTTATAAAAATTAAATTAAATAATTTTTTAATTACCGATAGCAGCGGATATAATCGATTATTATGCTAAATATTTATAATACGTTTAAAACGGGTATAAAAAGCTTAAAGCACTTTTTTAATTTTTTTTATCCTAAGAATTTTGCTAAATTATAGCTATAGATTTTATAAAACCTTTCCTTGCTAATATAGGGTATAAATATATTTTTATAATTATTTGCTATTTTTTAAAATATATATAAGGTTTTTTAACCGTAAAAGATATTATTTAAAACGCTATTTAAAAATAAAATAATTAAAAGTCCTACGCGGGAATAATAGCTATCGCTTTATATATAAATCCCGGATTAATTTTTATCGCGGATAAATTTAAAAATTTTTTAAAAATAAAAGATATTTACGTATAATCCGCCGTATCCGATACCTATATAAAAATTATAAAAATATATAATAAAATATATTAATTTATTTTTGCTAAAGCAATTAGCTAAAGGCTATTTTTAAAACTTATTAGCGTAAAATAAATATCGAAAATATTATAAATTTTTAAAAATATAAACGCGAAATATATAAAAATAATAGGATAAAGCCTTTACGAAATCTTTTTCGGGTATATATTATAAAGAGCTTTAGAAATAGCTTTTCTATTTAAAAATTATAAATAAAAAAAATAAAAAGCAGATACCCTCCGTATTTTAAAAAAATTAAAATTATCGGAGGCTTTATTATTAAAAATAATATTCGTATAAAAAATAAAAATAAAAATATTTAAGGAAAAAAAAGCTAAAAAAATTACCTATAAATAACGTTATTTATTAAAAATAAACTAATTAAAAAAAAACGATTTAATAATATTATATTAAAAAAGAAAACCGCCTAAATTAGCTACGAAATAAAAAGGCTTATTTCGCATCCGTAAAAAAAAAAATAATTATTATTTATTTTTAAAAATTTAAACGGATTAGCAGCTATTAAATTTTTATATAATTATTATAAAAATAGCCTTAAATTATTTATACTAAAAATAAAATATATTAAATAAAAAGAAAACGTCCTTTTCCTAAACAAGCAAAATATATAAAAAAAAAATAAAAGGGAAATAATAAAATATCTAATAATAATATAAACGTTCCTTATTTAACCAAGCTTTTACGTTCCTGCTATTTAATAAATTTTAGGCAAAAATAATTATTTTACCTAAATTTAGGAAATTACCTTATTATAATTTTAGTATTTTTGCCGTTTATCGAAAAAATTTTTTTATTTATTCCTCCTTTTTCTCTTTAATTTTTATTTATTTTTACCGCAGCTTTTTATTTATTTATATTATAAAAATCGTAAAAATTATATAAATAACTATTTTAAACCGATAGCTAAAAGCGCTTATAAATATTATACCTTTTAAAATAAACGGCGTACTTTAAAAAGGCGGCCTTACCGTAATAAAGATTTTTTTAATTATCTATTTTTTTTACGAAAAATATATAATAAAAATTATTTTATTTATAGCTATTATACGTTTTAAAATATAAGCAAATATTTATATAAACGGAAGCAAACTAATTAAATTATTATTTTTAAACGTAATTCCGGATATATAAAAAACGGAAGGTTTACGCTAAAATAAAATCCGAAAGCTTTATAGCAAAAACGCGGCTTTAATTTAAATAGCGGATATATTTTTCTAATATTTTTAATTCGTAATCGCACGCTATCCGCCTAAAAAGCATATTAATATACCTAAATATTTTATAAATTTATGCGAAATTATTTTAAAATAATAATTATTTAATATATTAATTTATTAACGAATTTAATAAATTTTAAAAATAATAATTATCGCAAATAGCAAAATAAAATAAAAGCTAAACGCTTATTTAATTATATTTTTTCCGGTTAAAAAAAATCTTAAAATATTAATAATATATAAAAATACTAATTCGGGCTTTAGGATTTTTCCGTCCGTTATTAAATTATTTTTTAAATTTAAAAATATTTATTTTTTAACGATTTATCCGGTTAAAAAAATCGTACCCGCCTATTAGGGTTTTTATATTATAAAAATATTAGGATAAAAAAAGGCTATCGATTATAAAGCTTTAAAGGAAATCCTTAAAAATATCCTTAAAATTTTTATAAACCGTAATTTAAACCGTATTATAAACCCGTCCGCTTCGGCTTAATTTTTTAAAAAATAAAAAAACGCTTAATTAGTATTTAATAATTTTAGGATGCTTTTTGCTTTTTTTAATAATATTAGCTTAATATTTAATAAACTTATAATATCCTTCGGAAAATAAAAGGATATTCGGGTAACGGATGCTTACGCAAAAATATTCGAATTTATATTTTTTTCGTTTTTTTTAGCCGTATTATTTAGGAATTCGTTATTAGCAAAATAAGCTAACGCTTTTTTTTTTAAAGATTTTTCCGATTTTAAATTAGGCTATTTCGTTTATAAATTTTTTATTAATTTAAGTTAATTTACGTTTATTTTAAACGTTTAAACTTTAAAATAAAGCTTTTTTATTTTTTTTTTCGGGATTTTAAATTCCTAAACCGTTAATTATAAAATATATAATATAATTAAACGCAATTAAAGCTTAATTAATAGCTAACCTAAAATCGCTAATATATTTAATAATAATATTATAAATAAATATATTCCGAATTAAACTAAATAAAATAAACCGGGAATAATAATTAAGCTAAATTAAAAATAAATTAATTAATATTAAAATAGCTTTTAAATTTATTACCGTTAAAAATAATTTAAGTATTATAATTAAAAAGGTATCTTAAAAACCTTTTATAAATTAAGGCAAAAATTTTTAAAATAAATAAATTAATAATAATTAATCCGTTTTAAAAATAATCCTTAATTTCTAGGCAATTATATTTAAACTTTTAAATAATATCGAAAAATTTAAAAAATACGATATAAATAACCGGAATTGCTTAAACCGTTTAAAGGCAACTTTTAAAGCAACCCTAAAAATAAAATTATTTATAAATTAGCTTAAAATAAATATACTTTATTATTAAAAAATAATAAATAATAATACTTTAGCTAATAATAAACCTATTTATAATAATTTAAATAGCAAATCTTCCGTTGAAATAACTAAAAACGGAATTACCGGAATTAATAAACGCCCGAAAACGGATAAAGGCGACGATTTAGGAATATTTCGGATTATATAATTTAAGGAAAAATAAATAAAAAAATTATATTATATAATTTTTTTATGCTTATTTTATAAAAAAAATATTTTACGCGAATAAATTATATTATAAATAAATAAATAAAATATGCTAAAGGCAATATTTTATAAAGGAAAATAATAAAACTTTAAGGGAAGGTGCCCCGTAAAACACCTTTGTATATATATAGTTTCCCGTCTAAGGACGGCTTATAGTCCGTACCTGAATTTACCCACCTTTCCCCGAATTGTCTTTTTCTCCAGGGTGGGCGTTAGTGGAAATTGGTGTCCCGCTCAGGCTTATACACGGGCGGAGTGAGCCCCGGGACTTCCCCCGCCTCCGGCCAGCGCGACAGTGCTCGTACGACAACTGTGATGTACGCGAACAGAAGACAGAGGATTTCTCACACCGATCCTACATTCATTGTAGTAGCCGGGAGGATTTGGAAAAGGCATAATGCTCACTAAAAAAGTGGATCATGGGAGACTCCTACGATATCTCGGAGTTACGGGCCGCGCGACACTTCATGGTCTCAAGACTCGGCGTCAAAGGGATAATGAATTACGGGTGGGCCTTAAGGATCACTTCAAGTTCCTCTACATTGCCACCGAACCGCAAACCCATCAATTTTGTTTGATCTAGGGCTGCCAATATGCCGGCCATCAAGCGTTCGAGTGATGCTGTCAACGAAAAGCCTCACAAGCTTACCAAGTCATGCCTCTTGACACCGGAGAACAATCGGTCACCCGATAGTGAAAAGGTTGCAAATCTGCATCTCGTACCTGACCAACTTCCCAAAGATCTTATTCAAAAGCTGTTCTCGCACAGTACAATTGCAAAGATATGGGGTGTTGCTGAGGGAGGACTTCGACAGGTATGTACCCTACCTAGCCAGCCTCTACATCTAGGTCAAGATACTCAAGCAAAGCACTAACCCCCGGTTTTAGGCCATCCCACCGCTGGTATTTCCAGAGTACACGAAGCCCGGCCATACAGAATACATATATCGCGATCTGGACTTTTGGACCTCGGGCTTCTTCCCAGGGTCCCTCTACTTGCTACTTCAAAGAGAGCGAAAATATCGACTTCGAGAGTCGTACTCAAATACCCCAGTCTTACATGAAGATCAGCTCCAGTATGTGATTATATTTGATTTGCAATAACAGGTGTTCGGACTGACACAAATAAACTCCAGATTTGCCTGTAAATGGTGGACCGAGAATCTTCACCAAAATGCCGTATTGGGTACAACCCATGATCTCGGCTTCATGATCGCTCCGTGGGCCAAGGTAGCTTGGGAATTGAATCGAGACCAGAGGGCGTTTGAGACGCTCAAATCTGCTGCCAAGACCCTGCATGGTCGCTTTCGCCGGGAGGTCGGTCTTATTCGTTCGTGGGATACCTGCGTTACGAAGCGATACCAATTCCTCGACCCCCAGGCTGAGTTTCTCACTGTCATTGTGAGCGACACCCCCCTAGCGTGTCTCATCCAAATACTGACATAGACAAACAGGATAATATGATGAACTTGGACCTCTTGTTCTACGTAGCCAAACACACTGGAAACGTGGAAATGTATGAGGCAGCCGTACAGCATGCTCGTACCACGCAACGAACGCATATCCGCGAGGACTATTCAACAGTCCACCTTGTCCATTTCGACCCCTCCAACGGCGACATTCGCCAACTCTTGACGAATCAGGGATACAAAGATACATCATGCTGGACACGTGGACAGGCCTGGGCGATCGCCGGGTTTGCGGAAACATACCACTGGACACACGATAAATCCTTCCTGGATACAGCTCGCAACTGTGCGGATCACTTCCTGAGGCGATTGCCAGACAGTGGCGTTCCCCCGTGGGACTTTGATGCCGCCGAGGAGGACAATTCGGGCAAACAGCCACCCGATGTTAGTGCTGCTGCCATCACCTCTTACGGCCTGCTGCTCATTCACGAGGCACTGGTCGCATTAGGCCATACATCTGAATATCTTGGCCACGCTCTCAGTATCATGGAAGGTGTATCTACGCATCACATGAACAGTCCGGCAACATTCGTCGACCGGCAACAAGCGATACCAATGGTTGAACGGCCGACGCAAGACATTCATTTGCGCCACGTTGAAATGGGAGTGGGCGATACGATTCTTAACGGCGCCACCATCAATAATCATGAGTATGCACCTCGTCAATGGGCAAATCACGGCTTGGTCTATGCTGATTACTACTTTCTTTTGTTTGGCAACAAGCTTCTACAGATGGACGCCAGGGGACTGTTGGGAAAGTTTGCGACCTTGACGGAGCAAAAATGAGGCGAGAGTAGGTAGATTCCAGCTACTACTGGACTATGTTTTGGGTGCGGGAATTGTTACCTGTTTTTGGAGTTGAATTTCATTAGGTGCCACTTTACGGCGATCATTGTTATTATCTGCATTTCGTCCAGTCCTGCAAGTTCTTGCGTCTTCACTGTCCCATGGACTCCATTTCATCTGCCATGATGGGATGAGAGAATACGCTGACTCTTTGATTCGGTAGGAATGGGTCCTCGAGAAGTGAGTGCAGATCCTCAAACCCTACAGGATATTGCTGTGCATAAGCCTCTGCTGATTGGTTGGGGTAATGTTCCAAGGAATTGATATTCGGCGAATGCATTGCCGTCTGTGACGCACTCGGGACTTGAAATGCCATCGGTAGTGGAGGAAATGCTAGAGAAATCATATCCGGAGGAGTTCCCTGGCCTTCTGTCGAGACCGCAGGCGCCATGGGATAATGGCAATTTTTGGTAGGTGATGCTATACCAACACCAAGTGTTTGGTCAGGCGATTGGCCAGTAAGTGAACCTGTAAATCGAACTCTAGATGTCTGAGTTTCGTTGTCCACAAACGCTGATTGCGTGAGGTCCAAGTCATGCGGCCCAAGCTGCCTTGCTTTAAAGAGGCGATGTGCAAGCTTGGACGCCAAATTATCATCCGGTGACGGGGCAGTATCGGATACATGGGGGCCATTCCACCTGCGTGCAATCTCCCAGAGACTGCCAAGAAGCGACTCGAACTCTTGAATGAGGTTCATGTTATACGTTGCGGAATGGGCCAAGAGCATTCTCCCGCAAATAAACAAGCAGAAGGCAAACTGCGGATTGGTGACAAAGCCCGCGGAACGTAGGAACTTCTGAGCAATGATTCCCACCTCTCGTGCTGCAGCTAAGCATGTTTCCGCGCTCGAAGAAGACGGTAATCTGATGGGCGACGACTGCCATTCGAGAGTAGGATATGCGATACTTTGATGTAGTAGAACTACAGCAGTGTTATGCGTGATATGGGCAAGCGTCAGATTGGGATCCATATTGCCGTCGGCATTTACCGCGCACGCCTCCCGCCATCTGACCGGGAGGAATATCTTCCATCTATACAAATGTTAGCAGATGGTCTTGTCCAAGATGGACTAAATGGCCAGAAATGGTCCCGGAAGCTTACTGCATAAGACGAAGGTCAAGTTGCTTGAAGCGTATCAACCATAAGCGAAGGGCTTGAGGATTGTGAATATCCATAGACTTCTCCTGGAAAAAAGTTGTAACAAGACCGAGACTTTCTGTTGCCTCAATACAATATGAGAATGCGCCCAAAGAACTCGTTTCTTCATCGGCTGCTATAACGCCGAGCGGGTCACTGTTCTCACCAGTTGGCCCCTCGACCGTACCAAAATACGGTGTCGGGATCGAGAGAGGCTCGCCTGCTTCCCACAGTGCTCCTTCGCATGGAAGTCTTCTCTTGACCTCGGTGCTTTTCAATGACATGTTCCAGCCCGTAGCGATGCTGCAGAATCTGTCCATTAGGAAGACGTTCCAAAACACGCGCCGCCTACCTTCAGCGGCCGCCCAATTTACGCATGGTGGTAAAAATGCAATCCTCGTTATCAAGGCTTTCTTGTCTGGTCCATAATGATATCTGTCTTCTTCCTCCACGTTGAGTTGAAGGTGTTCCACAGTTCTAGCAATGCTGCCTACGATGGACCATGCTGAAGGGCCACGACCGCTGCCAATCTTTTTCTTCCAATTAGCCCGACCTATCCGAGAGTGGAGCGGGATGTGCTACTCACCATATCGAAGGCGCAGATAATGAGAGCTTGAAGATTCTCGACAGAGAAGGACTCCATACTCTCAAGGATGACCGCCTGCCGGCATTGCTTCCCCAATCGAGACCGGATGTCGGGGCTTGCCAATCTTGGATCATCGGAAAATCTCACACACAAGGATGCAATCGCATGGAATATTGTCTTCATCTTGCGGCGCTCCAAGGGAACTTTCATTGCTTCCGGGAACAAACGCACGTGAAGAATGGGTATCCATGGTTGAATGCGGAGAAAATAGATTTCGACTAGAGAATCAACGAGGTCCTGAGGAAGACACAGCTCGCCATCTTTCATCCAAAAGGGATCAGAGCGCTGAAAATCTGATTCGCCATTTAGTTTACGCCTCTTGGGGAGCGACGCTGGCTCGTCCGCTCTCAATGTGTGTTCTTTGTTGTCAGAATGAAGCGCTGAGAGCGAGGCCTTTAGTTGGGCCGTGTACTCCGGTAGGGATGCACCGTCATCCGTGAAGTCATGGTGTTTCTGGCTGCTGACGGAATCAAGGCATTTCCACACTTGCTGCCACAGCACTCCTTGTCCGAGGAACATTTTCTCTAGTGAAACTATAATTATTCAGTGGTGGTCCGAGCTGACTTGATGCGAAGCCCTCACCTAATCTTTGGTTCAGATTCTCAATCGCTCCTGTACGCATGCCTGGCTTGGCCTTCTTTCCATCATAGATACAATCAATATCTCGAGATGATCGTCAGCGTTATGTCGCAAGATTATATATTATCCAAGACTGACTGTATCGGGTGCAGTGAGAGCATGGCCGTGCACGCGAGCATTTTGCCTTCTTTTGGCGACACGCTTGACACGCCGGGCCTTCGTCACTTCTTCCTGCACCATTTTTCTTTCTTCCAGATTCCTCTTCTCTAGGCTCTTCATCGCAAAGGTCATCCTCAGATTCATCATAATGGGCCATCTTCTTGGACGAAAAGCCTGCCTAGAAGACGAGTCCAAACTTTGTATGAGCCTTCGACAGTGGGTATCGCCGATGGGCACAGGACTCCTTGTGTGAAAGTCAATAAGCGAGTTGATTACGGAACGGGAAGGCAAACGACTGTAAGGAATGAGTGTAGGGATGAAAGTTGGGACGAGCCTGGCGAACGAGCATTCAATGCACACTTGGGTTCGCTACCCCAGATCCCCCCAGTGCCCCCAGGATTCCCCAGATTGTGGAGAAAGCTGAGCTGTTCGCGTCGAATTTCACCGGAGACGAGGTGAGTGCGGAGGTCGGGGAAAGTCCCGGCAAGTGCTCCGGTCGCTTAACCATGGTCGCTAGGACACTGCCAGGATATTCGTAATTGGCGACCAGGGTACACTCGTGATAACGTCCCAGTGGGAGCGTTGGAAGCACTTATAGTCGCGGTGCACTCGCCAGATTTGGCCAGAATTTTATGGGAACGGCTGCAATTCACATGCTTCATCGCGACGAGATATCCCATTTACCCACATTGAGTTGTTCCGCCAGTAATACTGATTCCATCATTCACGCGCGCCGCAATGGGGTTTCCAGACAGCATTGAGCCGCGGGCCGGTGGAGAGCCAACCACGCCAGCGAAATTGGAAGCAGACACTGCACCAGGACAAGACGATTGTGAGGTAATCACCAAAACAGTCAATGGAGTATTTTTCACATCTAATTGCAAATAGACTACTCCGTATCTAGCGCAAGAGGCCTTGTACATCGATGACCAGACAAACAAGAAGCTATTCTGGACCGTTAATCGGCGGATTCTCGCATGTATGCTGGGAACTTATTTCTGCCAGTCTCTGGACAAAGGCACTCTCGGATTCTCGTCCATCATGAACATCAGAGAGGACGCCGGTCTCGTGGGACAGCAATACAGCTGGCTTGGGACAATCCTCTATATGGGAGTGCTGGTGGGTGAATACCCTACCAATTTGCTCCTGCAGAAGCTTCCAGTGGCGAAATATCTCGCTGTCAATGTCTTTTGCTGGGGTGTCGTCATTGCCTGTTCAGCTGCAGCGAATAACTTTACATCGCTCATGGTTGTCCGATTTCTGCTGGGAGTCTTTGAGTCTTGTGTCCAGCCTACCTTTATCATCATGACGGCCATGTGGTATACCAAAAAGGAACAAACCACTCTGACCTCTCTTTGGTATTGCATGTCCGGCGTGCAGCTGATGGTTGGAGGCATCATCGCCTGGGGGGTATCGCATTTCAATGGCCATCCTATCAAGTCATGGCAACTCCTCTTCCTAGTCCTCGGACTTGGAACTTGTGTCTGGGCCGTCTTCATTGGTTGGTGGCTTCCCGACTCGCCCATGAAAGCAAAATGTTTTGACGAAGATGAGAAACGCCTCATGATTGAGCGAGTTCGCGCAAACGAGACGGGAATCCAAAACAAAGTATGGAAACGCTACCAAATGATTGAGGCTTTCAAGGATCCTATTGTTTGGTGCTATGTTTTGCTCAACGTCACTTCAACACTTGTTATCGGCGGTCTGGGCGTCTTTTCAAATATCATCATCTCCTCCTTTGGTTTCACCTACCTACAAACGCAGCTGCTCAATATTGCACAAGGAGCGGTCACGATTATCGTTATGATTGGCAGTGCTACGCTGGCGACATGGACAAACCAGACAGCTTGGGTCATGCATGCTTGGACAATGTGAGTTACTCTCGAGATACTAAACTTGCTCTGCCCTTTAATTCTTACATTCTACAGTCCTCCAATCATTGGAACAGCCATCATCTGTGCCATTCCTCCGACGAGCTCCAACAAGGTCGGACTTCTAATTGCTTTCTACTGCACCCAATTTTACCTGGCAGAGGGCAACCTGATCTTTTCTCTCATCTCTCGGAACGTCGCTGGGCAGACAAAGAAATCGACAACGCTTGCATTGAGCTTCATCTTCTGGGCGGCAGGTAACATGACGGCGCCACAGGTCTTCCAGGCATCGGATAGCCCACGGTATCTCAAAGGATTCATTGCCCATTTCTGCCTCTACGGTCTGTTCAACCTTGTTCTGGTCGTTTTGCGAATTCTTCTCGTGCGCCGGAATCGCGCCAAACGAAGCGATGCGGCCGAGACTCAAAGTAATGGTACTAAAAATGGCTCGGATGAGAAAATTGAGCACGTTCACGCATTTCAGGATTTGACAGATATGGAAAATCCTGATTTCAGGTACGACTTTTGAATGCTGAAAGATGGGGTACGGTTCGAGCAGCTTCTTCAACAACCAAGGGAGTTTTCACAGCTTCTGCCATTACACCAAATGAAATTCTACAGTCATTTTTCCAGTGGTGCTAGGTGGTGCTATAAGGCCTGTACTTGGGTATCTACAGCCCCGGGTTATGGAAGTAATTCTCAAATCTCGCCCACCGTGTCAGGTTTCAGGGTTTGTCATTGTGATAAGCTGGGCCACTTATTGATATACGGTCAGAAAGTAGACATCATGTATCCATTCAGTCAGTCCATGAAAAAGAAAAACGCAGGGGATTTTGTAATTAGATCACTGTGGGTATAGGCCAAAATTCGGGTGCCTAGGCCCATCTTAATTAGTGCCCCGCGTCTGGCGTGGAGGCCTTTTAGGCGGCAGAGCAGAAATCTTACAATCTCCAGCGTTTATGCGTGATATCAAGAGACTCGCATATTGTCGTCCTACAAATCCTTTCATTACATTTATGATCGACACAACTTTTGGTGGTCATGGATCACGACAAATTGAAGAATGATTACTTCTTTGCCCAAAAGCATGGCGGTTGGCGTAAGGGTATGTACGGTCGCTGGAAAGAAATACTGGAAAACGGATACGACGCAAACGAAGAATGGAACAACAATTCCAAACGTGCATCGCCCTTATTTAGTGTCGTCTTGGACAATGAATTGGAGCTGGCTGAATTGCTACTTGCCCACGGCGCTTCTACCGAGAAACCTCATTCTGCAGGACGTACACCACTTCAAGAAGCTGTGGTCCTTTCGTCTGCCGCCATGGTTCAGCTTTTGCTAGACCGCGGGGCAAAAGTTGACGCTCCTATCCGTTCCGGCCTCCTGGTGGGCGGTACTGCTCTGCATCTAGCAGTCATGGAAGGGAGGATGGAGATTGTGAGAACACTATTGGCTCACAAAGCCGATCCTCGAGCGCAGACAGAGGCAGGCTGGACACCCGTCGACATTGCCATGCTAGATCATCAGGTGGTAATGCTTGAAGCCTTGTCCAAAGATAATGATCTATTAAGCATTCTTGATCGGGATCAACCGGGAAAGGAAAATGGTGGATTCAGCAATCGAGCTACCATCGCTTTTCATCTCCTCGAGAACAGTGTGCGACACACTGACCGCAGTCACGCATCATTCTACCAAGGCTGTCTCTCAGCAATATTGAGCGAATTGCGTCATTATCAGAAAGAGATCTCAAATCTGGCTATGATATTGTGTCGCGAGATGAATGCCGCATTAAAGGCAGAGGCAGGCGTGAATGGGGACATTGTTTGGCCCAGAAAACTGTGCGATGCGTGTGGAAGATTCGACGTCCAAGACTATCACGACGCGTTGAAGATCTTTGAGCACAGCCCAAATTTCTCAGCATTGATGCAGTCATCGAACAATGGATGCAATTTGTGCCAACTCTTGGTCGGTGCGCTGGGAGAAAAATGGTGCCTTTTGCACCAGATTGACAAGAAATGGTTGAAGGAGTTTGGGAAAGACCCGAGAGTGCGCGTCAGGCTTGATCCACGTAGGAATGTCAAGACGAAGGACGGAGAATACCAACTAATTGTGGTATGTGACGAAAAAATTGCATTCCTAGATCTCAACCACGTTCAAAGTATGTTCTCCTGGAAATAATGAACCAACATGGCCAGAAACACCAACTGACACCGTCACAGAACAACTGAACCACGCCGTGGCGGAAAGTCAACCATATGACACCCAAGGAAGTGGCTCGGACAGAAGCCTTGCCATGGCGCAAGCTTGGATGCAGAGATGCGAAGACGAACATTCATCCTGCCGCCGAGCCGAGCATGGAATGCTTCCTACGCGGGTCATCGATGTGGGCAGCAATGATACCCCGCCTCGCATATATGTTTCAAACAGAGAGCGCGTTCCTTATGCGGTCTTGTCCTACTGTTGGGGTGCCAATCAAAACATCCTTCTGCTGACGACAAATGTAAATGCTTACACTGAGTGTATTCCGGTTGAGTCGTTGCCGCGCACTATAGCCGATGCGGTTATTATCACCCGGAAGATGAAACTGAGATACTTGTGGGTGGATGCGCTTTGCATACTTCAGAACTCCGAAGAAGACCTGGCCCACGAGTTGTCTTACATGGGAGACATATACGCCAATGCATTATTCACAATTGCCGCCAAAGATTCAAATGCTTCGACCGACGGATGTTTTCGAGAGAGGAACTGGCCAGCCAGCGCGCTGGTCCCATTAAATATCCGTCTACCAACGAAGACAACACAACGAGAATCCGACATCCTTGGACAAATCGTCAATACTCGCACCTCCTGTCTCAACAGATTGATGATTGTATCAAGGTGGAGAGGGTCCGGTGATCGAAACGTCCCAGTGCTGGAGACGCGCGGTTGGACGCTGCAAGAGGAACTACTCTCCCGTCGTGTACTGAATTTTGAAAAAGGCGGCCTCAGCTGGACTTGCTTGGAAGGAATGTGCTCAGAGGGAAGCCCGGAGCAGGCCGACGTTCGCAGCTGGCACAAGTGGCAGTATGCCATCAAGCGCGTGATAGTCACAGGCTTTGAAGGCTATGGAAGCCTGAATCGCGTCGAAGAGACAGAGCTCTTCAATTACTGGCTCGAGGTCGTAGAGAACTACCTGAGCCGAAAGTTGACGAAGCCAGGTGACAAGATCGCCGCCATAGCTGGTGTACAAGCTGCCATCGGAAGACACCTGAAGGACATGCCTATTGCCGGGATGTGGAGAGACCAATTCTTTGCACCAAGCCTGCTGTGGAGAGTAACGAATAAACACAAATACGAGTATCTTTATTCTTTTCCTTGCCCCTCCTGGAGCTGGGCCTCTGCATCACGCTCAGTGATATATACGCCAATTCCATTGCACCCTAGAGACCCCAACAAACCATGGGTGTGGTGGAATGAGTGGACGCATTCCCCATCTGTTGTGGACTGGAATATCACCGAAAACGGTCTCAGCAGTATTGATGGGCACGTGGCTGTACGTTGCAGGTTGATACGAGAGGACGACATGGAATGTGAGAAACACTTTGTCGATGACTTTTACAACAATCCGCCACGGAGCCAGGTCAAAGCGGAGGCAATTCACTTTGAGACCCACCACGACTTTGTCGGCGCTGCGGCCATAAATGATACCTACCTCATGCTCGTCCATACAGCTCAACTTTGTGAAGGCGAGACTGCGTTTGGCTCCCGCAAACACGACATCAAAACGCATCTTTTAAGGCTGCAGAAGATCTCGGAAGATGAAATGGATTTCAAGCGGATAGGCATGGTCATTACTCGGTCATGGGCTAACAAGTGGCTGGAAAAGGCCGACGAGGAAACCATTCGGCTATTCTAGGCCAATGCTGTACATGAGCGATAGATGGATGGTTATTGGGTTTATCACAGTGACTCAACCTTTCTACCTACGTGCTATTATTTTGCTCGACTGGCTTCAATGATACCCATAGCTCCGGCTTCATTGTGGAGTGAAAAACCTTGACAGGTTTCATTTTACCATTCAGACCCCATATCTCGTTCTTCGCCCTGTAATCCGATACATCTAGCTCCATGTCGAAATGCCAAAGCAGATTGGCGGCAAGGAGGCGCATTTCCATGTATGCCAGATTCTTGCCAATGCACACCCGAGGCCCAGTGCCAAAAGGCAGCGACGCATTCAAATGGTCATTTGTAAATTGCTCGCCCTCCCCCAACCAGCGCTCAGGTCGAAATGAATCGGGTTTGCAGAAATTCAAACTCGAATGCGTCGTGGCCCAGGGCGACACGGCAACGGTCTTGCCTGCGGGTACATAGTAGCCGTCTATCGTTGCACCGCCTGGAGGGACTATACGTTGTTGGCTTGCTGCGGATGGCGGGAAAAGTCTGAGTGCCTCGTTCAGAGATGCCTCTAGATATCGTAGATCCTTCACCTTTTCCCACTTGATATCGTCGCTCGCCCAAAGTGCTTCACGAACCTCTTTCACAAGACGGTCATAGACCTTTGGGTGTGTGCAGATGTAATAAGTCCAGCCAGTCATAGCAGTGGCCGTTGTATCGGTTCCTGCGCTAATGAAGAGTGCCATATTGAGAACCACCTCGGTCTGAGAAAGCGACTTTCTCGACTCATTCTTGAGAATGTGGTAGAGAAAGTCGGGGTGATCCCTATCTCCGGCTCCAAGACGGGCAAGCGTCTTCTTGCGAGAATTCTCCAGATGAGTGGTGCGCCACTGGGATGCTTTTCTGGGCACCAAGAGTTTTACCAGCACATACTCGAGCCAAGTCCCCACTCCAGACAATCGACGTATGCCTTGGGTCCAAGCGGCTGCTATAAACACATTGATCACGGAAGTCGACCATTCAGTGACTGAGCCTTGGTCTAGACAACCAAATGGCTCCGCAAAGCATAGCTCTCCCATAACATCAAAGGCCACGTACGTGTCTGACAACCTGGTCAGCATTGCAGTCGTCGGACAGTTCCTTTCATTCTTATTCTAAACTTACACCAATCTGAGAAATCCACGGATTGTTTCTCTTGGGCAAATCTCTTGAGAACGGCTACCAACTTGTGTATATGCACACTGATCAGACTTTCGTGCTGAATCAATGCGCTGTTGGTGAAGAGGTAACCCAGCGCTCTGCGTTGACGTGCATGGTTTTCGTTCAGGGCGAGGCTTACACCCGTCTGTCCATTGACATTTCCCACCGCGCCAAGAAAGATGGGACTTTTTTCCATGTTTAAACCTCCCTTCTGTAGCTTGGCGTTAGCTCTAGAGGACGTCCATAATTGTTGTCGACTTACTCGAAGTCCGTATATCTCCTCTCGCGCTTGTACACTGACAAAGCCCAACTCGTTTGGAGATACCCTTACCACGGGGCCGTACTTCTCGTGCAACCACCGGTAATAGATGTGCTGGTTTCCGGTCACCAAAGCCAAGGTGGCCGGTAGCTCTGATACGCTGTTGATCCATGGTCCTGGCACCGAACGAAGTGGATGAAAAAGGCTTCGGTAGACTGTCTGAATGAAGAAGACGATGGCGACCTAGTGATTGATGTTAGACTTCTATGCTTGTTTTGTAAATGCGAGGCCAACTCACGACAATAGCAATTGTTGCAAGAAGTGAGTCCGCAGAAATAGTCTTTATCAGTCCCACGTGCAGCAATGCACTGGGCGATGTTGTCGCCTCTGCCATTCTACGGTTTGCCAGAGAATGACTTGGCTCGGGAGCACTTGACTGAGAAATCTTGTCAAGTTTTAGGAGACTATTAACGAAATCTCCTTTGTCTATTCCACAATTGATGTCATTTGCACTCTCATCGCGTGCATGTTAAGAACCTCAGTCGTGCCGGCCCAGACAGATGGAACGGTACGTACCAAAAGCCTAGAGACACTTGAGCCTACGCAGCATTCATCATTGAAACATGCTCAGAATCCCTCAGCACAAGCGCGGTATCCATGCTGGCAGTGCTAATGTGGTAGGACTAGAGAATTGTTCCAGGTGTGACATTGTATCTACCGGGTCTGGGGTGTCGAACTACTTAATGTGCTCAAACCAACGCATACTATCTCCCTCTTCCCAGGCTTGTGACCGCAGTGGAGTCGCCTGGTATTTAGCACAGCGTTGATCAGGGCTACTAGGTATAGTTTGAACCACTGCTCCAGCTTGCCAAGATGCACCAATACGCTACGCTAAACGTAAGGTGCCAAATGCCCAAAGAATATAAGACTGCGTATGTATACACCAAATGCATTCTTACAATTCGACGCCATAAATAACACACGTTGCACGTGATCAAAACACAACCATGGTCGACACGGAAGAACTTGCGAAAGGGTACACGCATGTCAACAGCACCCAGTATGACGCCGGACTCTTTCTTCTCAAGCGGCTAGGCATCGCGCCAGGAATGCACGTCCTGGATGTTGGTTGTGGCACTGGCGAGCTCACAACTCACGTGGCTGGCCTTGTGGGGGAGGATGGCAAAGTTGTTGGTGTTGAGCCGAGCAACGAGAGACTTGCCATTGCGCGCGAAACAGCACCGCCAAATCTTACATATCGGCAAGGATTCGCCGAAGACCTGTCTTCATTCCCTGCATCGACTTTCGACATTGTTTTCGTCAACTCGACTCTGCACTGGGTACAAGATCAGCCAAAGGCGCTCAAGGAGTTTGCCCGTGTGCTGAAGCCCGGTGGCCGAGTGGGTATTTCGGGAGGATCTGGAGACTTTCTCACTCATCAGGAGAGGATAAAGGAGGACGTGCTTTCACGAGAACCCTACCGGCACTACCCTGAGGAAGCACCACCGAAATTTCTCAAGCGACAAGAAATCGAGAATTTAGTTGACAATGCCGGCTTTGCCAGGAAGGATATTGTTATCAATAAGATCATCAAGTCGACCAAGGATGCAGATGGTATGATCAATTGGCTGGACACGAGCTCGTCGGGAAAGACATATGGTGGAATACCTCTAGATTTGCGCCCCAAGGCGAGAGAAGAGATGAGACTGGAATGGGACAAGCTGGCTACACATGATGGAATTCATATGGACATGGAGTTACTTGTGACTGTAGCCACAAAGTAGCCCACCCTATAATCATAAATCCGGGGGCTGCTTTGTCCTCAAGCTCGTACCATGGCGCATTGCGACCGGGAGTGATCACTGTGACTTGACCCGTTGGTTGAAAGGCTACCTATGTAATCAAGGATAGCAAATCGGGGGTCTGCACTCAAGTACGCCAAGAGGAACTTGGTAAATCAGTCGTGGCTTCCGGTCTCCCGAGCCGGACCGTCCCGATGAGTCGCAAGGGAGCAGTTGTCGAGGTGCGCGCTGGCCTTGGTGTTTACTGAAACGGCGACGCTGACGACGACCACGATTAAGATCGGCGAGAGTTTGCAGCCAGCTTTGACATCAACACCGAGGCATTGCAAGCAGGAATCATTTTATGGGCCTTTATTTTCTGCCGAAAACCGACAACTTCGTATGCCGAACCGACCAAGAGAATATAGTATGTATGAAATCGCAAAACGCATTATGTGACATTACTTGTGGGGATAGGGCCAAGCAAATTGCACAGACAAGACACTCCTATATAGGTAACCTAGGTAGGTAGGCATGTGCCGAGCAGGGAGTGGAATTTCTTTATACAGGGCGCAGGCGAAGAAAAGAAGTGCTTCGGACATAATAAGGGATCGAAACTTAGTTTCATGCCATTGTCGTCATTTCCCTACCCCTGCCCCGCCGCGCCGCCTCGGAGGTATCGGATTTCAAATATCTCGAATGTCGATCAACGACGAGGAGGAAAAATACATATCAGAGATGATTTTACTATCCAAAGGGGTCGTCTATTGATTGAGCGGTCACGATGCTTTGGAATTGATTTCACGTTTTGACTTGACGCTCTTTTAGCCCGAGGCTCTTTTTCATTTCGCTCGCTCTCTTCTCTGCTCTCCAGGTGTCGCCAATATGAGACTTGCCGACACCTCTGTCCTAGCGATGCTGCCCGCTACTAGTCTGGCGGCCTGCGGCACCGCCTATTCGGCCAACCAGATTGACGGCTCCTTACTGCGGGCCATTGTGCTCGACATGGACACCGATGCCGCCAATGTGACCGCCGCCAATTATGACCAGTACTTTGCCCAAGGGAGCGCTCTTGAGGGTGTCGAGGCCGTAATTGCCGCCAGCCAGTTTTATATCAACAAGTGGGCGATCCCGGGCACTGAGGCTGCCTTTCAGAATGTCAGCCAATGCTTGAGCGACGGCTATTTGGTGAACCAGGTGCCCTGGCTGTATTATAACACCACTACCGCGAGCTGGTGGGGTGGCTTCGAGGCCGAGTCGCAGGCCGACAGCTATGACACCGCCGCCCTGTCCGTCGTCACGGGCCTTGTCGCCGGTCTCGAGGTGCGCTTCTGGGACACCAACGGTGATGGTTTTACTGACCTTATCGATGCCGACTATGTCGAGGGCGTCACCGTCGACACCGTTACTAAAAATGCCAATGGCACCTACACAGTCTACCGTGGCAACATCGATGTCGCTAACAAGACACCTTATGAAGGGACCATTTTTGATGGAGACCTTTTCGATACCGACGGCCCTTCCATATTGGCCGCCAACTTTGACACCACGATCGGCGCCGGCGATGTCGCCCTCTTCTGGTACGGTCCCAACGGCTGGGCGATAAAGCGCGCCCAGGAGGTCGTCGGTCTCTTCATTGACGGCGCTGACCACACTAACTACGACGTGGGCGGCGTCGTGTACGAAGATGCGATGCGCTTCTCTCGCGACAACCTCCCCATCTCCAACCGGCCTGGCGAGTTCACCGACGCCCAAAAGTTCTTCAAACTCACCAACGACTCGGCCGCTGGCCTCAACGTCAGCCTCTGGCTCGTGCCCGTCACCAACACCAACAATACTGGCGCCCCGGTTGGCATCACGAGCGACAGCAACTCGCGTAGCTTCCTCGCCAAAGCCATTGCCCAAGCCCAAGCCGAGCTTGCCAATGTGACAATCAGCACCGACGGCACCGACGTGTCGTCCACTCAGGAATGGGTCACGCAGGCCGTTTACACGCAGCTCGACGACGCCATAGCTCGGGCAAACCAATCGCTCGCCCTCTCCAACAGCTCATCCTTCCTGCTCGACTACCAGACTTACCTACTGTACTTGAACCTGTACGGTAGCAGCGACGACATTGGGGCTCAGTTTGCCGGGTTCAACTACACCGGCTTTGAGAACGAGGAGCAGTTTGGTACTGCCTGATTGCTTCTTACCCGTCATTGTGGCGCCATACGGGAATGATGGGGTCCGACTGTATATATTGTGTATATCTGTATGTAGTGAATATGCGCGAGGTTGTCCTTTTCAGCTCCCACTGATACGTGATTGTTGAAAGCTCATGTGTATGATTGGCGTAGGTATATGCTCGGCAGTGAATCGAATTGACACGGGGGTCTTTCCTGCAGTGGCCAGGTGGGTGCCCCGCTAAAGAAACAGAAGAAGAAACATTACCCCGCCCTTCAACTGAGCAAGTAAAATAAAATGCACTCACCCACCGAGCGGAGGGTCGCTAATCTGAGGCGGGCGTAGCAATATGCAAGGTCCCTGAAACAACATGTAGGAAATCTGCAGCGGGGTGACAGTTGATGGATTGCAGCGCATATAGCCCTGTAAATATGCGCAATGTCTGGGGCCTCCGCACTCATAATGATCCTGGTACGGCAATTTGAGCACATTAATAATGAAGGCGCGGAACTGAAACCGCCTCTCCAGGCCTCTATGGTATGTACGTAGACATGATCGACCAGATTGTGTTGTATTCTTGTGTTTGGCGGGGAAAGATGAGCAGATTGCGCGATCGACACATGAAGCTGCTTTGCTGTACCTGCGTTCGTTTTGGATTCTCACATGGAGGCAGCATATTCCTACTCCACTTTCAGTCAGAATGATACAAGTCAGCATTCTAGAATCTAGTACTTACAGCAAGGTACATGGGATTCATACATTTCTTCTGTGTGGTTGCTTTTCAACTCTGTAAGACTTTCATGTAGTAAATCGGCTAGCCTCAATTTTGTCAGCGCAACAAACACGACAATCCTGGCACAGCCGTGGGTGCAGACACGAGAGAGAGTTTTCACCATTGTCCATTTGATTGGCTGGCACATCAGAGAGTCTGAATACCATGTCAGGCAACGTCAAAGATGAGGGACCTGTCATATCTCAGCCTTCGTCGCTTTCCACCATGACAAACAGCGATTGCACCAAAGAGATCCCGCAACTTGAGCCGCAGTCCGAGTTTCTAGTCTGGTGGGATGGACCAGAAGGCGAAGACTTGGAGAACCCAATGAACTGGCCGCAGCGGAAGAAATGGGCAAATATTTTTACCACATCCGTCATTAGCTTCTTGGTGTAAGTGTGACGACCCTTGACCGTCCATAGCACTTGGGAACACACTCTAATTCTCTGGCTGACAGTCCTCTTGTCTCATCAATGCTTGCTCCTGCGGTAGAGGAGATAATGGCAGAATTTGGAACAGATTCAGATCTGTTTGCAACTTTTGTTGTGTCCATTTTTGTCCTTGGCTTTGCGTCTGGACCGCTGCTGCTCGCGCCTCTAAGCGAGGTCTATGGCCGTGTGCCAATCTACAATACCACCAACTTCATGTTCCTCATCTTCACCATTCTATGTGCCATTTCACAGAGTGAGGACATGCTTCTCGCGTTTCGATTCCTTTCAGGATTTGTTGGTGTGGCAACGATTACCATAGGGTCGGGAACTATAGCAGATCTCATGCCGCGAGAGGAGAGGGGCAAAGCCTTATCTTTCTGGTCTATTGGAACTATACTTGGTCCGATGATTGGCCCTATCATCGGAGGGTATGTCACAGAGGCTGCTGGGTGGCGGTGGATCTTTTGGTCCATTTCAATCGTCGTGAGTCTGCAAATGAGTCCAAGTATTACCTCGGATAACGTATTAACACATCTCAGATTGGCGTCGTGGTTGTTATTGCTTGGCTCGTGCTGACAGAGACGTATCCCGCCGTTCTACTCGAGAAAAAGGCAGCAAGACTCCGAAAAGAGACTGGAAACCCAAAATACCGGCCCAAAATCGGCACAGATGCAGAGACCAGCAAATTGATTGTTCAAAGCATCCTTCGCCCTTTGAGGATGCTCTTCTGTTGTCCAATTGTGACAATAATGTGCACCTATGTTGCTGTTCTGTATGGAATACTTTATCTGCTGTTTTCGACTTATTCCTTTGTCTTCACAGAGGTCTATAATTTCACGACATCTGGTGCTGGACTGGTCTTCATTGCAGGAGCGGTTGGAACTCTTGCTGGGCTCCTTTATGTCGGCAGCTTCAGCGATAGAACCCTAAAGATGAGGGCGGCTGCGGGAAAGACCATCACGCCCGAAGATCGGCTCGCCTTCATCATCACAATACCCGGGGCACTCGCGTTTCCTGCTGGATTATTCATGTATGGATGGGCCATCGAAGCTCGTTTGCACTGGATTGTACCACAAATAGGCACCGCGATCACGGGATTTGGTTCCATTCTGATCTTTATTAGCATACAAACATACTTGGTGGATGCATTCGTGCTGTACGCTGCAAGTGCCATTGGTGCTAATGCAGTGCTCAGAGGCACAGCTGGGGCGTTTCTTCCCCTCTGTGGACTGAAAATGTACGACAAGCTTGGCTGGGGCTGGGGGAACAGCTTGCTGGGATTTGTCGCATTGGCGTTTGCTCCTCTGCCATGGATATTTGGTGTTTACGGTGCTAGGATACGCAAATGGACACCTCAGCTAAACCTTTGAGTTGATGCGCCTGCCTTGCACATCTTATGTCATTTTGTGCGAAATTCAAAGACTACTAGAAAGTTTCTGTATATATTTTAGAATTCTTATGCACGCGATTTCTCATTGCGTTCGATATTCTTGTTCACTGTGAATGCTGTATGCACGTAATGTGGCACAATGATTCTCTTTCGCATTATACTCCCCAGGGGATGCACCGCTGTAACTTTCGTACCGAGTAAATATATGTGCTCTTCGCATACGTATCGTTTTTAATTGGAATTATATCGCAATATACATCGTAATCATGAAACATCTGTTAGGTGTAATTTTTGCTGTTGGTCCCTATCGTGTCTATAACTACCGTCTTCGGCCATCTACTAATAGGTGGAACCTCTCGACTAACTCATGGCTTGACATATGATTCAAGTTCAGCTTCTGCAAATTTCTTCCTGTCTTCATATAGTCCATTCCGGTAGCCATCTCTGCCATTAAAATGACTGCTTTGATCGGCGATGCATCAATTCCGAGCTTTTCTGCAAGATCATGCCAGGGCACCAGCAGGTCTGGGACGTCTTCTGAGATATTCCGATTGTGTATGTTATCCGGCGCCTTGAGGTTTTTATGCGGCTTCGAATTTTGTGCTAGGTCCACCAGATCAGTGAAAGTGTGTCGGTAGCAGTCATTCGACACCTTGATCGTGCTCTCCATCCGTAGTCCAAACGCTTCGCCGATCTGTATCCGAACTTTGTCGACCGCGTCCATGGCATTGGCCACGGAGCGGGTAAGACCTTCGCGGTACAAATAGAAATCCCCCGCGCTTTCGATCCGACCCGCGTTCATCAACATCATGAGTGGGTGAAACACGCCATTGATGTTCATCAAAGACACCTCAATAACGCTGCTGCACCATTCAAGCTCCATTGGGAAGATCCCGTTGATGAGATTCTTCAGATCCGGGCTGATGTTCTTCTCCAAAGATGCAATGAAGAAGCGGCTTTTCCGACCTAGCACTATGAGATTCCCTTGGTCCATCCTGCAGGAATACGGCGATAAGTTGGTCTCTAGAATATGTCCAACCTCCAACTCAGCGTCCGCAATGAGCGAAAACAAATTTCCTGGCACCGCAATGATCGTGTGGCACTTCAAGCAGAATCTCTTTAGCTCTTTCAGCACTGTCTCTTGTCCGGTAGAAGGAACCGTGAGGATGATGAATCTCGAAAAGTGGACAACATCTGTCATGTTGCAGGTCACCTTCAAGCTCACGGGGCCTTTGATAATACCAGTAGTTGTCAAGAAGCCATTCTCAATGACATGGCCGGCGTGACGCAGATGGTCGGGGTGCGAGTAGACCAATACGTCGGTCCCATGCCTTTGAAGATCTGCAGCAAGAGCGAACCCAGCAGGCCCAGCGCCAACAATTGATACCTTGGGCTGCATCGTGGAACGTCTGATACTATTTTGAGGAAATGCTTTTCGATGTTCCAGCTTGCCGATTGGAGTTGATGAGATGGAGGAAAATAGAAATGTCAATCTGCTCAGTTGTTGAGCCAAATGGAGTGACTGGGCATTGGCTCACCAGGACCAATACTGTTCGAGAAGACCGTACAATTTAATAATGATATACCTCTCAAGTGAGAGTAGAATAAGGTATCCGAGGCACTGGAACGTATTATGTAACGCCCTTCGATCAAGGTAGATCTGATAACGAAGAGAGGCCGCAATGAGTAATACATATGGGCATTTCTGACAGCCAAATACGCATATATGGCTCGTTTCAAATGTACTTGCTCAAATTACAAAGCACGATGAATACTAAAACAGACCCTGGTTAAGAAGACCTTGGGACATACTTGGCGACATCCGAAATGCATCGAGACTCCTCCTTCGCGCATTTGAGCAAGTTTGCTCTTGTTATTAGCTACTAGTTCAACACGGAATAGTGCCGCTGTCGCACTGACCATTCACCACCACCAGTCGCCCTTCAAGCAGAAGTCTGCGCACGGGGATCAGTTTAGCTGGAAATCCAGATTACTCATTCTAAATGATATCTGTTAACGCTTATTGCACAGGGGGTAAATCACATGTTATAGTATTCTTTTACTTTCATACATCTTTATTGCGTACCTAGTTTATAGTTTTTTTTTTTTTTTTTTAAATCACGACGCTCAATAAAGATAGGGCATTTGCGTAGAGACTTAGTCTCAGGCCAGTGTACAGTACCACATTCAGCGTGGCCACCGGGCTGTCGGTTCACGGGCGAGAATCATTTGCCCACCTACATCCTACATAAGAGGTATGATTATTCGTTCGGTGCGGCATACAGCTTGAAACACTCTAGTATTCATGAACATTCATTTTAGCGATTGATAGTATGTTATGGTATTTTCTATATTCTAGTAAGCAGACCAATAACTAACGCTTCCTGACACATACAGAGTACATACTTACCTGTTAGGCGCGCATTAGTTGCAGCCAAGGGCGTATCGTCCGCAACATGAACCTCACTCTCCAAAAAGCACCATACAACTATGATTTCATGTTTGCTACAGCCATATTTGTTATTCAGAGGCATTCCTGTGCCACAGTTTGGGAAAAGGATAAGCCATCGTCCCAACACTGACGCTGTTAATTCATGATCCCTTCACTGAGCTAACCCATGGCAAAGCCAATCAAGCACCGTTGTTTTCTCATTGACCTAGCCTGCAGCTGAGGTCCACGGAAGTTTCGCTGAAACCAATTCAGCTCGTCTATTCAATGACCACGAAGCCATCATCTTCAATTACCACGACGACAATCTATAGTTGACTCGCCCTTCACGCCGAACGAAGGGACCATGACCTACCTCGATGATGCCCCCCATGCGTGGTGACGGCGAAGTTTATTTAGCTTTAGCTCCTTATATTTAATTGCTGCCAACATGATGCTATGCATATTCCGCTGCGTTGATTGCTTGGAGGTTCTCGCCGGATTTGGTCAATCCGGCTACAACAGGAAAATTTCATCTTTTAAAAGGAAAGTTTCATGATACAACCTGCGCATACTGATACACGTGGTGGCGCACAAATGACCATTTTTCTGCAAGGTGTAGACACGCATTTGGATACCCTGAATGGTGAACAATGTTTTCTGCGCCTGGTAATTTCGGTCCCCTTCTTGACATGATCTCCAGAATAGGCAAGAGTTTCATAACCGGGGTAGCAGTCTGTCGCATTCCCCAGATTCCCCGCATTGACAAGCACCGAATACTACCTCGACGGTCGTATTAGAGTCTAGACGATAAAATTCCGACCACACCGTGATACTATAGAGATGGCCTGGTTACATGTCACGCACTAGCTTCAAGGCTTGGCCTCTTTTGTGCCACGGAACCCGGTACTTGGAGTCTATCCTGACCAGTTCGAGCGCTCCCAATCCGGTACCATGGATAGAGGGCGGGTTTGTCCGTGACTGTTGACAGCCGCGCGAATGAAGTGCCTCCACGGGCTACGTTTATTCAACGCACGTGAATGCGCGAGAGACGACCGGTTGGTATCGTGAATATTCCCGTTGATGGGAGATTTTATGGGGATTCCACGGAATGAGTGCCTCCGCAAAGACTCAGACAGGATCAATCTTGTTGATAAGAATTGATACGAATATTATAGACTATTATACAAGATTGTACGACGAAAGAGTAACTATAAGAACAAACAATGGAGACAGCTTCGGGAAGTACGGTCGCACATCACCAATATATGCTAACAGTCTATTGTTAATATTCTCACGCTCTGCCACATGATGAAGACCTTTCACAGTGTTCTGGCGCTGGCACTATCGATGCTCGAGACCTTCACCGTAGCTGCACCGGTGGATGTTTCAGAGAAGCGTGCCGTCTCCTCCATCGTCAGTGGTACGCCCATTGGCTTTGCTTCGAGTGTTACTGGCGGCGGGACAGCCACGACCGTGTACCCGACCACGATTGCTCAGCTCAAAGCTTACCTGACCTCGGATGACCCACAGAATATTGTGATCTCAGGCACCTTTAACTTCCAAGGCTCAGAGGGCAGTTCCACTTATTCCGCATGTGATGCGTACAGCTGCACCCCCTCGGCTGGTGGTCAGGCTCTCCTGAACACACTGAGCGGATGCGGGTCCAAGTCGACTTACAGTGTCACGATCGACACTGCTGCCTACCAGGGAATCAACGTCAAATCAAACAAGACCCTGGTTGGTAAGAACAATGCAGTGCTATACGGCAAGGGGCTACGCTTTGTTGGGGTCTCAAACATTATCATCCAAAATGTGGCAATCACCAACCTGAACCCCAAGTATGTGTGGGGTGGCGATGCTTTGTCCTTTAGCGACACGAACAATATCTGGATTGACCATGTGACGGTAAGACTCTCGATCCCGCAATGAGTACGGACGACTGACTCAGTGCTCCCGACGGTAGACTTCATACTTGGGTCGACAACACTACAGTTTTGGAACTGGTTCTAGCAACGGCATCACCATCTCCAACTCGTTCCTTAACGGATATACCTCCAACTCGGCCACTTGCGACGGACACACCTACTGGGGACTCGAGCTTGTCGGTTCAAGCGACCAAATTACTTTCTACAGTACGTTGTTATGACCTGACATATTCTCACGACAGATTGATCGCATGTAAGGAGCTTACTATGAACAGAGAACTACGTGTACTACACGTCTGGCCGCAGTCCCGCTCTCTCCGGCAACACGCTGTTCCACGCCGTCAACAATGTCTGGTCATCCAATAGCGGCCACCTGATCGAGGGCGACTCCAACGGTATGGGTTTGTATGAGGGCAATTACTTCTTGAACAGCCCAACAGTTCTCTCCTCGGACTTTTCCGGACGTCTTGTCAGTTCCAACTCTGGCGATGTTTCCGAGTGTGCTTCCTACCTGGGAAGGAATTGCGTCTCCAACAGTTTCTCCAACTCGGGTGCATTCAGTCGCAACGACAACTCATTCCTCTATCTGTTCTCTGGCAAGACCAACATTGTCTCTGCTGCTTCGGCATCGTCTATTCAAAGTACCGTTCCCAGCTCGGCTGGAAACACACTATAGGACTGTGTTATAAGGATGGGCTGCTAGCCCACTACTTTCAGGGTATTCTGGATTGTATTGAGATACTGACGAAAGCTTGCGGCCTTACTGTATATAGTCAGGTAGATCATCGTTGTAGTATTCTTCCCGAATCTTCCTGAATCCAACCTCTGGTGCATCATATGGCCACGGAAAACCGTTGCCGCTCGCGAACAAACCAAACATGACGCCATCAAATCCCGAGGGCAGGTCGCTTGAGGGGAATGTTTGCAACCAAGTAACGGTGCCATTTTCTCTGTTAAAGCCCAGACTATAGGTCAAGAAGTTCGGTCTGATTATCAAATCCAGTTCTTCTGAAAGCGCTGAAGCATTAAGCGATGTTTCAATAGTCTTGGTGTCAATGATTAGCATGGATCATCAGCCATAACTGCTAACCAACTTACCATGGGTCTGGTGCCTGGACCACTGGAGGATACCGTTGAATCCACGAAAACACACAAACCGGTCGTGTTTGCACAGCCACGCACTCCAATATCATGATGATTCTGGTCACTCACATACGCCGTGACCCCCACTGACTGGAAAGGTCCAAGGCCCTCATCAATAGGCAACAGGGTCGCAGTAAAAGTCATGTTTAGTGACTTCTGCTTTCTCAGGATCGCCGATGGCGTATCGCGGTCGCTCAGAGTGTAGGAATTTGGCAGCAACACTACCCCAGCAGTACTGTTTGCCGCAAAGCTGACAGTATCCGACGACGAAGCACCTTTGAGACGGTAATTTTGCGTATAAGGCGACCGAACCTGATACCAGCCCTTGTCCAACTCCTCGCCCTCGAACAAATCTTGGTATGCTGGGGCTGGTCGCGTCTGATTTGGCCCATAGTCGAAGCTCTGGCTTAGTAGCAGCACTTGACCATCATTCATCGTCGGCCAGTCATCTTCCCAAGTGACGGGTGCAAAAAAGGTTTCACGGCCGATTGCCCAGCGATTTTGGCCGACATATCTATAGGCGAGTAGCGTTGCAAACCATCGGCCATCGGGAGTGTCCATCATGGTTGCATGGCCAGTAGCGCCAATCGTGAGATTTGTATCGATTCCATTGAAAATGAGAGGGTTCGTGGGCGATGCCGTCCACGGGCCATTCGGCTGATCTGACCGGGCAATAGTAGCGCGGTGTGTAATGCCAGTGCCGCCCTCTGCGATGAGAAGGTAATAGTACGGTTCCTTATAGAAGAGCTTTGGACCTTCGGGACGCGTCGATGTGGTCACGGGCAATGTTCCGTTCCAGATGTTCCCAAATGTACCGATGCATTTGCCAGTGACCAAGTCTACTTCGCACTGACCGATTCCCCATAGTCTGTCGTAGTCGTTGTTGAGGGACATGAGGGTCAGATAGTTCTTACCGGACTTCGGGTCGGCGAATAAATGAGGGTCGATGCCGAAAGGATCGCCCCTGAGATATTAGTATCCTCCAGAAGCAAGTTTCAGCAGGCAAGCAAGCATACCAAACTGGGGCAGACCAGTTTTCCAAGTCGGGCGATGAGACCCAAAAGACGCGCGGATATGTCAACGGGCTGGAATTTCCCATCATTGCCATTGATGTAATGTAAAATATCCCGTCGATGTATGAAAGAGATGGTGCCCAAATTCCTAAGATGCTCATTAATAACAAATGGCGGGTTCCAGGCCATATAACTCACCCATAGAGGTAGCAACACCACGAATCGGAATCGCTGTGGGGTCGACGATTGCATGTGATACCAGTGTCCATTCTGCCAGGTCATCGGACGAGTATATTGGAATTCCTGGAAAGCTGAGAAAAGAAGATACTGCGACGTAATACTTCTCGCCAACACGTAAAACCGAAGGATCGGGATTCCATCTATGAGATTTGAATAATTAGTGAGCTGTATCAATTCTCGTGCACAGTCCGGAGCCACAGCCTACCCTGTAATGATTGGGTTTCTTAGCGAATGCACTCCAAATTGCAGCGTAAAAGTAACAAACAGTAGTATTATTTGTCGCAAATCCATGGTACCGAGTGAGCAATGTGTTCAAATGTTGGTATCACAAGAGTCTCCGATGCCAATGAATTTGGTATGATTTTTCAAGCGCTGAAATGCATCAAGCATGTCGCCGACCTCTGTCGTCCTTATATTCGTCTTGTAACCGAGTATACTGCAAGCTCCCGTGGCTTAATTGGTGGAACTAGAGCCAACTAAGCCGTCGCATATTGGACATATTTTTCCATAATGCTCATCTGAGAAGACTTGGCCTTTGATGAGTAAAAGCCCATTGCCTATTGTGCCTCTCTGGCAACCTGTCAGCTGCAGCCTTTCTCATTGAGCTCTCTGTAACCACTTCAACCCCCGCGGGTAAATTCTCCTCGCGCAGTCGCGTTTTGCACTGTGAACATGCTACAGTTGAGAGCTGCCAAGATTTACCCCGACCGGCTGGCTAGCAGATAGCGTACCCAGCCCCGCGTCATTTGCAAGACTGCACGAGAATTGTTTTAAGCTCAAGCTGCCCGAGTCGCTTCACTAATTTCAATGGGGAAACTGCTCAATTATATCTCGACATTCATTGCTGAATGATAAGGGGTAGGTAGTAAGGGGTAAAACTTGCCTATCCGGGCTGCTTACACTTCTGTCTTGCAAAAGAACGTGCCAACGATGTTCGACACGTCAATGACCGTGCATAATATGGATACTATAATTGGTCCAACGCTTTAACCATTCCGATGTTCTGGACTGGAAATCCTACAGCCTGCAGATCCGAATCCACTGCACCAAGGCCGGCACGCAATCGGTGCAGACCGGCCCATGCAACCTTATCTGTGTGTCCGGCTTCGGTAGTGATTCGGCGGACCAACCTACCGAGCCCCCAGTATGGGAAAAGAAGAGTTTTCGAATGGCGGTATGTCTTGGTAGGGCTAAAAGGCACGATGGTAAACACTGGTAGTTGCATTCATCCAGAATTTGCACAGTCTCTTATCCCTTGAAATTTGTCTGCTTTTGCACCAATCCAATATCCAGGGCAGTCCCGGCAGACTCGCAAACATTAGATCTTTATTCTTCAAAACTTCACAAATCGACGAGAAAAAAAAATGACAGTCATTACCACAAGCGACCGCGTAAGCGGTGGCTGGCTTATTGCGCTGGTAACATTAGTCGACGCCAGTTAGTATTGTGCTTAGCAAGCATGTGTTGAGGCTTGTAATAACCAGCGACAGTGTCTGCGATGTGGTTCGGCTATTGCCAGGTAGCGTATTCCACCTACTGACGATTATGGAAAATCAGTACTGAATTTCCACACCAGGGTGTCTTTGCTGGTGTCCTTGTATCGGACGACTTCCTAAAGCTATTTCCACAGACTAGTAATGCCAACATATCAGGAATAGTTACAAGCTGTTTTCTCGTAAGTGACTATACGCGGGTCTTCACTGCATATTATTCACAGCTACTGCCTGCTGACTACTACCAAAAGCTTGGAGCGTTTTTCGGGGCCATCCTCGCATTTGTGCTGGGTGATAAGCTCGGTCGGAAGAAAACGATTATGCTTGGCCACACGCTCAATTTCACTGGCGCATTGCTGCAATGTCTCTCCTGGTCCTTGCCGCAGATGATTATCGGTCGACTTGTCAATGGCTTTGGCATGGGCATGACTAGCACCATGTCGCCTGTATATCTAGCCGAGTGCGCGCGATCACATATGCGCGGCCGCCTTCTTGTCATTGGCGCCAGCTCCAACGTGACCAGTTTTTGCATTGCCAATTGGATCTCTTACGGTCTTTACTATCAGTCCGGGCCACTACAATGGCGCTTTCCACTGGGTTTCCAATTGATATTCGCATTCATTTTGGTGCCGATTCTCTTCTTCACTCCAGAGAGCCCGAGGTGGTTACTCCTTGTCGGCATGGATGATGACGCCCTTCAGGTGATTGCTAGACTGGCAAATGTAGCAAGCAACGATGCGACAGCAACCGCAGAATATCGGAGCATCAAAGAAGCCATTCGACTGGAGCGTGAGAGCCGGGTGCCCATCATGGATGTTTTATGCCACCGCGATAAGACTCAGAATTTCAGAAGACTCATCCTCAGTTGTGGTGCTCAATTCATGCAGCAGTTCTCGGGTATCAATGCTTTAGGTAAGTTTGAGCATAACACACGACCGTTCATATTCGCGAGTACAAATATGCTAAAGATTGTGCTAGGCTTCTATCTTCCGACTTTACTGCAGCAGAATATTGGATTTGATAACAGAATGAGTCGTCTGCTCACGGCCATCATCGGCACCATATACTTTCTGTCTGCATTCGGTAGCATTGCAGTCATTGACCATATTGGGCGGCGCAGGCAAGTATCCTGAGCAAGGCTGCTCTTTGTTCCTCATTCTGATACTAAAACCTTGTACAGACTAATGTTGATCGGTTCCGTTCTAACCGCCATCTGTCACCTCGTCGCATCGCTCTGTCTGAGGGCTGGCACTATGTATGAATCGAAAACGAAAATTGTACGTTACAAAACACTGTTGCAGCTTTAACTGCAGATGAGAACTGACTGTACTTCCTATCTAGATGGGCAATGTCGCCGTCGCCATGTTCGTCCTCTATCATGTCTTCTTTGCCCCTACTTGGGGAGGTGTACCCTGGGTTTATGGTGAGCACTCACATTATGAGATACCGCTTAGTTTTCAACAATGTCGCTGGAGAAATAACAGCTAATATGTCGACCTCAAAGCTGCTGAAGTCAATTCTCTCGGCTGGAGAACTCGAGGCGCCGCTGCCGCAACTGCCACCAACTGGATCATGGCATTCGTTGTGGTACAAATCACTAAAATTGGACTCGATAATTTGGGATGGGCATTTTACTTGAGTGAGTATGGCCCTCATTGCTGGAACATCCAACGTTTTTCTTGCTAATCAATTCCAGTATTCGCTGTATCGACTTTCAGCTACGTCCCGGTCGTATTCTGCTTTTATCCCGAGACAAGTTCAAGAAGCCTTGAAGATATGAATGATTTGTTTATTAGAAACCCCAGCGTGTTTGTGTGCGGCAAAAAGGAAATGACGCAGTGTGCAAGACCTATGGCCTTGATTGAGGCGGAACAATCGCGCATTGCCAGGGCCGAAGATGCCCAAATGCGTCAGACACTGGGATAATCAGGAATCGCTTTGCCAGGCAATACCTCCTAGAACTTTATCCTAGATTTACTTAGACCGATATACTTTTAGAATGGGACACGCAATGATGGGGATATATGTGTAGAATTATGACTCAATTGATATAGATTAATGTTTTTGTTCCTGATTTGCCTGTTTCTCAGCTTGGTGCCTGGAGTGGCTGGCGAGGAGGCGCAGCTGTCCTGAAGCGCCAACCCCCGCATTGTGCAAGTTAGGTATTTACGCAATGCCTTGGCATTGGGTCGTTTGTTGTTGATTTTCGAGCATCAATTGTAAGCGACATCTTACTTTGTCAGACATTAACTTGCTGCGGTTATGGTTGCGCTACCATGGAGTTCGCCGGTAGCTGCCAGAATCCTACGAGTGAAGCGAGAGGAGCCGGCACATATATCTACACACCTCTAGAAGAAGAGCGTTCAATTCGCCTCATTCGCCTACATCCAGCTACTGACCCGGATACACCGCTGAGGTGCACAATCACTACTCGGCCTTTGGCTAACGGAGTATCATTCGAGGCACTGTCGTACCAATGGGGCGATCCCGATAGAACACATACCCTGTTTTGTGATAATGTTCCTCTCGGCATCACAACGAGTCTCTACAAAGCCCTAATCAACCTCCGGCCAAAGGATACATATGCTCTCTTTTGGGCCGATGCGGTATGCATCAATCAGGACGACTTGACCGAGAAAGCTATCCAAGTGACGTTCATGGCAGAAATTTACAAAGCCGCCCAGAGAACCGTGGTTTACCTTGGGGATCAATCCGACGACACTGCACTGGCCATCAAGTCGCTAAAGCAAATTGCCACAATCTGCATGGAGGCGTCAGGCGAGCGGTTTGATCACATCAACAGGGTGGTGGATGAAGAAACGCAGACTTTCCTTGACAGGGTAGATCATGCTCGGATGAATACGCTGTACACATCAGATGAGCGCATACTGGCAGCTTTTCGCACATTCTTTGGCCACGGATGGTGGAATAGAATATGGGCAGGTACCATCTTGCTGAATCACACACATTCTGGCTGATCCAATCGTCAGGTGATACAAGAGGTCTGCCTCGGCAACGATCCACTGGTATGTGCGCCCAAGAGCCTATGTCGGCAGCAAAAGTGATGTTGCACTAAAACCTTCGTAGGTCATATGTGGTCAACATACTATTCCCTGGGGGGCAGTAGTACTCGCGTCAACATGGATGGCCCGAAAAGCACCAAGCTTAATGCTTTGGGAGCACCAGGAAGTTCCCCTACGTATGGGGTTTCCCTGTGTGATGCATCTTAATATACTCAAGAGTGATGCAATGGACCCCTCGAGTCTGTTTCGAACAGCAGCACTGTTCCAAGCAACAGATCCCCGCGACAAGGTTTACGCACTTGTGGCTTTCGAATCACTCAATTTTCACCGCTTTTGGAGGATCAGGGTGGATTACAAATTAACTACGGCCCAGGTTTATTGTCAAGCCACCGCGGGATGCATACTACAATCAAAAGGACTGAACATTTTGTATCACATCCATCATGGAGATACCAACTTGGACGAACCCTTCAGCACACCAGGACGTTCACTCATCGAGGGTGAATTTGCGACGTGGGTTCCCCAGTTGAAGGGAGTTCACTACAGCAACGCCTTTGCTTGGGAAGAGCGCTGGACTGCCCATGGAGAATTGGTTACTGCCTTTGAGGAGGACGATGCAGAGTATCAAAAATTTCATGTTAGGGGCGTAGAGCCAAGCCGGCATGGCAATCACGAGCACGTTCCCCTGCATTATCACACGAGCCAAGTTGTCTCCGCGATACAATGTCCTCGTGACTCGAGTATTAAGACTTTGAAGGTGAGGGGCATTCAAGTCGATGTTGCAATATCTGGAAGCATGCCATTGAATCCTGCCTGGTAAGAATTATCGTAAATGATACATAAAAAGTCATCGGTTACCCCAACCATACCTGTTATGATTTACACACTACTGGGCTGACGCGAATCGTTAGGTGGGATCCCAAGCATAAGAACTTTACGCCAGTTCTGCTTTCACTTCTCAACGATATGCAAGTCTCTAGACAGCCAGACTTGGAGAGCCAGACCACTATGGAAAGGGCGCAAGGCATCCTGTCATCAATACTGCAAGCAACGATCGAGGATGATGATACATCACGAAATCAATTAAGGTTGTATTGGAGCTACGTGGTGAACGTGGTGAAGACAATGAGGGGCAAGACATTACCTCCAGACTTTTACAACACCTTTCCAGGTCTTACAAGCCTAACCGAGGAACAAATGCGCCAGGGGGAGGAGTGGGTGGCCCGCGTGCAACAATATACATGTTACAGAAGAGTCTTCCGTACGTGCAGGGGAATTTGGGGCAATGGGCCCTCGTCGATGAGGGCCAATGATATTGTCGTTGTTGTCTATGGTATCATTGTGCCTCTTGTGCTTCGGCCCAGTGGTGATAAGTGGCAGCTAGTCGGCACATGCTATCTACATGGTTATATGCACGGACTAGCTGTAGAAGAGTTCAAGATGGGAAAGCTCGAGATGCAAGTATTTGAAATAGAGTAGGTAGATATCTAATACACGAGCACTTGTTGAGTTCAGTGGCCAACGCTGATGATGTGTCTGCGGCTTCTCGATTTTGTTAAAGCCCTATAAGTTATCGTATCTAAAGGGCATATATCCTTTCCCAACCCCTATCTCACGACCACAAAGCTGTCAGTGCATTCACGTGGCTGCTTCTAAAGGTTGAACAAATGTTGGGACTGCTAGATTCTTGAGAAGGTATGGATAAATCCAAGCTTTTATACTCATCTCAGAATAATATGTTCGGTCTTCTCAGCGAATACCGTTTTGGCATGATCTTCTACCCACTGGGTCCCTATACTAGCTTTTCCTTGTACCGAGAAAACCCGAACAGCTTCCCGATCTTGACCAGGCGACACTCCCGGTATATTCACCATCCTCTCGCCATGATCAGTTTCATCAAGTATCCCGATCATTCTCAAGATGAACGGCCTGTTCCACTTTTGGCCAGAGAACAACATATCTCCAATCTTAGCATCTAAATTTCCGGCAATCAATCCCATGCATCCACTGTCGGTAAGAAAAAATCTTCTTCCATCACAGGCATTCAGAAGTTCTTTAGCGCGGATAGTGTTGCTATCATAGGGCCATTCAAACATTGCTTCACGAAAAGAGAGCAAAGAAACTTCTCGATCTGGATTGTCGGGTGAAGACTGGGCATACCGGCCAGCCATTTCGATAATCAGCGGCACTACTCTCCTCACCCAGGTTTCTTCCAGACACAAAGCGCCCCAGAAGTTTTTTGCTCGCTCGGAAACTGGACTCTGCCGAGCGAGCCTGAGAGCCTCCTCGGGATGCTCGCGATCCTTGGCCAAATCCCACCATTGAAACAATGGGAAGAAATTTTTGTCGAGATCGCAGACGGGCCCAAGATGAAGAATAGTGCCTATGAAAAAGGCCTCAAGATGGAGTTGACATGAGGGGCGTCCTTCCGGCAGGCTGTAGTCTGTTATCCACCAGGAGTCTTGCGATGTCTTCCGCAATTCATACAATGGGTAGTCATCCTGCCTATCAATGATGCTTCGGTATCTGTCCTTCCCATGGGGCCAATCTACGCTCCAGTCTGGCACCCACGATGGCAGCCCGGGAACGTGACAGGGGGTGATCACCTCGCGGAGAACAATGCCAGCTCCTAGTTCTTGCATCAGGTCTTTGGCGATTTGGGTGAAAACTTCAGCAGCTGTGGCATTATAATCCGGCCGAACTATTAGTACTTGTCTTATCACATCCGCGTTTACGTGCTTTATACTCTCGTCGCTGGGGTCTTGGAGCCGTCTATTCAATGCAGAAAGGACTCTCTGATGTTGTCTTTTAAGCAAAGGCAGGATTGCGTAAATCTTATCCCGCGGGTCTGTTGCCTTGCAATGCCTTGAAGAACGAAGCATATTCAATAACTGTCGGGCTTGAGGAATGAATCCGTATGTAGCGTAACGAAATGATTCTTTCCTGTCAGAGAATCCCAACGAGTATGGTATCTTGACAAACGTTCCAGCATCGACGATGGTCCGTCGGATTTGTTGAAATGTGCTCCACGCTACGGCTCGGTCGCCACAGAGGACTATGCAGTCGCTGGCGAAGCTTATCTCCTGGAGTACCCATACGCGATGGAACCAAGGACGCCCCAAAAGAGCCGCAAGGGCTTCTTTGGGCGGTGCCGGTGGCTCATGAGCGCCGGGCTCACCATAATCTGGAGCTTCAGCCGATTGTACAATCCAGTCCATGACCAGATCACTACCATCTGTATGTTCGCCCAGATAAACCACTACGCGGGAAGCCCTTGCATATATTTTGCTCATCATCTGGACCTGGTGGTTCCGTTCCTTGACGGAGCCCTGGTTGATGCAAATAGCATCAATCCATAGCAGGCGTTCTCGATCGGAGTAGCGCAAACCTTTGAGAGCAGCTTGACAATTGGTCGTCGCAGGCACTGGTTGGTAATGTGCTTCATCACCATCATGGCTGACGAGTATGTCGGCCGTAAGAGAGAGGTCACCCCAGGCATAAGATACCGCCTCGTAGTTAGGATGATCGCTGAGGAGGCAATCCAGAAGGCGGACCTTGACCGGATCTCGTCCCTGACCTGGCTCCAACGCAAGAACACGGAAGGAGTCTTCTAATTTAAGCGGGTTGCCAGGGTAATTAAATGATTGGTGATTCTCCATTGCACCGTTGTACGAAACGGCAATTTTTAGAGGTAGGATCTCTCCTGCTTACCCGAATCTCGTGTCGGGATTGATGAGCAAATAGATTTCCAGCGGCTGCCCATATGGGAGTCCTGAAAGCTGTAAGAAACTCTGTGCCATGATTGCAGGAAACCCCTTCTGCCTGAACGGTAGCCAGAGCGGGGCTTGTGCTCAGAAGTCCAGGGGTACGGAACAGCAAGACTGCCCCTGCAACGCTGCTTGCCTCTGTGGGCTGAAGCTTTGCAAAACCCATACCTGATGCTTGAATGTCATGTTGAACTCCTATGTAGACATCATCTACCCGCGTGTCCTCGTTCTCCGAATCATGGGCGGGAAATAGGAAATAGACAATAGCATAAACAAAACTAAGCGTTTACTGGGGCCGTGATGAAGAACCATCTTTTCCCGCAATCACTTCACTCAACAAGACCATTAATTAGCACCTCTCTAGAGCAAGCCGCCATCGACGTGGTTCGTAGTTAATGCTACAAAATAACTTTGCCGGCAACTCCAGACAACGGATGATGCCGAGGCAATCCCTCATCCCGCCTTGCATTTATTATCCCCGGCCGGAAGCTGAGAATAGGCACATTTTTAGTCTCCGAGACGGCATGGATGGGAATGCAATGCCAACTGTAAAGAGGCCGGATTTAGACTGTCAGATTCGAAAGTTTGTAGCATAAAAAGTCCAGACTAATGTGGTGACAGGGACACCCTGGCCAAGATGACGATCCTCCAGTTTGGTCGTCCTACACTTGGGTGTTCGAGTCGAGTTCGAGTCGAGTCCCATGCAATTTCATCATGCATCCCATTCATCCGGTTCGCGCGCACACATTGGCTGGGCCGCATTTTTGGTGAGTTGAAATAACCACTACTGAACGCTTGTGACGTCACACCTTCTCCAACACGCCATCCCCCGATTCCTTCCCATTCTCGTCGCTCGTCTGGTCTACACACCGTCTCACGAATGATGTCGCGAACAGCGGCAATTAAACCTCATTCCACGATAATGTGTTTAAAAGATGGGTCGGAACTAGTCGCAATTGGACACAGATTCGTGTGAATCCCCAAGACTGGTCCAGAACCACAACGACTTCGCGCGAAAAGACTTGCGGTCAATTTGACCGAGACTATCATTGTGCAGTCTAAACGGATTCTCGTTAATCTCTCCAATCTCCCCGCTCTGTCCATCTGTCTGTTGGCTGTTGCCCTTGATTGTTATCAGCAGGAACCATGAGGTTTGTTTGCGGCTCGTGATCCTTCGTCCTTCCCATTTCAAAACCAGAGAGCAAAGCCTCGCTCGATACTCTGTACATGTCTGGTTCCTGTTCCTGAATACCAAGATCAGAATCCTTTCTGGCGTTCTCTGCCACTTTCTTCTCTCTGCATCCTTAGATACCTCGAGGCTTATTATCATCCTCGGTGTTACAAATCTTATTCTCGTTTCACCATTTAGCCTTTCCATTTTTCCTTTGCGAAACTTCCTTCGACTCTATCCTAAACCTCTTTCGTCCTCCTCTCGTCTCTTCTTTTACTGCCTGTCCTGCTCGTGCGGCATAGTGCCATCCGATCGTGACCATACCTGTTGTGCTCTACGCAGACTCTAAGCCTCTTCTAGCGGCAAGGCTAGAAACCACATCGCCAAGATGAACTACGCCAATATGATTGAGGAGAAAAACCTCAAGGTGAGCATATCCAACACATGCACAGCCAAACGCTCCTCCCACGGTCTAGGCTGACACTGTGCTCTCCCATGACAGAAAACCTTCATCATTGCGACCCTCTGTTCTACACTTGTTGGCACTTTCACATCCTCCATCGGCCTCTGGGATAGAGTAAAAGACCGAAGGCAGCAGAAGCAACGCGACACAAAGCAGGACGACAAGATCGCCAAGCTTCAGTCCCAGATTGATGATGCCGAAAAGCGCAACAAAGAAAAGGAGGAACGGATCGAACGGTTAAGTAATCGCGGCGGCGACCGGGATCGGGACGACCTTGGCTGGGCACTCGAGCGGTCGGGTGCTGCTATCAACAGGGAGTTTGACGAAGGATATGCGCGGCTGGGGAGGAGATTCGCCATTGGTGATACGGTGACGGAGAACAGATTGCAGGCCCAGGTGATTGCCCTGCAACAAACGGTCATCAACGTCTTACAGGATGCGCTCTACAGCGGACGGCAGCTGGATCAATATGACATGTCGAAACTGATGGCGGCTTCGGAGGCCGCCAAGAATGGCTCACTGGATGCTTTGAGGCAACAAAAGCAAAGACAATTACTGGCGATCGAGGGGCCGCCACAACCGCAGCTATACCCACCACCAAAAAGATCCTCGACCATCATCGAGACGGATCCGCTGTACTGCCGGTATGCGCTGGACCTACAATACGTGCGGAACAAGCCGCTCGCCACCAATTTCGCACCCGGAGGAAGCTGCCGGTGCCCAGAGTGTGGAGTGCGGCTGGACGTCGAGTCGGACGATTTCTGGGAGATTGACAAGCGCAACGTGGTGACGACGGAGGGCGGCGACAGGTACCGGGAGCGGCGCGAGGTGATTGAGGAGCGCGAGTTCCATCTCGGCCAGCGTTTCATTGTCAAGTGCCACACGCCCGACGGCGAGTTTGCCTGCGTCCTCTGCTCGCGCCATCGCGACCGCGACGCCATTTGTCCTACCGTCAAGTCGCTCGTAAACCATGTCGGCCGGTTCCATACCGTCGAGGAGCTAGAGCGCGAGGTTGACTTTGCCCAGCACTCGCGCACCTTGCCCATGCCCAAGGCTCTACCGGCGGCGCCACCTGCTCCCGCCTCACCTGTCCTTAAAGAGAGACGCACTATTGAGTATGCCCCTGCCGTCCGCACGCGGGATGACTTCGAGTACGATCGGCAGAGCAATGGCCGTGCTTCTGTATACTCGTAAGACCTTGCTCATCATCTACTCGTGGGTCCAAGCGTGGTTCTTGAGGTTTGGAGATTCATTTGAATGAGCAATTCATCAATCTTGCGGATCAGAGGCATATTCCAGGACTTACGACGTTCATGACATAGATGGTTAGGTATATAAAACTCAAATCAAATAAATGTATAAGCACTTGTATCGTCCACCAAATGATGCGTAGTCGAGTACCATGGGGTAGGTCAATGTGAAAGACAATATTTGGTATCGCATCTGAGACATGTTGTATTTCAAAATAACGTGCGACTCATCTTCCAGTTTCTTAGCCTCATGTCGTGAGGTCCTTCCATATACTCTTTCTTAAAGTCTTCCTTTTTGCCAGCGCATATCTTGCCGGCTCTCTCCGGTTGAGATCCGGGATCCGATAAGTGGACTGCCTCTGCATCCTGACGGCCTCCCAGAAATCATAGGACCTTTCCTTCTTGGCTCTGCTCAGCTTTTCTCTTTCCTGTCTGAGTCGACGTCGTGTCAATTTGGCTTCTTTTCGACTGTCTGACTGCATCTTGGCCATGCTCTCCTTGATACCCTCCCAGCCACCTTTCATTCCTTCAAAGGTGGATTTGAAGAAACCCTGCACACGACTACTGAATGCCGCAATCAAGGCTACCGCTATTAGGGCAAATGAGCCCGGTAGAGATATTGCGCCAATGGTGGAAAGGGTCATGTAGGCCGTACCGTCCTCGCCAGCCCAGTCGGCCGTGTTCATACCAAAGAGACTGGTGAAGAAGCTGAGCGGCAAGAAGATGACGGTGAACGTGGTAAAGATGATGACACTGAGGTTCTGCGTGCTGGCCAGTTCTGTTTGCAGCCGGCTCCAGCGGACCTCGTCTACTTGAGCCTTGCGCTGCGCCATCTCGAGAAGCTTTTCGTAGTCGCTTCGGGTGGCAGCGATGCGGACCGTCATGTCCTCGACCTGCTGCTCGTAGTCGGCGAGCCGCGACAGGGCTTCGTCGAGGTAGCGCCGGCCGTTGTGTGTGTGCTCCCGCAGCTCGTCGCGGTCCTCGTAGAGACTTCTCATCTTTTCAATCACAGTTGTCTGCTCGCGGAACAAGTTTGACAGCGTCTTGAGCTCGTCATCCATATCGCGCAACTCCAGTAGAGCCGAAGTATTTTCACGGTTCTCGCGTTCCGCCTGTTCTAGCTCTCGCTTGTGTCTTTGCTTGATCGATTCAGAACGATTATCATCATAGTCTTCCGAATCGGATTCCGACTCATGGATTCGTTCTCGAAATGTCTGCATTCGGAATCTCTTGAGCGACGACGTCATGCGCTCTGTCAGAATACCAATGGCCTCTTCGAAAATGCGAAAGATTTCCAGATCGGGGTGCGAGGTACGATCGAGTAACACAGTCACGGCGTGCAATGTGATAAAGGCTGCAAGGTCCAGCGCATTGTCACAACGTCCGGACAAGTCGCCGTTGAGCTCATTATAAATACTGTTCCTGAGATCTGCTTGCTGGAACATGGGTCCCTCGGTCGGATGCGATTCCCTTTTGGGAAAAAACGTCGTGATTGTGGTCATATCTACAGACCATAGCCATAACTGGTCAACCATAAGGATATTACCATCGAGGATATCATCCTCGGCATCCCCGGGGCTTTCGTTCTTGTCGTGCATGACAAGTTCGGCCTTGACCGTATTGACGATCGACGCAAACCGGCTGGCTGGTGAGATGGGCGTTTGCTCCTTCATCGCTCGAGTCCCAAACATGTCTGTATTCTTCCTGCCGGTCGGCCCTGAGATTCGTTCTTTGGTGAGCTTATACATCATCTGGTCGTCATCACGCGCGTAAGTGTCCCGAAGAGATGGATATCCGTACTGATCCAGAGTCCGCCGCGTGTTTAATGGTGGATCATGGCCAAGGTATTCCCAGATAACACGAATGTCCAGAGACATATCAGCCACATCTTTGGGAACCGGTCTCGCTCTCCCGTGTTCAAGCCGCCTGCGAACAATATTGCGGCGACGAATGAGATTCCGGTACGTATCAAAATGTAGGTAAGGAAGATACAGGTAAAAGTGGTCTGGGCTGTTGAGCGCAGGGCTGTTTCGCCCACTCAGATCAGGAGAAGTAGGACGTGGTGAACCTGTGCATGTTAGCCAAACATTGGTGCCATCATGATTCAAACACGACTTACTTGCTTCTGCCGGAACAAATGCACAACCAGGCCGGACGTATGATGCATGAATCTGGCCGTGGCGGCCTTGGACATGTCTCCCTGTCCAGTACTGGTTTCGCAAAAGGTTTGAGTAATTACGATGTTGAGTCTCGGACAGCTTATCGAATATCGTCTATCATCTGTAAGTATCATGCGTTCTCAACAAAATTGGTGCTACTAACCTTGACCCATTGCGGATTAGTATAGGGTAGATGAATCCACATGAACTTTCTTTTTGACGGATCCGGTCGCGAAAAGCCAGCAGTGAGGTCCTCGAGTGCTGATGCACGACTGGATCTGTGTTTGCGGTCTCCCGAGGTAGAGGCATACTCCTTCTCGTCAAGGTTGAGCGGAGCATCGCCTGTCAGTTGTTGTGCGAGCGGCGCAGTCTCGCCAGCGGTACGAGGCGAGACATCGGATCCTAGAGGCTCTGACAATGTTCGCGATGTTTTGTCACTATCAGTGCCACGACCTGGGCTGCTTTCACGGCTGCTGGGCGTCCGGAAATCTGGAGTGGCAAGGGCTGGCACAGTGAGTCCACGGCTGCGCCGAGACGGAACAATGGCGGGCGCAGATGCTGCAGATCGAGTGTCGCCAAGGGTTGGACGCTGTGTATGGCTTGTCACGACGATCTGAGGCCCTTCCGCCTGCTCCGGACTATCGACAGTGGTATCCGACTGTGATCTTGCACTATGCAGTATCCTTGACCCGAAATCTTGCACGTTGCTCCAAATTCCCAACGCTCCCGCACCAAGGTGGCTCAATCCACCCGCACTGGTAGGCCTCGTGCGAGAAGCTGGTCTTATACTCGCGCGACGTGGCTTGGTGGCTTTTGTGTTGAGCCGTTCACTCAAACACCTCTCGGGTCCCTTTTCCAAGAATTCGTTCAACTTGTGCTTGGAGACATAGAGCCGCACATCAGATACAGTGTCCGGGTTGGGATCGTCGTAGAAGCCAATGAGCTCCAGTTTGACGTGCTCCGGAAGATGCAAAGGAGTGTGGATATAGTCAGCGCTCAGCTTCTGTGCCTTGTTGACAGCCTGGTGCAGATCCTCCAGATAAGATTCCATGATCCGAGTATTCTTTGGACCGAATGATGCGCATTTGGCGTGCTCACTCTCGAGCGAAAGTGCCTGTTCATGACGGCTGCCGACAAGACTAGATTTGATCGAAGCAAGTGGCGCACTAAAATGTACCTCGTCGAACTCTGACATGCCCAGGCCAGACAATTGAGAATCGATAGTTTCATAGAAAGTCCATATGTTCATCTCGCTTGCAATGTCCATGAACCGCTCATGGAGCCTGAGCAATGGCCGGTGGTTCAATCGCAACCCGTCACTGATGGACCGTGGAAGCGGCCGGGAGAGATATAACAAATGTTCTATGCTATCACGAAGATTGGGCATGGACAAGTAACTTGAACCACGATGAGGGGTTGCTGCACATAGTCAGTATTGGCAAAGGGGAGTGATTTGCGTGGCATACCAAAGAAAGTTGTCCCGTGGCAGTCAAAGACGATCCAGCGCAGCTTCTCATTCAAACTTGCCTTGACAAGCGCTTGCTTCACTACCAAACCACCAATACTATGGCATACGAAGAAAAACGGCCGCGCCTTGCTATGTTCTTGACGCAAATGGCAAAGGTGTTGCAGAAGGTCGTCAGCGAGCTGGTCAATCGTGGTTCCCTCATTGAGTTCGCCATGCCTGTACAATAATACGCGCGCAGTGCTAATTTCTGTACGCACACCCTGAAGGATCCATAGATCCTTGGCCCTAGGAAGGTGTCGACTGATTGCTGGCGAGAGAATGCTACTTCCCGGCAGCTGTCTTGCCGTTGGATACTGTTCTGCATTGGAGACGTTGAAGTAGTCATCGCTCAATGGATCTCTTGCCCAGGTATCAACTGGTGACGCTCCAGGACAGGGTACCGCGATGATGTCGACAGTAGTCTCATTATAGCCCGGGCCATTGACATCTCCGTCAATAAGATGGAATCCCGATCCAGACTCGTATGGCGAAGAGCTGGGACGGTCCAAGCTGTCATTTCGGACATCCGCTGAGGGTTTTTCAGCAGTGACCGAATTATCCTGTGGGTTTGGCGGCGTGGGCATCTGCTGGGTATTTGGGCGACTTGGTTCGGTCAAGGCTCTCGAGCGCCCCGACCCGTGTGTGGTGTCACTGGAATTATCACGAACATCCACCATGCTGAGTTTGACGTTGGCAGAGACGATTGGTCCCTGATTCCTTGGAATACCATCTCCAGTTGCACGCGGCAATGGCGGGCAGCTTTGTTTCTGGGGATGGTCGTGCCTTAAGGCATCGCATGAAAGGCAGCACTGGGGACCGATTTTCGTGTTACAATGCACGCCGTGGAGATACACATACGGGTAGAAAGTGGATGTCTCAAGCTGATTCTACCCACCATCAGGCCAGGCACAGCCATTTCCGTCACTCTTGTGTCCACACACGTTAAAGGCCAGTGGGCGGTTCAGCCTTGGAGATTTGAAGGATTCGTGTTGCATGGTGCTAGCGAGCGCCCAGTTCAACGGTGATTGGGCGCAAGATAGTAAAGAGTCAGCGGAAGATCGGCAAGCTTATTTACCCCAGCCCCAACTAGGATTTTGATAGACATCAACCATCCATCTTGACTGTCAGGCTGTCTGCCGTTGTGGGAACAAAAAGTCTACCGAGTTCTTGGGATCGTCGATGTGAAAATTGCCACCAGAGCCTTGCCCATGTCCACGTTTTAAGCATAATGATAACCGAGTGGTTGTTCACATATGAAGTTGAAGAAAGCCAAGAGCATCAAGTAGTGAGTTTAGGTACTATGTGTGACCGCCCAGTAGAGATCAGCGCCAGAGCCATTTGACCACTCCACTAACTCCGGCGCTAAAGTGGCTCTATTCTCAATATACTGGATGGATTACAGTGGTGCTCTTGTGGACTGCATCCAGCTCGAGGTGTACGTACAAAAGTAGTTGCATCACGGTTCGGACCGCAACCTTGAAAGACATGCGGTGTAGCTTCAATCAAGCGTTGTAATACACGACCGTATTCTTGGTCGTTGGAACAAAATTTTGTTGCCAATGTGCTCATGAGCAAAACTGCCAGAAGACGCTATTACAAAGTCTGACTGCTATATACTATCTGCGCATGATCATCCCACATCCATCCAAGACCTGGGGAGCTCATCCTCCATATGTGGTCAGCGTCTCAGGGCACGATGCCGTCATGCGACATCAATAGGTAGTGTAGGGAAATACGAATAGATACCTACTCCAACGTAACCTACCTGTGCACACCATAATCTCTGCGCATCATTTCATGCGCCAATTTTCATTGACGGACCTCCATCTCTCAGATATCTGCTGCGCGTTCAATTCATTGTGTAGTCGGACACTTTGTCTCTATCCAAAGTACGAGGTAACCCGCGCCATGTCGTCTCCGAGCTCGCTGAAGCGAAAGCCCTAGCGCCCCCACCCACTATACCCCTCATATTGACATTCTCACGATAGCCTCCACAATCCCTTTTCCTCAGCCTCCTGTCTCTTCTTCATCCCCAGCACCAATGAGCCATATTACTATTCCATACATTACCTGGGCAACGCATTCAGGTGGGTCCAGTTTGATACGAACACTATTGCGTACGTAATAGCCCATCTCCCCCTCTCAATCTACCGACTTGTATCTTGTTACGCACCGCCTCATCATCCAATCATCGTCACGATGATTCCATTTCATCACCGACCTTGTCGGCGATATTCTCCGGGGATGTGGTCTAGAGGTATGATTTTCCTTTCGCAATAATTTGAGAATAGGAAAGGTCCGGGGTTCAATTCCCCGCGTCTCCATCTTTTTGCTCATTGCCATCTTTTTGCAATGTCATTAGGATGTCGGAGCTCAAGTTATGCTGTATGCGGTTTAGAAGAGCCGATGCGGTGAGAGATTATTATAAAAGGCTCAAAGGCATAACTGGGGAAACGACAATGAAAGGCTTCTGGTCCCTCGCGAGGCTGAGGTCTATAGTGGCCGTATATGACCTGTGATATTAGGCAGGTAGACTAGGTACCTAGTAAAGATCTGTCCCGCATTGTGGTGGCTGCAGCTGGTTTTTTAATCACTAGGACTTCTGACGGGCAATACATGAAGTGCAGATAAAAATACCCGGCCGCTGAGAACTGGCACGATAGTGTCGGAGCGGGACACCATAAACGGTCATTAATGCACCAATCAAGCTCGGTTTTGTTCGCGGCCGACATGCGTGATGATGGCGTGCTCGGCTTTCGGCCAGCTGAGGCTGAACATTCGAGAGAATACCTTGCTGTAGCCGAATATATATAAATCATTCACTGCCTGTGGAAGATAAGCGTTCAAAATTAAAAGATGTGATCTTCCAAGTTAGTATACCTACTCCGGAGCCTTGTGCTCGAACCACCCCATCGTTGCTGGTCGTGTGAGTTTACATGAAAGCCGCTTACTTGACTCATCTCAGTATGTCTCGGTCACCATCAGACGGGTATAATAGCCTTGTCGAGGCCATTCCAGCCCTGGCGTCTCTGAACCAAACTTTTTCAAATCTCTCGCCATATTTAGGAGGAAGAAACTTTACACGAGGCTGCTTGTTAGCCGTTAGTCAGTCACTACAAATTATAGACGGGCAAATCGCCTTCAAACAGCCCAGCTATTTCAATAAGAGTTACACAATCGCCGACATTGAGGACGCAGGAACTTATGGGTCTCTTTGCACAACAAACGGAACAGCTCCACGAGTGCTGGTTCCTTATCGGTGGTGTGCTGAACATTGCTCGGGCTGGGAGTTGTCGCATTACAACTCTCTGCAGCAATGGATTGGTCCCTTGGTGCAGTTCATCCTCCCGTGCCTGGCTTTCTGTCTGAGCATCCCCCGCGGCTGGAAGATTTCCCTTCCGCGCTGGATTTTCGAGTCTGATGAAGACAATATTGTTGCTTTCTTTGCCTATCCCGCCAAGTTCATCATCGCATTCATATTGGTATTTTTCGACACCATTATTTGGTTGTCTATATGTTTTGCATTTGCCGGTCCAATGTTCATGAGCGCCGTGTACGAATATATGCTCGACGGCATGATTCTCGATTTCCTTGTGCCAAGGAAGACTCCACAACCCAGCATACCTGCTGTCACCAGGGCAAGACTCCTCTTGGCTGCAGTTGTTGGAAACATCAAGTTGGAACCGAAAAGGGCCAATAGAGCCGCCACGCTCCCGGGTATGCGGACCAATTCCCCTACAGATGAGATCTGGGCGCACATCATGAGAATTGCAGAAGAACTTCTTCCTCGCCCACTGTCTTCCGGCCGCTCCCCGCCAGTTCAGAGTGAAAATCCACCATTACATAGTCGATCATTGTCTATGCCAGCAAATATTATTGAGGCAAGATCATCTATTTCACCCAGCTCCGTCTCCGATACACACAGGACCTCGTTACGACAACTCAATTCTGGACCGGCTCTAAAGTTGAAAGCATTATTGAATGCGCAATCAAGGTTTGATCACCCTACTATTGCCTGTGTTGATGATACCGCTGACACTTTCGCAGCTTTGGGACTGCAGTAGGGGCACCTGTGGTCTTTTTCATTGGCAGCTTTGTGTACAACATTGTCGAGGCCGAGACGCGGCTTGGCGATGGAGATACGGCTCACGCTCTTGCCTTTGGCATGTGGTGGATGACAATTTCTCACGTCGCCGTCATTGCTTCGGCCATGCTTGCCTCCAACAACCCCAGCGCACTACAGGGGCTCATTGGTAAGGCGCGTATAGGAAGAAGAGGGAGTAGCACCAGCAGTGCCGTCGTACCAAAAAGCCTCTGGGGGCGTTTGGCGCGCTGGATGAAGGAGATTGACATTTTGGAACGCGCATATGATGCGACGTATGAACCAATGTCCTTGTGGAAACGCGGCCCAAATAAACGCCTCTGGATAGACAAGACAATCGAGGCATTCGAAGATGAAAGAGACAGCACCAAACACATCCCAGTCAATGAGTTTCGAAATGCCTTCGAGGTCGGCTTAGTCACGCGAGTTGGCATCTGGGTCAATATTCTGATCATTCTTCTGGGTGCGCCTTGCGCACTCGCCTTTGCGACATCCTACACAACCCCAGTGGCTGGCCTCGGATGCCGTAGCTTGACGCACGTCATTTATTACTCCACCCAGGTTATCCAGATGATGCTTTGGACCTGGAATATAGATGTAACACGAAAGAATCCGAAATCTAGGGAGCTTCGGGTCTGCCGGGGTTTGCAAGGCGTCTTTGGCGTGGTTGCCGTTTTTGCGGCAATAGGTGGAACTATTATGCAAATTTTGGGCGTCTACCGGAATTGCATCTGTAAGGTACAGTACGAACCAGACATGAGCCATGGTATATACTTCCAACAAGAACTAACTGATCAAAGATGTCAGCATGGTCTTGGACAAATAAAGATCATCCCGATTCCACCGTGGGCAGTAAGTATAGTTGCCTCTTTACATCAATCTAGGCTTCCGAAGAAGACCGATTATTTTGGTTGAAGCTCAACAATATTTTCCTACCCATACTAATCAGTCTCTCCAGTGAGCTACATTACGCCCGATAGCGTACCAATGGCAGGAGTGTGGAAGATCACCGGCGCACTGGCAGCGGGTATACTGGGCTTGGTCTCTGCCCTTGCTTGGTGGCATCAGCGGCGATTGCGCAAGAAGTTCATTTTCGAAGCCGAAAGTTTGGAAAGGCTGGGGCCGATGTGAATTCTGTGGATAGTAATACCAAGAAAGTGAATCAGACAGATTCGGGACAGAGCAACTTCATTTATGTGTCGTGTCAATGACGAATTTAAGCATTCATTGAGAATCAAATGTTGCACACCATCATTGAAAGCATTCACTCGGGATTATGACCTTGTTGAAGGCTCAGATACTCTTGCTTCTCCAAGTTAAGTTACTAATGCCCAAAACACAATGACAATCGCAGGATTGTTCTGAATAGGCTCTTCTGGCTAGTATCCTTATCATCTATATAAAGGAAACTTGAAATTTAGGGCTTTTATTTTGCAATGAGTGTTAAATTCGTCCTCAGGTCTATTCTCGAAACAATCACGGGAAGCGGGATTATAACGACTAGTTACTTGAGGAGGAACTTAGAAACACAAACCGAAAAGTCTAGTCTCAATGTGCTGGTGGAACGTACCCCAGTACAACGATGGGTGTGCTGCAGGAAAGCCATCAACGACCAACTGTGGCATGAAAGGACTTTGTCCTGGAGTCATTCGGCGTATCATCGACCGTGGCCCATGCCAACAGCACTCGATTGAGGTTTAACCCGCTTCAGAAGGCGAATTAAATATTCTCAAGACTGGTGATGGATATTTGCGGGTTCTACGCCAGAGTCAATGTATTCATTACAAACTGTTTGAGAAGTCATGTGGTTGTGATTACCCCAAGAAGCTCGCCAACCTTGGTGAGAACGCCTGTCGTTTAATTAAACGAGTTTTGGGGTCTGGGTTAGAAAAGAATCAAATAAAAGAGGACATATCATTGTGTTCATCTATCACTTGGTGGCCTTATTCTTCCTACCCTCCCAAGCAAACGTCGGCAATAGGTGGCGCTCGGGAGGATCAGTTACTTAACCGGGACTACAATTATTCGTGTTTGAAAGAAAGTTATCGTGGACAAGTACACACAACTTCTCTTTTGTACCCCCTCCCTCCCTCTCTTTTTAATTGAAAAGAAGAAGAAAGGAAAGATGAAAAAAACTTTGACTCTCCCATTTGGCCTAACAAACAGCCCATTGCGGGATAGGTACCACACACTCACCGAGGCTCTGGCTTGATACAGATGCTTTCACTCGACGTGTTTACACATGGCCAACGGGTCTTGAATCGAATTCACAAGAGCAGGGGTTGTGAGCATATCTGCAAAAGGTGGTCGAATCATGCGCTGAAACGTGTTTTCGTGGCTTGGTTTTGCCGCCATGTAGGCATAATAATTGCACTTTTGCCAACACTGGCTGGGCAATGATGACGCCCGGCCACAAAGCACATCACTGACAACAACGCGTCACAATAAACCAATAGATTGGTATCTCTCCACTGCTTTTAGTTTGCAGTGGCCAAGGCTTTCAAGCAATATATATTGCTGTGCTTTAGCGTTCCCCTTCTCATTCTTTCCCCCTTCTTTATCCTGGTCTCACAGCAATTCACCTCACATTTCAGCCCCTTATTGAATGCTGCAACAGTCAGTAATACAGTTTCCTGTCTAGCTATCGAATACTTCAAGACATTAAAGATGTAAATCTCACAATAACAACAGCCCTTTCCAGCTATGGCTAACTTGAGTAAATACAGGTATGGACACATCCAAGAACATCGGAAGGTCACCAACAAAAATGGCGCGACGACCTTTGAAGGAGTAATCAACGTCAAGATCAGCGACTGTCGTAGCCGCACCTGTTCCACGTCTAGCCGTTACAGGCCCCCATACAAGGCCATCAAACCGGCGGGTTGTTGATTGCTACATAAGCCGACCCCCTTTGTGGCTACTCGGTAAAATGTTTCATTTGTCCTCACAAGCCAGAATGGTACAAACAGGAAGCATGCGTTGAGGATAAATATGTTTCTCAAGCACTTGTGAGACTTTCAAGAATTGGTTCGAGAGGATCAGGTTGCGTTGGCCTCTAGTCAAGACAATCTTCGATATAATCAAGTTTTGTTCGTCCCATGACAAGTTGACTGGCTTTGATCTTGGAAACGAATCATACTCGCACATGCTGCTTGGCACTGTCGGTTCATATGATACATGTATACATTCGCCTCAAGTTGTACCACATGTCATTAACGCTCCGAAGAAGATACATACCCCCAAGCTCGAAAACACCAAACTTGGCGTCTGCTAGAGGTGGCCACCTACATGCCTTAGGATGATAAAAGTCTTTCCAGTCTTGAGCAATTCAACAATTCGCATCCATACTTCGTTTTGTGAGATGCCAGCCTCGGAAGGCAGAACACCATATCATTATTACAATTTGGTGATGACATTGTTTCTACTGTCATTGTCTGCAATACAACTTTCGTCAGGTGAATTCCATACTCCGCTGTCCTTTTATTTTGAATATGCCAGGTTGCGCGTCAGGTGGTATGTCACTGAAAACAACCAATAAAAGTGTACACACCTAGGTTGACGCTTTTCTGTTCTTCTTCTCCGGTGCTTTACTTCAATGGTGGGCCCTCTGTATAACAAGGGATGATTTCAGCGTCCTCGTGGAGCTTAGCTCTTACATGGTATGCCTACCCTCAAAAGCTTACTTGGGCTTACCTCGGTATATCCGCACTGATAATGATGGGTTTCCCGAATTCAACTTTGGACGCCATTACCGAGCATGACGGCCCCCTCAAGAATCTCTCAGCTGCAACTACATTTGCATCCAAATGCAAAAGATTCCGAGCATCACGGTACCAGTAAGAAAACAAACATGTCCTCCATTAATCAAACAGAGCGCCCCAGCGTGGACAAGCCGTGGCTCCCTCTAGGACAAGACGGTTTCTCAAATGAGAAGACGGCAACGGCAACATGCTACTGCGGTAGTGTCCAGCTTGAATTTGTGAGTATCAACATTACCACTGGATGGAATGCGCCCCCGCTGATACCATCTTACACCCTGGATAAACAGCCAGTCGAGGGCGATGACATGGTCGACTCGTTCATTTGCAACTGCACCGACTGCCGCAAGATCACGGCCTCCGTCTTTGCCTCCAATCTCATCATCCGGGACCGAGGAATCAAGCATCTGCGCGGCCGGGACAAGCTCACCGAGTTTGGCCAAAACCGCACCATTGTCACGGGCAACACCATGACCAATTACTTTTGTTCCGTCTGCGGTACGCTCATGTATCGCATTAGCAGCGCCTCGCCGGATAAGAAAATCATGAGGCTCGGTACCGTGGACGACTTTAACCTGCACGAGACCAAGCTCAAGCCAAGGATTGAGCAGTTTTGCAAAGACCGGGTTGCTTGGTTTAGTGGCGGTGACGGCGTGAAGCAATATGACGGGAATTATTATGGCGGATCGTCCAAGAAGGCTTCTGTATAGTGATGGCCCTGGGCACGTGTTTCAAGATCAAAAGTCAATGAATTGCCATGGAAATATGGCTTCATGTACCAAGCCGACTTAGAACGAAGACGCCCTGGCCCCCGATCTATCGCGTCCCTTAGTTCCAAAACATACAAACACAGATGGACATGAAAAGTCAAAGACGCATTCGAGAAGCTCGTGTAGTCTAAGTCTCTCTTTCGTGCGCCTCCAGTCGCGACAGTTGATTGTAACGTATTTCTTACATTTTTGGGTAACAGTCAATTTCTTGCATTGGATACAGATCGAATGACCCAGCAACCTGCAAATGAAAGATGGAAATATTTTGGTCATATGTTACATGTCTCGCTATGATGTACAGACTTATTTATTCTCACATGGATGGCGGTGCCGGACACCATTGAACACGGTTGCATGCTCATTGCTGTCGATACAGAAGGGCAATGCCCATACCTCACCCGAGGTATAGCTCCTCGCTTCCGACCCGTGGGCCCCTTTCTATTACATCGCCAATTACGCCTGAGCCCGGGGCGCGGGCTTCTCCGTCGGAGGAGCTGCTCCACCAGCAGCAGCCTCGGCCTCGGCCTTCTTCCTGGCGTAATAGTCTCTGAACTTCTTTTGCTTGGCCGCTCTCTGCTCGTCGAGGGCCTCCTTCCTTCTAGCGATCTTGTCCTCGCGGTCTCTGCGCATCTCTAGCTGGATGGCCTTGACCGTTCTCCTTCTGTGTTTCATGGCGACTCTACGAGAACCCATCTTGCGCTTCTCGGTACGAATAAGGCTACCGAGACGCCAGTTCTCCTCGCGATAGGCGTAGCTGCCGTCCTTCTGGAGCTTGTAGATGCGCTCGTCACGCGGGTGCGGGTTGCGGCCGTAGCCCTGGCGGACGACCTGGTTCGGGATACCCGAGGCACTGATCTCGGGCTCGATCTTGGCTTCGGGGATGACGGAAGCCGTCATGTTGAGCTTGCGCTTGCGCATTGCGTGTGCGTGGTAAGGCAGCTTGTCCTCCTTGTTGAAGACAACGCCAATGTACTGGCGGTCGGGGTGCTTGGCCGGGTCCTTGTAGTATTTCACGTAGCCTGTCACCTTGGAGAAGAGGGTATGGTCGCGACCCATGCCGACGTTCTCGCCAGGGTGCCATTTCGTGCCGCGCTGCTTGAAGAGGATGTTGCCGGGAATCACATACGTGTCTGTTGTTTAGAGACATTAGCATCTTGAGCCACAACCGTCGCCTGAAGTAAACGACTCTCAAGGTTGGTGATACATACCACCAGTCTTCTTGGCACCCAAGTTCTTTGGGATCGTGCTCGAGTCTCGAATCCTGTAGGCTCCCTGACTCTTGACGGAGGCATACCTCCTACCCTCGACAGCCTGGTTCGTGTTTCCTATCCTCAGAGCGGCGAGTCCATCCTGCAATTGTCGAAGAGCAGCACCAGTCCTGGCTGCCGACGATCCACTAGAAGATGCGGCCACCAGCGGCCGGTGTAATTGAGCCAGCTGCATGTTGTGTTTGGTCTGGTGGAGGAACCGGCAATGATACGATGCTCTCACGGCGTGGAGCTCAGCATGGACTTTGCGAGCTCCGGGATCAAGACCGCGAAAATTTCGGCTTAGCTAATACAGCTGGGCCGATTTGGCGGAATGGAAAAAGCGGGTACTTGTCCTCAAGGTAGGTATCCTTGAGCTTGCAAGGCAGGGGGAAGGGGGCCGCTGTCCCGCTAAAGTGTCCACTAATGACAGCCGAAGGTGTTCCCTGGAGCAGTGGAAACTTGAAGTTGCCAGCAATGCTTCAAAACCACCACTGGACACCAGACTTACCGTGATATATCGGGTCATCACTATTGCGCCAACCTCGCCAGGCTGCACCGCTTTTACTGCAGAGAGTCACCAATCGGTTTTAAGCCATCATGAGGGCATATGCTACGATTCTAGTTGTCCTAGCGGCATTCTTGTCGACCGCCACGGCACAGTTTGGCTTCTTTGACCAGATGTTCGGTGGAGGAGGCCAGCAGCAGCGCCAACAACCACAGAACGTTCCGAGCGACTCGACTATTTACAGACAAAACTTTGAGTCATTCACTTGTGACAACTACTTGTGCCCTGATACTCTTGGTAAGTCTCCCAGCTGTATTAGCAGTACATGATTGAATTCCACATGGAACTACTAGCCAGCACTGCACTTTTTGTCTACTGGACCTGACACTAATATTCTCTTTGCCAGCTTGTGTACACTTCCCGCACCATTGCCCCTGCCCATTTCCTGCCAACGAGGATAAGATCGAGACCAGCGACGGTCACCGACTATGCGTATCCAAGGGCGGGTTCAAGACTGGAGAGGCGGCGCGCAAGGTCGAGCTGGCGAGGAAGGGTCTACTATAAAGTGATTGGTCCGAGCAAAGGATCTGTGGTAGCGGTTCATGCAGTGGTTACAGCAGGACAGCAAATTCAATCCGGTGTAGAATATCGTACAATACTCGCCAAACTCGGACAGCTAGCAGTGTACAAGATCCATCGGGTACGGTGCAACATGTAGAAGATTGACAAATCGGTCTTGTTTCACTAGCAAATATGGTATTTGGAAACTGTCTACCAACACATAACAAATGCGCATAAGCGACTGCCCAACAGCAAATAGCTGCGGGAGTCCTCCCTACGGCTTGACCTCTGCTGCGAGGCTAAAAATCAGACATGTTTGGCAAAGCCCACAGTGCCGCAAACATAAACCAAAAGTGCTGAGCTTGGTTGAAATCAATCTGTCATGCAAAACAGTCGCCATTCCGGTACTCCTGATATAAAGCGTTCTGCCGTAAACTCCTGGCCCTATGCAGCACTCCGTCAATGATATCCTTCTCCATGTTCAATTCGTTAAGCGTGAGCGTCAGCGCTGAATGGCCTAGGCCGAGGGAATCTTTGGTACGGGCGGGACCTGGTTTCGCTTGCCATCCACACCCTCCTCATCGTCATCCTCCATCTCCTCATCCACAACCTCGGGGTGTCCCAGCAGGCCGACGGCCTCGCTCATCTCGTAGTGCTTCTTCCTCAGCTGCTCAAAGCGCCGGTGCTTCTCGCGCTCCTCGGGCGACATGCCCAACATGTCTGCATCGGCATCGTGCAGTGGTGTGGCATCCTCGTCATTAACGTGCACCTTGCTCTTGCGACCTGTAGAAGAATGCTCGCTTTCGGGAATCTCCTCTTCGGGCTCACCAAGACTCAGGCCGGGAATCTCGGAGTGAGAGCTCTCAAACTCGTCATCGTCATCTTCCGAAGGCGAGTAGTGCTTGGCGTAAGGGGTCTTGGGCTCTGTGATTTTCATGGTCGAGGTGCGTTCCTGCTCGGTAAGGTAGAGGTTGGCTTCGTCCCACTTGAGGCGATTCTCGGCCGGGGCGTCGGGATCTTGATCCGCGGCCGAAGGAGTGCGGGAGGATTGGCGCCGCGAGCCAGCCGGTCTCGAGGCAGCGGATGAGGAGCGGCGATGTCCTGTGTTGACCTGAGTGTTCTGAAGTACGAGCTCCTTCTCAGTCATATCCTTCTCCTGAGTAGGCGACAGCGGAGGCGACTTCTGGAACGAGTTCTTCAGAATACCTGTGCAGAAAGTTTAGTCAAGTGTTTCACGCAGAGTGACCAAAGCTGCAGACAAACCTCTTGGGCGCTTAGCCGTAGGCGGCGGGGGAGAGTGAAGCTCAGCGGGAGGGTTGGTTTGGACTTCCATTTTGCTGTAAACCAGATGCCAACGTGTATTGCGGGTGCAGGTTACAGTTATAGAATGTTGACGCTGCAAAAGTGATGCGGGAGTTGTTGGATCAATTTCTAGTGGTGAAAAAGTGTCCAGAGGGGAATGTTGCCAAGTAGGGGACTTGAAAATGGACGATGACCGATTTGCGCAGGGCTCAAAAGTTGCTCCGGAACCCTGGAGTTAAAGGCCAATGATGAAGTCACGCCACAGCCGCGATAGAGTTCCAGGGGGGCGACGGTGGTTGCAGCGGGCTGGTGCGAGCTTGCAGTGGTGGGCGGCGGGGTCCTTCTGGGGAATGGTAAGTGATAGCGATACCGAAATCACTAGACACTGCCTCAAGTAGATACAGGTAACTCTTGTCTTATTTTCTGGTGACGAGTGACGTGTAGGATCAACTTGCGACGAGCTGGAGTGATCTGAAGGCACCGAGTCCTGTGACTTCTTTCTAGGAGAGGAATGCGGCGTGAACGATTTTACAGGAGGTCGGCTGTCGGCGCTGAAGAGTTGGGTGATGTGTGTGACTGGTGATCGGTAGCGAGACGTGGGAACCCGTGATTGAAGGGGGTATTATGGTCACTGTTTGAATCTCTTGATGGTGACACGACGGGATGCAGATCGACAAGAGCGTCTGCAATGTATGGAAGTCAAGAAACCTGTCAAATCTGAATAGCGAGCTTCCAAGTGTTTGGTTGGGTAGGAAGAGTTCTGATTAAATTCGAACGGACGGCAGATCGTAACCTAGTACTTTCCCGTTTATTATAGATGGCCAACATTGAATGGGCATCAACCTTGATGTCGCTGAACCGGTTTGTTCTTAGCGGGATGCGTCTACCACTAGAGTGCAGGCACATTGCCCACGCTACTTGCTTGTAGTAGTACGAGTACCAACCATCGACTTTGGAGGGGTTGGGAAGAAGACGATCATGGTCTGAATGCCACCCCGCCTTTTTTGCCCTCTATCTTCCCCCATCTTTCAAAATGTGCCTTTGAACCGAGTGTTACCAAGACAGCCCTGAAGATATGAAATGCAATACATACCTTGAGATCTACCTTGTTCCATTGATTCGTTCACGATGAGCATTCATGCAATTCTAGTCACATGATCATATCCATCACTCCACCACAGTCTCCCTATACTAATCCCATCAAATGTCTCTGTGTCTTGGAACACATACATGTACTACACACCCATTTGCCAGACATACAGACATGCTGATGAATCTATTATCAACAAGAGCAATTACTACACGATTTAATCTCCTGTACCAATCCACTTCCTTTCGCATGACACCAGCTCTTTCTTGCCCATTTCAGTCAGTTATATGTACATACAATTTAGCACCGCATTGCAAAACAAAGAAAGAATAACCTCAAATTCCTAGTGTGCATGCAGGGTTCTCGCTTGGGTATGGATTGACATCATCGAACAACCCCGTCCTCCGCATTTGACCATGCCGCAAACACACAAGCGCCCCCTCTCCTTCCCCTCCTCTTAACTCTTGTCCCCAGGAATGCAGAAATCTGATTCCCAAAAGAATACTTCGATAAATCATTCTGCTAAGCTAAAAGCCAGTGACCTCATTCTACATGTGGGAAGCCAATCATCGAGCTTGGGTTCGACGCGCGACTTTTGGGCCTCGGCATTTTGATCATATCGTTTGCTTTGATGTGTATTGTAGTCAGTCGTCGCGCCATGATGCGTACCATGGTTAGCTAAGTATCTACCTAGGTAAGCAACAATTAGCAAGTCGGAGATTTACACGATTTACATTGGGCTCCAGCGGCAAGAAATATGAGCGCGGCTATATGCGATTGGATTTCTATTGGAACACATATTGGCTGGGGTCTGCAGTGCAGATATGCTTTACGTATCCCAAGCCAAACCAGAACCAAACCATTTTTTTTTTTTCATGTCTGTATTGTGGCATCACGAATAGACTTTGCTCGGCTCATTTCTTGGTATCTCGACAACGATCTAAATACATATACATGGCGGGAACTGCGGCAGTGATGACGGCCCGAAGCCCTAAACTCACCGTCGTATTGTCGTATTGTCGTATGCCAGTCAGAGGCGATATGGCCCGTTGGCATTACTCGCAACGCTACTTCAGCTACTGCTTGTCTATTGCTCTAGCCTCCGCGATTTCATTCACCGCGCCCGTAGGACATGTAGACCCTGCGTTGTTCCTAAAGCTAATTACCTGATGCGGAGCTGGCCATCATGCACAATTCGACGTGAGGCGATCTGGTCAGCTTCCGCGAAAGCCAGAAAACACACCTACCATACGAACCCTTTCATGCTGTCCCCAGAGAATGATTGTTAAATGATAGTCCACGACTCATGTATATGTTCATACAAGGTGCACTTGAGCTTGATAGAGATGCTGAAAGATCAATTGATTGTAGTCGTTAGTTGCCATGGGGGAGACCGAGTAGTAATTATGGTATATAGATCAACGCTAATTATATATCACACACGCTCCTCGTTTTTACAGTTATGAGTACACGGTGTGGTCAATCCACTGGCCATGATTGAAGCCACCTCGACGAAAGTATCTGTACCAGGACTGCCGCAATGACAAAACATAGTCCGGGGATGGGGAAGACGCTGAGCAGCTTCACGTCGACTATTCGTCGTAGCCACCTTCATCCTTGACTTTAGTCTTCTTGGGCTTTTTATTATCGCCATCGGCCGCCTTCTTAACTTCCCGCTTCTTCGGACGAAGCCACTCCTCCATTCCGATCGGCCAATACACACGGCGATTCGGTCCGCCCATGCCAATCTCCCCCGGGGAAATCAGGGGAGGAGCAGCAACCTCGGACTCTTCGGGCTCGGCTTCATCATCCTCATCGGTCTCCTTTTTGCCCTTTGCCTTTCTCTTCTTTGGTGTCTTGGGCTTGGGCGGTGGCTTATTCTCGTCGTTTCGCTCATAGGGGACTATGTCGTTGAAGCTATCCCATCCCGGCAACTTATAAGTGCGCATCAACTCAAAGACAGCTTGTTCCTTGTCTTTGGCTTCTATCATGAGATCCATGTTGTCTGCACATGGCGGTAAGGCCATGACTCTAGGCCGATGCTTTCGGCGTTGCCGACCGGTGATGGCCTCGGGGCAAGGCTCACTGTAGTGCATCTTTTGTGTAATGCCTTTTCTGTCCCATGTCGCCTTGATCCGAGGGTACAGGTCCATGATATCCTTTGTACCTTCTCTGATCTTGGACTTGTCAAACATGATGTTGTGGTGATGGTAGTCGAGGACCATTGGAATATTCAACTCCTCGCAGATAGGTAGCAGGTCGTGAACAGTCCAGCAAACGTCATCGTTCTCGAGAACGAGTCTGGCCTTGATGCCTTCCGAGAGTGGTGCATAGTTATCACGGAATCTCTGGAGAGTCGCTTCTTTGTCGCCAAACATTCCTCCCATGTGGAGAATCATGACGGCATCCTTATTCTGCTGAGGTGGAAGCTTAAGAAGAGAGAGCATCTCGTCGTGATATTCGAGATCACGGATTGCGTTGCGGACAACCTCTTTGCGCGGAGAACCCAATTGGGTAAACTGTAAAACTTTAGCATCTGTCAAAAGAACGCCACACATGATAAGAAAAACCTACTTGACCAGGATGCGTGGTAAGTCTATGACCCAGTTCACCCGCAACCCTACCTGCTTCTGCAAGAGCATCAGCGGCAAAAGGCGCCAACTTGTACCCATATTCTCCATGGCTGGCAAAAGGAAACATTTCAGAACTGAGACGCATAAACTTTATGCCATACTTGTCGTTCCACCGCAACATTTTGACAATATCTCGCGCATTGGCAAGCCCGAGATTCTCTACATATCGTTGTCCTCTGGCAACATCTGCTGGTTGGTCCTTGTCAGGGCGGTTCTTGGTAGCATGCTCTGGTTGGGATGGATCCGACAGCGGATGACGATGCTCTAGAATAGATGCTATCCTGCAAGTACGCGAACTGAAGACGGGCGGATTCGAAAGCCGCAAATAAGTATTCAAACATGCCTACTTTCATGTCAGTGGTCTATCCTCCATTGTAGAAGACCAATTCCTTGTTGGGAAACTTACATATCCTAACCGTCCTTTCCATGGTAGCGGAAGGTAATCACTATTAACTGCAGGAGGTCGTGCCCCCTCTTCCTTCAAATCGCTGACATCTTCTGGGTCGACGCCTTGTCCCATCTCGCCCTCACCCACCGCGGCATCTTGTTCCAATTGAGGCACCTCTGGATCTACTCCATGCTTCTTGGCCTGTTCCTTGCGTCGAAACTCGAGTGTATCATCATCACTGAGGACACTTGAGGTTTGCCCCATGTCAGGCATGAACGCATTGCCTGCGTCGGTAGGGCTCCCATTAAACTTCTTATTCATGACCGCACTCGACTTGACTGCCAGCTTTTGACGTTTGGCGGATTTCCTAAATGCATCTTCCATTTCCTGAAGGTCATGCATGGCGCTGCTGACCTTGGCGCGGCCCGGTGGCTTGTCTTCTTTGACATCTTGATGTCCATTGACGGATTCTGTATTCTCCTTCTCGCCGATGGGGTACCCATCCATGCCACTCGATTTCCTCACATTGCGGCGCGACCTCCGGGGAGGTGGGTTGGCGAACCCAGGTGTAATCGGCGGCGAGTGTTCTTCGATGGTCGGGAGGTCCTGCTGCATCAAAGCCATGGTGGGCTTCTTGCGTTTTGGGGCCATCGTGACAAAGTGACAACGGTCGAGGGCCAGACTTGGGGGTAGAAATATAGGCTGAACACGTTCCGGAGCAAATGTAGCGGAGCGTAATCCTAGGTCAAACTTACACAAGCGAATGGCCGACCTCGAGTAAGTCGGCATACAATGTGTAACGGTGGATACTATGAATGGGTATGGAGATCGACCGGGGGGTAGGCGGGATCCAACCGCTGGGTAGGATTGTATAAGATGGGATCACGTGGGACTGAATGTATAGAATGATTGTGGCTCTGCTTGTCCGGTTTGTGAGATAAACGTGCAGTATGTGAGGACCTCTTGGGTGGGTGAATGGAGAATGGGCGTCTGTAGACTGTCTACTCTACCACAGTATCCCGACGTTTGTTGGGGGAGAAGGACCAGGGGACTCTGCAGGAGAATTACGGTTTGTAAGACAAGACCGGAGCGGAATGTCCTGGCCGGAGGCAAAGAAAAGGCTTGAGGATCGGGAGATCTGCAACAGCAAAATCATCTGTAGATGTCGAATGCAAACAGTGATGACGGAGTTGTCGTCATATCCCACATGAAAACAATACGGGCCGGGCACTTTGCTCCGTGTGTGTGTGTGTGTGTGTGTGTGTGTGCGATTGAATGATTTTGGGAGAATTTGGTCGTCACTTGTGTATTTCCTACGAGGATGCTATGATGAAACTAGGTCAGCTGTTGGCTAGAAGGATCTTAATATCAATTGCATCTCTGCCTGGAGAAACAAAGGCGCGCTTTGCGCCTTCGTTCATTGTTTATGACTGGCGGCTATTCATGGACGTCACCATATATTAGAGCTTGTCCACACGGTCGTGCCACAGTCGAGAAAGCAAAGGTGAGCTGTCGGGGAATTATGTCATAGCTCCTGGCAGCCACTAGCTAGCTCTGCGTTAGCGAGTCGCCATAATCAGGGCTCCCCCGATCGGCTCGATCTCGCGGCACCTTAGCAATGACCCATGCTAAAATACAGCCTAACAGTTGGTACGCCACAAACCCAGAGCGCAGATCCTCTGCCCTGCCAGTGTACGCCAAGTGGTACAACCTTATGGAGTTCGCTGGATATCGAACATTAGGTAGTGTATAGGGCGGGTTGGCGGGGTGTCGCGGTGTTACACTTTCGCCTCTTTTGTTCTGCATACTTCGAGCCGCCATTGTCATCGTCAACGTTCGTATTGGGGGAACAATTGAAATCTACATATGTCCCGCCCGCTGCCCCGTTATTCTCAACCCGCAAACTTTTCATACGAGGCAGAAAATCAAGAAGTGGTGAACATCATCTTCTAGCATGTCTGGCGAGTCTGGGATATCGCTACGCCCATTTGTTCATCAGAGCGGCAAAAAGGAAACGTCAATTCTACTACTGCCTGGCTGCTTTTCCTTCTCCTTACACTCTGTCAAGCATACTGGCATAACACAGTGGACCCCGATTCGATGCCATTCTGCAGTCTGTTGGGAAGGATTGACTACAACTGGGCTTCGTGGGCCTTGTGGATCTCCACAGATAAAATACATGACCACAACAGGAGGGTAATTTTCTTGAAAATTGGTTAGAAGAACGGCATGATCGGCATAGCAGATCGATACTCCGCCTCCCAGTTCGTCTCTCGTCTGTATGGTGACTCTTCGGCTGGCTCGATCTGTTGATAGTATGGCGTACGACAAACGGGGCAGTCGTATCTTTTCCTCAGAAACCACGAGGCCAGACATCGCGCATGATACATGTGCTGGCATCGTTTCAGCTTCAGCACGTCGTCGTCTATCGGTTGTGGCATCCACGATTTGGCACTCCCCTCTTTATCTTTTCTGTAATTGCACGCATCGCTCGAAAGTGAAGACACGTTCGTGGCCGAAGACACTTTGGAGGCTGTCATTGACAGCTCTGTGCCAGATTCAAGGTCCAGGCCTCGCTCTAGGTCGGCGTCTGTTTCCGGGCAGTAGAGCGATACTAGGCATATTGGACTTTATCCAGATGTCAACATGCGCCTCATTACGTCTACTGATTAGGCTGCCAGGATAGGTTACTCACCATTCCAATCCAACCGACTTGCGATTTTCACTCCGATGTCCCCTGTGGTCAGTCACTTGTTCAAGCTCGGTCAAAGCTCGCTGTAAAGATTTTGGAACCTTTTCGGTCTTGGGACTTGAATTTCGTCCAGAGATCCGATAAAATAAACTTCGGAGTTGAGCTCGAAAGAAACTGCTGATAGTCAGATACACCAGCTCCGAGAATCTGGTCAATGTACGTATTTGCTGTTACTCACAAAACCACCAGGGACGACAGCACAGAACCGCAAACGCAGGCAATTATTATCGCGTCTGTAGGGTGTCCCATGTTGCTATCTCGAGTCGCGCGTTCCTGACGTGAAGTTGTTGGACCCTGCCAGCGGTGATTCTAGAAATTTAAACCCTCCAAGACAAATCTGGGAGCTTCCCACATGACCTCTGGTATTGCGACACGGCTGACTGTCTTACCCTGACTGACGTGACGCTGGGTTCGTTGAATGGCCGTTGATCAGCAGGTGATGGTCAATATCTCAACTGTCAGTCGAGTGTTAAAAAAAATTATTATTCGGAGGTAATTGATCGGGATTGTTTGAAAACATTCAAAGTCTGGCCAAAAATAACGAGGATGACTTGGGAAATGGCTACACCGGCTCGAGGTCCTTCGAATACCATTAACTTCAGGAGAAGCCATCCATTTTAATTGAGTCTACCTAGTACTACTAGGTAGTCTATAATACCCAAATGACAGGTCAAATTGGGCAAGCCTTAACTGAATATGGTTTGTACTGCCTCGGCACTTGATCTTGTGCAGGCAAAAAAACGTTGATCAAGTAAGCGCCAACCAACAGCCGTCAGCGCTGTGTGTGTTGGAACGCAGGAAGATGTTTGCATGCATGAGTCGTGCTATTTTAAGTTACACGTTATTTTATAGAGGAGCCCAGCACCTTATCTCGCAATCGCATGGGGCACGATGCATGCTGGCACCAATTTAGACCTATCAACCAACCCAGGGACTTTCCGCAGTGTCGCCAAATTGGAAGGATTTTATCCACAGCGGTTGGAGTGAGACGCCGGCGTGGAACTTTGCTGTCCAAGATCTGCGGCTTGGCAAATCACCTCGTCGTCCCTTGCATGCCAAATCAGCCCTACCACACAAACCAGACATATCAGTGTGGGTGAGACATAACGCCCAAAAAAGTCCAAATTCTCACGTAACAACTCATCCTATGATGCTGTCTCTTTCTATCGCGACGTCTTCTTTCGTTTTGCCGATGGCTCAGCCGACTTATCTGATTCGTTCAGCTCTGCCAACCTTCTCTCGGCGAGTTGAATGGCTTCTTGGAGAATATTCTTCTCGCCAACACGCACAACCGTGGCCATTTTTTTCCGATGTGCCGACTTGATGGCCTCTGAAGAGACATTGGCACCTGAAGCTAGTGCTGTACTGGTCCAATTATCTGCCTCCTGGGCAATGGCAATGTCCTGAGATTCGTTTGTGGGGTATTGCGCGAGACGCAGCTGCAATGCGCGATGTATGGCCGTGATTGAAATCTCATCGCGCTTGCGCTTGTCTGGGATGGCTTCAGGCGTTGTCTTTCTCACAGCCTTCAGCAGTGTTGCGATCTGTTCCTGAAGATCTTCAGGCAGGTGTCTAAAATCCTTCTCGCCATGGAGCCGACCCTGCGAATCTGGACCTTCCATGTCCCTGTCTAGTACGAAGACGTCTTCAATTTCCTCGTCTTCCAAGTCATTAATCTGTAAAGACGTCAGTCATCAAAGAGATTCAAACTCTACAAGTGCTGCCGGGAGCTTACCGCCTTGCCCCAGACCTTCTCATCCAATCTCAACTGCTCTTTCAATGCAGAGAGCACCATATCCCAAGGTAGTTCTACAACGTCGTGCCGCATGTGCTTCTCGGTCACATAGCCGTAACGTCTGAGCAGATCTCCATTGGACAGCGGGCCGTAGTAGTTGTAGATCTCTTCTCCAGCTGCTATGGGCCGTAAAGACGTCACTGTGAGGCTTCCTTCCTCGTGATTCACATGTGCCTGAAGCATGTCAATGATCCGTTGCGAGAAACTTGTCACTGGACATATCTTACGTTGAATTCGGCATCAGCGTTGAGTATGTCGGCCATGGGTACCATGCCCATCATTAGCTGCCCCTCCTTGTCTTCCATCCATTCGTCCTCATCCTCGGGTTCCGGCTCGTCTTCATCATTCTCAAGGTCAAAAGCATACGCCATGATTGTGCTGCCCATTCGGTGTGCCAATGCGATGAGCTCGTCTTCGCTCAACCTTTGAGCGCCCTGAGGATAGAATACATCGGCGTGCTCTTGAACTGCAGGCAACACCTTGACGCGGAACATGTTTTCTGCTTCATCCTTGCCAATCTTGGAGGCAATGGCGCTTGCTTGAAGTTCCTCGAGCTCCTTGTCGGTCCAAAACATGAGAGTTTCGAACTCCTCGGGCAGTACGTCAAAGTATGGCTTCCATTTTGACTGTTCGCCTTGCAGGTACTCATAGACCATGACAAGGATCAGCGACACCCAAGAGTCAGGCGGTCCTGTAGCGTCGCCGTCCTCGTCGGCCTCATTGTCGGTATCCTCCAAACCGGCTGTGGAATCCTCAAAGATCTGAGGAACTCTCTTGGGCAGATCTGAAGTCAGAGTATTGATGATGGCATCTCTGGGAATAGTAAAGAGAACCGTTTCTTCTGGAATATCTGCCGTAGCAACTAGTGTAATCTATATTAGCTGGAGTTGTAATAATTTTGGAATGCCGAATTGAGGTGTCTTACTGATTCCTCTGCCGCGGTTGCTTTGGCGCAAATCTTGAATCTGAATATCCGAGTGGAAAGTCGTTCCTGGGAGTCCCTTGAACCAATTGAGGAACGACTCTGTCCTGGAAGCAAATGAGTCTGCCATGGCCGCGACGATCCAAGCTGCAGTTCAATGTCACGTCGGGCTCCTTGTTGTTTTTTCTTGTCACCAATGGTGAATTAACTGTGAACTTCTTACATGAATTTGAGTTCACTGAAAAACTATTCCAGCAGCGGCTGAGCGCCAATCGGCGGGACCCACCCAAGCTGCTAAGTTCAGCTCGGCGCTCACCGACGTGGTCCTTTGGGCCCAGTTGTCATCTGACCAAATGGCGTCTCTAAGCAAAAGAAACGAGTACTAGAAATAAAAATAAAAAATCTCCGATTGGATCAGCCACTTACCAAAAGAGCATTCAACATATATCATGACCATAAATCACTATCGCAGGATTATCGTCTTTGAAATTTTCAGGTTGCGTATAACGATCTCTGCTTCCCCCATGTGGGACACGTGATGCCCCCAAAACCACCAATGGTAGGCAATGGATGAGACCCACATTGTTACTCAGTTCCAAGCCTTTTGTATCTTGTGGGCTTCATCTCGAGATCTGAGGGTGTATTGTGGATATTTGATATATATGATTCACTCGTTTATGTTGATGTGGGAAATGGTTTTAAATGTCACGCACCAGATCGTCCACGTCTAATGAGCTCGTAAGCCAAGTCATACTCTCGAGTCTCATCTACACAAGACCGCCAAAGCCTCCGCTGCGAATCTTCTGCAACCCGAATTAGTAGGTTTTTTTTTTTTTTTGGTTGAATCTCGCTACGTGGTGAAGAAGGCAAATTCCAACGCCGTTTCAGTCTCAGGGAATGAATCACTGAACCTTGAAAATCTTGTGGTCCGGTCAAAGCAGGCTCTTGCCGCAAGTAAGTGTTTTCAAGTTGTCAACCTGATCCTCCTCACAACCAACATTCCTTGCCACAGTTTGAGCCAATGATTGCTGCTCACAAAAAAGCGTTATACCATCTACATGTCCAGATTGCGAGTCGGTCGCTGGCTCGGGGACTACAGTTGTGGAAATATCCGCTTCTTCATTGTCGGTATCTTTCTTCATCAACCCTCCAGTTGTTCATTCTAGGATGCTTGAGATCCGAAATATCCAGACACCCAAGTATCTTGTCTTGGGCTTGGACAGTTGGAGTCCTGCGGGTACCGTGAACCCACCGGCCACCCCTCCCAGCTTCTCGTGGGCAAGTCGCTGTGGTTGAAGCACGTTATTTGTCGACCACTCTAGTAGAGAATAGGGATTGCCCTTTCGCATACTGTTAACTAGCTTTGTAATCGACTCAAATCTCTTGTGTAGTCTCTAATATCTCACGGTAGTTTCTCCCCCTTGCGCGTGGCCTGCCCGACCTGGGATTGGGTCTTATCCTCTGCATACCTCTGATAGGCCTTGACATATAAATCCTCTTCGCTCCATGTATCTCTCACGCTTTGTCTTTCAGAAATCGCATTATACCACTTTTTCCATCTGTCCCAGAGAGCAGCATCTTCATTGGCCTTATCTGCAGAGATGGCGAGTCCTCCGGGCTTGTAATGGTCGAGCAGGAAGAGGCGCTTAGCCCATGGCGCCAGCATCACGTCCACCATGCTGAACCTGTGGCCCAGGAACCATGGTCCACTATCATCCATCTCCTTGACAAGTATCTTGATCTGGCCCAGAAAGTCGGAACGTGCCTGTTCAATCGTATACTCTTTCTCTGGGGTATGCTGAATGAACTTGTAAAAGCCCGGAATAACCTTGTTGCTGATGTGATCAATCCAGAGCTTACACCGAGCCTTTTGGTAGGTGTTCTCCGGATACAAGTCAGGCCCGTTATTTGTTGGGTCGGCAAATTCTTCATTCAAGTAATCGCAAATGATGGTGCTCTCATACAGGGGCTTCAACACTTTGCCCTGGCCGTCCATGGGTACTGCCAAGGTTGGCACCAGACCGCGCGGATTCAGGTCCAGAAACTCGCGCTCCTTTTTGTAAGGGTTGATCTCAACATATTGATATGGTACTTTTTTCTCCTCCAGCACCATCCAACTTCGCTGAACAAAGGGACAGAACCACCCGGCGTACAGCTTCAGTGGATGTTCGCTGCTGTGGTTGGCGACAGTCTCGGCGGCGACCCCGCTGGCGTAGGCATGTAGTCCAGTATCAACCTGGGCCATTTTTGCAAGTCGGACTGGTTTTAGCATCAACGCAGTGAATGATTCTAGTGATATAAAGAAATGTCTTAGCTTTTTGGTATGTTGCTGTCGATTTCGTTGCGATGTGCAATTGTTGAGCTGGCAATGACATCATTGTTGCTTCGGCATTGCAGCCACCAATCAAACACTGCAGTTCAATGCCCCTCCCAGAGTCACATATGTTGTGTCCCACTACAAAATACCGACGGTAAAGCCGATGTGATACTATTGATTGTACACTACGATTAAATTTTCCGTTATACATTCTATTCTTGCGGTCCTACCTCGATGATGGATACTCTGACAAAAGGTGCAGGACCAAAGGCATCAGTACCTTGCGAGTCTAGAGCTCACCCGCTCCCCTCCTCTCTGGGAGTAACTATCACGAAGAATCCAAGTATCTCGAGAGCAGTTTGATTCGAGGTCTTCCGATGCTACCCTTGTTAGATACAGACTGGTGTATTTTGCCAACACATTTGGATCTGTTGGAGAGTCTGGTTGTTGACTCCACCGCTTGTAGTAGGTAGGAGGTGGCAATGCAACAGCCGAGTCCTGGAACTTGGAAGTTGGTATCATCAATGGTGATTCTCGTACTTCCCAATAATCGCTAGAGCGGAAGGATGGTATTGCAGACATGGCAAACGATGCGGTCTTGGTGGTTCCGCTGAATCTAGGCGGTATGTTGTGCACCGACATACTCGGACGGCCATGCTCATTCTTCTCTTCATGTTGCACAACTATGGTAGTCGCCTGTATGGAGCTCCCGTTCTTGACAGCATCAGGATGGTTGCAGGGCACACTTGATCGGGAGGTGATCCTACTGACCCATGGGTCGAATGCTGGAAGGCTTCCGATCAGGATCGTCAGAAGCAGCTGAATCGTGGACCAGACCACAAGATCGACGCTATCCCCTGTGTTTCTCAGTATACCTCTCAACTCATGCCGATGGCTGTGTACCTACAGGTTGAATCATATGTTGTTGAAACCTTGAGCAGATTCTTCAGCCCCATTGCGCTGGCCAGCATGGCACTAGTCTGTTAATTACTATCATGTCATCATAGGCTCAATGGAGCAGACTTACGAAATTGCCATGGCAAAAACTGCAGATAAAAACACCCGCTGGTGGCGCGTCATCTTGAGCTTGTGCAACTCGACCGTAGAGATGCATATCAAGAAGACATCTTCGGCCATCCCAATGCCTGCATCAACAAACCCTACAGTCATGATGTTCAAACATTTACTCGGGACACGCAGATCCCAGATAGAATGCAATGGCCAACACTGAAACATCACGACAAGCATGAACACAAGTCCGTGGCCAAGTACGAGAATGATAAATCCCTTAAGGGTCGAGCGAATCCAGCGCGTCGGAAAGAGTCGAATGAACAAGCAAGCAAGAGAAACCTTGGAAATCATGTGAGACGCCAGATACAGAAGTTGCACAATGTAAGAAAACTAGAGAGCAGATATTAACACACTTCAAATGATCACCAACTGGTGGTCGCACTTACTTGCGAAAGTGCAATGTCAGAACTGCTTCTAACATTCCAGTTGTGCTGCCCAAGACCTACTCTGGAACCTGTTTCGTCCGGTCAGCCATTCCCGCGCGTCAAGGAGGTGCCTTTGGAATCGACTTACTGATATATAGGATGGTAACGAATGCGGCAAGTAGTATCTGTCCCTCATTGGCACCATTAGCTTACATTGTTCTTGAACCTTCGTTGATAGTTGCATGCTCTCTTTACCATGCCCAGAAGTGCGGTCCAATCATCCACCCACAGCTTTTTCATGCTTTGAAGTCTTGTAGCGCATCGTGCAAGTACAATCGGAACCGAAAGAGCCAGAGTGACGAAAAAGAGGATTTGAATATCAGTGACCCTTGATGGTTTCGGGTACGTTACGCACAGTGCATCTCCAGCACTGGTGGCTACTGAAGCACATCTAGTTAGCCATGACTGCGAATCGGCACGACGGAAAATCGAGACACTTACAGGACTGGTCAGTGAGTCCGCATAACCTTTGAATGCAAATAGATAGATTAGATAATAATGTCATGTCCTGGCAGATACAGTCGCTCATTTCCGCATCATTTGTCGTGGGACATTTCGCAATTTCAAGATTTTCGGTCATGCATTGCACCTAGACTTTGCGGTCAGATCCTGTACCAATCATCGAGTGTAGGATAATCATTCGTTTTCTTACAGCACAACTCGGCAACAGAGCCATAAAGTCTGACATTGTTGTTGTTGTTGTTGTTGTTGTTGTTCTGGAAATACATGCAAGTACTTTCGGCAGATAGCCACGGGTGAGCCAGAAAAAGGTACATTCAAGAAAATAAAGTGATGCAAAAAATGAAAGAGACAGCTGAAAGCAGGCAGCCTTAGAAAAGATTTTGTGAATGAGTGACGGGCAAGACTAAAGCACAATGTTTCTGATGGTCTCCAGGACAGCGTCTCCAGCAACTCCCCATCGCACATTCCTTTTCACGGGCAGGACTGGGGATTGTGTGTCGCCTTTAAAGAAGCATTTCTACAACACATTGACAACTGTTTTCAGGTAGGTCTGGCTATTGTGATAACTTGGTGCAGGTTGTTCGTCTGTGCCAGGAATTAGTTCCAGGGTCCAAATGTGAGCTGTCGGGCCGCGAGGCGGCCGTGCGCTTTGGAGGTGGGTATCCTGAAGGCATGTCAAAGAGACTAGGTACAAATATCACATGTGACAAATAATTCAGTCATTACAGTTTTCATTGTTATCTTCCACATCGAACGGGCACAGGAGCATGTGGGTGATGTGATGGCGCTTTATGGAATCAGTCAGTACTTGATACACATCATCGAAATAAACCTGCAAATGACATTCGACGAGAAGGTTGGGATATCCCCTAGAATAAAAAAAGAAACGACGTGCATGACACGTAGTTGCAGGACTGAAAAATAGGTGATGCTATTCAATCACAATGTTGGGCAGAGTTCGGACGTTACGCTACCACTAGTACGACGCTCCGGCCCAAGCTGTATTCAAGCGAGCATATATTAAAGTGCTCGGTGTCGCCTAACCTTTTTGGCCTTTTTATTCCGTAGCCGTGATCTTGCCAGTGCCACAATGCTTACCCAGTCCTTGGTAGGCGTTGAAAAGTCCATGCAATGCCCAAGTCGCCAGTCAGTATTATCTAACGTCCTCATGGGATCAAGTAAACTAGGGTCGGTCCACATCCTTAAAAGACCAGACGATGATTGATTAAACGCATATAATCTCCTATCAACGCTCGGACGGGAGATTTCCGGGTTGGCCCAAATATGATCAACTATTAGACATCGATACACAGCAAAGATATGTTTTCATTTGTGTATATGTGGTTCAGGGTATCTAGTATGGCCAATACCGTCATTCTCTTGGACCATCACAATGTGAGATGGGCACGATTCAGGCAAAAGCAAGTCACATCAGGCCATGAACCGCAGATCAAGATTCCAAGCAGCCTTTTTTTTTTTTTTTTTTGGTAGTGTATACAGTACAAGTACAGGCTGTGGATCTGCATGGCGTCAACGATTTACATCCGAGCGCCACCTGTCACTGACTTGATCTGCCACCTATCAAGCCTATTTCAAAATTTAGCTATAGCATGCACCAAATCCGGCCACTAACGGGAGATTGCCATGCCATCTTTTGGCGGTAGGATTGTGGTGGCACAGCCCTTCTTGGGAATAGTGTTGCGACACTACCGACTGCGCAGGACCAAGCACCGGACAGCCTTCTTTCAAAGCAGTGCCGACCGTTTGATTGTTTCAGAAGGACTCTTTGGGGGTGGCTGGCCCAGCTGATTGGTTCACGTATCAGCATGGATTTGAAGACTATAATTTGAGCGGCAAATATCAGCTGCACGGGGCTGAACGCCCATTTGTTTCAATTGAGATGATCCATTCCACCCCTATCTGTATGGTTTCTTGGTACTGCGCTTTCCGTGGCACGGCACTCCCAATGCCAAACGCCTGGTCCGCCTCCGCCGGCCGGAGTCAATAGCATGGATGGTTGACTATCCCACCGACGATGTCCGAGCCCGTCGGCTTAACGCTAAGCGCATGACCTCGTGCTCCATCAACTCTGAATGCTTGTAGACGAGGGTGGCAAATGCGAAACAAATATTCAAGCTGCAATATCTAATGTCTAATAGTTTTCTTTTCTGTTTTGATTTGCATGGAATTCGAGGGTTGCTACTTAATGGGCCGTACTTCTTCTTATGTGGTGACGGTAGACTCGCTTCGCAGGGGGTGGGGTCGCCTTTATGCACTTCAACTTTTTCCCTTCAAGGAGGAATCAAGTCACAGTCAGTGTCATTTGATAGAAACTCCCATGTGGCCTGGGTTGCATTAGACTAGGTACCAAAGAGTAGAGAAGAAAACTTCTTTGGGGGCCGCAAAACGCAGTGTCCCAGTCTTCAGATTTTTGGACTTGTAACAGCTCTGGAGGAAGGTTTACGGACAAGATCGACAAGGACTTTTTTTTTTTTTTGGTTGTTGGGTTGGGGGGCTGTGTGTTCCCGAACCACTGTACTTTTGGGGTATACGGCTCAATTATGCCTTGGGGGTTCACAATGGTATCTCATACTAGTAAATTATACCATTGAACATACATAGACACCCATGGGGCCGCGAAACTCGTGATGAAAAGACCGGTAGCACGGAAGGAATTCGGTAAAGAGTAAACAAAGTGAAGTAAAACTAATACCCCCAAGGCTATGTAATCGCATCCTGCCGACGTCCGGGCTCATCCTTCCGCCCGCACGCGAATTTGAGGTAGGACGGCCGAAGCCGTCTGACTCATCTTACGGCGTGCACAGCCCAGTTACCCATTATAGACATTTCCATCATCAAGGCTTGACCACATGCTGACCGCATCTTCCCCTCTTGTCAGAAATTCCGGAGACACAAAAACGTGGACTTTGCGACCCGGACCAATTGCGAGCAGCTCTGACGCCATCTTTGTGACATGAGGAGATCGACGAGGCGATGATCTTGCATACAGCCTTTCTTAACCACCTCAGCAAGGGAATTCCCGAACTGACACGAAGTCAGGACCAGCACGTGGTAGGTGGTAGGTTCAACCGTCTATGCTGGTGAAACGATCACTAGCGGATGATGACGGGCCGCCTTTCTCATCCCTTGCATGGTCAACACCGACTTCACTCCCTTCACGGGCCTCAACATCTAATTGTCTCGAGGAAGACTCAACCAACTGCGACGCGCCCATGTACACGAGAACTGCGATACCAACAGCATATAATGCGAAAATGGCACTGGCAAAAGCAACATAGGAAATCTTTGCTGCATCCACGCCAAAGCAAATGGCCTCTCCGGCAGCCAGAAAGCCACGCTGGACGCCCATGTAGTGACTGATCTTGTCTTGAGGTATATCGAGGTTTCCAATAAACCACGGAACAATATACTGCCACAGAACGGATGCCGTCCAGTTCAGTACAAAGAGGACCATGGCAGGACCATAGCGTGCCTCGGTCCAGTCGACGGGATTCTCCGGTGGAAATGAGCGATTGAAATCTCTCGTTCGAACGATTTCCCAAACCCAAGCGACGGACAGTGGAAGGGCAACAAAGCCTAGCCCAAACAATGCGCGTCTAGGCTTGGTCCATCCATGATTGTCGAGAATGAGGTGAAGAATATGCCCAACTGGAATCTGGACAATAAGGGCAATGAACGACAAGAGTGAACGTGCCCGCAAACTATTTTCAAATGCGTTCACGGAACCAAGATAGATCAGAAATGATCCTGCCGGAAGAAAAGCTGGTAGCATGACCAGAAGTTTCCAATCCGAAAAGACAGTCAAGTTGGAGAGGAGCTCAGACGCAACGCTCTTTCTCTCGATCACAATGGCTTTGCTGCTTGTATCGTCCTTTACCTCGTCAGGTCGACGGAGTATAACCAAAGACAACAGCGCCACCACCAACATTAGGGCTATGTACGTGGCGTAAATTGCCGCTGGAACTCCCCCACGCTGGATATTGTTTCGGTTCAGAATAACGGGCAGTATACTGCAGACAATGGAACCTCCAGCCTGTAGCGTGTTTTGGATGGCGATGAACTGGCCCTTGTTTTGGTCGTTGGAGTAAGCCACCTGGATATAACCTGATGTGATGAAAACAGCACCAGCACCAACGCCAATGATGGCACCGCCGAAAAGGGGGAAAGCGGCTTGACCTGTCACTTCATAGTACCACAGAGCGCCAACGTACTAAAAGTGAAGGGAGCGTCAGCCTTGAGTCTCGGAAGCTAGGTAGACACTATCCGCGGTGGCACAGACGGAGGAACGGAAGAAAAACGCCAGGAGCGACAAGACATGATCCAGGTCGAGACCACATTGAGAGGAGATGGGACAAGAATACGCAGATGATGAACACTGACCATTGCATACGTGCAAATCCCAAAGCACATCGTGACTCCAGGGCCAAAAATGTTGAGGTATGTTCCGCCAAAGCATGCTGACAAGAACCATACCGATGACAAAATCGCATTGGCGGTCTGAATGACATCAGCAGATTCAGGTCTTCCCCCTCCAGCACCCAGAAGATTCAAGGAGACAAAGACACCAGCCGAGAACGCGATACCGACCCCAGCTACCACGTTCTGCATGTAAGCACTGGTGGTCCAGGCTCGAAGCAGCGTTGAACATGAGCGTAGCATATCGCTCGGAAATGATATCAAGCAATATGAGGGTTCTATGAAAATCGACAAGATATTTTTTTTTTAGTGATGGTGACCAGGACGGACGTGTCAAAGACTCTGGCAATTGGCAACTACTTGAAATATGATCACAATGACCTGATAATTCAAACAATTATAGGCTCCCCGGACCCGACATGGACCATTCAGCTTTGAGCGGAGTTCTTCCCCTTCATGGCGCTGCTGCCTCGATAGCCCTATGACTTGACTAGCTCCACACGCCGGACACTGCGCCCACGACCCAACAGTCACGATCCAGGTCCGCTCAAACTCTCGACTTTGATAACATCCCCGCCAACGTCATCTGGAACTTCGGCTGAAGTATTGCAGTACAAAAAAAAATGTGATGTAACGTATCACGAAGATCGCTCTCAAGTTCCTCAACTCGACAAACAAGGAGTCTACCTACCTAGACATGGGTGGTAGATGAGTTGAACCATACTATCAATTGTCTGGAACCGTCTACAGCCATTCAATTCCCATCGTGTCAGCCGCCCGGCACGCCTCCAATTTCGGTCCGCAAGCGAGCAAAACAATAATTGTGATTGAGCATAACGGAAACATAAATGCTCATCTTGAATCATGATGGGCATTGGTTGTTTGAAAATGCCCCAAATCGATTGGCTTGAAGGGTTTTGGGTAGGGATACGAAGGAATGAAGAAGCAGTATCCGATCCGGGGGATATGCTGGAGCCGGTCCCAAGGCAATTCCCCACCATCCATGTATCGTTATGGCGCATTGCAGGCCGCACACCGGCTAGATATCACTGCCACTATCACACGCCAGAGAAGAAGAAAAAAGGCATCGCAGCATGGAAAGAAGCCAGTCCTAATTGAGGCCGTATGCTGGGAAGTTGGAACGTGGCGTCCGATTTTGATTTTGATTCCAGAGGGGAAACCTAACTCTTGTCGTCGGAGCTTCCATTTTAGGCCCAGCGGTTCTGCGTTATGTGGACCGGGTTTTCTCTCTATCTCTGCCTGTCTAAATCTGAAATCCCCAACTTTGAAAACGTGATGAAATTTGGCAAGAATTCGCAATATTGTGATGGACGTGTTGCAAGTGTGATTGCACATGCTTCATGATCTGATCAAAAATTCTGTGACTCTCACGTAACGTACATACAGATTACAGGCGTTACCGAAACAGGGGGATGGGGACCGCAGAGGAAACGGCGGTGCTGTAGGCAGACCGCCTGTCAATGACTAGACTCGGGAGCCTCACGTTTGTCGACCAATTGCACTGCAAAAACAAGACGGGTATTGGTTGGTCGGCCCTATTTTTCCTTCCTCCTGTGGGTTTCGAAGTTTCGGTGATCGACACCCACCTACCGAGCACTCGGTAGACTGGCAGCCTGGGAGGTGGCCCCTTTCCACCCCATCAAGTCCCCATAATAGGCAATCAGTGAATGGGCCTCTTCTTTCAGTTAGTCACTGCCGTATGCAAGTATGTCGTCTTGTGTAAGCCGAAAAACTAAAAAAGCATACATACTCAGTCAGCTCAGCACTACTTACATCAGAATGCTTGTGAGTGGTGCGTTTGACTAATCATGGCAGGCTGAAAAACAGGGGCGGCCACGTTTTTTTTTCTACATTATGTCTCATCCGTAGGGCAGAACGCACAAGCAAAGTGTCGGGTGCAACACACCTACGACTATGTATGGTACCTGGGGCAGGTACTTCCACATGGCTGCCGTCATCCATCAACAAGGCGATGCCGAGTCATCAGTATAATCATGCAGTATGATGGGTTCTTTGACATCCCCCATGGTAGTCTTTGGCTAAGCCACCATGGTTTACCGGCCCGTGGCGGCCAAGTTTGGAAGCCACCTGCAGTTTGGATTTTCGGTACCAATAAGGCGTCCATTTTCTGTTCCCGATATCCTATTGCTGTCATTTTACAGAGCAAGGGCTGCCTGCCATATCCTTGTCATGTCAAGAGAAAAAAGAATTGTCTCTGATGCATGCACTTTGCCTACCCTATGGGGCCAAGGCCAAGGCATAACTCATCAGTAACACTATCAAGTGTTGACTTGTGTTGAAGGAACGATGATAAATAGAGAGGTCATCATCCATCTTATGAGTCCAACACACGAGAAGCGCATATCAAGCACATCACTCAATCCAATCTGACTGAACAGTCCTGATCCAATATCATTGTGAACAATCTCTACAAGATCCTTTTCTATCTACCCGTCTCACTTCAGCACGAGGGTATATTTCCCACTTTGCTTCGCCAGGCTTCGAATCCTGTCACTATCTCCTTCAGACATTAGCCATGGAGCGCAAATATGCCCCTGGTATCGTGGTCCTCAACAAGAGGTACTTCACACGAGATGCGCTGAGCGCCGCGCAAGTCGGTGCCAGTGCTTTCACCTTGTCGGTCCTTCGCGTCCTCATTGATGCCAAGGTCCTTTCTGGCGTCGTTCTATACTCGCGTGATGAGAAAATCACTGCGGCAGATATCCAGATCGAGGAGGACTGGAGCGGCGTACCAGTAGTCACTGTATACTTCAACTTTCGCATGACTCAAGAAACCGTGGCGCCAGTTCTGAGCATGGCTTTTAACTACACGGCACTCAAGCAGCATGGAAGAAGATGTCAACCAATCGTGTACTACCAAACCGATACACTCCTCCAATACCACCCACATGGATACCAATTCTGTGTTACCCACCACGGTCCCTTTGTGTCGCATTTCACTGAGCAGTTCTCTCCAGAGCTGTCAAGGCTTGCCTTTGGCGGAGATGCGAACAAGGTCGACGTCCTCGACCAACAGCAACGCAGTGGTATCGACAGATTGCTAGAGGATAAATTCGGTACCGTTCTGGCACACTCGAACCTCCAGCGACGAGTCCTACAGAGTGAAGGCTTGAGTGCCGGTCGCTTCAAGTACCTGCGGCCGCCAATTGGAGTGCCTCAACTCGAGAGCCCTAGCATCCTACCTGAGAACATGCAACAGTTCATTGCTGGGTCAGAAATCCTCCTCTTCACGGCAGTAGCACGCTTGGATTATTTCAAGAACGTTGAGCTGCTGGTCCAATCGGGTATTCAGCTCTTGAACAAGGGTCTTCCCGTGCGCGTCCTGGTGGTTGGCGATCCAGAGGAAGACACCACGCGCCGGGCGAACCTGCTGAGTTCAGTCCCTGAACACCAGCGTCACAACTTTTTGATCCTCCCCAGATTGCCCAAGGACCACCTCTATGCCCTATTTGCCGCCACTACCCAAAATGGCATCTTTGTCTGCCCGTCGCGGTATGAGACGTTGGGCATCACGCCCCTCGAGGCCGCTGCCAGCGGTGTCACCACGCTGATGACAGAAACTCCCAACGTCGAGGCCCTGGACTTTATGCCCGCGACATGCCGGGTGCCACAAGAGGCCGAGAGCATTGCCGCGCGGGTCGAAAAGATCTACGGCGACGGCATCCCAGTGTGGGCGGAGAGGGTCAAGAACCACGTGCGGCCCGAGACGTCGATCGAGGGCTTCGGAGCCGATCTGCTCAAGGCCTGGGCAGAGATGACCATGAGCCGCCGTCGTGTCAGTACTCCTACCACCCTGACGAGGCAGGATCGCGTCGGCTCCTGGGGCGACCGGGTCACACGGCCCCGACCTCGGCTGGCGACAGGGTTCCTCTCTGAAAGCTTCTCGGAGATGCTCACGCATGTACCCATGTCACCGGTCTCGTTGATCGTGTCGCCATGAAACCGACGACGCTCGGCATACCTTTGAAGAGGGAGTCGTTGTGATGGTTGTACTACTAGTTTTTCCCACACTTTTATTGCTTTCGGATGTTTTCATTACTTTTCTCCTCTTTGGTCTTTGTATTAGAGATTTCGTGACACCACCATCTTGGGCTGTGTCAAGGATTAGATCGTGGGGTACGGAGTTGCTGCTTTGGTGATTCCCGAAAAATACTAGGTTGCGGAGTTGCTTTGATGCGCATAGCATGGGGGGTTGGGTAGCACAGACTTCTTTTTAGCTTCACAGCACCATTTTCCGAATTCATATGATTTGTCTCAATTAAATATGCTGTCTGCAATCCATGTCTCAGATAGGTGGTAGTGGGAATCTCCAATAAGAGAATTAGACCATGACCGACCCAATCTTTCCTTCTTCTTGTGTCATTTGTTTCCATCTGCCATATCGACCACCAATTCAAGGTGACCTGTTTGCTAACTGCTTGCTTGGTACGATACATGTTGCCAATCCTCGAAGCGGGCCTAGAGAGTCGAGACTAGTCCGCTAAATTCGCATCCTTTCCATCAACGGCTTGAAGATCCAGGGTGACGAGGAAGCACTGTCCTGAACTAAGAATGCTTGGATCTGGAAACAATTTTGTCAGTATTTGCTCAGAATCCAATATGTCAAAGAAACGCAATGAATGGCCCAATGATGTAACTGTACATACGTGGAATTAGCTTGAAAATGAACGTTCTGCTTGTTCATCGTCAGCCGAAGCGCCGTACTCGGAAACAGCTAGCAGCGAAAGGCTTGATGTGGCCTGCTCAACCACGGTGCCCTCGACAGCTACCGCTTCTTTGGTAGTCTCTTCGACGACCGCTTCTACCGGAGTGGCCACCCGAGTGCGAGCCTGCTCAGCTGCATCCTCCGCATTGCCCTGAACCTCGTTATCTTGCTCGTAAGAGGGGCTGGGAAGAGAGGTGCTTCCAAGGGGTTGGTATCTACGCTCAAAGGCCTTCAAGAACAGATTGAATGTAGCGAATCCCAGAGCTTCTCGGTATCTGCTGCGGTATCGAGCCTCGTACATCGGGAATGTCATGCAGCAGAGGGGCACACCAACATTCGGCATGGTGATGAATCTGATGACACACTGTCTCAAGGTAGGAATACAAATCCAGTGGCCGCTAATGCATCCAATCTCTACCATATTGTCCTCGCTATGTCTCTTGAGACAGCCCCAGCATAGCTGGTGATCCCAATTCTTCTTGCCGTTGGTAGAAGTGAATTGAACATATTCGTCTATCTCTTCCTTGTACGAACCGATCTGCTCGGAGATGTAGATCATCGTATCCTCAATGTACTTGAGTTCGTGGTCGACGTCGGCCAATTCATTAGGTCCAAGCTGATGGCGGCTCACGAGGTGGGAGAGTTCCTCTGCAGAACGGCTAATGTCGGCGAGAATACCCTGGTCGTTTTTGAAGGTGTCGCGAGCATCATCCTGTAGATGGGTCTGGTGTGCATCGACCCATTTGAAATCTTCCTTATACTGGATCAGCTTGGGGTGGGTGGCGGACAAGCGCTCTTGTAGGTTGGCAAGGCTGCAAATCGGGAAATCGCCTTGGCTCTCTCCCTCGCTTTGGGTGTCTGAGGCCTCCATGATTACTCGCTGTGATCAGAGAGGCTCAGTCCAAAGCAGAGAGTGTGGTTCCTGTGCCGTAGATGACTCCAATGCTTCTGGGAGCTTTAGAAGAAAGAAACAGGTGTGGTGGTGTGCTCAACGAATGTTTTGTCCGCTGGTGAAGGGTGAGAAGGAAACTCAAGACTGAGTGGATGGTCCCAGTGAGTTAAAGGGCAACAGAACAATCAAACAAGAAGGCGCCTGGCTTGGAGAAAATTTTGTTTTAAAAGCGGACCTAGGCAAACGCAAGAGCCCAGGCCAGAAACCATCGAATTTGAGACTCCTCGTCGGCAGCCCAGCGTTTGATGGGGCACTTGGGCCGACGGTCAAGTTTCAAGTATCGTGAAAACGAGGGTTTGTTTCGGTGCAAAGTGGCAAGTCACATGGCTGCTCATATCATGAGTGGGATCGGGAAGGAGTCACACATAGTATCTACTCTTGATAGCTAAGGGAATCTGTGGTGCTCGACGACGAGAAGACATGCAGGTTTCGCATTGTGCAAAATTGTGTATCACTTAGATGAAGTTATCGACTGTGCCTGTTTTCAATATGATACAATGGCGATATCCAGCATGAGGACGATAGGTGCAGTTGGCATTGTCCCTGGGACATTGAAATGGAAAGATAATCAGATACCTAGTAATCGATCAAAATGTCAAAGAGGCGACAGACTACTATCGACGATGGAATCACAACAATTTGAGCGACAATCTAGAGCTACTCACAATGTTCTGTAGGAAGGCAGTAGCAGCAGAAAAAGATTGAAGGATGTCGACGAGGACCACGAGCTACCGTGATTTTGTTAACGAGGCGACTTCAATGTTCCTTGTTGTCTTCGGTTGCGAGATAGATGAACAGGAAATCGACTATGGCTAAGTATAAATATACGATATATATGCATCGGCGACTATACCAAATGATATTTTCCCACCCATTCTGTGAAAGAAATAAGCTTATTTTTAAGCGCGTAGCCCACGCAATTTAGCGCATTGGCTCCTGCAATCGGCAATGCTATACTAGCCGGGTGGATCTGGGATTCTACCATATAGGTGTCACAGTTCACCAAGTCATGGCCATGCCCGTATTGGGATAAGATTTCCGGTTTTATAGATCATGAAATCGTTCCATTACTTCAAAAGGCTATCGCTATCCAAGGTATAATTATAATATAATGGCCAAACGCCAGGTATGAGGTTGTTCGCCGTATGGTACGCCCCAATAGATACATCCATTTCCTCAATCTACAGCATGGCAACGCCGACCATCAAACCGGCCAAGAGGCCACCGACAGCAGGTGTAGCAGCGACACCGGCGTTGCCTCCAGTTGAAGATGTAGCGCTACCTGCGGCGCTTCCAGCTGCATCCGTAGCACTGGACACAACTCCAGAGACGCCGGTCGAGAGAGTGGATGCAACACCGCCAGCACCAGACGTAATGGTAGACAGAATTTCACTACCTCCGGATGTGATGGTAGACACGACACCTCCGGCGCCAGAAGTGATCGTGCTCAGAATCTCGCTTCCATCGGAGGTGATTGTGGTCACAACGCCACCAACACCAGAAGTAATTGTGCTAAGAATCTCACTTCCATCCGAGGTGATGGTGGTAACAACTCCACCAACGCCAGATGTGATGGTTGACAAGATTTCACTGCCATCTGAAGTAATGGTTGTAACGATTGCACCAACACCAGAAGTAATCGTGCTGACAATCTCGCTACCATCCGAGGTAATTGTGGTGACGACTCCCCCAACAGCTGAGGTAACATCTCCTCCAGCCGAAGTGGCAGCGTCGCCAGCAGAAGAGGCAGCGGAACTAGCAGCGTCGGCATAGCTCCAGCCACATGATGTGAGGATCTCGGCAAGATCTAGTGAGAGATTTGTATTAGCTTGCGTCTCGCTTGTTTGTGTCAAGGGCAGATGGGCGTACTGCTGTCAGGGTCATTCTGGCCATTGGAGATGGAGCATGCCGCGCAGTACATCAGCTCGTTTCTCGCGCCAGCACCGCAGATGCATTGGCGCTCCTCGGCGTCGCTCGATGTCTGGTCTGCGCATGTGGACGACAGACTGACGGCGTAGTTGCACTGGTCTGCGCAAGCACCTGGGAAGTCGGCAGCATTGAGCGTGTTGGCAGCGGCCACAGTGGCAAGGGTGAGTAACCCGGCGACAGCGTTGAAGTGCATCTTGGTGGTAGCGTTGGTGATGGTTTATAGGATGATGGAGAAATGGCACTCTGTTGCTTCGGAGCTGATGCTGATGGTACTGTTATGAGTGGGTGGAAGTTAATGAGCAGAAGACCTCGTCTTTATGTACAAAACAAGAGCTGAGCTGCTCATTTGCGGTCAAAGCTACGTAAGGTCGGAAATGTCAATGAATTCGACCTGGCAACCAGCCATGCGCACGCAGAAATCCATCGGACAATACTACACGATTCCCTGCTTTCTTTGCAACGCTGGCCAGGAACGCAAAGGTACGATGGTGCAGGTATCGTCAGCCAAGACTGTACAACAAACAAGCTCCATGGTCTGTTTCCAAGTCATTGCAACTCATTTCCAAGGTCGGCATCCCTGCATGGAGCATATGGAGACCAGGGCACTGGGGAAGAGGCCCTGTAAATACAGCCGAGTCCCGTTAGGCTCGTTCCTCCGTCCGTGCGACCTCTTTGACCGGCACTTTGACGAGGACAAAAACAGTCTGGATTAAGAATGGAGAAACGCCAAGTCATGCTTTGATCTTCGGCGACAGAGGCAAGAAAGAGGTAATACTATGGAGTCTGGACATTGCTGAATTTTTCTTCTAGATCCATTCTGTCCCCGCTGACACGACGAGAGAGTTGCGGTATGAAATCAGGAGAAGACGCGGTCTAGAAGCCTTGTGCAACAGTCGCGCCGTTACCTCGCCTGCTCAGCGCAGGAATGACGTATCGCACCGCACGACTCGTTAACCGGCGGTGCAAGTCGTCTAATCAGGAGAGTAAATTGGGCACGATAGACGAGGATGCACCTGGTGAGTGTAATTAAACAAGAGAGTATTCTGTTAGATGTGCGCGCCATGGTGCTGCTATGATGAATCATCCTGATACCCCCAAGAATACCAGGGGCGCAACAAGGAACCAAGGAAATGTTGCGTGCATATGATGAAACACTTGTGGCTGGTAGCTGCTCAGCTTTTGTTCAGTATTTGGAGGTTGTGTAACTTGAATGCTGGGGTTTTCTCCGCGCCAAGAATTTTCCGTGTAAGGCTTCAGCTTGTGCGTGCAGCGCATCTAATCAGAAGATAATCTGCACTAACCTAGCTTGCCTAGGTCGCAATAGGGACTGCTGCTTTTTCTACTGGCGCGCCGGCAAATCACAACAATGTCACCGATGTAGCGTCTACAGCGCTTCGCATTTGAAATGCAGATGAGTTCGCATAATGTCTGGCATCGACAACTTTTAATCGGCATGAGAAGCCACAACCAACTGTTTATTCATCTGTACTGAGCCTTTACCCACCACTGACCTCACTGAGGGTCTTGACAATTGCGCGATTTGTGTGAAATACTATTACTACTACTCTGCTGTGTGGACAAGCAAAGGAATGGCGATCCTACAAAAAAGCGGTCGCTTCCTAAGTTCCATAGATCCTCAGGTCCTGTTTGGTTGATCTCGCGAGCCGCACTGCCAGGCGACACATCTTCTCATCCCTTTATTGCCCCTCCTGCAGTTGGTTATGCCAGATTCCTTCGAAAATACACACGCTCGTAAGGCCCTTCAGTTCGGCGCTCTGTTTCGACAAACCCTAGTTTGTTGTACAGGCCAATGTTCTCAAACATCTTGACATTGGTGAACAGGGTGAGGGCCTCGAGTCCCTTAGAGCGCGCCACGGCCTCGGCGTGATTCATCAGCAGGCGACCGTAGCCGCGCCCTTGCGCCGAGGGATCCACGACGACATTGTTGATCTTGACGGAACCCTGGGTGTCGTCTACCGACAAGATGATGGATCCGACTGCACTGCCTTTCTCGCCTCTCCGAAGGACGTAGATATCCTGCGTCTTCAAGAGCTGCCTATAATCGGCAAGCATCGGGGCTGGCGGCGTGCCGATGCGTTCGACGTATTTTGAATAGGCAGCCTTGACGATGTCCTCTAACCCTGGGACATCATCCGGTGTAGCCCTGTTGATGATCGTATCGACACTAGAAGTCATTGTAGCAAACAAGAGTTCGGTGAGGTAACTTATCGTTATGCATGCAATCAAGTCTTGTTGTGGCTGTACATCCATATGTACGTAGTACCATTGCCGCCCATTTTGAGGTGGAAAACGGGGCCTTCGATGCGAGTCACACGGCACCGATTAGCGGCCGGCAGCGGCCATTCAGGGCATTCCGGTTGCTTGATTCATTGATTGATTGATTGGCAGCAGCGACCACTGACAAGGTCTCCGCTCGTTAACCATCCAGTACCATAACATGCCGAACGGCACAGGCAGCGAAGACAAAAGACTCACTTGATGGATCCAATCCTGCGCCTGAAATCGAATTGCCTGCAAGTTTCGTTAGTCTCCGCTGTTGCTGCACATAATATTCTAGTTCACTACTCTGTAGTCCATAATGATGCTCTCCCAGCGACAACACCGAACCTCATCTGACCCCACCACGGCACTAGGCATCCACAGTGCACAGGTGGGGGAGTTTGCGACAGTCATGCTCTTAAGGTCACCCACTGTGAAAAAACACCTACAGAGTACCCACACTTCATACACTACAACAAACGGGTTCATGGTGCTTAGTATCGTGGAGCTTTACCGACACCATCTGAACCAGTCTCATATACCAGGTAAAATTCTGACGGCTCTGACACGCTATCAATGTACTTAGCCTACAACGGCGTTGTACTCTATGATGCATGATACTAACCTTGTGCACGTCTTGATTCTGATCTGATCGTGTTGTACGCTGTATGACAGGTGTATCGACACACTCTCTCACGCATTCACACGTTTCCATCATTTCTTTTTTTTCTTCCACTATCTATCATTCATTGTGCTGTGCGCGTAGGGGTCAACTCGCTCCAGTCGCGTTCTGATACGCTGAGCCTGATCTGACCTCCTCACCTGGGACCTTAATCTCGGTGTAAATGTGTATGAATAGTGCTCAAGGGCCGTTGCTGTCGCCGTAACGAAACGGCATTATGAAGTCCGAGTGGAAAACCCTAGGTCTGCAAAGCCTATTCAGGTAGTCTAGTTTTAGTCGACCGTTCTAATCTGTACCTGTCAACTGTCCTTCGAATGAAGCCTCAACGATGGCTACAGTGTTCTTCTGGTCTTGATTTTGTCTGAAATGAACATCCTTAGCCTCGAACCCAATTATAAAGAATGGAACACGGTATACTTACTCTCGCCTTCTATACACATACTTCATGAGTGTTACGCTTAAAATCGCAAGGCCGCCAAATAGTATAAGAATCTGGTATCCATACTTGTACTTGGGTGCGTCTTGAGTCGGAAACAGAACCAATGGTACCCATAAGACCCAGGCATAGGACACCACGTTGGCAACAGCTACCAAGAGCTGTCGTAGGCTAGGATCGGCTGCGTTCAACTTGTTTCCCCAAGCCTGTTTCATTCATTGTTAATTAAATGTTCATTCAGAATAACCTGATATTTTACGGCTGGTTTCTTGCTTACAATAAGCACTGGGGTGGCTGCAGATCCAGCGTATGAGAGGTAAAAGGCAAACATCAGAGCACCCTTGGGTATGCTCCAAACGGAAAGCAACACATTCGACAGTATCATCAATAGCTGGATGCTAATAATCAACCAATAGTGACAGCCGAAGCGATCGGCGAGCATGCCCCAAAAGATCGTCACAACGATATTGAGAGCGCTGCCGCCTGTTGGCATGACATTGATCTCAACGACGCTGTAGCCTGCTGCCTTGAGCCATAGATTAAAGTAACTGGTTGCCGTGTGACACGCAGCCACCATTCTACACGGTTTGGTCAGTTCAATCTCACCACATTCTCGCTCTTTTCCACTACTTACGTATATGGGATCACAAATACCCAAATCTCCCAGCCTAAGAATATGCGTTTCATTTCCTTGGAGGTCAACTTTGTTTGAGCTCTTTGTCCGAGTCTCTCAATTCTCTCGATACCGTATCGAATATGCTGGTGATTAGTCGTAAGCCTCCACTCCATTATCGATATGAATGATGTTATATATCTTACCTCTGGCGACCAGTAGAATGCCCTCGTGTTATGAGGGAGATCAGGCAGGCCAAAGAAGCCCCATAGCGCTATAGGCAACGAGATGACTCCATCCATGATAAACAACCATCGCCACCCAGCAATACCTGCATGCCCATTCATGCTTTCATACAGCCCGGCTTGTAGATAGCTACTAAACATTGAGGCGATCGACTCTATTTGCAAGAGAATGGCCAGTCGCTTTGTCAGTTCCTTGGGGCCATACCAGCCACCAAGCATGGCAATGTAACCAGGGAATGCGCAAGCCTCAAAAAGGCCGATAAAAAAGCGCAACGCGTACATCTAATTAGCTTTTGTGAGCATAAAAGGCTGCAGGTCTTGGATGGACTTCATTCTCACTGTTTGAATGTTCTTTGAGAAACCCATGCCGATGACCAAGCTTGACCAAATGAGCTCGCAGCAGGGCAACAGAACTGAGGATCGGAAGAACTTTAGTTGCGATAACTGCGCTGGCACGCTCCCAACCATGATCCCAAGACTAAACCAGGTGTTGAGCCAATTTCGTTCGTTACCATAAAGGCCCAGATCTTCCTGCATGCCGCTCACAAACGCATTGCCTACCGAAGAGAAATTAGTCAATATGACAGACTTCTTTTCGGGTAAACTAACGTCAAGGTTTGGAAACATACTATAATTGGTTTGGTCAAGGTATTTGATAAAATAACCTAGACAGACAGTTGGACTGCATTTTTAAAATTAGCCAAAATTTGTGGGTTTTACGGGACGGTTCGTCCCAATTCGTGTCGTTGCATTCGGATGTATATCATGGGCCAGTACCTACAAGAAAAAAAGATCCAGCCTTTGCACGTATTGGCGATACTCCGGATCACCTTCAACAGAGTCCCAAATGAAGCTGAACACTCGGCGCCACCATGAAGCCGGTGGCTGAACATTGTCCCTGGGTGCTGTATCAGTGACAACAGGCGACGGCAGCTGCTTGGGACTTTTCTGGAATGGTCTTTCTATAACAGCCGACGTTGCTAGAGAGGCTTCTACGTTTGGTGCCTTTTGATCCCGCATAATGTAAGAAGTTTCAAGTTTAATGGTAGATGATTCAAAGTGTCACCACGACTAAGTCGGTTTGCCAGAAAATTCCCAAATGGTATATCGTGGACCCTTCTCAATCTCAATCTTTGTGTCGCTGAGTATGTGTGCAATGATATGTTTGAGAGAGCGAAGGTATCTGGCCATCCAGATATCATTTGCGGTATCAGCTCGCGGTAGACAGGGTTTATACCTTAGAATACTGGAGTCTTGCCATGTTACGTGTGCTGAAATCCTTGCCCGTCTTTACGAATTGCATCGTGATAGTAGTCATGCACCTATAGATAGCGAAGACCACCTCCGTGTGGGTGGGGTTCTGCAGACTGCACCTGTATGTTTTCGTGCTTCAGTTGATGTCGTGATTGTGCACCCTCGATTTCGTGCTGCAGATCCACAATTGTGCATTTAAAGGACCAGAAACACAACGTAAGTCGGCCGATAAGCTAGGGGAATACGTGCCGTGTAATGAGTAGATTCGGCTTCTTCGATCCGACAGTTATTAGTTGTTCTTGACATACTGTTTCTATTGACCGTATCGAGGGATGCCGACCGTACCTGATGCCAACCAAAGATCACTACGGTCTCCTTCGCGAAGTTTTTTTTTTTTTTTCCCTTTAATGATTCTTTCCTTATAACAGAAAATGACACCGGAAGCCACGCGCATCGTCTTGGAAAACGTGGACTTTCGTTTACCCACACAAGTCACAGACGACAATAGTGTCGTCGCTTTGAAAAGCCTGGTCTTTGAACCGCTTGTTTGGTGGCACCCACATGGTTGCGTTAAGCCCGGCTTGTTTGCCAGTTGGGAGAGCTCACCAGATGCTCGCTCATGGCGATTCCACATACGCGACGAAGCCATCTTCCACGATGGCCTTCGATGCACGGCCGATGTGATTGTCACATATATCCTTGGGTTTCTTGATTCCCGCGATTATTTCGGCATGCCCTGGAGCTACAGTCGCTACTTCGCACATGCAAGGATTTCTGCCGAAAGTGAGACCACTGTTACCATCGAAACCCCGGCACCATTCCCTGATGTTCTTGAAGTGTTATGCGATTTCTGGCCATCACGAATCGATGCCGCTGATAAACCTGTGCTTGGCACCGGTCCTTATAGCGTCAGGCAATTTGAACGAAACGATGGAATCGGCAGAGCAACTTTGGAAGTATTGCGTCCGAGTAAATCGCACAAGTCGCATGTGATTGTCGCAACTCAAGAGCCCGATGGTGCCAAACGCCTCCAGTTATTACGCGACGGCAAAGTGGACGTGGCACTGAATCTCGAGCGGACAAGGAACCTTCAGCTCCTCAACTTTGACTCGAGCCTCAACTGGGGCAAGACACACAGCACATTATCTGTGATTTATTACTTGAACTGTCCCGAAGGTGTGTTTTCTTCGCCCGAGTTGCGCCTCGCCGCCAATCTGGCGCTCGACAACGCTGCATTAGTGGATAAAGTCTATCAAGGACTCGCGACACCTTCTGCCAGCATCGTGAGCCCATTTCACCACGGCTTCGTAGAGGCAGCATTGCAGCCCATACCATATAATCCAGACCAGGCTCGACGATTGGTGAAGAAGTTTGGTTCCGAGCAGAATTTGGAATTAAAACTGCGAAGTCCAACCTACATGCCCGAGCACGCGGAGCGCATCTCCCAATTCGTGGCATCGGCGTTGGAGTCAATAGGATTTAGTGTCCAGGTCGAAGTCGAGACGAATAGACCTGAGTACGCGAGGCAGATTGGGCTTCGAAAGGAAATTGGTGATTTGGCACTTTTCGACTCCACGCCCAACAGCACGTTCCGCGTCCTTGACGACAAAGTCTCGAGCGATGCACGCAATACCTGGTGGCTAGGATACCACGATGACGAGCTACAGAAAAGATTTCGCGCAGCGCGACAAACAATCGCAAACAAAGAAAGGGCTGAAGCTTATGGGAGTTGTTTGGCGAGATTGCACGAGAATCCTCCATGGTTATACATTGCACATCCAGATGTTGTATGGGCGAGCCGACCAGGGCTCTCTTTGAATATAGGACCCTCCGGTGTCTTGAGTCTCTAGATTGGACTCATTATGTTGGGATAAAACAGGTTAAGTATAACTGGTTATGCGAAATCTCATTCTATCATGTCACAATAGACGCCTCTCAAGTTTGCAACCCACTATAACATGTTTCATGCTCATGGACCAGTCACGGAAGGATTTGAAGACGAGTTGCTGCTAGGTAGGTATTCCATCTACTAATTGATTATTAGGTTGAGTATATAAAGCGAAAACCCCTGCCCTTTGCCAATGTGCATGCAAACCAAGTATGTCTTCATTCCAACCGTTCCAAGTGGACCTTCATATCGCGCGGTCGCACAGTCAAGCCTGGATTCTCAATGGTGAATGGGCTCACATCGCGCAAGACACGAAAGTTGCGAATAATCTCCACGAGAATAGTTTTAATCTCATAAAGGGCAAATTGACGACCGATGCAGATGCGAGGACCATTAGAGAATGTTGCGAAAGCGTAAGGTGATGATTGCTCCTCGGTCAGATTATCCCAGCGATCTGGGTTGAATGTTTCCGCATCTTCACCCCAGATGAGGGGATTCAAAGACGTGACGGCTGCGACAATCTCGAAGGAAGAGTCTTTAGGAATATGTATTCCATCGACTATGACATCGCCGCCTGCATGGCGGTATATAATGGTTGCTGCGATTGGTGAGCAACAAGTTGCACAATAGTCGAAGGATACAATCTTACCTGGAGGGTATAAGCGCAGAGCCTCCCTGACAAAGTTATTTAGGTAATGCAGACTATCCAAGTCGGCGAATGATGGACTTGGTCTTTTGCCGATGATACGGTTGATTTCTTCGCGTAGCTCGTGTTGAATATCTTGATGGGATGCCAAGGTGTACATACTCCACGACAGGCAGTTTGCCGATGTGTCGTGACCTGCGCCGAGGAACTGAAGGAGCTTCCAGAAAAGAAATGTCAATCAAATCATCCCGCATATTGTGCTAGAAATGGATCCGTATGGGGAGAAACCAAACTCACATGGCCGGTTATATGCGTGGACGGAATGCCCTCGGCAGAACCGCCCGGCATACTTTCCTCAATGATGAATGACAGTAAATCTTTGAAGTCGTCCTTCTTATGAATACCCTTGGAGAAGGCATCCCGAATAGTCGACTGTCGCTGTTGTATCAACTCGCGAAGGACCGTTTGCAACCATCGCTTTGCTAACTTGTATTCACGATTCGCTTTGATAGGCAGCCAACGGGTGGGAAAGAACATGCTACCAAACATGAGGATTTTTCCCGTCAGATCAGGCCCAAAGATTGTGGTGTACGCCTGGTGGAAAGAGTAATCTGATGGAGTGGTAGCAGTAGTCCTAGTCGCTGTGGCATTCGATGCCAAATAGTCTAGCTCAATGCCAAAGCTTGTGACACCCATGATGCTCAAAGTTGCCTTTGAAAACGTATCAGTGCAATCTATCATACCAGTACCACTGTCTGATGATGATTCAATGGCATGATCGATCAACGAGCACACTTCTCGGGCTTTTGATATGAAAACTGGCTCTAGCCTCTTGATGCTGCTAAAGGAGAAGGAGCTAGTAAGCATCTTTCGAGACGCTCGGTGTTCTTCGCCTTCCAAGGTTGCTATCCCTTCGCCCTGACGGCGTCAACATGATACATTCGTGCTTCGTTACGTTCATTCACCTACTATAAAGTCTCTCGTCATACGCAGCCATCGGTCTGGTTTCCGAAAAGTATAACAGTGTGTCTGAAATATGTCCTTGTGTGCATTAGGGCTGTTGGGAAGGAGTATCTCGGTGTTCGCGAATGTGAGAAACCGAATAACTGGTGCATCGGGAAATTGTTTCATCCATTGAACGTATAATGCTGCCGGGGACTCGGCATGGATCAGATTCAAAGCCTGGCCAAATAGAAAGTGGTTTCCCTATTGAGAGAGTATTAGCGCTCTAGTCTGATACGTTGCGACTGACTTTAGACGTTACAACAGACCTCGGGGGTGGGCAAGTGGCGAAGTGGTGAGAAGTATCTATGATACAAAAAGACGCGATAGATTTTGGTCAGCAGATAAAGGATGAAAAACATGACAAGAGAGTCATGAACAATGTTTCTATGGTCGAGTTGCTCTGATGTATGGGCTCCAGTTTGTGTTCTTAACCATGCACCCTGAAGCACCGTCAGTAGAGCAGCAGCACCTGCGCAATATATCGCATCCATGGCACTGGGTTCAATGATCGAAGCTGGTAAATTCAGAAGAAGAAGAAGAAGAAGAAGAAAAGATAATATCTTTAATCTCTTGAGTAGACAAATATTTGTTCTAAGCTCATTTTATGAATGAGTATTCTTTGGGCCGCAACCGTAGCATGCACCGTTCGCACACGCTCAATTTCGCTCATGCTACAGCGAAGCTTGGCTATCAAAACGGTGCGATCCTTTATTGGATGCATATATACAGGGGCAAGTAAAGGAGCCAGGGTATCTGGTGCTTTGCAGCTCTTGGCTCTAACAGAACCATTCTGATTAGAGAATATATATGCTGTGCAACGTGAGAGACAATTCCGATTTACTAGTCGAGGAAACTCCGCCAACAAATTTCCATGCCCAAAGAAGAAGCACAGACGTACTTAGTCAGTACACGTTCCACCAAGAGCTGCGCAAAACGTATATTGAAAATCGAATAGCCTATGAGAGGCATGAGATAGGCAATGTCTCAGTCAGCCCGTGGTCATTTGAGGGGTTGGGAGTCGTTTGTTCCTGCCCCTCCCTCCTCCCGCTCACTTCTGTTCTTATACTAGTCAGCCCATAAAGACTTGGATTTGCATCGCACAACCGGCAAAGATGCGTCTTGGCTTTCTGCATGCAAGTTGCAATGCAAACAGTTGATTGTCTTCGATAAAGCTAGACTCTTTAGACGGGGTTGTAAGTTGACGTCGCGACAACTTCGCTTAGCATACTGGCGCGAGCTTACTTGATAAAGAAATTCGTATAAGGAGCTCAAACCAGCTGATCAAGCCTTTAATGGGGTTCTAAAGCTTGAAATGAATAAAATGGTTGCGTATGTCACATACGTATTCATCTAGAATGGGATACGGATGACTTTAGATGATCGTCGTAATACCGGAGGGTCCGAATAGTGGGGTAAATGGCCGACGGAGCTGTCGGATTGCCGATACTTCGTGTAAGTGGCAAGCCGTACAACTATATTATTCAAACTTGTTTGACAGAATTGGCGGAAGAGATCATCCCATACTCATCAGCCTCTATGCATACAGCCATGGGTTCTTCTTCAGATGCAATCGAGTCAAACGAGGGCCAGCCTCGAGCCTGGAAAGCACAAGATGTTAGCCGCGACACGTCCTGGGCGATGCGCCTTACTCCCAAACAAGCAGAAGGCTTTACCTCAGCTCTCAAACATGCGAAGCAAATAGGCAAACCTCTTCTTGAGATGACTCGAGCAGACTACCCTTTGCCCGATACCTCACGCCATGCGCTCGAACAGGCCGTCGAAACAACACAAGGTCGGTGGGGTATGTGTCTTGTCAAGGGCTTCCCTACAGATGACTGGAGTGAGGCAGACATGCGCCTGGCTTACTGGGGCATGAGCCTTTACATGGGCGTGACCAGGCCACAGAATCGGGCTAGCGAGGTCATCAACGACGTACGAGACGCTGGCGGTAGTTACAAAGTCAAAGGAGGTCGTGGCTACAACACAAACGCTGAGCTTGACTTTCACCAAGACTCGGCCGACGTGGTGTCTCTTCTCTGTAGGCGAACTGCAAAGTCTGGTGGTACCAGCAAGGTCTTGAGCTCCATTGCTTTGCGGGACCGCGTCCAAGAACTGCGGCCCGATCTCATCCCGGTACTACAAGCCAACAATTGGTTTCATAGTTTCCAAGGCCATCAGGACCTTGCGCAGCCGGAGTTCTATCGCTGTCCAATCTTTGGAAACGATCCCGAACACTTTTGCGCACGCGCGAATCGCAAAAACACACTTGCGGCGCAGACTGACTTTGCCCGAGTCCCTCGTTTGACAGCACAGCAAACAGAAGCACTCGATCTCTTGGACTCCATCATGCCATCAGAGGAGTTTTGCTATTCCATGGAGTTGGAAAGGGGAGACATGCAGCTGCTAAACAGCTTTGTCACTCTTCATTCGAGAACTTCGTTTGAAGACTTTGAAAACCCTGATCAAAAACGCCATCTTATGCGTCTGTGGCTGTCCATTCCCATCTCGATGCCGCTTCCCGCAGAATGGGCAGAGTATTGGGGTGATGTCAGAGCTGGATCTGTCCGAGGTGGTTATAGAGGGACTGCAATCACATCCGAATTCTTGGAATATGAGAAGAGGCAATCAGAGGTCATGAAAATGGCATTTACTCCTTGGAAGCCCCTGATTTGCAAAGAGGACATGGCCGCAATATTACAGGCACCGTAATGGTGTTTTATTATTCAAGTATAATCTAGCCGTAGGTAAATTAAATCTCGGAATTTTTCAAACTGCATCGTAGGGTAGCCAAGCAAATGGGGCGGGTCCTTGAATTGTAATGTTTAGATACCTCTCTTTCATCGAGGATGAATGCATATGCCCTTGAATCGAGATGTTCATGTTCAGAAGGATATGTTCACCCGTCTCGGTGGCGCCTCATACGTACACGTTCGGACATCCGACGGAAGCGTTGCGGCACCGATATACGAAATGTGGCGATTCGCCATGCTCAAACAGAAATAGGGAAATAACCATTCGTCGCTGATCGTGTAGGGTTCCCCGGATATAAGCTCTTTCGGCGGGAATCCGTGGCTGGGCCAGGTTCTCCGCAGAATGTGCCCCCCGCATCTGGCACCCTACCTACAGGATGCCATGTACCTAAGGGTCCGGATCGTCCGAACTAATATTATAGCCCTTCAGGCTGTTAGGCGGAACGGGTCCGCAAAAGAATGGCCTTCGGTTAACGTAAGTCTGAACCAAGAATATTTATACTGACAGAGATGACCTCGTCAGCCCCATTGCTTGTATAATCAACAGCACCACCGATAATATGTCACCTACGCAGAATCGAGTAAATGGCGCAGACGAGGTTTACATGAAACCATCAACCAGGCTTCGAAAACTCATTTCTCAGGATGGTGTCTGTGTTCAAGCTCCGGGAGTATACGATGGCATCTGCGCTCGCATTGCCATAGAGCAAGGTTTTGAGGTCATGGCAAGTCTTTTGACCATTCTCGACCTCAATCGGGCGGAATTGACTTGAGTATAGTACCAATCTGGAGCAATGACAACAGCAGCACGGCTTGGCAAAGCTGACTTGGCGTTTGCTTCGTTAAATGATTTTGCGCTGAATGCTCAAATGATTGCCAATATTGACCCACGTGTACCGCTCATTGCCGACGCTGACACGGGCTTTGGCTCTCCGCCAAATATTGCTCGCATGGTACAGATGTATGATCAATGTGGGGTTGCCGGCTTTCATATTGAAGATCAAGTGGCCAATAAGAGATGTGGCCACCTCGAGGGCAAACAGCTCGTTGATATGGAGTAGGTGAAGCCCCTAGCTATCAAGTGAAAGGCACTGACTCTGCGGCAAGGACATGGAAATCTCGAATACGAGCATGTGTCCTGGGACGAGAAGCCATCTATGGACACAGCGACATCGTCATCATAGCAAGAACAGACGCTCTGGCTGTAGAAGGCTTTGAGTCGGCTCTGAATAGGGTAACGATCATTGACGCATCTGAAACATCTCCTTGAGCCAATGAATATTGATAGATCTATAGCTTCTTGAAGCAAGGGATTGCGGCGCCGACATGGCCTTCCTAGAAGCCATTGAAACAGAGGAGCAAATCAAGCACGCTGTTCAGGCTCTGGCACCGATGCCAGTGAGTTCCCTTCATCATTATGAAGGTGATGACCAAACTAACGAGATAGCTCATGATTAATTGTGTCTCCCTGGGGAAAACACCTTGGTTTCCGCCCAAGAAGCTCGCTGAACTGGGTGTAAAGGCAAGTATTTAGCATAACTAATGACTGAAAATTGACTTGAAGCATATCGCTAATCATACGAATAGTTGGCCATTTACCCTGGCGCAGCTGGCAAAACGGTCATTCATGCTATTAGAAGGTCATACAAGCTGCTGCTTGAGAAGGGCGAGGATGATGCTGCCACCATGGGACTTGAACCGCGTGGGTTCTTTGATGTTATGGGACTGCAAAAAGAGATGGAGATCGACCGTTTGGCTGGCGGGAACGCTTTTGGGCATATGGCCTAGGAGGATGGAGAGAAAATTCACCAATAAATCGCCCCAGGACTCAGGCCTGATGCGGCACAGGCTGCGAATACCTGATACATCAGGTATCTAGGCAGGCAGTTAAGTAGTCATCTCGATTTTCACTAAATTGACTAGAAATATGAAGGGAAAAGAGAATTTGGAATGGTTGTGAGTTCTTCGAGTCGCCGGCGACATGGACTCTGATGAACCGATTTGCGGCGGATACACACCAATTTTACTGGGGCATAACGTGTTCGTCTGGGGAGGGAGGTTAACGGTTAGCCTTAATGGTTCCTCACCGCCGCTACGCCCCATTCCCGCAGCACCTAAGCCGCTGCCTAAGCCACCCAGATCTTCGCAGTCCAGCGACCTTTCTAGGGCGATATGACTTGCAACCTTGGAAGTTGATCTACCGCCGGGTGAGTCAAGCGCCGACTGCGATCCACCCAAAACAGACCTCATTCAATGAAAATCAACCTTATTCTGTAACAGAGGATATAATAAGAACAACACTACGAGTTGCCATGATGTTTTTCGTGATATTAGCCTTTCTCGGATTATGCGCAGCGAATTGGCTACACTCGCTCCTTGCTTGAAAAAGTTCTCTCATTTAAATTCCGACACAAAAAGCACCCGAGTCCATCGACCATATTCACCAGCCAGTTCAAAGTGGCCAAACCTCAACACCAGCATGGCCGAAGCAACATCGTCGTCGCAGGTCTATGACTTGTTGATCCTGACAGATGCAACATCTTCAATGGACGAATACCTGCACGCTCTAAACCAGTCACTGCCAAAAATCATCTCCATTTCCGCTCTGACTGGCGCCTTTGCCCGTATAGGTGTTATGGCGTACAGAGACTATTGCCGCCCAGGTCTTTTAGAATGGTCCGGGTGGTTTGGCCGGGACGGCGACATTGGTCGAGATGAGCTGCTGCACTTCATGCGCAGTGTACGTGCTCAGGATGGCGGCGACTGGCCAGAAGCAACAAAGACAGGTCTGGCATCGGCCTATTCAGTCATGCGCGAGGATGCTAAAACCTTGGTGCTACTCTACGCTGATGCGCCGCCGCATATGGGCGGCTGGGACAACGGTCCAAATTACAAGAAGGAAATCGAGTACCTGACGGCAGAAGGGTGCAAGCTGAGCCCTTCGGCCGGACTGTTTGCAGACTGGGTTTCGGCTGCCCGTACACTTAATGGGACGGGGCACGGCGCGAAGCAGGCTCAAATATTCTCGATTGTCTGCAGCCATACGAATGAAGCGTTCGGTCCGTTCATGTACATGTCTCATCAGACAAAGGGTACATGTATTCAGATGAAGTCGCCCGATTCGCCGTTGATCTCGAAGCTCACCATGTCGGTGCTTCTGGCTTGGATGGGAGTCAAGAAGGCGGGTGAGCCTGAAGAAACGTTTGATGATGCATTCAATCTATGTTACAACAATCTCGACGATATCGATGCCTTGGAAAATGAAAAGGACCCAAAAGCGGACATATATTTTGTTCTCCAGCGGTCCCAGGTAGAGGTCTTTAGATCTAATATCTGTCAAAATACACTGTCGGACGAAAAGCAGCTCCGTGCAATCATTACGCCGCGAGACATTCCTGTTACTGATTTCGCCAAGCGCTATGTAAGCGACGAGGACTACCGGAAGATCGTTGTCGAAAATCTGAGCAAGATTATTCGCGAAGACGTATCTTCTATTACCCTTAATCCCGTATTCGGGGCTCTTTGGCGAGCGGTTTGCAATGACCGGAGGAACGAGGCACGGAACGTTCTCATTGCAGATCTGGGAGTAAGCATCGCGAACATGGGATCATCGAGTGAAAAGTCAAATTTGCAGACTTGGCTTGCAGAGTCTTACAATTATGCGGCCGAAATTGCTGCAATGATTGAAGAAGTTCCGCTGGCAGAACGTTTCCCGTGCGTTTTTCTCGATCCAACACAGCATTGGCATCTCCATCGAAGTGAAGACGGAGATGAAGACGATCAAAAGGATGGTACCATTACGTCTTTTACTTGTAGTCAACTGCTGGAAATCGGGAGGTCATGCGATTCCAAGATACTGCGCCGTTTGGGTACGGTCCTCACCAGACTGACGTATGTCACGACTCCTGAGGAGCTGCCTAATCATGTCATGGGCATGAAAGATGATGAGCTTCCACGAATCCCAATCGCGCTGGCCAAACAGCAACATAACAGGGTATTCTGGAAGATTCTTCTTCACCTTGTTGTTCCAGGAATTAAGCTAGGTGCCCGACCAGCAGCGTTGCTCGCGGCGCTGAGTATTCGCATGGGCATGAGACCACTCATGAATGCAGCCGACTATGAGATGGCCGCCTGGAAAGACAAGTGGAATAACATCAATGCCTCAGAGACTTGGAATGCCGACTGTCTGGCACTCATATTAGATGCTGACAAGAGTTTCGAAGCAAGGCGCCGTGTTCTAGACGTGCCTCAAGAACTTCAAGAAGCCAGTTTCCTCAGCACTGAGGATAGACACCTATTCGAGACGCTCGTCGACTATGGCATGTTAATGGCAAATCTTAACACGACTCTCACGGCAAAAATTGGATGGAAGCCAACAATGTCAAAGGTTCCGATTGGACCCCTCGTGGTGTGCAAGGCTTGTCACTTCCCTCGTTCGGTCAGCATGATGGCCCACAAAGGCATATGCGGCAAATGCATCACACCGAAGGCGCAATACGTTTACGGCGTCACCAAAGCCGAGTCCATTCTCATGAGTGTGAGTCAAGGGACCACCGAGTCCCATGAAGCCTCGTTTGTCGAGTGTAGAATCATTACGTGCCGAGCCCAGTACGTTGTGTACAACGTAGATGGCCTAAAAGTGCATCCCAAGTGCTACTACTGTCGCTTTGTCGGGACTGATCGAGCTCCATGGGTGGAATGTCGCAAATGCCTAAATCGGATGATATGGCCTCACGAGTACCGCCCGCTTGATCAGGATGTCGCTCAGAATTTTCTCTGCTCAGCATGTAACAGTGGCCGGGCCACCATTGTCGATTTCGAGATAACGCTGGCGGACCTATGCAAAGAGAATGGAGATAAATGGTTACTCCGCCACGATGGAAAATTGGAGAAGCCCTTCGAAGACCGTTCACTGTTCAAGACCGTGTTAGAAGCTGGCATCGATATATTTGCTGAGCATGTCGAAGTCTTGCCGCAATCCAATACCGATCTGAGGATCGATGGAAAGATCATTCATAATGCGGCAGAGCTCAAGTCCGCATTGACCAGCTGGATCAAGTCCCGTCGTACCGAGGCCGGATTGTGCAATCTCTGTTTCTCGAACTTCAGAAAGAGCACTCTTCGATCAGCATGCGGACGGTCTGGGTGCGGCCAGAGGATATGCCGCGACTGCAAGGCTTCTTGGTACAGTATGAATTCCCGTGGTCGAATTATCAATACCGCAGCCCTCTGTTGCCCATTTTGCAGACGGGTACCGTCGCCTCGCGCTGTACCAAAGTCCGATCTTGTCTTCCTTGGGAACTTGAAGACCGCTGTTGAAGACTCAGGGGCGTGGATATATGCGTGGTGTTGCGCCTGCAGCTTCGCAGAGAGGATGATGGAGCGTGTCTGTGCTCAAGGGGCTCCGCCCGAAGTCCGGGACTGGGAGTGTGAAGACTGCAGCGCATTTAGGACGCATTCAAATGAGAGCTTGCTACGGCAGGCCATCATCCGTCACTGTCCGAGGTGCGATGTGGCCACCAAGAAATTGCGCGGATTTGACCATATCTCTTGTGGGTGTGGAGCACATTGGTGCTTTTTTTGTTGCAGGCAGCTCCCCTTAGATGATATATACCGGCATATGGCGAATGTGCACGGTGGCCTTTATGACATACTCGGTGCTGAAGATGACGACGACGTCGAGATGGATTTGGATTGATAAATGGCGTTCAGATTTGGTTCAATGGTAATTGTTTGTCATATACCTTACATCATTGGAATTCACCAAAATACATGTATACATATTTCGGGCAGCTCCTTAAATACTCATCGTTATGAACTATAGTATAATTTGTATAATATTTCAGCTCATGGCAGACTATGACAAGCAGTATCAAGGCTCAAGCTATCTCAGAATATTGCGAATGATTCCTCTTAGTCAAGTTTGATGCATACCTTGCCAATGTGTTGGCCAGTTAGCATGTACTCCAGTGCGGCAATAACCTCATCACGGCTGAATCCGAATTCCTTTTCAACAGGAACTTGCAGGCCCTTGACTGTGATAAACCTTGTGCACTCCTCCAATTGCATCTTGGACCCAACCATGATACCACGCAGGAGAGCGCCCTTGGACAGGCACAGCGCAGCCACATCGGGCATTTGGTCCTGGGGACACTTTGCCAGGAAGCCAATGGCTGAGATAATTCCGCCATAGGCTACAGCTTCCATGCTCTGCTTGATCGTCCCTGCTCCTCCGTTCTCAAAGATGTAATCTGCTCCTAGGCCACCGGTCAGCTTCTGGACCTCGGCACCCCAGTTGGGATTGTTCTTGTAGTTGATTATATAGTCTGCGCCGTATTGCTCCTGGACGTATTGAAGCTTCTTGTCGGAGGAAGATGTGATGATGGTTCGAGCGCCGGCAGCTTTGGCGAGGATCAGACCGGTGACGGAAACACCTCCAGTGCCTAGGCAGGAACTGTCAGTACAAAACATTGGGGGAAACAAATATGGAGCGAGACTCACCCATGAAGACAACAGTCTGGCCGGGCAACAGAGGTTTGTTACCGTACAGAGCATTCCAAGCAGTCGTACCAGTGCAGACCAATGCGGCGAGTTGGGAATAGCTGAGTGTCGAAGCAGCTGGTACCTTGATCAAGGCAGTCCAAGAAAGCGCAATGTACTGGCAAAGACCGCCGTCTACCGGACCACCTAGTGCACCGTTCCAGTTAAGGATCGGCCCGGCGATGGTCGTCGGGTCAAAAGTCGAGATGACCTTGTCGCCCTTGGCAAAGCCAGTAACAGCACTGCCGACGGCCACGACATCTCCGGCAATATCCGATCCTGGCACAGGATTTTCCTTGACATTGAATTGGTATTGGCCAGTCGCGATGGCAACATCACGGAAATTCAGGGCAACAGATCGCACTTTGACCACGACCTGATCCTCGGATGGTTCAGGTACGGGCTCATCAACGACAACAAGGTCGTGAATGGACTTGCGCTGGGGCAGGCGGAAGACTTTCTGAGTAGGCATTGTGAAGTTATATTGATTTAAATACTTTGAGATGTGTTTCGTTTTGTTGATAGTCAGCCTTGTAGTGCTTGTGCTTGAGAGATTGTGTGCTCATCCAACTCGGCCAAGATGGATCATCTTATACTCATGTTTACCTGGGGCCAAGCATTGCAGAGCCGTTAGTGACATGACCATTAATAATTAATTAATAATGGAATTGTATTAATAATTGAATTGATGTGAGGCATGTTCAAGGGGCGTAGACTTCCCAAACTTCTGCCCGAATCTGCTGTGGGAGCAAGAGTATTCATCGACCTTTGATAACAGTGCCATTGGGGTAGATATTCAGCTTGCATGAAGCACGGCCCTAATTTGACAAAAAGTCCTATAATTCTGCAATCCACTATCAATAATCTGTCCAATCGTGTACTAGAACCAGCACGGAGGTATTCCAATACTCGATAGTTGTCCAGGACGTCTGTTTGAGATGTGCTCTGAGCCCCTTACAAACATAAGCCGCGCATTTAGAGCTCCACTCTCGGACATGATTTTGGGGTAAATGGTGCGTTTATAGAGCGTAAGCAGCATAATTACCCCAATTCTACTCCAACACTTGATACCGATTCGGGGGCCGGACAAGCCGCTTCAATTTCTACCCCATCGGCCATCCTCTTCCTCGGGCCGCGCGCATTCGGGTGCATCATTCAAGTGGTCGCAGCACTGCATTTCTTCCCCAAATTTGCGGCAAGCCATGAGAAGAGGTCGTCCAAGGGCTGTCGTAGAGCCGTGCAGGTTCTGCGGTAGAGTCTTTAGGCGTGCAGAGCACCTACACAGACACGAGCGTACACGTAAGCCATGCAAGAACAAGGTCGTTTGTACATTCTATGACCACTTGTTGATCTTCCACAGATACCCGCGAGAGGCCTTTCGTCTGCGAGTGCGGCGAGACTTTCTCCCGACAGTGGGTATTTCCTACCTTGATCGATGAAGATTTGCCTTACGCGGTATTACAGAGACCTCCTATCCCGCCATCAACGTCTTTCCCATTCTGAAGGGGCTGCTACCAATGATGTAACACCCAGTCAGCTTGATGAGAGCGTCCCCGAGATCCAAAATAAGTCCAGACTCCCTGTCAATATCGAAACATTTGCAGCTCAAGAGCTGCAAGAGCTCAACTACCTGCCCAACGCGACGACTACCACAGCCGTCGCGCAAGATGGCCAAGGGCCAGAAAACAGAGACTTTTCAACTCAAAGTATGAGCTGGATCCCGCAACCTCTTGACAACGAATATCATGTGATGCCAAATATGATGCTGGATTATGGCAATATTCCAGAGAGCCAATTCCTGTGGGACAATTTCCTCATCGCTGATCAACCTGCTCCATCTGAGTTTTTTGGGACAGATACTGCAACTATGAATCAGGTTGCTGGTCCATCTCAGCATGTCCAATCGTCTTTTCCATTCAATCAAATGTCATCTCAGCCGGGCTTTCAAGACAGGAATCCATCGAGCCCAGTAACAGATCATGGGCAGTCCGACAACTTGAGACTACGTTTGCCGTCACTTGAGCCAGCTATTCAACCGCCAGAAGAACACGCACGCGAGCCAAACCGTGCTCCAAATCCGAAACCATTCGTTGTTGTCAAGACCCCGTGGAAAATTTCCACTGAGGACTATGTCCGCATTACAGAGAGATTATCCTCCGCCAATCCAGGCCTGTTGCACTCCAGTAACTTTCCATCACGGCACACATTGTCGCGTTATCTGGAGGGCTATTTCCGAGGCTTCCATGATCACTTTCCGTTTCTCCACATGACAAGTTTCTCTGCAGTATCCCTTGCCCCCGAGCTCCTCTTGTCACTTGCTGCTATGGGTGCTTTCTACCGCTTTGAGCATTCGCAAGGCCATAAGCTGTACCTCTCTGCCAGGAAGGCTATCGATAGCAGGATTGATGCGATCAGAGCAGAGGAGGCAGCAGGTACTCAAGGTACTAAGAGTAGCGGACTTCCTATACTGCAAGGCCTTATTGTCCTTCTGACACTAGCATCTTGGGGCGACAATCGCCTTTCCCGCGATGCCATGTCTCTTTCCAGCCAAGTGGTCATGCTAGCTCGGGATCTTGGCATCAGTTCACAAGAAAAGGTATCTGACAGCCCAAGTTGGGAATCTTGGATCATGGCCGAGGAGCGCTGTCGTACCCTCTGGTCAGCTTACTCGCTGCTCACACTGCAGAACATAATCAGCGATATGACTCCCATGGCACTCAATCGAGAGATATCGATGGACTTGCCTAGCTGCAACTGTGTTTGGAGAGCACAGAACTCAGTAGAATGGGCTCAATACAAGGCAGAAGAAACACTATCCTTTCCCAAGGTACTGCGAGACTTGTTATCAGGAGTTCCCATTCATCAGAAGAAACTTATTTCATCTTTCGGCAATTATGTTCTTATCGTCGCCATCATTCAACAGGTCTTCCTGGCTCGATTGGGAACATGCCAACTAGATGACTCGGAGAGTCCACTTGGAAAAGAGTCGATCCAAATCATGGAGACGACTTTGCTATTGTGGCAACAGTCGTGGGAGGCGACATATGAGTCCACACTAGACCCGTCGTCTCCAAAAGGGCCCATGGGCTTCAATTCCACGGCACCCCTACGCTTGGCCTATATCCGGCTGAACTCGAATGTGAGCCCTGCCAGCCGAGGTATCTACGAAGAGACTCCGTGTGGTAGCGACGGATTCATGAAGGCGTTTCATAAACCTTTGCATAGGTCATCACATACAGACCGCGCTGTACTGCAGTGCATCTATGCCCTCAGTGTTCCTGTGCGAGTGGGGGTCGCATTCGTTGCTCGAACACAAACGCTTCACTGGAGCGCACAGCACGCCATATGCACTTTGGAGTGTGCCTTTTTCCTCATACAATGGTTGAGGTCACTGTCCACGCGTGAAGACGGTGATGTATACTACAATATCCGACTGGGTCTCTTGAGACCCGATGAGCAAAGACTCTTGGATATGCTCATTAGCCTAATTAGAGAAACCGACATGGCTAGTACTGTCGAGTATCCTGGTCCACAGCAGATTATTGCAAAAGGTCTCATTGTGGCAGTTGCTAAGCTGTGGGCTGGAACAATTGAGGGTCTGCAGGTATTCGAGATTGTACAGAAAGTTGGAGAACGATTGCAGGCACTATCTGCATACTTGCAGGCAGAGAGGATATGAAAATTTAGATCTGACAAGTGGGGGTGATAGCAGATATGATTGAGGCATGGAAACTTTTGCCATCCGAAAATTTGCGTACCTGTCACCACTAGGCCGATCAATCAGACAAGCTGCTCATACCGCTTGAATGATGCTTACAAAACCAATATCGCAACCAGACGTGATGTCCAAATGCACAACCATCCTGCGATTCGTGGTGATTACGGTCGAGGAGTCAACTCCTACTTTTTACAGCCAAGTGTCAAGCAGCTAAGAAACATGCATGGTCACAAAGTCAAGGAAAACAGTCATGGATACTACTATTATACCATCCATAGGAGTGCTGCATACTTCTTATCACCCAAGCTTTACTGCATTGAGAAGAATCCCGCGTTTAGGTCACCGTCGCGAACAGTGGACCGTGGAGAAATGCGTGGACTTTCCAATGTTCAAGTCAAGGGAACGGCTTGATCGCGGGATAATCACTTAAATCCAACACCAAGAATCCACAAGTATCTGCCGAGGTACCTTGTTACGTCTTTGTGAATCCACCAATCAACACACAATTGCCTGTGCGGTCAGTTCCGGAGTAAAGAAAAATAAGAGAGAAATATCCCGCTGGTCTCTAGCGCCTAGTGTACTATGTGGCAGGTTAGCAACCCAAAGGTGTTTACTATAGTAGTGCTCAAGATAATGGAATCACGCGTACACTGAAAAATCTTCTAGGCCGCGAAATCATGGGGGCCACGGCAAGCAGTAGTCTATTCACCGCCAAGCCTCCCGAGTCAGTAATACAAGCCAACCACGTTGTTTGGGTATCCAGTTGCGACGGCAATTATTCAAACATTTCATCAGCCAAGGGATACCAGAGGCAGCCAAGATCTGGGGAAGGGAACTCCAAGAGAGCCGCAGAACAATACTACAATGAAGAGGTCTTATTCGGATCTGTTCCGTCCGTGCTACAATACCACTAGCATCTAGGTAACCTAAAATCCTGGTCGGGTTTCAAGCCAAAATGCGGGCCACTGCGCGCTACGTTACGAACCTTTTTTCTATTACCTGCTGGAACGGGCTTGGGCTATTTCAGGACCTAGCATCATGCCCTTGCAGTTGTTCGCCAAAAACTGAAAAGTGTAATCAAAACGGGGAAGATACAGGTAGCAGTGAATGATAAGATTGGAAATAAGCTTCTAACTAAGCTTTTGCCAATTTCTCAAGCGATGCATTGGCGATGGGCGATGTTACCCACTGAAGTCCATAACCAGGGGTCCTGCACCTCCAAATGCTGCTTACTCGAAGCAACGACGGCCCTTCCGGAGACATTGGCGTTGACACAATATCGACTGAAATACTAATAAGAATAATCTAGGTACTTCACATTTCGGGAAGTCCTATAGTGATTTTGTCCCCCCTGACCCCCCTCTGCCGTAAATCCTGCTGCAGAGATGGTGTATCTCACCATGACTAGGCGAATCGCTGTCGGTCAAATGCCCAGCTGACCAATCTGACTCGCAAGGTCTTTGCTCCCTTCACATGGCCAACGTCCTGTAATCTAGGACCGTTTTTCCACAGATCCACCTCGGTATGGGCCTGGTTACCAAGGGTCACATATCACCTACTCAGAGCAGCATCGTCAGTTATTGAATCGGTCCAGCCTGACATGACAATCTCTCGTGTTTAGTCCACCTGCGAAAGAGGGATTAGTGTAAGATGCACTTCGCAAAGGCCGTAGATAGACCACAGACAGATTATAGACGACCCGTTGCAATATCCCATGACTATAAAGACCACAAATGATGCCGCATTCTAGACTTCTTCTCGTCTTCAGCCAAGCTCTAAGAGACAGACTCCTCTCGGCCCTTCGTTCTCACCGCCAGCCCTAGTCCCAGACATCCAGTCTTGCCAATCCCGTCGCCATCATGAAGTTCTCTGCTGCTATCCTCGGCCTTGTTGGCATTGCCACGGCCCTCCCTCAGAACATTCCTGCTGTTGCTCCCAGGCAGCTTACCCGTCGCACTGGTGGCCGCCCGCAGCACTTCTCGTCGCCTATCAGCAGAAACACCAGCTACCCTCAGTACTCGAGCAACTGGGCTGGTTCTGTCCAGATCGGCACGGGTTTTACCAAGGTTCAAGGAACCATTACGGTCCCAGATGTGAGCGGTAGCAGTGACAGTGCTGCAAGCGCTTGGTAAGTCAAAATGATGCTGGATCATCTGCACGAAAACCTTGCTAAGATATTCTACGTGTATAGGGTTGGTATCGATGGTGACACATGCAGCACTGCTATTCTGCAGACTGGTATCTCCTTCTACGGCGACGGATCCTTTGACGCCTGGTACGAGTGGATTCCGGACTACTCGCACTCCTTCTCCAGCTTCGACATTAGTGTCGGAGACAAGATCTACATGGAGGTCGACGCTTCTTCCAAGAAGGCCGGCGTCGCCACGCTGGAGAACCTGACCACCGGCAAGAAGGTCACGCACTCCTTCTCGAGCAGCAGCACACCCTCTTCCCTGTGCGAGACCAACGCCGAGTGGATTGTCGAGGACTTTGAGTCTGGCGGCAGCCTCGTCCCGTTTGCAGACTTTGGTAGTGTCACCTTTACTGATGCTTCTGCCACTGGCTCCTCCGGCACCGTCACTCCCCGCGGCGGCACCATCATTGATATCCAGGACTCGAGCAACAACATCCTGACCGACTGCACTACTTCTGGAAGCGACCTCACCTGCAAGTACACTGGCAACTAAATGTCTTGTGGTGGTATTTAAACGAGAGCGGAGCTAGGGGCGAGAAAATATCATGTGTTAGCGTTGTTGGATGTTACGATACCAAGGAATCATTTGTTTCAGGATCTATGTGATGGATACAGTTGATTGTCCTTAAGCTTCAGTTGTGCATATTCAATTCAAACTTTTAAGCCCTACAGCTCGACTTTTCCCATCTCTCCTGTCTTTTCTCGTCGAAGGGCGAGCTTAATCGTTGCACTAGTCTTGATGCACGCCACACTTGAAAACTCAATCTCATGACATTAAACGTCCTGTATGCACATGAATCATGCGCCCACTGCCGATTCGATGATGGCGAATTTGTCCTTCTCCGAATCGAGGACCGCTAATGCATCATAGGGCAAGGTGACCATCGGCGTGGTGTGTCCGAAATCAACGCCAAACAAGATGGGAAACGGTTTTTTGGCCAACGGTCCTTCACACAAAAGTCCAGTGATTGCGCCCGTATACTCTGCTATAAGCTCGGGCGTATCATAGCCGTACGGTCGTCCCACCACCAGGCCAGCCGCGTCCTCAAAGACGCCGTGTGCAATCAGGTCGGCTACTCCAGCCTGAACTCTGTGAAGTGGGTTGCCGTAATTCTCATCATCGCCCGAGGCTGTTTCGAGAAACACTATCCTGCCACGCCAATCTGGTGAGATGGCTCGAACGCCCCCGAGACGCGCCATGACTGTCAAGCAGCCCCCAAACAGCCGACCATGCCCCTTACCTTGCCGCAACCATCTCCACCCCGGTGTTGCGCTGAGTCGTGGTGTCGCCACGGAACTGGGTTCCTTGAACATGGCGGCCATATCAGGCGCGTAGGTCACAGATCGCGCAACATCTCCAATCGGCTGGGTGTCTGCAATGGTGCGGAAGAGATGTTTCTCAACAAAGGCAAGCGGAGAGGCCTCGTGGTCAGCATCGGCGGCCTTGGAAGCACCTAGCTCCGGAATAGCGCCCGGGCCGTAAAAGGTGCGCAGTCCAGCGATGGCATGAAGGAACCAATGCAAACCGGTAATGTCAGAATAACCGACAACGATCTTGGGATCGGCGCGGATAGCCTTGTGGAGCTCCGTATCAGCAAGAAGGCTGGGTAGCAGCTCCGTGAACGACGGTCCGCCAATAGTGCAAATGATTGCCGAGATGGACGGGTCAGTAAATGCGGTGCGGATTTCGGACAGGCGATTGGCTATCGACGATTGAATGCCGGAATCTGGTCCCAAGTATATTTCGCGAATTTTGTAACCCTTTGCGACTAGGAGAGCAGTTGCCCGCTCCATGGCAGCAGGAATAACATCATTAAGCCGTGCAGACGGCGAAATGAAAGCTATTGTTGCGCCGGGCTTAAGTGCTTTAGGGACAATGGCCGAAGGCATTTTGCGTGTCTCTTGCGCTTCTGTCTTTTGTGATCCAGAACAATGTAAGTCGTGTGTATTATTCTAGGATATATGGACACTGATACTGTAAGACGAGTGTGCAATTAAGTACGTCGGCCGGATGGGGGATACCCAGTATTAATATAGAGACAATGGCGCCATCAAAACCAAATGCGGGGTGCTTGCAATTTGGCGGTTCTCAGATCATGCAAGGTGTTTTGTTAATCTGCCTTAAAGATTTATAAGAACAGACGAATCCCACATGTGGGTTAGCCAGCCCCCAAAGCGGTTTTACGCGCATTCCGGCGATGATTCATTTATAAGCATGTCTCCTGATGAGAGTCGAGGAAGGTGGTATCACAGCATGAAAGGCGTAAATGTTGCCCGAAGGGCGTGGATGTAAGCTGGGTTCGTCGTAACAAGGCACTGCGTTGAGTCATCGAGACTGATGCAGGGTACTGGTTGTTGGCGCAGGAATTCTAGAAACGTCGGGGGTGTAATCGTGTAAGCGGGCCACTAAGAGAGCGCTATATTGCGTTCCAAGTTGTGCTAAACCTGGTTGACAATTGCCAAAGTGGCCACAAAGGAATGCGTCTATATCCAGCTGTTTTATTTTCAATCTGCAACTACAGTAGAAACCCTGCTGCATAGTGGCATCCACTGGGTTTGCATTCATGACTTTGCTCGGCAGTAGGAAGAAGGGAAGTCGGCAATCTGTACCGACCAGGCCAGCCAAACAACCACCCAGACGTACCCAATCAGTTTCCGCAGACTCTTTTGCAGTATTTACGCCATCATGACTCCAGGGCAACATCTTTCTTTCCAGTAGATTGACCCACGGGTCCAACACGCCTTCTAGCAGCAAAGCGCCGAATAGCATCACGAACCATATTGCTTCTCCCCAGCAGCCACATCTCGCACATGCCCTGGGATACTTCAACCAGGCCATCAGCGTGTGCATCTCACCATTCTCCAAGAAAATGAAAAGTGCAATTAAATAGCGTATCATGATGCCTTTGCGGATACTCAGATATCTGCTCAATATCCGGAGTACCCATGTACTCAAAGATCGGTAGACAAGTGCACGGCCATGCATTCGTCGAGGATGGCGAGAATCGCGTCCAACTCTATAAATATCATCACTTGTTACAGAAAGCTCTACTAGCGATGCATCTAAGACTACTGCCTATTTCTGGATCATATTCGAGTAGTTTCGACTTCGCCTTCATTGTTGTTCGTTAGGAGCACAAGTGCCTAGGCAAGCGTTGGGCAGGCCACGGGTGTAGCACTCGTTACTACACGTAGGGGCGATATAGCATGGGACGGTCTTGGTAATTTACTTGATAACTCACCTATCTTTCGCGCTTCTCGCCTTCAATACACTACAGACTTTCTCTCCATGACCGTTATTTAATCGATGATTTCAGATATACAAGAAACTTTTCCAGGATCATGTACTCGACCCGAGCTGGCAGTGTTCACATCAGTCCCGCTGATCCAAAGATCAATCCAACTGTCGGCTCCGATAGATTGAACGTCCGGCAGATGTAGAGCTCCTGGCGCCGGTATTACCAGGAGCTCTGAAGGTATCATTGGCAGAGAGCAGCTTAGCGAGTATTGCAACGGCACATCTCTGGACTTGAGTGATCTCAAGGTCGTCAAGACTTACAGTAGGGTATCAATCTATATACGGTGCATGAAATCATCTCAATGCCAACGCGTAAAAAGCCCCGATCACGGTTCATGCCGCTTCAAAGCCGGTCACTGATATAATTCAAGTAAGCGATGGTATCACGATCCGCTAGGACGTTTCTTTTTCAGCTTTAGAACTTGTTAGTGCTAGAGAAATCGGAAGTTGCCATAGTACATGCAACGATTGGCGGCTGAGACATGCATAGTTCGGTAGTCTGCCGAACAGTCGCAACCAAAAAGCCCACGTATGCCTCATCGTACTTTTCTCAATTGAATTTTCCATTCTTTCCATCTGATCAACCACAAGGTACTTCAAGTGACAATGCAATTGGGGTATGCAGGTCTGATCATGGCGAGCCTCGCTTCACGTATTACAAACGACTTTGCGCCTCTAAACATCTCTGCGCTTGCGTCGGTCAATGGATCATCGACTATACAATGCTGGCAGCTGGCCGCAGTTCCAGTCGAAGCCAGATCTGCACTCAATTTCGAGCTTGGGAACACGACCGAGGCAACTTGGTCAATCATCCAGCCGCAGACTGTAGTAGGGGAGGCTTGGGCTCCGGCAGTACAGTGAGAGTGTCGCATCCCTCGTTCAAGAACTTTCTGACTAAGCATCTTCATAAGACTGACCATGGTCATGAACGGGATGATTCATGTCTCTGCACCAGCGGCACAGCACACGGGATATTCAAGTACAAAGGAAGGCTCCAACGTTGTCGGTGCAGTACCTCCGGTTCAGGGATATTTTGTTCCAGGTACCTTATCATCCTCGGTTCTCATCGCAGCCGATCTCAAGGCCACAAGCAACATCGCAGGGCACTTCACCGAGTTCCCCGGCAATGAGCCCACGGTATTGGTCCAGATACCTTTCGTCAATAACGAGCCACCCAAGCACACGGTACTATATGACGGCCAGTGTAAATGACGCTGCGGTACCATGGAAACACAAGTCCCTGTTGGGGTTATTCTGGCGGCATAGCCATAGCAAATTTGAGGGTGTATATCTGAAAGCATTCGAGTCTATGGACCCATCTTGTGACTATGCAAAACATCAAACGAGGAAAGAATGGCACATAAGACGCGTCCAACATGATAATTCAAGGCCTAAAGCAAATCAACTCATGAGAGTGGGGGAAAGCTCATGTTTAATATTCAATAATGATGGTTTAACTGAGCGAGGTTCAATCTCAGCCCTCCTAGTGCAAGATTCCAGAGTGTCAATGAAACGTGAGTAGCCACAATGAAATATCTAGGTGGCGATCGGCTTATGTGCTGTCCTATATAGATGGGCTGGTGTTAGAATTTCCCTGGAAACATATGTCCAAGGTTCCTGAGCGAATCACTCTTCACATACGCAATTCGAGAAAAGACATCTTATTAATGAGCTGAGTCAACCCATCCACCACAATATATAACTCCAATATTGTGACGACACTGATAAATAGAGTTTCCAACATTCTGCAAGCGCAGCGGGATGGATCTCAGAACTTTCCATCAGGCCAATCGTCATTCGCGGAACATTGATACGGTTCTGCCGGTCGAACCTTGCTAGTCGAATAGTGATCAGGCCGGCCGCTGCGTAATATTTTGGGGTTCAAATCCGTAATATTTTCGGAGGTCCACTACTCCACTTGCATGGAGTAGGTAGCATTGGGTTATCTCTCCACAATAGGAACTGAAGTGGTGCGACGCGCGACAGGGCCAATGGCACCTTCGAGGTGCCTATATCTTGCTGAGCTATTCCTTCTATTGGATGCCAAGGCGAGATAACGACCTTTTCCCATCTACGAAAAACGAAATAGCCCACCATGCCTACGTTGGAAGACAATAATGGCGATGGCCACATACGCGTAGGTATCATGGGCGCTGGTATCGCCGGCTGCTGCCTCGCTATCGGCCTCTTGAAGAACCCACGACTGGATGTTCATGTCTACGAGAGATATAATGAGACAAAGGCACACGGCTCGGGCCTCGCACTCCACGCCAATGCCCTCAGGTCCATGGACTTGATTTCCCCTGCGATCAAGAAGGCGTATTTTAGAAAGTCTCACTACATGGCCAACGAGGAGGAGATTGAAATGGCGACGCAGTTCATCCTTGCCGCTGGTGACAATGCTAGCGAACTCGTTGCCGAGCTAGGAAGAGCAAAAGGTCGGCGGACCGTACACCGGGCGCACTTGATTCAAGGCCTGATGGAGGACGCCATCCCCGCTGAGCGAATTCATTACGGCAAAAAGCTGTCAAATATTGAAGAGGATCCAATTACACGCAAGGTTATTACGACTTTCAATGAAACGGAAACTGAGACCTTTGACGTCGTCTTCGGGTCTGAAGGAGTGAGCAGCATTACCAGAAAATTCATTTTGGGTCCTAATCACCCGGCTGCCACTCCGGTAAACCACGAGCAATGGAGACTGTTCCATACATATGTCAGAATGGAAGATGCTAAGAAGGTTGTCCCTAATGAGTCTATTGAAAAGGTCCGGACCTACTGTTTGCCGGTCGGCTACATCAATGGTATCCCGGTAGATCTTGGCCAGACTTTCAGCATATGCTGTTATCAAAGAGACGAGAAGTGCCCTGTGCAGGGAGCACCTTTTAACGCAAAGCTTTGGAAAGGCTACATGCCCGAAGTCGATGCACTGATATCTGTAAGTCATGTTGTTTGTATCGTCTGTGGTCTCGGCTGATAACTTGGCACAGTGTCTGGAACGAAGTCCTGGAGAGACGTGGATCCTTCAGGATCATGACCATGCTCCGACGTACGCAAAGGGTCACGTGGCTATGATTGGCGATGCGGCTCATGCCACATTTCCACATGCTGGAAATGGCGCCGCTCAGGCTATAGAGGACTGCGCTGTCCTTGCTGGTATCTTTTCAAGCCTGTCGAACACTGATGAAATCGATCCGGCACTGCAGGCGTTTGACGTGGTTCGAAGACCGCGCAGCCAGCGCGTCATTGACATTACGAGGCGCTTTGGAATTCTTTACAGCAAAGAGCCTGACGACATCGATGTGAATTCGATGAAGGCTGAAATGAAGGAAGGCGGAATGTTCACCAACGGTGTTGATATGGAGGCTCAAGTCAAGACCGCTATGGACCTTTTTGAAGAAAAGAAGGGATACAACTAAGTCCCGGCGCCGCATCGATCTGCAATCATTTTCTATCATGTTTTACGCGTAATGGATTGCATGAGTGCCTGCTCAACGTACTATTTTCAATCGTAGTCTATGAATATACTTATGCTGCGATTCATGTTTATTTCCTGCAACATTAGGTAGCGACTTATTCTGTATTCAGATGGAATTCAGTGATGACTGGCGACCATCGTTTTGCCTCAGCTTCGACTCTGAACACCATCCAAGACATATTGTATCCTTCTGACCTAGAATGATTCGCACATCTCTGGTAGGACAGAAAGTCGGTCATCACATTTGATACAGATTACTTTTATCATAATCGACGAGCACGTGACTTATGGTTTGTTTAGAGTCTGGTTCCCAATGAGCCTTGCCTGGAGAAGCCTACCGAGAAAGTGGAAGGTATAAAAGGTAGGCCTTTGCTACATGTGAGGTCAAAATATCACTTGATAATAGAGTGTGACGATTGTACTTCATATCATTCTAATGGAGAGACGGACTAACGATGGGTGTCGCGCAACGTAGTGTTCTGGCAGTTGAAAGGATCACGATTAATATTCATATTCAGCTGGACCATAAGTGCGCTGGGCGCCGTAATCCAATAGTCCAATCCTTAGTCTCACGAGGTTGACAAATATGGAAATTGTCAGCCAGAATTGTGAAAATAAGACCTCATTTGAGCACAATGCTTATACGGATAAAGCCACAAATCAGCGCCGCAGGCCAAGACCCTATAATATTCTCAGGCTACAGCCAGCCAAGGTCAGAAGGCGTCCAACATATTACTTCGATGATTAGATGGATTGGGTTGTGTTGATGACAGCCTAATCATTCCAATACTGACTTGTTAATCATCAGTGTATAAGAACAAACATTCTTCGTATTCACCTACTTGAGATCAGCTCCGCGTTTCATCACGTTCAAACTCGAGAAAATCACGCCGAGATGAAGGTTTTCAGCGCCTTTTCTATTTCCCTCCTTGGCCTTTTTAGCCTGGTGGCTGCCAGCCCAGTGCGCAGCAATGATCTTGATGCCAGAGTGGAGTATTGTCAAGTAATACCACCGTGAGTAGCCCCAGGAGAACATTATGCACATATTCAATCTTCTGACTGGGGATATTAGATGCTGCGCAGATAGCACGCTCGAGTCACGAGACACGCCAAAGACCTGCTGTGGGTGTTGGGGATGTTGTTGAACACACGAGAGCCAGGGGTCAGTTGATGGGGAAAGCGTGCAGGGCTGAATGAGACTGCAGTCATCCTGGATAGCAAGGTCTATTGCGACAAACTTAGATCATCTTGCAGAAAATAAAAGAGCTACAAAGCTTGACTACAGTACATACTCCTTTCTGATGACAAAAGTATCAAAGGTCGTCTTCTTTTGAAAGGTAAAAGGACGAAAAGAATGGTACTCGATGAGTAAATGGGATACCATTATGCAATCTCAAAGTTCTTTTGTCTCCATCCATAAAGTCTCTTCAGACGACGAGAGTATGAGAGCAATTTGTAGCCCTCGATCTGGGAGTGGTGGGGGCGATGCACAGTCAGTGGTCGTTGGTTGGGCATGGTTTGTGGCGGGTAGAAGGTATAGACGGAGCCAAATTTGGGGAGAACCGAGAATCCGAGATCTGCCATTGCAGACTCGAAGTTGTACCAAGAAACGGACCCGCGAGCCTGTGATGAAGAGAACAACGCCTCAAATACCCTGAAAGTAGCATCCTTGACTTTGAATGTGGATGATGATTGCAGTGTTTCGCTCTCCTTTGTAGCACTGGGCTGTGCTGGGGGCACGATCTCAAAGGCAGATGAGTGGACTGGGCGTGTCTTTTCCTTTTCCTTTCTGGCCTGAACGCGGGCATCGGGTGCTTGAGGCGCTTCAACTGGGAAGGGGACATATTCCGCCGCTTTGGTCTGCTTGTCAGCCTGGATCTTCTCTTGTCGTGCCAAAGTAGCCTTGAGCTGGGCTTCAAGGCTGGCGACACATTCATTGATGAGATCCTGGTAGAGGAATCCTAATTTGGTGCCCGTCTTCTCAACAAGAAATATGTCGAGGGCATTGAGGGCAGCATCGGTCATGCCTGGCTCCAGTAGATTGTCAATTGGCGCTGCATAATCGCGCAAATCAAGCTGGGGCTTGAGACCTTGAAGCTCTGCCTCCAATTCTCCTGATTTCGTGATAAAGCATTGTGCCTTTTTGCGATTGAATGCAGGCATCGAGACCACTGAAGCAAGAGACTGGTAGAAGCTCACGATAATAGCCAAGTCACCATGGCTGTCAGCCTCGCGATTGTTCATGCTTTCCCGAGCACCTGGATGAGTACGTTCATACTCATCCAGCTTCTTGAACCAGTCCACAGCCTTAGTCGCCGTGGTATCCGATTGGCTAAGGCGCAACAAGTAGTAAAGATGAGGATTCTCTTGTGTCAACTTTTCCGGCTTGCCCTTCAGCGCTATGCGAGGGATACCATTATCGTAAGTGTTTGAAATACACTTGAACCATTTAGAGCCGGCAGATGAGGCTGTTGACAATTGGCGCTTGAACATAGCCTGCGTGCGGGAGTACTCGAAATGACATAGATTCGAAATCTCCTGGAGAACAATAGCTCTGCGAGACTTATCCGTGATGGTAGCAAGAAGTTCCAGCAGACGAATCATATAGTCCCATGTTGCAGCAGCTCTGACCGTATGGTGAACAGCCTCCAGGACGGAACCGCTAATGAACTTGTCTGTGTGTACCGGGAGTGACCGCCCTTTCTCATCAGGCACCAGTTCAGGTCTGCTAAAGAACCAATAGTTGACCTCGTGGGCCAGTGCGACTGACTCGGTACATAGGAGAGCCAAGTCATCGTCCATTGAAGCCTTTTGGTCACGCGCATCTTCGATGAGGCGCGGAAGGTCAAGCTGGGGTAACTCGTCAGATTGCTTGATGCTGAGCTTTGAAAGTGCGGCGGCGGCAGTATCGGTGGGTTTCTTGGGAACCGACTTTTGGGAACGGGTAGTTGATCCAATTTCCAGAATGTCGTCGCACAGGATGTTGAGCGATTGCAACATTGTTTCTTGTCTAGTGAGGACCAATTCGCCCTTGGATTGTGGTATGCAAAGCCCAGCTTGCATAGCCGGTTGAAATGCAGCCATAGACTGCTCTCTCTCCTTGACAAACTTGAAGGATTTGCCGTACATTCCGCCATCAATAAAGAAGGTCCAACTGTCAGGGAAAGATTGGACATGGCGAAGGTTGCGTGTGCGCATCATCTCTTCTATGAGTTCCTGTGGGCCACCAAGATTAGATCTCTATCGTGGACGCATTAGGCCGCTTAGAAGGTAATGGTAGTCAGGTCTTACGGAATCGCCAGGGCGGCCATTGAACCCGGAATAGAATTGCTCGCCGGGAGTCGATGTGGCTCTGTGCTCCAACATCTCCAACAGGAAGTCTCCAGGACCAGTGATGTCCTAAAGGTCGAATTCTGGGGCGAATTTGTACACATTGCCTTGAGATCGATCTTCAGAATGTTTCAAGACACCAACTGTACCGGCCTTGATGGCCTGAGTTCGTTGACCCTGTGCATGGAAAGTCAGTAAAGTAATCACCAATTTCATGGTTTCGTCGATTTTGTCAAAGAGCTCTGTCTAAGAGAGCTGAAGCTTGCTCGGCATGTCCATTATCGTGTACTAGCAACTGAGCTGATATCTGATGCCGAACATACCTGGCTAAAGGAGCGCCAAAAATCTTTGAGACGGGTGCCATGCCTGCGCCACTTGCGCTCCAAGTCATGTTGTAGCTCTGTGACACTGTCTCCAATTCCTGGTCCTTCCATTGTCAGGTTCGGCGAGAGTATAGAGATGATAATGAGTGTTCAAACAAGACTTCAAACGGGAAAATTCGTTATTTCTTAGCTCCGAGTAATTGCTCGTGCATCCCGTTTGGAACTAGTGTGGCTCGTTTGATGTCAAATCTGTGACGCAGCTTTCCGGTACATCAGGAAACTACACTCGTAGTTAGATTGCAAACCCGTGAATAACAAATACTCAAATCGATCTATAAACCAGCCGTATTTACTGTCTGATTTATGATTGGTTATGCTTGCATTGTTTCGTTTGCTCCCCTCTGAGAGACTGTACCTACCGCCGACAAGCTGATGCGCTGCCTGAAGCTACAGAGTATGTACACCCTAAGTTGGGTATCCACCTTTCTGCTGTGTACAAAACATCCAGAGCCCCGCTACTGCGTCTCTGACAGCTTAACGGGGATTGGCGTACCCATAACTTTTAAACTATAATAGCTATCAATTTAGGGCTGCAATATGTCATTAATTCCGGTCTGTTCGCAATGATCATTGTCTCAAAAGGAAGGAGAATACAACTACTGATATTCCATAATACAATGGGCGTATCTGACCTTGTTACTTCTGGCCAAAAGCCATGCGGCCATGAGACCATCTTGGCACTGTTCCGTACGCTAGGCGCCATGCGTTGGAAGCTCATTGGATTTTGCCTCTGCCTATTGAATAAGATCTGCATGCTTTTCACTCGTCATTGGAGCCGACCAACACTCTGCGAAGCGTAACATCTCGCCTACCTGTCGAGCCTGCTTAGGTATCTTTTTGCAATGCTCAGCCATTTCGTGAAAGTGGGAAGATTTTGATGTGGGGTTTTCATGCCGAGATGAGCAAGCGGCCCCTACTTAATGTACGCTGCCGAGCGCTCCCGTCAGTCATTGGCAATTCGCAAGCCTGGATATGTTCACGGTTGAAACTTTGTACTGGGGACGGCCTGTTAAATACTCGACTGGATTATCCATTGTAGACGTCGAGACTGGCAACGAGACATCAGATGAAACCTGTCGGGCGGCTGCAAATACTGGCTCAAGTCTCAGTAGGACACACCGTCATATTCTAGATGAAGGTGGCCAGGTCATGTTGGATTATGAATCACCGCCACATATTTTGCGGATGATGACTTGATGGTGGTGAGGCCGGACCTTATAAACGCGACGAGACGTGACGATCCTTGCGTCTATTGTTCACATCACGCGTAGAAACACAGAGTGTTCCGAACACAACCTACTCTGTACGCGATAGGCTGCGCTTTATGGACAAATTTAACCCAATGCGGACGGAGCTCTTATGGAGGGATCATCTTGGCAGACATGGACAAGTGCTCAAGTACAACCTTGGACGAAGCCGATTGACGCGATGATAGGATAGATGCCCCAAGACATGCATGAAGTGGATAATCTGGCTGCGCCCTGACCATCCTGGTGTGACCATTTCTGGTGTTGTCGACGCCGTTCTGACGAATCACAATTCTCGTGGACGATTGCATAAAGTGATTTTTCAGGATTTGACCTGCAGCTAGGCCCCTTGCACCGAGCATTAGCTCTTCGGTGAGGCCTTGGAATTGCATTGAAAGCAGCGGCCAGGGTCGTAAGATCGGTTGAACTAGAGCGATCACCACTGAAGGACGGGAATTGAAATTCGATGGTGCAGCAGAACCAACAGGATTTCCAGCACCTCTCGGGCTTCTCCAGCGACTGCAGCTCCACTGAAACAGCACTAGAAGCACACTAACCGCCCCGTTGTCTTCCCGCCAACACGCACACATCTGATTGGGAGACACGCTAACTAATACGTACGCCCAACACCAACGCGTCCGGCACACGGTTCAACACGATTGGATCTCCGATGCCCCCAGTTTTGATCGCCAATCTTTTCAGCTCTTTTCTTGCTTCTCTTTCTGCCTTTCTGCCGTGCCGTTCTCCTCTCGTGTTCCCAGTCTATCTCAATCAAACCTGCAGGACGCCTTTTTGAACATATGTTTGAGGCCTGAGCGTGCGAATACCAGTCCTTTGCCGGATCTCACCTGATTGCACGCTCATATACTCTCCAGGCCCCCCTCCCTCCCCTCGCATCCGCCTGGGCCCTCGGTATTCCAAGCCATTCGCCCAAAAGCGTACGAACTGGACCCAGTCGTCGTTTCTTGTCTTATCTAGTACTTTGATCTAGTCTGCCTGGTCTGGTTTACTATCAATTTCCCCAGGTCCAAGGCACCCGAATTAGAACGATCGACCATACATACTACATTACCTACCTTGACTACCCACCAGGTACTCCCACTACATACTACGTCTTGTCCCGGCATATCTCCATCCTGTGTCATCCTAGGTAGTATACAGCATAGGCGGGCGGGCGTCTCTTCCCATCTGGTCGCGGTCACCTTGCCTCGACGTGCAGCTTCCCAAACCGAACCGGGACGAATTATAAGCAGCGCGAGACAAGCGACAGAGCTCTCCTCCCTCGCTCGCTGCCGGCCCAGGGCCTCGTCCATCGCGGCCACCACCCATCCCCACAGAAATCGCTGTCAAAGCCATCCATCCATCCATTACACAGCTTGAGGTTGCAATAAGACGTCTGCATTCCCTCTGCCCACCCGTCTCGCCACTCTCTTTCCGCTTCCTTCCCTCCCTCCCTCCACTTTCTAGTCTTCATCTGGAAGAGGGCCCCGGCTTAATCAAACAATTGCTTTCTATGAACTGCAAGATAGAAATACACGAACAGAGACTCACTATACAACATTGACTCTATCTTGCAAGCACATATTGCATCCCCGCATTTGGAGTCAACAGATTCTATACACGCTTTTTGTCAAGCAATTTCACTGGCGCGAGTACAACTGTATTAAACTCGGCCCAGTTGGAACTCGTTTTGCATACAACACGCTCAATCGAGTATTGGAGCCCGCCTGTCACAACCTCAACACCTATCGCGATTACAACAATGGCTGCTGTGTCGCGTCAACCATTCGCCCCTTTGGACGGGACTCGTCTTCAAACATTGACTAGTTTGAAAAACAAGCAAAATGGTAAGTGGTTTGTTGCCATAATGTTATTAAGCACTGCAATACCCCATGTCATGCCCATGTCGCCTTTCCCTTGTTCCCCTTTGGCGATACTTGCCAACTTGGTCAAATCCATCAAGGCCCATTTCTACGCGCCAATGCTAAAAAGAAACGATATAGCTATTCCTGTTTCGTCACCCGGCAAGCGCAAGGCATTCGACGCCATAGACGCTGATGACAGCGAGAACGTTGATCCGGTGCTCTTCTCTAAGCGATCCAAGGGTTCCGATAGCTTCTACCCAGCCAAAGACTTTATCAAGCCTTCGAAATTTGTGCTTACCAAGTCCGCCTCTGCCAACGATATTGTCAGCAGCCCTCTGAAGATCGCTAGCCCTCGCCCGAGAACACTGTTGCAACCCAGGTCGCCCGCCGCCAGACTGAACTCAGGAATCACCAAGTCGTCTCCGCTCACAGCTCCCGCTGGCCGATCACCGACCCGTGGCAAGCGCAGCGGTCTTTTGTCATCTCGCCGCCGTACTGCTGGCTCGTACTCTCGTGTTGACCCTCCCATCTTTGGTCTCGGTGCCTCTGCCGGATCTTCGTCTGCACCCTTCTCTCTGGATGCCGCGCTTAAGGGGACCATTCCCAGCTATACGGGCAATGCTGTGGCATCAACTCGCTCTACCAGTCGTTCTTCTGGTCTTGGCGATCTTCATGGCTCGGACATGAAAACCAGCTGGTTTTTCGACATTCATGAAGATACGCCCGAGCAGGAGATGACGAACTTGCTTCAACACAGCACCTGCATTCTGGATATTAGCTCGGATGAGGAGAGCGAAAGCCGCCTTGAGCGAGAACGTGCTGAAGGCAAGGAGAATGTTCCTCCTGCAGACGACATGTCACAGACGTCTCGTCCGAGAAATGCTCGTGCAGTTGCAGACCTCGATGACATGATCTTTGAGAAGGAACGCAATCCCCTGGGAGAGATGAAAGCCAGCGATTACTATGCAGAGGGATGCGACGAGACCAGCGTCGTTATTGTGCCTGGGGATGACGATGAAGAGACCAAAACTGAACGCGAATTCACGCCCGAGATACAAGCGAGAGATGCAACTGCATCAGTACCAGAACCTGCAATCGAAGATGGTGCCAAGACCGTTGACGAGCTCATGCAGAAAACGGAAGAACCAACACCGACTGCAGCAGTGCTCCAGCCAATTGAAGGCACAAGTGAAAGCTTCGAGGTCTGGGAAAGCGGCAGTGCACATGACGAGACAGAGGCTTCAACAGTATCATCATGACATGCAATACATGAGGGTTCAAGGACGGTTTTTGGTTGAAGGAATCTGACACACTCAAACATTTTCACATGAGTGTCAGTTGTTGGAATTGGCGTTCTCGGTGTTCTCGATGAAAGGATTCGGGGCAAATCCCAGGAGGGCACAATTGGTCTGGTCATGGACGGTAATGCTTGGACGAATCATGTGTATACGTTCACGGAGTTTGGTTGAGCGATTCGTTATTCAATACTTTGCACTTTTCGTCATTCTGTCATGTATAAGCTGTCTTCTCCATGATTGCAATTTTGTGTCTATACCATTCCCCACCACACACCAAGCGCGGTACTATGTCTCATGTATAGACTGAGTTCTTCACCGCCATGTGCGCTTCTCGAAACATGTTCCACGCCTGGATGTATTAGGTAGACACCAATCCCGATAGTCGCAATAATCAGCACTATTGGAGCTATGGTTCCAATCCATCAAGATTAAACATGGAACACCCCTCAATGCAAACCCGACGTCGGCTACATAGTACAGTTAAAAGGTCGGATGTGTTACACAACTACTTGTTCAGTAGAGCGTCGTCTATGAAATCGTGTCACTGTTTCACGAGAACGACTGCAGATGGAAAGCAAAATTTCCGATGTATCATAAAGTGCAGTTTTCTTTCCCATGTCTGATTTGCCCAGCCACCTTGCTTGAGCGTCACCACTGTTAGCAGATTCGCTGCAGAATGATCGCATAGGTTTTGAATTCTTTGAACATTACATAGGAAGAGAAACCAAGGTACTGCCTGCAAAAGCACTTGAGTAATGCACGTTGGTGCACGATGGCGCGGTGTGGAACCACTTAACGCGTCAATCAAGCTACACTACATTAGAGACTTCGCGACAGTTTAGTGGGAGCATCCATGAAACCAGACCACTTTGCACATCATCCTACGGCCTTTGCATCTCATAACAGCCACACACGACCGTCGGCGCTTACAATACTGCATACCAATCTCAACGCATGACACTTGGGTAATCCTAAAAGGTTCAGATCTAAGCTCCGGCTCGTTTCATACAGCTCAATTGAGCTGATAACGCCTCCTAGATTACAGTTGTGGGCGGTCAACAGCCGCTTAGCTCCCATCTTGTGTTCCAGCTCACTTCTGGGCGTCAACGGACATCCCATCCGCCTCTTTTAGCTACTGGGGCCAATTACCAATCGCCTCTGTGAAAACCATGTCTTCCATCAACGATCTAGCCGCGGCAGCGACTATTGCTTCGTCTGCCGTTGCCCTCCAGTCCTCACCACAGCAGCAAGCAGCACAGCCGGCGGTGCAGTCCTCTCCGACCCCACCAGCTCCCATCGACCCCTCCTCCACCAAGCCCGCATCCGCCAGCACACCAACTCAAGGTTCGGCTCCGGCATCTGACCCAGCACCGTCGCAGGCGTCGCCACCCGCAACCACCGTCCTGGTCGCATCGAAAGCATCGGGCTCGACATTGGGGCCGGCATCTTCTCCTCCGGGCGCCCAAGCAGCAGCTGCAAGCACCTCTGCATCTGTTGATGGAGCAGGAAATGGACCAGCAGCTGTGTCTGCCCCGCCGCCGGAGGAGAAATTGAAAAAGAAGAAGCCGGTCCGTGGCGCTTTCATTGTGTTCGAGGGAATGGACCGCGCCGGCAAGACTACTCAAGCCAAGTTGTTGCAACAGAGATGCATCGAGGAGGGCAAAAATGTCAAGTTCATGAGGTTTCCTGGTATGTCTCCCTGTAATCCATGTAGCTCACTTGGACTAATCGTGTATTCGCTCCCTTGTAGACAGAACAACGCCCATCGGCCAAATGATCGATGCCTATCTCAAGGGTCAGACGGAAATTGAGGACCACGTTATTCACTTACTCTTCAGTGCTAATCGATGGGAAGCAATGTATGTAGTTATGATCATTCCTCTGTTCTCTGTCTGCTCTTCTGGGCCGTTCAAGAACATACTAACAGTTTTCCAGTAAGTCAATCCAAACGGCTTTGGCCAGTGGACAAACCATCATCTGCGACCGCTACTATCATAGCGGCATTGTTTACAGTGCTGCCAAGCAGAATCCATCACTGCCTCTGTCTTGGGCCAAAGCCCCCGAGGTCGGTCTCCCACGTCCGGATCTGGTCCTCTTCCTTGATCTAGAGGAGCAAGTAGCTCGTGAGAGAGGCGGTTGGGGTGGCGAGATCTATGAAAAGGGCGAGATGCAACGCCGCGTTCGGGACCTGTTCTGGGGTTTGAGCATGGGAGATGTTTCTGGAGCTTCCGGGCAGGGCAAGGGAAAACGGGGGGAGAGTGGCGGCGCGGGCGGCGCAGACGGAAGCCACCAATCCGAGCCCTTGCGGCCACACGGCGAGAAGGGTGAGTTTAGACAAGAGGAGGAGGATCTCCAGATTGTGGATGCAGACTTGGGTGTGGAAGAGCTCAGCGACAAGGTCTGGGAACATGTCCTGCCCCGACTCGAGCAGGTTGAGAGAGGTGAAGTTGGTGACAGAGTCAGGACCGTGAGGTGATTCTTGAATCGTCTAGGACATGATCTTGGGAATGACAGCAGACGGTGACTCAGTTGGCGATATCAACATGAACGGTTACTTGAATCCAAAGTTTGGGATTGTGTGTGCAGCCGCTGGCTTTGTCCAGCAGTATACTTTGTCATACGCTACAGCAGATATGGTAGGCATAAATTGAAGCGGCAAGAATCTATCATGAATGAACCAGGTCGAGTATTCATTATTTCATGGCATGTATGTGTTAATTTGTGGACGCGCATAGCAATAGTCAAGGTGCACGGATCACAATCCTAACCGCTAATGAATTGGTTGCTTAGCGCTGGTGCCTTCTACCTTGATCCACCAACATATCAATATCGGCACCTAAACTTCCACTGCCAACATCAAACATTCTACTTCTCCTCGCCTCGACGATGCCGTTGCATATCAGGTAGCTTTTATTCATATCCTTTGCAATGCGTTGGATGGTTCGGCAAGCCTGGCGCGGCATTTCCGCTGCCAAGCCTCGCGTTACTCCCAGAGTCACGCTGATGACCCGCATGGCCCAACGGTCCCAGTGGCAACGCGCTCAGCCATCACAACTTTGCGGCGCCCATCGTTCGAATCATTTCACGGTTCTGAAATCTGGAATGTATGGTACCATCTATCTGTCCATTGCCCTACTTGTGACAGATGAGACACTGGACTGGGCGACGCGACAAAATCTGGGCATCCAAGCCGTCCACGGAATCACCCACGCCGAGACTCACCAGGAGCAACTGGCCAATTTCTGGATCCTGGGAGAAGCCTTGATGAAGGCACACTCTGGAACACTTCCGGAGTACCATGAGCCCATCCGTCCCGATGAGGAGTCGGGTCTTGCCGACGATCTCGAGATACGCCTCTTGACAGTACCGGACCCCGAGATGCCAGGAGAGAACCTGTTCCTCTGCCAGGCCGCTTTCGTCGACGAAGAGGTGCCCGATTTCTATGTCGCCACACATTCCGGCCGCATGTCAGATGCCGCCCACTCTTTGTTTCCGGGAATTGAGAAATTCGCCAAGGGCCATAATGCTTCAAGAGGCGCTCTATTGATCATTCACCCAGACGGCAATTGGTATTGCATTTACTACGATGGACGCCGATGGTTGAATATGATTTTCATGGAGTGGCAGACTGCGGCTTCGCTTGGGCTGGAATAAGGCAGTCTAAATTCCAGCCCCGTTGATTTCGAAGCAGTGCGGCTGAGCACTCCGAAACTACGGCAGAACCATTCTGCAATGAAATTCCTTCATTTGACAGGAACTCACGATCTGTCCGTAATGACCTCTCAGATCAATATACGCCTGAAATGAGCCTGCGCAGTCACAAAAAGAGCTCAATTCCGAGGCACACTGTCCAAAGGAGAAGGGGGTGTGACGATTCACGATTGGCAGTGTTTTGGGAATAGGGCTTCAATGTGGTCAAATTAGGCCAGTTATGGCGTCAACTTCCCATCTCACCGGAGATGGCTAAGGATTCAGCTCAATTCTACTCCATCGGCCAAACCATCGTCATTGGCTGCTCTGTTTGTATGTGCCTTGCGGGAGCAGCGGTCTTCTCCGGCTGCGCAAAATTCAGGCGACAGAAAAGGCGGAAGGCAGTATCCAATAATCACCGCAAGAGGCAGCACGGCACTCACTGGAATACAGTCTACCTGCACTTGTGTCGCGTCATGCAACGCTGCAGTACATAAAATAGACCGTCGGGGATTCTGGTGATGGGGGCCATTTTGCCTTACAGCCTTATTACCGTCTCACTGGGCGGACTACTATACCTAGTACTTCTGGAATTAGAAGTTAGAACCCACTTCTCGGGTAGTCTAATATGCTATATATAGACGTTGGAGAATCCCAAGAAGCCCCGAATACCTGGTATCTGAACCCTGTCATGTGATTCCTGCCAAAAATTAAATCCTGGATACGCATGCGATGCGCTCTCTTGAATCATCTACTGGCGCCGAACTTGTGTGTTGCGAAAGCCACTTGGAGTCATTCTTGTAGATTGATGCATGATAAGTGGTCGCCGTCGGGTGATTGCCTTGACGTTGCATTCAATCGATTGAGCTGCATCTGGCCGCGACCAAGCAGCCGCCGCACCCTGAAGAAACCCCCGCTCTTCCTTGCCTGCACAATTCCTCATCATCTCCTGTCAGACCCCCATACACTCGGCATTGCATGCGCATTCCGCAAGAAATTGGCAAAAACATCATCAGATCATGGCGTCCCTAGTTCGTAGGCCACGGGCCGACCAGCCCAATTCCGCACATTGGGAAAGCCACAAGGAGACTTTGCGTCGTCTATACTTGGCAGAGAATCGCCCACTGAAATCGGTGAGAGAGATTATGCGACAAAAGCATGACTTCAACGCTACGTATGCACCATGCCGCCCTCTTCGTAGGCGACCAGGGACTAAATGCTAAATCACTATTAGAGACAAGATGTATAAATACCATTTCAAGCGATGGAGATTTCGGAAAAACATGACCCAAAAAGAGACCCTCAAGCACGAGGCTGATGCCGTCGCTGGGCGGGGCGTTGTTCTTCCCTTCAATCATGGTCGGGAGCTCGGCTCGCAACGATTGAAGACGCGGATAATGAAGCTCAACAGTCCAGGCACCTACAAACCAATTGAGATTGCTCTTCGCATGATTGTGGAACACTCGTCACAACGCCTGAAGACATGGGATCTACAAAATTACCAGTCAGGCACTGCTACAGAATCGTGGGCGTCTTCTGCATGTTTTGCAGGTTACGCAATCTCTACGGACCAGGAAGCGGAAGAAAACTGGCTGGTTCTTCGCAAAGCTGCCGAAGATTTCAGCACAATCTTGCAGAGACAGGAGCCCATGTTGGTGTGGTCAACTTGTAGCATCATCATCCAACTCTTTGCAGTGAATACTGAGCTGGCGATGGGGTTCATCCGTGTGGTCTTGGACTTCTGCATCAAGCAACTCCGTGAAGGCGACCCACTCAGAGCTCTTTGGGAGGCTGTACTACGTACCGATCCAAGTCATATTCCTCAGCTCATAGCACGACTTGTGGCAGCGCAGCTCGGGGTTCTCCACCAAACAACAGCGTCCACTAACCCTTTCGTCGTTCAATACACTAAATCCTCCGCAAAATATCTCCATGATCGCCATCTTCTCATGTCATATGACGCACATAACCAAATAGAGTTTATCATCCAGGCGCTCAATTCAAAGTTGAAGATTGATTCGACAAGATCCATCAGGAACTCACTCATATCGGCTAGTCTTTTCCAGGCGTGCATACATCTGGACGACAAAGAGTATGAGAAAGTCGAGATGATTCTCGATACGATCCAGCCCAAGGTCAATAATCCTGGCTTCGGAATTGAACATGCTCAGGTGGTGAACTTCTACGAAGTCAAAGCAGAGATGTTGATGGAGCGCGGCAATTATGAGCGTGGTGATAACCGCTGGTCGGAACATTACTACAAAAAGGCTCTAGAAATAGCGCAAACCAATTTATCCGAAACTATGCCAGAGCGTATCGGGTTCTGCTTGATGGCATTGGGGACATTCTACAGGAGAATAGGGGATGCAAACAGACTCGAGGAAATCCAAGTACGATACGACAAGCACCTCAAGTGGATGGCCGGCGAGCACCTCCAGGGGATGGCTGGCGAGAAGCACCCCAAGTGGATACCGACTAACAAAGAGGACATCGAAGAGGATATCGAAGAGGATAGCGAAGAGGATTTCGATGTCGAAGAGGATGTCGAAGAGGATTTCGATGTCGGAGAGGATGTCGAAGAGGCTGTCGAAGAGGATATAGAAGAAGATGTAGAGGAGGCTGTCGAAAAAGCTATCCGTATGCCATTGGCAGAATGGAATATTCGGTGGGTGGCGTCAAATGCTATGCATCAGGTTCCGGACTCATCTACTTATCCGATGGATCAGGTCTCGGAAGCCTGCTCGAATCCCATAGATCAGGTTTCAGACGTCTTTTCGAATCCCATGGACACGCTCTCAGAAGTCTTTTCAGACGTCACAGATCAAGCCTCGGACTACTCGCCGAGCCCCATAGAACAAGTCTCGGACGTTCTGTCATATCTAGGACCTGGTCAACATATAATTGAGGTCCATGTACAGTGGGAGCTCCCAGACTTTGTCAGCCAAGGTCTCGACAACATGCAGGAACTCGCGACAGTGATGACGATTACTGGCCAGCCATATGAATCATACATCAATTCTTGCGAAAACTATATCAAGTCAACGTGGGGTAAAAACCCTTTGATCATTGAGTTCTTCCAAGCTTTTGTCAAATCCAATCTTGATTTCTCGGCTGTCTCACGTAAGTATGCATCCCAATAATCAAGTAGGAGCTGGAAGCTGAGTATATACAGACGAGCAATTCATTTTCAGTTCAAATAAACTGAATGTGTCAGCGATGATCAGTTCACCGGCCTTTCCGGGAGACTCCAACGGGTTCACATTTCGACTGAGAGCAACAAGTCACCACTTGGTCGAGACCTGCCAGTGCATATTATGGCTTGCTGCAGCGTGCAGACCTCCTGAAAGTGGCAGCGTGTATGCATCTGTTGCAAATTTCAGGAAGATTGGTGTACAAAGGTTCAAGATTGACACAGAACCCTTGAAACCTCTCACCTCACTAGGCTCTCAGTCCGAGTTTCCCTGCTGCTGGCTGAACATGTTTGACGGAGGATATGTCCTTGCCCAAGGCTTTCCCACACCTCCGAGAGAGTATGGTCGTGGACTTGAGTTGCCACTTGACATAATGATCGAGCAAGCCATGGCATATAGTGCCATCAATCATACCATCAATGGTCAAGACTGCATGATTCTCAAGGGCCGGCACACTGCACTTGTCCCGATTCGCATCGAAGGTCTCGAAACTCTTGATCAGACCAGCGAGGTGCAGTGGCACCTCGTTGGTAAGAGACCAGATCTCGTTCCAATTGACAGCGCTGATCAAATCAAAAGCGAGCAGAAGTACCATTTGACGGACGTAGAATTCTCGAACACAAGTCGAGATCTGTCATGGGAAGAGATCGATGCGATGGATGAGAGCGGCCTGAGGATATTTCCTATAGGGAGTATCCGGGAAGTCTCTTCAAAGCGATCATTTGTCGGGCATTTTCCGAAGGCACAGATCTTTGTTGGAAGTGACAGGGAAAGGTATGACGAATTGAAGGGAGAACCAAAGGCTGAACCCGTGGGCGGGCACGTTATCAAATTTGGACAGGCTGTGAGCCTTACCTTGGGCACAAATGCAGCCACCGGTGGCCTCCTTACTATGTCGGCGGGTACAACAATCAAGCGTTCCAAATTCGATTCCGTTCCCAAGCGGTCAAAAGCATTCATTGCGGATAAGCTACGCAATGACCGGAATAAGCCACACATATTGTATGATACCAGCAAGAAGATTGGCTGGATGATACCGGAACCATGCTTGATCTTGTATCTGATTCATTACTGGGCTGCTTTACAGAGTGAAGTCCCAACTTCATCCCGCCAGACTGGACAACAAAAGCACCATCATCACGGAAAAGACGACGGGGAAACTCAACCGATGAGCTCTGTGAAAGAGCATATGCCTTTCATAAAAGCATCATCCAACGCTGCACAAGATGCAGCAGATGCGATACTGCACCAGTTTATGGAACCATCGGAACTTCCCAGGCATATTCGTTTCCTTGAGGATCCCGAGAAGTTGGTGTACGTCAGAGACATTATTTGTAACATGTATCTGGCCATTGACACACTGGTTGAGCATCAGCAACAGAAGAAGCCTGGAACACTAAATCGACTCAATCCCTTGGCAACTCACCACGACTTATGGGGGTACGACTTGGCAGATGTCGCAGGGTTCGATGAAGCCCCTGTAAAACGTGTTTCCATTGACAAGACTCAGTGCGGCGGTTGGCATGAACTTGCCAAACCAAATACCAGGATCGTCGTATTATTTGGAAACAATTTCGGCGAGCTGATCAAATATGAAGATGGTCAGATGATCTGTAATCAGTGGAAAAGCGTACCTCCGAAGCGCGACTTCCTGTCTGCTGACAGTGGAACCTTGGAATACCTCCAAGAACTGGTCAATAGAGGTCGTTGTGGTATCTTTCTCACTGACAAGAATTTCCTGATTTCAAATCTTGAGCAAAAGGATTGTCTAGAGGAAGATTGGCCTTGTTGCAATATGACCTTGCAGATGACTCTGACGGCACCTAAGAGAACCATCAGAGTAGGAAAGGGGGAAGCAGTGATAATCGGCAAGGTGTTACGGAGAGAGAAGCGAAAAAGTTTCGGTGAAATGTTTGGGCAGTGGAGAGCCACACCAGATGAAACGGCGCTTCAAGAGCCTCGCAAACTCCCCAAACAGAACCATTCCCAATGTGCTTTCAGCCCTCCAGGAGCCTGCCCGTTGTGCTCTGAGGCCAATCGATTGGAGATTGGCAGCAGCAGTGAGAAATCTTCTCCCGAGGGCGCGGACCTCGATTTAGGGACTACACCTGGAACATCTAGTAGCTATACACCACAGAGTAGTTAATCGTAACTACTATTTGATTGCACAAGAACATTGAACTGACCGTCATAGTGAAATCTGTGCACTACGTGCAACGAAGTAATGATATATCCCAGGAAATTCATTTCAATCTTGTAGTGTAATCCTCAAAGCGTCGCAGTACCCCTTTACTGTTCCAGAGTTCTTCCGAATTTTCTGTAGTGCGGTGCGGTATCCCAATCTGCTCGATAGCAAAGCTAGCCGCTACACTGCCGGCAATCGCAGCCGCCCTTATGTCGCTCGTCCTCGCAAGAGTAATAGCAAATGCACCAAGAAAGGTGTTGCCGCCTCCAGTAGCATCGACGACACTGGAGCTGTCTGTATAAAACGGCGGCAGCCAGAACGTAGACTGTTGAGACACAATATGACAACCATGTTCTCCAGCACGCACAACGACGGCATAGTGTCTCTTGCTTGTGGTCGTCAAGTCTGTCTCATTCAGTATCTGCCTTGCACATGATTCAATAACTTTGAAGTCAAATGGTTCAGCTGCCCGATGGAATAGTCCGAGTAGTTCGTGATGGTTAGGTGAGAATATGTCCACCTCCTTGCATGCTTCGATGTGAATTTGCAGGTTGGCTAACGAGCACAGGGCCGGAAATGGCTCCCAAACAATCACCGGGATCTCAGCTACGCCCAAGGCTGATCTCAAAGATTTCAGTTGCTTGACTTCTGTAACTAGCTGTGCTGGGCGGTACAGCATGTGGAAAGAGCGCGACGAGAGCAGCTCCTGCGTCAAGGAGCTCGCGACGGGCTGTAGCGGCTCGGTCAGATAACGGAAGGATTTGCCTAACTCATTGCATCAGTCCTCGATTTCCGTATGCATCAAGGTGGAACGGGTCGGGTCCCACGGCCAAAAACTGCATCATGGTATTCTAGAAGTCCTCGTGTGGATTTCCCGTCCTTCACGATGAAATCCAGTGAGACGCCCCAGCTGCGGATGAGCTCAGCAACTGCGTCGGGAAAGTCGTTACCAGCAACAATGAGACTGCCGACAGTGTCGGGTTGAGCTGCTGCTGTCAGACGTGCGCCTAGGGTGCTGTAAGCACCAGAACCTCCTACACAGTCATGAAGAACCCTGCCATCTGGCAATCGCAGTTCATCCAGGACAATCATGCCCAAAGAGACAAAGTCAATGGAGGAGGGTGCCATTCTTGCTTTGACAGTACACTGCTTATATGGATAACTTGATGATTTTCTCAGGTGTTCAAATGGAGAGGCACGCAATGGTTACACCAATACCTCCCTCACCACATTGATGTCGCGGGGACCGATTTGCGTTACCTACACACCTTGATGCTATTAGCTGAGAAACCGCTGATCCGAATCATAAAATACCCTGTAGCGCTCGAACTAGCCTCGGGTATATGAGCCGACAGCACTCCTTCGGGCGGGACCGTACATTTAGTGGGTAGTAGATTCATTGTTGCGGCACTACCTTAACTATCGGTCCTGAAAATTGATCCAAATATCACACTCTTTTTTGTATCTCTGTACGTGACTGTTGAAGGTCTTGTAAACTTGCAGGAGAACTGACAAAGAAGAGATTAGGAGGACTTGACATCTGTTATGACGATGATCATTGACCGCCACTCGACAGGCGCAGCTTTGGGTATCCTCGATGAGCAGGCCTCGCAACTGATGTGAACTTCACAGATTTTGGCAGCTACGGCAAGGCCAGGAACAATACGGCACCAATTCAAAAGATAGGGTGGTCATACCCAAAATGCGCTTGGTATGGCAGCATACTGCAACAATTGTCCTGATTGAGCCGGTCAAACGAGTCAGGGATGGACTATAGTCGGTAGGGTGGATATCCGCTAAGGTAACTGTGAGTTCGGACCGACAAGATCATGACGGCATCTCGATTGATGTTCATTATTCAAAACTAGCTTTTATTAGTATGAGATGAGAAGAAACAGTAAGCCCTGCTTATAAGCGAAGGACAAACTGGATGCCAAAAGTGCTCGTCTAGGCTCGTGTTGAATGTTCAAGAGGTCAGAATACGTGCAACATTATTGATCTCATCGCGGAAAGGCGGCCCAAATCGGTTGTGAAAATAAGCATTAGATGTCGGCACGCTGGTGCAGATGAAACCCTTGCTCATGTGATGCCATAGAATACGAGATCTACACACTGCCGCGGCATCTGTGATCCTACGCTGGTAGTCCATGCCCAACCTATAGCCAAGCGCCTCCCGCGTGCATATACGAAGTAGAGGAAGGCGAGAAAGGCGACTTTGCGTAAGCAAGTCTTTTGCAATACAACAATTGTGAGAGCAGACAGAGAGTTCCAGCGGTCCAGAGACGGCTTTTCAGCCTCTCTTTGGATCATTGCTGATGGGCTCTTTGTGAGCAGCTAAAACTGTTGAAGGTTCAGCGGATTCAGGCACACTTTGGCACCATGTCTGCACCCGCGACTAATGTGCAGAGCCTGGCCTGCCAATGTTGCTTCTGTGAGACGCTACGCAGAAGGCTCACAGCGCGTTTCGCATGGTCTCAGCAAAAACAATATCACAGCTACTGTCGTGTACCTACATTAAGGCGGACATCTTAGTGACAGCTGCAAGAAAAGTAATTCTTCGGGCGGGCATCGGCGGGGGACCCTGTTACCAGCAAATCCCGTTGATCTCGGCTCCCCGCATGGGCTGACGCTCTCATCCCTTTTGGTAACTGGGATCTGCTGGCGCTCTGCCCGCTTGAGTGGAAAAGATCGCCACCATCAGCGGCCACTGCGGCCTTTTGAGCCCACCCGTGATTGCCGTGCAGGATGGCCTAGCTGCCTGTTACCTACCGTACTTGTTTAGGCAAACGAACCTAGTGCATTCCTGGACAAATTGGGCCAACCTCCAGCAAGAGCTTCCATGAGATAAATATTGACGCCCGCCCGAGTTCCTTCTGTTCAATTTTGAAGAGTCGCCATTCTAAACAAATTCACTCTCAAAGCACCTCACGGTGATTGCTGATCACAGTTGTCCTCAAACCAATTTGTCTACCAAGTACCTATACCCACAGCACACCCAAGAAGACGCTGCATTCCGTCCCAAGATGTTGTCCACCCTGCTTCTAGCCTGTGCCGCCACGGTCACGGCATACAATGCAACTGGTCCTTACGGTCTGCACATTACTGGTAAAGAGGATTCGTCGATTGATGGTTAGTCGTCCAAAATATGAGTTTTTTTTTTTAGTTTTTTTTTTTCCCCATGGTGCTGACACATTGCACAGGTTACGCCGGAGCTTGCCATGCAGGTGCAGCCATTGAAGGACTCTGCTTCATTTCTGGTGAATTGAACGACACAACGACATATCAGCAATTCAACTTCAACTACTCAAGCTATGACTCCACCACTGGAGAGGTGTATCCCTATGGCTGGCTCGAGTGGGAGCTCCCCCTAAGCACCGGCACTGATGGCGAGATTACTTCTGTGCCCTCTGCTCTCCAGATTGATCTAAACTTGGGATCCAATGTCAATGTGGCCCTCTTCTACCCCGGATACGACAGCTACACAAGTCTGCAGAAGTCCGAGAATGGCACCCTTTACATTCCCGGGGGCGTTGATGACACTCAAAACACCGACACATACCCCAACCCCGTCGTCTATCAGGGCAACCTGACAAACTGGTATCTGTGCTACCAGTTCACCGGAGGTTACTACTACCAGTCCATTGCCTGGGTCAACAGCTTGCCGCCCCAGAACCCCACATGTGCACCTGTGGACTTGACTCTCGAGACCCTTGGCTACTAAAGAGGTCTTGTCTTGGGAGTCATTCTTGTGTGCCCCATAGGAATGGTGGCATGGATGATGATTGAATGGTAATGCGTATTCTTATGAAGGCTACAGGTTACAATAGCTTTAGATAATGTAATGATGAGGGACTATTTCCCATACAGTTCGTTTTGACATTGCAGTACGGCGGGGTGTTGGATCGAACCAGGTGTAAATTTGCGAAAATCCAGGTCAACTCCCTCTTCCACGTCTGGGTATGGGCCCAATGGGGTGATGGCTAGGGGATTAATCTTGCCGTGACTCTTGGTATACTAAGCCAGAATTTAGCTTTAGAAAAGTTTGATGTCAATCAGGCATAATAACTTACGTTTTCCTTGATATGTCTAAAGTCAGTTGTCTCTTTGAATCCTTTAACATTCCAATGCAGGTTTTTCAGCCACTCGTGGATCACTGGATAATTGCCGCGAATTGTTCCCACTGGATACGTGATGATTAGCGGCATGTTCAAAGAGATACACATGAGAGATAGCGCACGTATCTCGAGTCCCTGTGCTCTTGTCGTTGATGAAGGTTCACACATGAATCACGTTTCACAACGCAGCCCGAGAACTGCAATCAGAAATTACTTACAGTTACACTTGAAGTGCTGCACGTAGACAGCATCAAATCTAACAATGGTGGCATAAGCCCGAATGTCCAACTCGGTCAGATCCTTGCCTAGAATATATGGGCCGGAATTCCCATATATGATTTGCTCCAAGTGGTTGAGAGCAGCAAAGACGACAGGGACATTCTTATCATATGTCTCCTGATCTGGCGCGAACCCAGCCTTGTAGACACCAGTGTTTAGATCACGCTGCATCCACACTGAGATTTCGTCAATATCGGCTCTGAGATGCTCTGGATATAGGGTCATCTCCTTCTCTGGGCTGCCATTGGCCAAGACATCGTTAAAGGCTGTCGGTAGCCAGCGGAGTAGCTCGTGGCTTTCATTGTTGACAGCTGTGTTCTCCTTTGTATCCCAAAGAAGTGGCACGCTATACCGACCCTTATACTCTGAGTCCGCCTTGAAGTAGACCTCATGAAGATGCTTGGAGCCGAATAGCTTGTCCCTTGTGGCACCCTCATAAACGTCATCTGGGCCCTGAGCCCCTGGAAATTGCCATCCCGGCCAACCCTTGTCATCGCCCTTGGGATAGGGCTTCACGATGGAAATGGATATTATGTCTTGTAGTCCCTTGAGATGGCGCACCAGGTTTGCGCGGTGGGCAAAGGGGCAGAACAGGCCGATGTACAAGTGGTATCGGCCAGCCTCTGGGGCAAAGCGTGAACCGGGCGCAACAACACCGTGCCACGAGTCTTCTGGTCCGGCGTGTATCGGCTTGGCCGCTGGAACTGTGGACATTTTGCTGAGCTGCAATCGAGCGAATGTGAAGTCGAGACACAAAGGGACGTGTCGGACGGGCCTATAGTGTAGCAAGGGTGAGCACGCAATCGCCCGGAGCATGGCGAGGTCAGTGAGCCAAGGGACCAACGGATTCGGTGGTTTGGAGGGACCCATATTGTACCTAAAAGTTGTACACTGCCCATGGCTGCCCCGCAGATTGTACACAAATAGCGCCGCGGCTGCTGCCGTCAGATCGTGCTCGCAGGGCACCTTGGATCCATAGTAGTAAATGCCATTTACCCTGCTGGCCGAAAGTCATCGTACCTACATAATTAACATGGTACGGAACTCACAGAAACATTGGGTTCTTCTTAAAGCACCTCGATGCGAAGAACACAAAGTATTTGTCATTGTTCAGAAGGGTCGCAATCGCAATATAATTTCAGGTAAAGTTCATGACTGGCTACAAGATCTTGGCTAAACCCAAGCGTTTTCTTGGCTCCCAATACATCGACGGGGCCCCGTTGATTTAATATCGACGGACCCGTCGATATTATATAAGCGTTATTTTACAGCGCTTTACAGCGTTCTGCTACTTTTTACAGCGCTCTATAGCGCTCTACATCGTTCTGTGTTAGGGCATACTGCTACCACTATACGATAATAGCCAAAAAGCATACTCGCAATCGTTAGGAAACGATCACGAACTAGGACCTATATGCCCACGGGATTGGGACGGTGCCATATAATATCTGCTATAACAATTTGCGTATTGCGATTCTTTTCCTTTTCGCATTATAACCATTTTGTAACCATTATCTGTGGCTGTTATCTGTGGCCATTAAAAAGGAAACGCCAAAGCCTAGGTATAATAAAGGTATAAATTCCTATCGCTGCTATGCATAACGCTGTAAAGCGCTGTGAAAAGTGGCAGAACGCTGTAGAGCGCTATAAAGCGCTGTAAAATAACGCTTACATAATATCGACGGGTCCGTCGATATTAAATCAACGGGGCCCCGTCGATGTATTGGGAGCCCGTTTTCTTGGCTACTACTGTATCTACGGATTGAGTACAGAGAGGTGTGGACGTTGAGGGCGTTAGTCAAGATCGCATATCAAGGGCCTATCTACCTACCCTGTATCTGGGTGTTTGATACTTTCTCCCCCTTGGCGACGTGGGACATCATGACAGGTCTTGCAGTGTTTGCTTGACGAAATGGCTCTTCACATGCAATTGCACACTAACATTCTCCGGCGAGCCCATCAAATCGCCTCTTTCATGATCGTCCCTTCAATAGATTGACTATTGTCTGACATATCATCCCAAGAGGAAAAGTATAATTCTTGATTTCTAACTCAGCAGCCGGCACTAGCAAGTATCAGTAATATCATAATCAATGTCGGCCTCCTTCGACATTGGCGCTCCAACTCGCGTCATTGCGGGGGTATTAATAATTCAAGCCATAACTCCGATTGGTTATGACGATTTTGTCTCACTCTCTCGTTGTCGTATATGTATAAAAGCTCGATCAACGTATTGGTAATCGTCATGTTCATGTTGCATTTTCTATTATAACAACCTCGTGTGCTTGCAATCAAAATCGTTTATACACAGAATCCTAGCATGGCTTCCAAATTCTACGCTGTTGTCATTGGCGCTGGTCCAGGCACAGGTGCGTTGATCCTGGCACGCTGAAATGAGTTATTGTATTAATGATTCGTAGGACGAGCATCAGCCATCAGATTCTCCAAAGCGTATCCTGTAGCTCTTTTGGCCAGGTCGCCCGAAAGTTACGAGGCAACAGTCGAGGAAATCAACGCCGCGGGTGGAAAAGCCATTGGAATCAATGCTGACGCCAGCAACCCTGATTCGCTCAAGGCCGCTTTTGAAACCATCAACAAGGAGTTTGCTGGTCACAAGTTGGCTGCAGCCATTTACAATGCTTCGGCAGGGTATGGCGTCAAACCCTTTCTGGAGGTCAAGCTTGAGGATCTGGATCGCACAATTGAAGGAAACATGTGAGCTTCACGCAAGTCAGAAGCCACCACCAAGAAGTTGCTTTCTAACATCTGGGCCAGCCGTGGTCTTTTCAACTTTGCCCAGAGCACATTGCCTCTCCTTGAGGACGCCGTATCTAGCTCCAGGTTTCCACCCACCCTCATTGTCACGGGCGCCACGGCATCTATTAAAGGGTCAGCAAGATTCGCGTGCTTTGCTGCCGGCAAGTCTGGCGCTAGAGCTCTGGCTCAATCTATTGCTCGCGAGTACCAACCCAAAGGCGTTCATGTTGCACACGCCGTTGTGGACGGTGTGATCGACATTCCCAGGACGCAGAGTTACAATGTCAATGGAGGGGCTGAAGATGGCAAGATCAGTGCCGATTCTGTGAGTAATTCAACTTTAATATATATGCGCTTCCGACTTCTGATGTTGGTATATTACAGATTGCCGAGACATATTGGAACCTACATACGCAGCATAGGTCAGGCTTCACCTGGGAGGTTGATATTAGGCCCTACGTAGAGAAGTGGTAAAGTGGCACTTTCAATGTGAATATCACAAGATCTAGTGTCCTAGTGAAATGACCAATTTACCTGAAAACGAAACGGACTACACAAGTGTTGCACGGCAGTACCAGTAAAACCTCCTGTGGAATTGGTGGACCAGCGAATATTGATCGAGTGACAACGCGAGCATTGCTCAACCATCGAGATGTTGTGCTTTTTCTAGAATTTACAGTGAAAGTGCCTTTTAAAAACATAGACATATTGACGCTAACATCTGTCAAAATCAATTTCCTGGGTGATTATTCATTTTGCTTGGAATTCACACTCGCTATGACTCACTCCAAATTCTACTCATGTGCTGCATTTCTCTATTGAATCAATATAGCAAGATGTCGGAGGAGACACGTTGAATATGTCGAGTTTATTTCTACATGTTGAATGGGATTGTAACCCCATGTATGCCGTTGAGTTGCCTCTTTTTGGTCGGCGTTGAGACCATATATATTATATCCGGTTTTTCTTTTCGTAAATGCATTTCATTCAGTTAAACCTGTGAGGGAGATGTTGAGATCCCTTGTTAAACGCCAAAAACTCCAAAGGTAGCATGCTTCGCGTGGACAGAAGTGAATGTTTCGCATCTAGAACCTGCGGTTAACTCCAACCAGGCTCAGAAATTCGTTCCTGGTCTTCTCCTTGCGTTCAAAACAGCCAAGCACACAGCTCGTTATGGTCGTTGCAGTTGTCTTCTCGACACCACGCATGACCATGCAGAGATGACTGGATTCCATCACCACGGCGACACCTTGTGGCTTGAGGATCTCCATGATGGCATTGGCAACCTCCCTAGTGAGACGTTCCTGGACCTGGAGTCGTCGTGCAAACAGTTCAGCGATACGCGGGAGTTTTGAGATACCAATTACGTTGTTGTTTGGAATATAACCAATATGCATCTGGATACGTCTTGGTCAATAAGCTCATCAACACAATGACTGGCAACTTACCTTTCCAGTAAATGGGACCAGATGGTGCTCGCAAAGACTGAAAATTTCAATATCCTTGACAATAACCATTTCATTATGGCCCTCGTGGAAAATGGCATCGTTGACAATATCTTTCACATTCTGCTGGTAGCCCTTGGTGAAGAAGAGCATGGCTTTAGCATAGCGTGTAGGAGTGTCCAAAACACCTTCTCGGTCGGGATCTTCTCCGACACACTCGAGGATTGTTCGTACAGCATTGCGCATCTTTTCGAGTCGCTCTGCGGCTTGCTCGCTACTTTCTTCAAGTCGCTCCCGTGTTCCACGGCCTATCGTGGGTGTTAGCAAACAAGTCAACGATCCGTACTGAAAAGACCCCTACTTGGTCGGCTCAATCCGTCAAAGTCTATGACAGGACTGGGCGATCTTGTTATGCTTTCCTCGACCTTGGGCTTTTTGCGCTGCTTTCCTTCGGGCTCATCACGGGGGTCTCGAGCTGCTTTGTGCAGACTGTTTCTCCTCTTTGCCAATGACTTTGAGCCTTCAAACTCATCGGCGCCACCATCCTTGGATCTAATCTTCCTCTTTCTTCTCTTAGACTTTCGATCGCTATCCTGAGGCACTTGGGCGCTGCCATTGACAGCATCGTCAATGTCAGACACGCCAGTACTGGAGCTGGCTGCTGAGTCCTGTGCCGCCTTCTTGGCCTCGGTGGCAGCGAATTCAACCATTGCGACAGCGGTCCGTCGATTCGTTACAAGTGCGCTAGTGTAAGAATGGGCTCGAAAATGTTGTATTGGTAGGTCCAAGACGTCTTGCTGGGAGAATTGGTGCTATTCAGGCTCGACTTTGTTTAGATGGTGCTGCCTCTAGTATAGGTCATCGGTTCGCGCGACACTGGGATTGAGTAGTCAGATGGCGAGAATCGAGACCCTGAGTGTAGTCCTGTAAGCTGACAGGAGCGATCTTGGACAGTGTATCCAGAAAGTAAAAGAGGATAGAAGCGTCACTTTGTGGACTCGTCAAGACTGTGATAAGCAATGACAGTCATTACACCCCGAACATTCTTTGGCGGCGCATTGGACCCTAGAAAATTTCCGAACCGGCGCTCCCAACTTGGACGATAGCTTTCACTTTCCCCGCTGTCGGCGCCCCAAGTCTCGCCAGAAATTTTGACGTCAAGGGTCCAAGGCTTGAAGGCATAAAGCGAGTTCCCCCCACTAGCGCCGAGAACTGCCCCACGTGAACCAAACTTCGGCGTCGAGACGCAGGCCTTTTGCACTGGTAGGGCGCTAGTCCAAGGCGGTCAATGCCTCCAGGCCAATTCCAGAGGCCGTATTTAGGTAGCTGTAGGGGCAGAATTACCTTGAGCTTGGTTGGCGTCTGGAACAGCTGCTGGTCCAATGCGAAGCCGTGTCCAACCGAATGTGAGGACGATACCTCATCAAAGTTCAGAGCGACGCGACCGCAGCATTCCATCTTCGTGACAAGAATCACGGGAGATTACGAAGGTGACTAAACACCTGCAAGCGACTTCGCATTTCTCATTCACCATTTCGGGATCTTACCTCCAGCTCCGAGCAGCAGATTGAACACCATTACCGCGAGGCTCAATCATCGACGTAGCCTCCGCGATCAGCTCTATCCTGCTTCAGCCCATTCCACTGCGAGAGGCACAGTTATCAGCTTCCAGATATCCTCTACGACCAAAAGCGCGACGACTTCTATCGACCCTACACCCTCTTGCCGTCGCGCCGACACCATCATGGCATCGCCACCACCTGCCCATTCCCCAGCGGGTTCTCCGCCTTATTCCAATGCGTCGCTGCCCGCATCTAAGAAACGCAGCTCAAGCTCAAATGATATTGGGGCTAATAATCCTTCTATGAAGCGACGAAAAACATCAATCATGTCTGCAGCTTCGGCCGCTTCAGCACATCCCCTTCGCCAGACCTCTTTCCCGCCAGAGGAGTCGCAAGGCCAATACTCGCCCAACTACCGACGTTCCCCGAGTGTCGACAACATGAGTCTAGTCAGCGGTAGCCAGGTCAGCGCTGCACCAAAGAAGAAGCGCGGCCGCAAATCCAAGGCAGAGCGAGCAAGGGAAGCTGCTGAAGAGGCCGCAAGAGGAGGCACGCCTAGTGCTGTCAATGGGGTTGCGCCCAGTGTCATCAGCAATGCTAGCGGTGCTAACAAGGCTGCCGCTGACGACGACGCTGACGCCGGAGAAGGTCCTGGCGGATATGAGGTGCCCGAAAACATGGCCAGTCGCGCAGCCGCACGAAGTAAAGAGGAGATCAAGGAGGAGGAGCGCCTTCGAGCTCTACTAAAGCAGAAGATGGACGATAATCAATTCCATCGGTATGAGGTTTGGCATCAGTCCAAGATCCAAATTGGCAACATTCGAAAGGTAAGACGTTTGCCTAGGTTCTCTTCTGCAAGGACGTGAAACTGATGATGATCTGCAGTATATCAATTCTGTGACATCACAATCCGTTGCTGCCAACATACCTCAGGCTATGCAAGTTGTATGCAAGCTGTTCTTGGGCGACATGGTTGAGGAGGCTAGGAGGGTGCAGCAGGAGGAGATTAGAGCCGGTGTGAAGCAAACCGACCTACCAGACAATAAGGAGCACGAAGACGAGATCAGCGAGGCATCCAAACATCGGCGACAGCCACCTCTGCTCCCAGAACACTTTGCAGAAGCTTACAGACGGTGGAAGAGATCTGGGGCCACGGGAGGATCTGGGGGAAATACCTTGGCATGGAGTCAACAAACGACCAATGGAACAGAGAGGTTTGCTGCCCGAGCTGGAGGCCGCAGGATCTTCAGGTAATCTCCTGCGGACCTGTAGCTGATTTCATCCACTTGGGGAGCAAGAGCTTCGCCCTGTGCCGAATGCTTCTTGAGCGATCAGCCGGTGGGATGGAGATAATCGTATCGTTCGGGCATGCCTCAAGAGAACAAATGGATTTCTGACCCGAATGATCGAGGATATTTCAAATAGCAGGAGAACTGCCCTCGAGATACACAGACTGGCCTGGACAGTCATACTTTCAACAGAAGCATGTAAGGCGTTATGGTTATGGATAAATATGATACCCGGATTTCAAATTACGAACACTCTTGGTCACGGCGTCGCAGCTTAGTGAATGTCTTGGCTCTGGCTTGCTTCTTCCTAATCAAAGGCTGGCATCAAAATTCTGCTCCAGGCGGTTGGTGTGCCTTCCGTCGTCTCTGAGGCCTTCACCACCAAGTGGTGATACTTCTCACGGGTTCAGGGTGTGGTATATACATCATGCCAGGACACACGGGATGCAAAAACACATAAACAAAGTCATCAAAACAGTCAAAACTGACAAAAGAAGACAACAATGCCAGGATTCGAACCTGGTAGCGAGCGGAGCTAGGATTTAAAACCTTTCTGCTAATGCTTGGATACTCCAAGTAAATAGACCTGTTACCGATTACTAGATTGTTGAATCCCTTGGTGCGAAATGGACCTGAGAGACAAAAAAATCATTTTACGACAACGACAGGATTCGAACTATGCAATTCGTAAGTATAAAGAATAAACAACAGACATTGACACGAATAGCTTACCCTGTGCGACCGAAGCCATGAGATTTCGAGTCTCACCCATTAACCACTCTGGCACGTTGCCTTGATTGCTGATAATGAAGGGTGGCTTAAAATCATCCATCAAGACCAAATGCTCTACCTGGGTCGGCCACGATAGTGACTCGAGACCAGAAGTGGACTTGTACGCGAACTGCCATAAGATGTGGATTTTGTACATGAAGGACATGATTTGTGTTGGTACTAGGTAATGTTGCAACTCTGTATTTTCGATGAATGTCCTTGTCACATACTTTCGTAATTCCTCAAGGAATCGACAACTCCTGGATTGATATCAGTGTCAGTCTCTACTCCAAAATACTAATTGCAACTCTCAGTCTCCGGATGCATAATAGGTTGAATTGATATTTGTTCAAAACACGCTAATCTGCTTATATACACTTCTCCTTGCGAGAATAATATTAAATAACCTTAATTAAAAGAGTGATATGATGGGGCTGGAGAATGCATAGTAATTACTTTCTTCTTGGACTTTATGATCAGCCACAAGTTATCCATGCAGTTTGCAGTATCTCGTTCATGCTCTCTGACTGGATAAGTATTTACATACACAATTAGAGGAGACGTTTCTTTTGATTTCAATGTACTTGCTGATAAACTTGGAAGCACGTGCCAGTTTATGCAGCTCTGTCTCTTTCCCTTTTCTTGTTGCTTTTATTATCTTTTCCTGTTTTATTATCGCCTCTCTCTTTGTATTTCTTCCAGTATTTTCGTTTTTTTTTTTCGTTTTTTATATGCTTTCTTTCTTTATACCCTCTCTTTCTCATGTACCCTCTCTCTTCTTCTTCTCCCTCTTTTCTTTACCTCCGGTTGAAAAACTTGTAGTTTAAAGAAAATGGCTATAGCAAAAATTTTAAGAGAAAAAAGGACACAAAGAGAGGAAAAAGAAAGAAAGAGAAAAAAGTCTAGGCAGATAAAGGTTCAAGAAGTGTATTCCATTCTTTTTTAGATTTAGATAGAATCGCAAGGGTAGGTGCCTAGGTTAGTATGTTCTTGTTTTTAGGTCATGAAGTTGCTACTCTGGCTTGGGTGGATGGGAGCTTGCTCTGGAACACTGAACATGCATAACCAGCTTTTTGAAGTACAAAGATTCGACGATATCCTAAATAAATTGGTCGATCTACAATTAACATGGTTCATGTTACCATCTAAAAAAAAAAAAGGGCTCGCCAATGGTTGAAGCATTTATAAGCTTATCGGAAAGTGGCATGATCACGGCATCGGTCTGGATGTTCTGGGCTCTGCTGGAAAAGTGGGGACGTAATGAGGCTTGCGTGTCACCCAGAAAGTCCAAATCTTGGTCTCAAACATCTCCCATTTTCACACATCATAACATATCAACGAGCATGTCATTGTTGCACCAGGCGCCATGCAGACATACTCAGCTGCTGATCTCTCCGACGCAGCCCTAGGTGGGCCACTCCGGATCGACGATGGCTATTTCGTCGATGGCTTCGGTCGCACCGTCATGTTGCGGGGTTGGAACGTGTCCGGGGCCTCCAAGCTGCCTACCAAACCGAACGGCTTGTCTCACCTCACGGAGGGATTCTATGAGCACCGCACCGTGACTTTTATCGGCCGGCCATTTCCTCTTGAGGAGGCTCCTCTTCACTTTCGCCGCCTCCAGGCGTGGGGCATGCCGTTTGTCCGGCTCCTTGTCACATGGGAGTCCATTGGACATGCGGGTCCAAACCCAAGCAAGGATCTGGATCTGGAGTACATTGCCTATCTCCGCAAACTTATCGAGATTATGCCGCGGTATGGAATCAAATGCTTCGTCTGTGCTCATCAGGATGTCTGGAGTCGCTTCAGTGGTGGCAGCGGGGCTCCTGGATGGACATTCGAGGCTGTCGGCCTGGATATCGAGGCTTTTACCGCGACAGGCGCTGCATATGTGCATGGTCAGGACGAGTTGAGACGGGCGCAGGCGCCTAGCAATGAGAAGGAGCCCAGTGGTCCTTTTGTGTGGCCTTCGGGGTACCAAAAGTTGGCGGCTTCCACAATGGCCACAATCTTCTGGGCTGGTGATGCTTTGGCTCCGAAACTACGATGTCGTCGATCAGCTCTCGACAAGAAGGATGGAGTGGAAGAGGTCTCCATTCAATCATTCCTTCAGGATGCATTCATTGAAGCCTTTGGCCGGCTAGCAGATGAGATCGTAGACTTGGAGGCTGTTATCGGATTCGAGCCCATAAATGAACCACATCGGGGTCTGGTCAACTTGCATGGTTTCCACGGTTGGAACTATGATACAGATCTTCATATTGGATATTATCCCACGCTTACTCAGGCTCTTGCACTCGGCAGTGGCTACAAGCAGACTGTGCCTTACTACGTCAAGTCTTGGCCGTGGCCAACTCGAGTATCGCATCACGCGGCAATGGATCCTCAAGGACGATCCGCTTGGCTGACCAGTGGCTCATCAGATGAGGTGGATAGGCCACAAGGACTCGGTCAATGTGTATGGCGCGCACATGGAGTCTGGGACTGGGACGGCGAGCAGAGCAAGCCCGTGATCACCGATGAAAACTATTTCGAGGTCGACCACCGACCGGGTCGACAAGGCAAAGAGATCGAATGGTACCGTGATTGCTATGCCCCTTTTCTGTGTCGCTTCTCGCAGCGAGTTTCCCGCAACAAGAATACACGATTCTCATTTGTCGAGCCGATCCCAAATGAGTTCATACCTCCTTGGCCCCCAAGGCACGATAACAAAGGAGTCGTGATTCGCAAAAAGCAAACCTACGCCGTTCCAACTGTGCTCTCGTCCGACCATCGTCCCCAGAATCTTGTGTATGCACCACACTTTTACGACCTCAACGTCTTGTTCAGTAAACTGCATTCTTGGATGAGTGTAAACGTGCAAGGTCTTGCGCGGGGCATGTTTGTGGGCAATGCAGTCTACTTTGGTGTTGGAGGGTTGCGAAGAAATTATCGCAAGCAGATTGAAAACATTGTCAAACACGGTCGCCTTTCTCTTGGTCGCCTGCCAACTGTGATTGGAGAAATTGGTATACCCTTTGACATCAATGGCGGCTACGCTTTTCTTACTGGCGACTATGATAAGCAACGCGACCTCATCGGTGCACTCGTTAGTGCCATGGAAGACAACCTCGTGAATGGCTTTACACTGTGGAATTACAATCCAGACAACCGCGTCGAGTATGGCGACGGGTGGAATAAAGAGGACTTTTCTATTGTGAATGGGAATGAGGAAACATGGGACGATGGCCATGGACGTACAATGCAGGTTCGACCGGACTATCGAAATGGCGACCATGAGAAGCAGGAGCTCTATCGAGGAGGTAGAGCACTCGACGCAGTGATCAGGCCCTACGCAGTGAAAGTTGCCGGGCTGCCCGTGTCTTCAGACTGGAATCTGGAAAATTTGCGCTTCGAGTTTCAATGGCGAAATCGACCGCTGAAAAAACTCAAGGCAGGTGACGACAGATACTCAACAACAGAGATCTTCATACCGAGATATCACTACCACGGCCATCAAATCCATGTAACTGCCACTTATGGGCTTGACTGGTCATATACCGCCGATAATCAGACATTGTACGTCGTTCAACGTGGTGGCGGCATGCTTCACAAACTTGTGGTGGAAATCCGCGACAAGAAGACACACATTTCACGGCGTGTTCATCGGCACCGGAAAGATGTGCCGCAACAAACACTACAAGCCCTGATCCCAACCGCATTTGAGATATGGTGGAGATCCACTGATTCCGTGCCCGAGCTATTGGCAGCCATCTCCGTGACTGTAGCCGTATTGGCATGCCTTCTTCTCATCTACGCAACTTCGTAAAGGGGCACTACAGACCGACCAGTCACCGCATAGGTCTTGAAAGCAATCCACCAAGTCGGACGAGTCCGGTCGGTCGACCCACTCCGGATCCGGATGTCAAGGGTTGGGTGGAACTCACTAAGCTCGCTCAGACTCTCGCACCGAAGGCACAGTGCGCGTGCTTGCGACGTATGCGACAATCCCAATGCTCTGGCCTCTAGCCATGAGAAAACAGGTGAACCCGAATTCGATCTGGAAAAGACCGCCATCTTTAAACAATCATGGCATTGCAGGACAGATCATAAATTTTCAAGTACATACGAAATTATGGAATAGCTGCTACAGCCGGTATTCATCCGCAAAATCAATACAACTTATATATGACTTGCTGGTCAGTCCCACAAACTCTTTCCTATCTAAATTTGATTTGAATGATATCTGCCAGTATAATACATTTTCCGGACTTCGAGCCAGCCTCATGCAGATACAGGCTAAGCGAGTACACCGCATAACATCGAAAGGGGGCACGGGGTATCACATAGTCAGCAAATCTGGTCAGTGTGCTGTCACCTGACGTCTCATCAGGAGTAATCGGGCCTGTTTGGACAGCAAGGATAGAGAAAGCCTGGAGTTTCTGATGCGGAGAGCCTGCAAATTCCACTGACTGAGATTGCTATCGACGCATACCCCGTGGACGACCCAGAATCTGTGGGTGATGTCCTGGATGGAGCCTCGGGGTAGTACACCAGCAGAATACGCAATACATGCGGAGGGATTATGTATGCTCCTGCGACCCGTATCTTTTTCGCTGAGCTTTTTACACTATTGATAATACCGGAACAATAACAAAAGATGTGCAGAGAAACTTACACAATCAACCCACCAAATTTGCTGATCTGGAAATTTTCTCTACAGGATTGACACAATCACCGCAGCGAGAAAGGGTTTCGACGAATGAAGTTATCATCAAAAATGATACAAACGTGCATGATTGATCTAGTTGCTTAGTTTCGCGCTGATAAGGATACTCCTAAACTTGTCAGCTTGAGCGGCATCATTCCGTTGGGACAACGTATCAGCTAACATAATATAGACCGACTTATCGAAATAGCAACTTGGCATGACGAAGGGGGGAAAATTCCGCACAGAAATACCATCACTCGCTCAACAAGACCAACTTTCTGCCAATGGTACACTGATTGCACGCATCGGCTGAAGACGGTATCAGGTAAAGTCTGCGGGCAGTGGATACCCGTTTTCAACAGCCGCCCCTGCTCCGGGGTCACCCAGGTACCGCAATTGCCCATTGTCCCATCTCCTGGGAAAATTCAAATCTGGAAACTCGTTTGAATAAAATTCTCGGCCGGACTAAGATGGCACTACCTATCTTACGGCTATCCACCATGTGATGTCATATCTCTAGCCCTACACGATTCGTGAGCCGTGCCGGACGGACCGCGAGTGGAGCACCGGCTGATTCATAAATAGAGCCCGCTTATCTGTCGCCGAGCCTCAATTATACAGAGCTAATAAGTGTAAGGCGAAAGTGCGACGAGAGGAAAGAAAAAAATTTTACCATGCCGCAAATGCATTTGATCGCTTCTGAGGGCTTCTTTTGGGCAATTTGGCATTTGTCAACGGGATCAATGACGTCGAAAATGGAAATCGGCCCATTCAGGGCCACTTTGCAATGCGTAGTCGAGAAACGTGCTCGCCTGTCGGCGGATTCACGGTGAGATGGTGGACCAACAACACTCGTTCCACACTGACCTCGAAGAATACGGCCGACGACTCCGAGTTGCTTGGCTTCGATCTGTAAACAAAATGAGGGAACGCCGCACCTTTAAATCCTGTCAAGCAATGTTTGTTCTCAGTGATAGCTTGTGCCAATTGTGTGCGTCTTTCTAGACATTTTGGTTTCAAAGCATCAGCCAACATGTCTTATTATCTTCCATCCTTTTCTGCGCCTCCTTCGAGGCCTGGCTCGCTCGCCGCATCTAGAGCCAACTCCTATTCAGCAGCCCGAAGCAGGCCCAATAGCAGACCCGTCACGCCTCGAGGCAACTCGACTGCCCCTGTCACTCCCCTCGCCTTGACGAGAGAAAACAGCAAGGAGGATGAAGATGAGGACAACTCCGACGATGCAGTGAACTCGGAGATCATGCACAATGAAAAGGGTGAACCCATGATTGGAAGAATCGTGGGTGGAAAATATGTCGACGCCGAAAATGAAGACATTGATTCGGACTGCGGTCCCATCAAGACAGTGGACATTGACATGCCATTGACCTTGACTGAGATGGTCAAGCACAATGACAAGGAATACATTGTCCTGGCCTTTGCCACGGGCGATAAGGAAAACCCTTTCAACTGGAACCCGTGGTACAAGCGAAGCATTACAACAATGCTAAACTTAATGACGCTGTTCATCGGTCTGGCAACCACGGCTTACAGCTCTGGAATCACCAGCATGTGTGAAGACTTTGGTGTTCCCACAATCATGGGCCAACTTGGTCTCTTCACCTTCAACTTTGCCTGTGCTATTGCACCCATGGTGCTCGCTCCCTTTTGCGAGCTTGTCGGTCGCAAGATTGTGTATGCTGGGGCTTTCCTGTGCTTCTCGCTGCTGTTCATTGGCTTGGCGTTGGCCAAGGATATCAACACCATCATCGGTCTCCGTCTCCTACTTGGTCTCTTTGGTTGTGTTGGTACCATCCTGGTGGGAGGTACATTCGACGATATGTACGAACCCCACCAGCGAAGTCGTCCCATGGCCATGTTCAGTTTCATCGCCATCTTTGGTACAGTTGCTGCCCCCATCTATGCTGGATTCATTGATCAGAGCCTGGGCTGGCGCTGGATTGAAGGTATCCAGGGTCTTGCCAACGTGCCCCTCTTGATCATCATCTTCGTCGCTTTCCCGGAGACCCGTGGTGGCGCTCGCCTACACAAGCGCGCCAAGCAGCTCCGCAAGGCCACTGGCGATGATAGATATGTTGCCGAGGACGATATCTATACCCCCAACCTGAAGGCTATGCTCAAGGCCTCCTCGGTCAAGGCTATCCGTATGTTGGTCACTGAGCCCGTCGTCTTTGCCTTTGGTCTCTGGATTGCTTTCTGCTGGGCTGTGGTCTTCCTCTTCCTGTCGGTCATCCCCATTACCTTTTCTGAGAAGCGGGGCTGGTCAGAGGGAGTGTCTGGACTTCCCTACATCTCGCTTGGAATCGGAACCTTCCTTGGATGGGCCGCACACCACCTCCAGATGCGCAAGTACAGCAAGCTCATTGAAGACCCCAACGTCAAAGTCGTGCCCGAGCACCGTCTCTATGGTGCCATGTTTGGTGCCATCTGGCTGCCCGTGGGTCTCTTCATCTACTCCTTCACCCAGTATGCCTTCCTCTCATGGGTTGGACCCGTCATTGGCCTTGCTCCTATCGCCTTTGGTATCTACTTTGTCTTTGAGAGCACATACAGTTACACTGCAGACTGCTACGGCGAGAGTGCATCGTCTGCCATTGCTGGACAGGGCCTGATGCGAAACACCTTGGGTGCAGTCACCCCGCTGTTCGCCAGTGCCTTTTTCCACAACGTTGGTAGTCAGTACGCTGGTCTCATTTTGGCCTTGTTTGGCACCTTTTTGAGTTTGATTCCATTCGTCATGTTCAAGTTCGGCCATAAGCTGCGAGCTCGAAGCAAGCTCGCCAAGGTGTACTAGAGCATCTGCGATTCTGCTCCCCCGAGGACACGCTCAACGTTGTATATTTGGGTTCCAAACGATCCATATTTATTAGTTAGCGAATACGCCACCAATCAATAATCAATGCACTTAATTGTCTTGGCTGAACGTCTGCATCCTTCCGTGTCTCTATTCGCGACGCGTAGCAATGGTGACTATACCAGGCACGTGAGAGACGAAAAGACCCTTAGAGACATGATAATCTCAATCCTTTGGAAGTGCAGATAGCACATATAAGCTGACAGTCGCGCGCTATGTCATGGCGCCGGGCCATATGGCCCCCAAGATAATATTTGAGGCTTTACATGGGGCCAAAAATTTTCGCCCAATAGTAAACATTCTACCCAATCATTATGCGAATGATGGTGATGTTCTGTCATATGTGGGGGCATTTTTAGCCTCATTGGGGGCCTACCTTGGGGCCTTTGGACGAGAAATGGAGCTATCGCCACGCAGGCTGCAATGCCCATAGGTCATGATTGTTCAATTTTGGTAAAAGACAGATGTCAGGCTTTACACAAACACTAATAAGTCAAGCCTAACTTCGGTAAGGAGAAGAAGTATATAATTCTTTTATATCCTCACAGTTTTATAAATTTCATAGGTATCTCCTTCTCTTCCTGTTCCACCTAGCCAAATGTAAATTCCTTTGGTGCTTTTTTAATACTCTCATTGATATTGTTAGTGTTTTTGGGCATACGCATGAGAATCGCAATGTTGAATCAAGGAAGTCTTATCAAACATGGTATATTTTGCCTCCTGGAAGCAGAGCCAACTGTGATTCAAATTCTGCACACGCGTTTGAAAGGAATTGGAAGAAAATAAGAAAGAGAGGGAGAAGAAGAAAAAAGGAGAGGAAACGAAGTAAGTCTTTACGGTCGACAGATATCTTATGCCTAACGTTGTTTTAAATTATGTCGCACAATACTGACACTATACAGACAGGCAGGTGGGGCTAAGATCAGATTGAAGTTCTAAAGTATATGGGATTTCTCCATATTTATTGAGAATCATGATAGCAAGCCGTCTCTTTAATGAGAGGAGGAACTTGTTCAAGTTTAGTGAGTATGGTTAAGGTAACATTTCGAGCAAACATTACATTACATCTGGACTATACTAACATCTTCTGTAGGAAAAGCCAGTCTCATTTCATCCAACGTCTACGCCATTGGCTTCATTCCATCTCTAAGCAATAGACTTCGAGCAGACAAAGGCTCAGGTCAATGCATAGTGCACGGATAACGTGGCTTTCATATAAGTCGATCAAATCAGTTTTGCATTTGTCGCTTTGACCGCACGAGATGAATTCGGCACGAATGGTGAAGGAGTCTGCCAGCTGCAAGACAGCTGGTACGAAAATACGGACGGGCGACATGGAACCGTCCCTTCTCAGCTGCAGGCTGGTTGAAAGCTGTCTGATCACAGCCACTTTTGCGCTGTTCCCCTCACTCTCAGGGCCTCATTCTCACGGACCACGGCGGACCACGGCGAACCACCTCTCAACAAATTGAGGTTTGGGGCCTCAAATACTTGCCTCGTTTGCCTTGACTGGTGTGCTGGACGGTCTCCATCCAATCCGCTGCTTGCGAGCGCTTGTCAACTTCTGTACATGGCGGGATGGCGTTTCGTGTGCTGAAAACGCCCGTACTCTGGTACATACCCCTCAGCCTGATGTGATGGCATTCCCAGACCCTGCTAGCTTAATGGCAGTGCAGCGGCAGTGCTGGTCAATAAACGCCGTTCTGTTCTAAGAATATACTATATTCTAAGAATAAACGGCGAGGACGCGAGGTTACAGACGACCCAAAGATGCTTAAAGGGTGAATTTTCCTGCTGAGTCTTTGGTGAGTTTCCAGTGTTCGAACTTGATGGTGAGGTCGTTCCATCGTCGAAAACGATAGGCAAGTCCAGGGTGACGCGGCAGGCAGGTTCGCCCTCTGCGTCGCAGCTCCATCCCCCTGCCGAGGGTCGACATGCCATGGACGCACTCGGTCTGACATCATTTGTTGATTTTCCAACACAATTATGGCCTTGGGCAAAGAGTGCCTTCAAAGGCAGAGAGTGCCTCCTCCATGGGCTCGAGGTACCGTCCCTCAATCGACACCGAAAGGCCTCCCCGCCCATCCCTTCGACCCTTTGACGACCCCTCCTTTTGAGCCTCAAAATATATCGCTCCCGTCTGCTGGCGATCAGGTAGACCTTCGATGTGCCGGGCAATCCGGGATGCAACCCTGCCCACCAGACTTGCCTGATTATCGAACGCAGTCAACATTTCCGTAGTCGGACATGCATAGACAGTCAGTCATGCGTCCCTCCAAAGAATCTGCCTCATACTTGGCGTTCTAGTACGACTCGCAGTTGACCAATCATTGCCAATCGGTCGCCCGACCCGAGAAGGGACATATACGGTTGAAATGAGTTGGAGCTGGCATATTGTGAGCGCAACGCGTAGTCTTCACTCTGTGTCTTCTGAGGAGACATCAGTGTGGTTGGAGGACCACGTTCTTGCCCTCCATGTCCTCCGTCCACCGGCATTGGCCGGATACTCAACGAAAGACCCATTCAGAATGGCTACATCACTGAAGAAAATCCCAGACTTTGCGTGCATTGCAGTCGGCGTCCGAATTGAATCTGAATTCGTCAAGTGCTTGATTTTGCATTACATACTAGTCACTGTCGATTATTCTTTACTCATCCAAGCAACGACATAGCAACGAAATGGAACAAATCCAAAACTCTCAACCACAGGATCATGATGCAGACCGGTGTCCGTACGTGAAAAGTTCACTGCTCAATCAAACGATTGTTTTCTTACCTTTCTTTAGTCTCCACAACCACGGCATCGTTGAATGCTCCCGCGCACACTTTCTGCTGATGGTAATGGACTATTACTTCATCAGGAAGCACGCCGATCTGCAACAGTCATATTGCTGTCCATTCTTGAGATGTCGAAGAAAGTGTGCTTCCGCTATTGACATGGTCAAACACATCAAGACCTGCCCAAGATTTTGTGAAAGTGAGATGTGGTGTCCTGCATGCAATTTACCGGGTACCTATCACACCAGCAAGTCAGGAAACTGTTCTTGGAAGAAGCACAGTTTTGCAGAAAAAGTGCTCAGGCCGATCAAGTCAATCTCCGAACATATCGGTTACAAACCCCCCAGCCGAAGATCGTCTTCTTCGATTTCAAGTCCTCTTAAATCCTCGTCACAATCTATCTCATTCAATGGGGGAGATGTTGGAAAAAGTCAAGCCAGCGGTGTGATATATTCCAGCGGCATACGCACGGAGATCGATTCTCAAGGTGTGGTGAGAGAACTATATGGCGACTCGATTACCAAAAGGAACGCGGTGGAGATGGCAGCCGAGTCTTCAGATGAGAATCCAAACAGATATTGCCTTTCAGAAATGGCTACTTCAAATCAACCAACGAAATCCGATCAGCCTTATGACTTGGAACCTCTGCAACGCGCTACACCACAGGGAGCCTTCATCGATATCTCAGCAGCGCAATTGATGGGTCCGCGCACTCGCTGCCCTCCTCAAGTCTGGACAAATAGCCAGTCATCATACGGAACTCAACAGACCTCACGAACCTGCTCGAGCATAAGCACATACCAGTCATCAGCTCAATCGTGGGTCTCGCCCACCTCGACAATGTGCGAAATGCCGGGACATCTTGCCCTTGCGGAATTGCCCAGTCCGTCTCAGCCAGTATTTGGTAGTGCCTTGACAGAATCCCCTGTTACTGAAGATTTGCGTGGCTCTGCCCTCTCACTCGCCGTTGCAAATATAGACCTGGATATGGCCTTGAGTACATCGTTGCGCCATGACTCGTACGACATACAGCCGAATTGGTCGATGGGCAATCCAGACATTGGTTTCACGACGCCCACCAAGTCAGACGTGGCGGTCCCACCTCCACAACCTGTTACGGAAGCGTTTGGTGATGATTTTAGGTTCGTGGCGCCTGGCTCCATTCTATGTGTTCCTGTCGACACAGAAAGACGGGTGTCAGGTTCCAGTATTCAGGCACCAGAACCACACACTTTTGACTTTGATTACCACGAACCCGATGCGTCGCAGTCATCTCCTTCCGCGTCACTGAGAGTGGGTCCAAACACGATGAAATGCATATTTGATGGCTGCGATTACAAATATAAGGAATCGGAGACTCATAATTATGCAAAACATCGTAGTCGGATCCATAAGGAAGAAGAGATCTTCCGTTGTGAATATCCTGGCTGCAATCGATCGTATAAGAACAGGAAAGATAATCTACAAAAACATCAAAGGATCTCGCATCATAGCACATCCATTGATCAGGTTCTCAGAGCAAAAAGCGATGGCAGAGTCAATAAAAGGAAAAAGCGCGGAAACTCAACAAGGCGCATATTGGACACGCTTACGGCGAGAACTTACCATGGGCTACCAATTACAAGATAGGCTGGCTGGAAATTTGGATTTTTTTTGCCATTCAATAATTCAGACTGAAGTCAATAAGGGTTGATCTCGTCTTGAGCAGTCGCCCATAATTTTTATCTTCCCTTAAAACATTTGAACCCTGTTATTTCCAATGCAGCATCCCGTCTGACGATATTGAGATATTTTATTCCAAGGAGTCATTACTGGATCTTTATCACAACTCAGGGCACTCAAGCGATTAAACATATTCCAAGCAAAAGAATAAATCTCTTTTAATTGCAGGTAATTCACTTCGAGGTATAGCAAAATGTTCCCGATTGCTAGGCGGACATTATTCAAAGCCTGGAGTCGGAAACATTGGAGGGTTTTGAGAAAGATGACACCAATATGTAGCAGCTAGGGCTTACTTAACCCTCCAAGAAAATTGGATTTTCAACACTCACAGCTCATCTCAGTGACCTTCCCTTTTGAGTTTGGATCCCCCAAGCAATGCACCCCGTCATGAACTAGAGACCGAGTCATGAGTCTCATCACAGCTTTAATCGTTCCTTACCTGAGTCATATTAAATTTTCACCAAGTAAAAGTGCTCGATGCCATGGTGCCTCATTCTATTGATACAGAAGTAGCGTCTTGCTGGTCTATGTTTCCAAAAACACTATGCGATGCGCCAAGGTAGTGAGAGGCCGCAAACGAATATTCCCCTGCAGGGTTTAGTGGCAGCCTGCAGCTTCGTGGCATGCGCCGAGTCTGCCATGGAGGACACAAAAAGGTCCAAAGGAGGACTAGACATACCGGGTGCCTCATGAGTGACATTGCCACTCACCTCGTACCGGGCCTCCATTATGCGCAGACCGGCCGAGGGACCTTAAGGCCCGTCTCCGGAGTTTCGAGAAGGGTCGCGTTTCCTTGATTGCCCCTTAGAGGGCTGTCTAACTGAGGTGCCGTTGCCTTTGTAGAAAGTTGGACACTCATGGACGTCCATCAGGTGCCTCCTTGAAGGGATGTTTGGCGCGTCCATGGATAAGTTGTCGACAACAGTATATATGTCCACATGGCCGCGCCGTGAGAGAAGCATTAGTCGATATCACTGCACGCAACCATAAACAACGCGTTTCGTTTCTGACGAGGACCCCGATTCCTCGAGTAGGCTTCAAATAAAGATTTTCATGTTTTATTCCTTCCGGAAGCTTATCGATACAATATGGACTCAAGGTACTAGGCCACTTCGGATCTTTCATATTAAGCTTCGGTAGTACTTACTGAGCAGTAGCTACACACAATCCAAGCTGAACGATGCGTCGCTTTCTCGAGTCCCAACCAAGTCAAGCATGGACCGATATCTCGATCGGAGCCAGGGCTTTGAAAAGCGAGCTCAAGGCCTGCCCTCAAAGCCACACAATATACAAAAGTCCATGAGCAAATGGGATAAGAAATGGAAAGAGGCTAGTTCCAGCGGCAGCAACAGAACTTAGTAGCCTCTTTGGTGAACAAGAACTGGACTTTGGTGCTTTGTTATCCTGGCTCAGTAACTTAGCCAATGCGATGAGGGTTACTACATCTGTGTGAAGCTTTCTGGTAATAATTCTGAGCAATCCATTATACCAGCCAGAGGCGGTATGACACGATGAAGCTATGGCAGATATGGGAGGCATACCAGGTCGACATGTCCTGGCGCTTGATGAAAGGCTGAAGCAAGTTTAATACACCCTAGCAGCGCTTTTCATAATACTTAATAATAATACTGTTGTCATCTATATTATTCGAACTGAGCCTTTCGGGATTCCAGAGATGACGGCTATCGAGGGGGTCATTTACAATTGAAATCGGATTCAAACTGCATTCGATTCTGGAGGCCAAGGCCCTTGAATTCATGGTCTCAATCAAGTCATTACTCTCAATTCAACTACACCTGCCTTTGCTAATTAAGCAATCATGGACCTCTGAAAAGCTCAAGAGAAGTGAAGTTGCATACTTAGCTGATCACATGCACGCGATAAACATCGTGCCATCGGTTTTCCTAAGGCACTCAACAGCGATCCTCGAATAAGCATGCATGTGTTGCTCGGCAAGCATCACAAGGCTCAAAGGAACAAACAGGAGATTTTGAAGCAACAATCAAAGCCCATAAAAGCCAATAACTTTTTACAACAGACGCGACGAGGCTAACTTACTTCTTCTTTCAGCTTTAGATCCCAGAGGTTGCTAGCCAGAAGGCCGTTGATTAGCAAGACTCGGAGATAGCTTTCACAATATTGTTTTCTATGATCGGCTTTCCATGTCGGATCGTTTTGATTTATTGTCTTTTTCTTTGGGAACAAGAAGGAATTCAACGAGTAATGGAATCGTTATTATTTTTCTCCCTAATTCTTCTGCTGTAGGACCATGTTCTAGGTTTTTTGCTGTTTTAGTGTCGAACACACAATGACTTGAGAAGAAAGATTATCCATACAACACCTGCCTGGTCGAGCCACTGTGTTGCCTGGCATCATTACCTGAGTAAGGATCCAGAACCACAGAAACCAGCTCAGAACTCATAAGTATGCCTTCCTGTGGTCAACAGTGCTGGTATTCGCGGTTCGCTTTGCTCAGTGCTTTGCCGCCCGTCGGCTCGCAAGAGTAGACACGATCTATCTTAAATAAACTTCATTGGACTTCACAACCGAATACAACGAACATTTGTTGCGAATGCTATTTTGCCATTTCACAGCCAGGGTTATCCCCCCTTGGTTCATCATAAAAGATAGTGGCGGCAACAAAAGGCGTGGTTGCGGCAGCAGCAGAGGGACTGGTTGAATTACCACGTATCTAACATTTGTTTCTGGCAAAGAAGCCACTGTTCTCAGTCGCCAACCTTACTTTGACGTTGTCGACAGGACCTGGGCATTTTTGAGGCACATCACGCCACAATGCTCCGGCCTCGGCCGATTTTATCCCTCGACCGAAGCTACACCGCGAGGCCGGGTGGCCGGTCAGCGACAACATGTCTGCCAAGACCACATTTGATATAAGCTCAAATTTACACCTTCTTCTACCCGAAGCATTCATTTAGCAATGTTCTACCAAAGGGCTCGAGAGCCTCAATTGCGTAAGATTTAACACTGCAGATAATCGCGGGGGAACTCAATTAGCAAAGGTACATTGCCAAGGCCTACAAATGGCATTGTCCACGAGACAATCAGGGATTGAGGTAGCAGTTCAGGCTACACCTGGTCCTGAGGAGATGGAATGCGGGCTCAGGGAGTCGCCGCAAGGATGTAGAAGGCCGGGGCAATATAAATATATTCCCCCAGGTCCGTACGTACGACTGCAGGAAATTTTTGAATTGGAAGCACTGGATGCGCAAAAAGACGACGTTGCAACGTTGATGATCGCTGACAGGGTTTGCAGTGGACCGCGTGTTTCCAATGCCTCAGCCCACGAGGCAATGTTCATAACGGTGCGGGATCAGGTTGTTCTTGGCACCGACATGGTGACTTATTTCAGTCGATATTGTGCGTCCGAGAACGGACGGGTAGAGATCCAGACCTTGATCGTGGCCAACAACACTGCAAGTGCCAACTGTCATTGATCAAAGCGGGACTCTCCTCCAATTAGTAGTATTCCGAAGAAGTCTATCGGTCTTCACGATAGCGGAGGCTTGGCAGGATATCGGTGGCCCGAGCCAGAACCTAGAAGTTCTACGGGCCCTTCGGTGGGCCCAGGACGCGTCAACAGTATACTAACATGGACGAATGGCATGCGCAATATTCCGTACAATTGTACTTCTGTAATTTAATCCTGGTAATTATGGCCCCCGGCACTTGATGGCTTCCTTGGACGCTGGGGACTAAAAAGAGCACAGTTGTGGATTACGATTGACTTCCATTGAAGCTGAACGCGACAGGTGGAAAAAGAACTACACTCGGCTGTGTTGAAGTACGTAGTACAAGTGCACCATGACCCAAAGGGTCAATGCCAATGCTGCAGCCACATTAGACTATCAAAAAGCTAGGTCTCGGAGATTGATTGAGTCAGAGGAGCAATCCAAGCGAGAATGGAGAGGCTCTTTGGTGTTTCTCCTGGATTTGCATTGCGTTCCTACTAGTAAGCGGCAATTGTAGCGTAGCGGACGACACCGGCGCGGAGTATGTAAGTGGGTAAGGTGAAGTGGGTGGTGTCGGGTTCAAACTTCGAGCAGATGCTTGCATGTCGCATGATCACTCAGCGCCCACTGCGAGTGGCTCCCATCAATTGCCTGGATATTTTCTTTGCATGGTACGTACTATGTAAGGTATGTACACGCCAAGTGGCTCAGTTGACCATGAACTGACAGGCGACCATCCAGTTTCAGACAGACGAGGACCCTTGATGAAATTTTAGAGCAACGTCAAATGGCCTGTTTCGCCCGCCTTGTGCATCAATACACACCAGTCAGCCTTGTGTAAAGTACATATGGAATATAATTTTGCAATTATTATTTCTTCTTTTTCGCGTCGATACAGGCCGTGACGCATGATATCAGTTTGAAACAACGTGTTTGTCTCCGAAGTTAATTGGCCAAAGGCTCCATGCCTAAATTTCCATATCAGGCCCTGAATAGCCCATCGAAAAGCCCCCATCAAATAATGGGTCTCTCTCAATCTGTGCAGTGGAAGGGAGAACTTTGAAGTCTACATGGAAAATTCCGAGTACTCCTGAGTCCTGGTCATAACGATCAATCAATATCAAAATCTTCAAAATCCCGCCCTACCGATATGACCTTTAATTTGCACTGCCTTGCCGAATACCTACCTACCTTATCGGCCACACCCAGGCAATCTCGATCCTCAGCTTGACAAGCATGCACGCAATTGCGAAGTACTGTGTAGGGGAGGGTCACGGCGCCACGCGTCGGCATAAATTGTTGGTCGAATACTAGCCAGACCTAGGTCGATCATGTAGAACTAAGCTTTGCGACCCTGGAGGAAGTCTAGAGAAGCAAACAGTGTCGAAGTCTTGTTGGGCTCGTCGGCAATTGCCAATATGGTCAATCTGTGGATGTGCTCCGCTCCAAGCCTACGAGATCCCATGCGAATCACGGCCGGTATTTTGTAATCATGATCGCTTTTGTGGGCAAAGGTCGTGGGCAGTGAGAGATGCGCGCCGGGTTGAGAATTACGTAGGTCCCGTGTACACGACGGCCCCAGGACAGATTCAGTAATGCCCCTGGCAGATCGCCCACCGTCGTCAAAGTCTAACGCATTTAGCGCCGAACGAGCGCTAAACAACGGGCCGGGTGGGCTTTTAACGCCATTGAACGCCATTCCCGGCGAACTAGAGACTGTAAATGTACGAATAGGTCTGTGTTAGGAAGACTCTAGACTACCTAGTAGATTAACAGTTCAATCAATCTCAACGGAAAACCCCCTTGTCTTACTTTGTGCAAAACAATGGAGCAGGAAACATGGCACGTAGTCAGGAGAAGAAGAAAAAAAAACCAATAATACCAGGTATCCATTGGTATGCATAGTATCACTAGTCGGAAAATTTTGAGAGGTTTTCAACATTTGCCAAAGTTAAAAAAAAAAACGTGTTTCGAGCATTACCGGATGGTCGGGTGCGGCCCCCACGCTATTCAACGTTCTTCTTTGCTTGTACAAGGTAGTATGTGCTGGTCTATCGACGGAGAATTATACCTGTACTAGGGTCTGGTTTCATTTCAGGAATAAGACGGTCATAGTATTCAGCAACCGTGAATAGAATGAGACACTCCGCACATTGTTCCCTGCTCACTTCCCGTCGCTTGCATGCATCCTTTCTGCTTCCTGTGCAAAATGCGGCTGAAAATCCAAGCAGGTTTCTTGAATTCGTTCTCCGCCAACATACATATGAGTACCTACAGGTGAGGATGGAAAACTTTTGGCGATAGCCCGCCGGCCGATAGTCTTGACAGATCCAGTATGCTCTACCGAGCCAAGACCCATGAACGCTATACGCGGCCTTTACGAGAGAAGCACTGCACGCTCGGCGGCTGGCTTGATTGGTTCGCTTGTTGGCAATCCTGTCAAGGATCCAGGTGCAGATCCCGCCGTGTTGGTCAGTATCCTGGCTCGATCTAGCAACACTGCCTAGTCACCAGTCATTTTTCACGGAATATCCAGCCGACCAGTACCATGGGAATGGGCAATAGTCGCCATGTGGCTTGCGTACGGGGCTACCAGGGGACGCGTGGACGAGAAGCTGCAATATTCCGGTCTTTATCCATCTGCTTGGGATGACGACGATTTACCTTTACACCTTCTACAGACGTCAGAGACTATGCTTTCTTTGCGCTCACATGCTCACCGCTTCATGCCAACCGCAAGAACGCTATTGGATGAATATTAAATATAGATTCAAGAACATAGTAATGGGGTTGTCGCTGTTACAATCACCACAAGGGCGGCTAATGAATAATCAAGGAAAAGAAAAGGCTAGTAATAATACATCCTGCATTTTTTGACTTTGCAAATATCTGATTTCGTAATCGTAACCAGATCCTCTGGTGATTTGGAAGGAAAGAAGAAGTCCACGAATGATCCCAATGATAGTCTGCTTGCAAGGTAGCAGCGAATACGACATTAGAGTCACTTGATTGTTTCTAGAGGTTTGCATATCGGGATTCGTATTCAGGATCTAGGATATTTTCACAAACATTCTCCATTCTCTTTACTACCGGAAATGCTATATAGCCCAACACTGCAAATAAACAGTAGCTAAAGAAACGAAATTGTCAAAAGAGACATGATTGTGGACCTTGGCGGTTTTAAGGGGCAATGCTTCGAAGTGTAATGGGGAAACCATCGGTATCATCCCAGGACAGCTGCCAGAGAGAGTCAATGTCCGTGGCAATTGCATACCATTCGGTCATCATGGAAGTTCCAGACTGCAAGAAAACAACGTGTCCGTAGAGACCAAATCCAGAAGTAATGAGTGTATCATCATCGGTGTCATTAGTGAACCCGGCGGGACCCGAAGTAGAGGGCACATAGAACAGAGGGGTGCCTCCTCCAGGGATGGTGGCAGTGAAGTTTCCGTGAGAAGATAGGGCATCGACTAATTAGTTGTGGTCATTAGCTTTTGTTTCTGTGCGGCCATGGATAAAATACCTACAAGTTACGTTGTGTCCATTGGTATAGGTGCCAACATCAGCGGAAGTGATGTACGCCGTGTCTTGAATAGAGGTTAGTGATTAGTGTATGGAATGTCTCGGCATGGTTAGAATGACATACTGTTGATGGAGATAACGGGGTATCCGTGGATTGTGTCACTGCTGTAAGCGTAGATGCTGAAGTTGTAGGTCGCAGCGCGCTCGAACAAAGGTTGGCTGAGAGCGCCGGCCACAGCCGACAAGGCGCCGACAAATTTTGAGAACATCATATTGACGGATATGAGATCGACCTTGAGTCGAAAGAAGTAGAATAGTAAAAGAAATGAGCGGAATACGAGAAGCAGTGCTACCAGACGTGAGTGAGTGGTCCGACTTTTGAGACCAGGCAAACGTGGATTATATTCACTAGAGCTATGTCTGGAGACACATGGAATTTGGGAAGCGTCAAGGGACGCTTCCTCTTGTACGACCTTGGTCCGCGCCACATCCCGATGCTGACGCGTGTGACAACGGGCGGGCCACGCAAACCTCATAGTATACACTGTACAGTACCTACGTAGCTCGACCAAGACCGATTAGTAACATCCACTTCTCCCTACGGTTGACCCCCTCCTCTATCCCCGGCGAGGGTGGAATATATCAAAAAGCGATGAAACGGGGCTCATATGGCTAGTATACGGAGTTGGTATTGTCACTTCTGAGCTGAACTTGATCAATTCCGACTGACAGCTCGGTGTTAAGCAAATCTGTTACTGGCAAATGGATAGCTTAGTTGGCAGTTGAGGCGCACACATACTTGAGCCGCGTGTTACGCATGATGCGATATGACAACCCTCCTAATGCGCTTGTAAGAGGAAACAATGGAGACTTGAACCCAAAATGGGGGGGGACCCCTGGCTAAGCAAACAACTAAACGATCCGAGCGCACTAGAGTCGTTGGCCATGATTGGACAAAGAAAGCTTGCTTGGATAAAACCCTGCCTTACGTGGCTGCCAGGCTGCGCCCGCGCTATCGATTAAAGCATTGAGATAGATTCCTGGTTGGCTTCCCTCTCCACGAGGGCGGATTGCGGAGAATGTTCGTCTAGTCCCCACCAGCACTGCCAAGATCTACCACTCCTGTCTACGTACTACTAGTACTTTGTGCGACTAGAACCAGTATTCCGTGACCATGTATGTACGTATCAGGCGTCTTCATAGGGAAATATACTCGGCAGTGGAAATCTCACATAGATGGTTGGTCCACTTGCAATACCGCGGCTCAGTTAAGCCTACGCTGGCGGCGTGGGCTGTTGCTTCTGCGGCCCTCATCTCCACCAACGACCACGAGATCCACCGGCCGGCCGGCTAGCTACCCGCTGTTCGTTTGTTCATCCTTCCATACTACCGTACTGTACGTACGACGCACACCGCGCCTACTCAAGGTGTCACTTACTCAGCAAGGCTTGATTTCAGTCCGATGGAGCGCTGCGGATCGTGCAGGAGACGCGAATGCCTCGTTGAAGGTGTAGTCTGATCGACGATGCCCCGAGCGACCGAGTAGACGCGCCCTCTTACCCCGGCGCAAGCCACTTGTTGCTACCACCACCACTACTACCATCAGTTCAGACCACGAACGATCCAGAGGAAAAGAATACTTATTAAAGAGGCCTAGGCATCATGTCCAAGTCACCTCGTTTTGTCAAAGTAGGCAATCATTCGTTCCATTGATCTTTTTGTTATTCAACTGCTTTTACACAATGTATGCCACGCTCTTTACAGCATCTTTGTTGGGCCTCACGGCCGCCTTCCCATCCTTCTCAAGTCCCGGCTTGTCCCCTCGTGCAACATGCTCAGGCAACACTGCAGACACTCGATCCGAGTGGTGTGACTACTCCATCGATACTGACTACACTTCCACCTCGCCAGACACGGGTGTCACCCGTGAATACTGGTTCGAGCTGACAGAAACTACTGCATCACCGGATGGTGTAGAAAGATATGTGCAGGCTATTAACGGGACTATTCCGGGGCCGACCATTATTGCCGATTGGGGTAAGGAGCAGCATCATGTCCTACAGACAGACATCATCACCATATCATGAAGAAATTGCTGACATGTCCCAGGCGATACTGTCGTTGTCCATTTGACCAATTCGCTTTCTTCTTCCACCAACGGCACTAGTCTTCATTTCCACGGCATCCGTCAAAACTACACTAACCAAAACGATGGTGTATCATCCATCACCCAATGCCCTACTCCTCCGGGGTCTTCGATCACTTATACCTGGAAGGCAGAGCAGTACGGTTCTACCTGGTATCACTCCCACTTTGCCTTGCAAGCCTGGCAAGGCGTCTTTGGTGGCATCATCATCAATGGTCCTGCCACTGCCGACTACGATGAGGATCTTGGCCATGTCTTCTTGAACGACTGGAGCCACGAGACTGTTGACCAGCTGTACTACACCGCAGAGACATCCGGGCCTCCTACACTTGACAATGGTCTTATCAACGGAACCAATGTCTATGGCGATGATGATGACGATGATCAGGTTGGCACTCGCTTCTCTGTTTCCGTCACTGAGGATTCGTCCTACAGAATGAGAATTGTGAATGCGGCCGTCGACTCGCACTTCCGATTCATGATTGACAACCACACCATGACGGTCATTTCAATGGATCTGGTCCCCATTGAGCCATACACTACTGATGTTTTGAGCATTGGCATGGGTAAGCTACTATTGTCAGTCGTACACTATAGAACTGCGCTAACATAATAACCCAAGGTCAACGCTACGACATTATCATTACTGCAGACCAGGCTGCTGTCGCAGACAGTTTCTGGATCCGGGCCATCCCTCAGGCAGCCTGCAGTGAGAACGATAGCACCGACAACATTAAGGGCATCCTATACTACGGCGACTCCACCACTACTCCTACAACCTCTCGCCCGAGCAGCTATGAGAGCGGCCTTGACTGTATTGACGAGGATGCAAGCAATCTTGTGCCCTACATTTCGCAGACCATTACTTCTGCCACGAACGAGGGAGAAGAGGACGCCACCGTTGCATTCAATGACGACGACTTGTTCAAGTGGTACCTGAACTCGACCACCATGGTTGTCTCGTGGAGCGACCCCACACTGATGCAGGTATACGACAACGTCACCAGCTTTGAAACCTCTGACGCCGTTATTGAGCTGCCCGACGCCGACGAATGGGTCTACCTCGTCATTGAGACATCCTTCACGGTCCCGCACCCCATCCATCTTCACGGTCACGACTTTCTGGTGCTTGCTTCCGACGAGGGAACTTACGACAGCAGTGTCACGCTGAACATGGATAACCCTCCTCGCCGAGATACAGCCATGCTTCCGTCAGCCGGCTACCTGGTGATTGCTTTCAAGACGGACAACCCGGGAGCCTGGCTTATGCACTGTCACATTGGCTGGCACACCAGCGAGGGCTTTGCTTTGCAGTTTGTCGAGAGACAGTCTGAAATTTCGGCTCTTCTTGACTATGACAGCATGTCTGACAACTGCGATGCTTGGAGCTCATACGAAACGACCGAGTCGGTCGAGCAGGATGATTCGGGTATCTGATAGGACATCAAGCTTTTCTTGTTTCTTCCCCTTTTCTTTTTTTTTTTTTTTTATGAGGGCTTTTTTTGTCATCAAGTTTAGCATTGCGCGACAATGGAGTTGAGGATTTCTCGTACATGTAGGAAGCTGAGACCGACCGAATTTATCACATGAAAATGACAATTCCAAGAATCTCGTTTGTCCAATGTTGCAGACATTAATATCGCTTTTGTGAACATGAATTCATGCCATGTTGGATTGTTGCTGCTCAATCGGCCCTAGACCTGTCTCGATTGTCTTTTGAGCAAAAGTGACAGGCGACGAGCGAAGGTTGGTCTGGGGCTGAGGTTGGCTAGTATTATTATACACTGCTCCAGATCATATCATATGGTTTTGTTCCGCCTATCTGATATGTTCTTTGTTGATTGACAGTGACGCAAGGGTGAGTGAGATGCCATGATATAGCGCTATCTTGATAATGACGGAGAAAATTCTGGGCGTTTGGCAGGGTTGAACTATACTCATCCGGATGGACTCTGTCGCATGACAAGCAGACAAGAGCAATAGCGACAAGATACTATTTCCTTGTGGCGGGCGATGTGGTTTTACTGAAAAGAAAGCCAGGAAATGTCAGGACATCTTGAGGCGCCGAATGCTGGTCGAAATTCCTGTCGTGTATACAAATGTGGTCGTAACATCAGCCATTGTGTCCGTCATGGAGTCAAGCGTGGGGCAGTATGTTAGTATTTGTATGGACAAGGAATTTGAGGCCAGATCGTGAGCATGAGCCCAGCCTTGGCCTCTCCTGTATTCGGACGATTTCCGCTTCTCAATATCAAGGGTAGACGAGTGAAGTACGTAAGGTATTGCATACGTAACAAAGAGGATTATTCAGCACGCACACGGGTATCCGCTGGAAATGAGAATATGCGGACCTCCGCCTTCGCGGCCAAGACTCCAATTGATCAAGCAGGATCAAACGTTATGCGATAAATTCAATGAAAATATAGTTGGCGTGCCTAATTGACTGGAACCCGAAATACAACTTGAGGAGAGAGTAGACAGACCTTGATAATTGATGCCCTAGAAAGTGCTATAGTAGTTGCAAATATCGTTTACCTGAAGAATCAAGTCTTACTACATAGCACATGTACATTGAGTTACTCGTATGGCTCTGGCCCTTTGGCTTAACGTCCCCAGACAGTCAATAAAGCTGTATTCTCCCGATGCAGGTATAAGCTGATTAGCAAAATGCGTCTCTCACTTTCAGAGCATATTTCGTAGAGTCTGGCCATATACTGCGTCCCAACCATGTCAAAGATTATCAATATGAACGCAAGCCGCGTCAGCTGTGGGTGATAAATTGTAATAGACCTTGAAAATACCATTTTGAGCCAAGTCATTCGAGGATGCGGTACGGTCGGCATGGAGTAGCTTAAAAATGCTTAAGGGGACTGACCCACGGAATAAGGTACGGAGCCCCGGCGAGCTTCCCCGGCGAGTTCCCGCCGCGCCTCGTTCTAACTAGGGCGGGCCGAAGCTCAATGGAAGCATAATAGGACGCGACATCAATCTTGAAGCTTATCCGAGGCACTTCATTGCCAAAGCTATCAGAGCATACCATGATTGTCTTTGGCCAATGCAATTGTTGGCTCTTGAGATTTGTTCATCGCCATATCTGAGCATTTTTCACACCCGAAAAACCCGTTAGACTTTGTTGTATCAAACGTCCGATGGATGAGGAGTTCAGCGCTTGTGGACATAACCTTAGAGTTAGGGGAAGTCAAAATTTCCACAATATCTTGTACATGAAAGCCAGCATACCCAATGCTTCACATTCTAGACCATCTTTTGAACAGTGACACGCGGCTCCAGGGTTCTTGCAGTCCCTGTTTACATTGCCATAGCAGTCTATTCTAGGATCGATTACGAACGACCCAGCTGTCATTGGCCAGGTTTTCTGGGGATTCTGTCTGGGACATACTGAAACGCGGCGCCTCCCGGTTTACATGAATACCAAGGCTTAGTTCAGAGCTTGCGCAAGCCCACCGGTAATTGTTAGCGAACTCCAGGGGACGCTCAAGGCAAGCTTCAGCGCCTGCGCGCCAGCATTCAACGCGTCTAGCACTTTGAATGTGCTTGGCTGCTGTCCGGGACGATGTAGCAACAGAAACTGTTACCCATGACTGATGTATGATGCGACAGAATCGATCGCAAGATTACATATTCCATATATTCCATTTTGTGTGAGGTTCTAGGTGCACGCATGAAGATGTTTCCCTCGCTTGTTGAACTTGAGAAACGACGAGCCGTTGAAACGAGGCTGCGTTGGTCCATCCACCCTTGACGGTTCATGGCTTAAATTATCCTCCATCGGCGGTTCCACCCGTGACGACTACCTCAGATTTCTCCTATACAATCCACTTTTTATTCGAAGTGACATAGCTCAGCCTCGAAAAGATTGCGTTTGCTATGAGAACTCATTTTTTATAAGAAGATGCAGAAAGGTCTTTTCATCATGGAGTTGAAAGGACACACGTTATACTCTTTCCTCGCACCAGTCAATCAATTCAACCTTTTCAACCCGCCACCATGAAGTTCACCACCTCCGCCGCCGCCCTGCTCATGCTTGCCTCCGGAATCCAGGCGCACCCGGAAAAGATGACCCCAGAGAAAGCCAAGCGTGAGGCTCTCATGGTTGGACGTTCAACCGGCAAGTGTGCCGCTGCCATTGAGGCCCGCAAGGCTGAAGTTATGGCCAAGAGATCCGCCCGCCTGCTCCAGCGCCGCCTCGACGACGGCAAGATTACGCACGAGGAGATGATGGCCAAGCGCAACGAGTTGCAGTACACCACTATCCAGAACGACACTTGCGTCCTCGCTCCCGACACAATCTGGGGACCTTATGGTATTGATGGCGAGATTGTTCGCCACGATCTTCGAGAGTTGAGCACGGGACAGTATGTACCATTTTTGCGGTTATTCCTAGATGGGATCCGACTAACAACAACATCTACAGGGAGGGTCTTGACTTTTACCTCGACATTGGTGTCATTGACGTCGAGACTTGCGAGCCTCTGCCTAATGCCGCCTTGTCCATCTGGAACTGCAATGCTACTGGCACTTACTCGGGCTTCACTGGCATTGACCCCGATACGGCCTCATTCTACGACGGTGTGTCAGCACGTGCTGATGGTACCACGGACGACGACACATTCCTGCGCGGAATTCAGGTTACCGACTCCGAGGGTATGATTGAATTCTTGACCCTATTCCCTGGCTACTACATCACCCGCACTACGCACATCCACGTCACCGTCCAGACCAACATTACCAACGGCACGGGGTTCTCCGAGAGCGCGATTCAGCACATTGGCCAGCTCTTCTTTGAGGAGGACCTTCTCAACGAAGTTTACCAGCTAGAGCCTTACTCTGCCCACCTGGAAACGCTCAACAGAACTACCAACGCAGAGGACAGCCTGTACTCGAGTGCTTCGGGTGATGGCTACAGCGCTGTCATTAGCGTCAGCCAGATTGGCGAGACTCTGGCAGATGGATTGGTTGGATACGTAAGTCAAACCTTGCTCAACATATTCGAGATCAATAGCTCATTTTCCCAGATTACCATTGGTGTCAACACCTCCGCTTCGGGACTTGAGACCACTGGAGGCTCTGTCAATGTTCAGGGATACCTCCCGACTGTGTCTGTCGCTTCAAGCAAGCTGGCGCAGGCCACTGCTGTCGACGTCGCCGACGGATACACCAGCTAGATGATTGATACTTTCAGCAATTTTGATCCTTGAATAGAATTTAGCGCTATAGACCTGCTTTGAGCCAATTTAACCCTGTTTTCACTATTCCTCCTATTGCAACTTTGTCATCGTTAAATCAAAGTCAAGTCCGGAACAAAGAATTTTCTGTCTGCCAACCGCAAGCAGAAATTCAATTGCCTTGAATTGAACTTTTGCAACAAAGGAATACATGTTCGCTGTCAAGAGGCTTTCTTTGCAGAGAATATGAAATCCGACTCTATGATCATGGCATGACCGAATCTCAGGATTTCATAATCATGCTCCCTGACGAGATTAGACAGCTAGCTCAAAGCCGACCGGAACAGTCTGGCTGGTTCCGTGCGACATGCTATAATCCACGAACGCTCTGCGGTGTCATTGCTATTTTCAATTGGCAAGCAATCATACCGGATGGTTCCCGAAGTGGCTTGCGTGGTTCACGGGAAAGCGGTAATGATATCGATCAGGACGCTGATGGACCATTCTTCCTTTTCAGCCATTCCGACGATATCGGTGTCGTAGGCCTCTGCGAATGCATTGATTTCGATACACTGCTCAAGAGCCAGCTTTCTCAAGCTTTCGAGATCGCAAAGAGGCATGTTGCAGACTGCCACAAGGATCTCGAGCCATTATCTCATTGTCGGGCCATGTGGGACATAGTACTCTCCTGCATCATTGATCCGGGAACTCGACCTAGCCGAAGGAGAGACCGTGAAGATTGGTATGGCTCAGCCTCCTTCATTGAAGCCGGACAGGAGATTTTTCGCGAGCTTTGGGGGCTTTCTCGGCCAGACTTCCCAACAAATCATAGGACACGCACCAACCCGACCTTTATTTCTCGACATGAGTTTGCAAAGGTACAATCACAAGCGCAACATCCCAACGACACGGCGATGGCCGAGTATTATCTCAAGTCAAGGACTACCATGTTGGAAGGCATTTTGTCCATGGCCCTGATATCGACCGATATTCGACTGGATGGCGATAGATAAAATGGTATGAGATGGTGAAAAGTAGAGTCAAGATCATCATGAAAATGTTGAATATTTAGACGAAATACAGTATATTGAACAAGTGCGTGCTGAATTGATGCATGGCGGAATGTCTAGCAAAACATGGCAAGATATTTATATACACAAGAACAAGTATGTACAAGAACCGAACCATACTTGGCATCACTTTTTAAAGATTGTACCTGCTCTTGAGGTTTCTCCACCAATCTCTCGCCATCCAAGCATCAAATTCTGTGACTTCTGTGGCTGAACCAGCAAGCATGATGAAGCTAGTGACGCCAGTGGGGGTCCAGTCGTAGAAATCGTCGAGGGCCAGGGTGTGGCCCATCTCGTGCAGCAGAATGTGGATGTTTTCCGACTCAAGATTCTCAAGCACTACAACAACACGTGTTAGCAATTGCCCATTGAGGTAGATAAATCAGTTTGAAGCAGCTTTTTTAAGTAATTTGTCTGAGCCTGCTCTCTTGAAGCCCCAGTTGGGAAATGCTTGCTTATGAGACAACCCAGAAAAGGAGAGAAATGACATCGGAAGTTGCTTACTATAGGTGGTGCCGATGCGCTGGCCCCAGTCACCACCAGCACCCACGCCGTCCATGCCATCTGTCAACCATAGGCTGACATCATAGCGTGCGGCATCGCCACCACTGCAACTCGAGTAGTCGCCATCTGCGTAGTGGAAGTATCGTCCGCAAGCGGGGTCGCACTGAGGAATTCCGTCTGTGTCCGAGCTGCTATGGACGGTGACGCCGTCGGCGATGTCGCCTTCCAGAAGGGCTGTGTTATTGGTAGCCCAGCCAGTGACTTTCACGTTGGTGGTGGTGTATGGAAAGCCGTCGAAGCTGGCAAGTGCGCCCTCAACCCATTTGTTATATTGGCGTTGCAAAGCGGTTTCGATGCTGGCACGCTGCTCTGCGGTGACGGACTGTGCGCTATCCCATCTAACACAATATTGAATATTGGCTTCGGTGTCCATCAAGTGGTCGTAACCGTAATTCATAAAGGCTAGCGGATCGCTATAGGTTGATATTTCGTGATTCCAAACCTCCTCGAGGGCTGTTGCAAGCGAAGATGGAGGATCCCACGAATCCACGGCACTGGTTGCTGCAGCACTAGCTGTGGACGTTTTGGAAGCAGTAGTTGCGCTTCCGCTAGCAAATTTCACGACAGAGCTGCTTGGGCCGGCGGTGGCAGTCGCTCTTGTCGAAAGGGAACTCTCAAGCGAAGTGCTACTGGAAGTGGGCTTCGTAGACGTCGAGGCAGCGCTGGTAATCTGGCTCGATGATGGCGACGAGTGATGTTTCGCTTCGCATGCTCGTCTCTTGGATGCTTGCGAGCTGGAAGTTGCAGAAGGCTGGAACGCAGCAAATCTGTCAAACTGACAAGTCTCAAATGGTAAAGTGGCGTCTCCTTGACGGGCGCGGAGTGGGTGCGCAAGCGTAACACTGGCACATGCGGCAACCAGGCCGAAGGCTGCAAGGTTCTTCATGATGAAAGAATGAAATTGAGACTAGCTCAGACGAAAAGAGAAAAGAAGAAGAAGACGAGAAGATTGTTTGTCGTGTTTTCCAACGGCAAAGAGTTTTGCAACGCTTTGGCGAGAGACAGTCTATATAGGCGTATATATTCGTATTGGCAGATAATCTGATCTTGGCGTTATTCGCTGACCCGGCTCACTGGTTCCATGTTTAATAGACATAAGGTTGTATTGTCAAACGCCAAGATGTCCACTATGGAGAACGACAGGGTCCATTTTGGGAAGCGGGCGCGTCACAATTGGTGGGACGTCACAAGCGCCTTGGCTTTACTCCTCCATGTTTCGTGGAGATGGGGGACCTACGCCGAGATGATTCGAGTAGAAAACTGCCAAGAAAGGTCATTCGACCGTCGTAAAGGGGCTTCTAACAAGATGTGAGAAGTAAATAATGGTTTTTATCTTTCTCGAAATCTGTTTTCGTCTATCTAGGTATACACAGTATAGTAAAAGTAAAAGTAGCCCAGGTCCTTGAGGGGGCCATGATGTAAACACTACGCCGCCCTTGCTCATATTTATATTACAGGCGTAGAACTGACGTTCGCCAAGGGTCCAGGCTCAAGGAAAGAAGTTATCGCGACGAATCAATGCCCACTCATCTACACTGCTTCTAGCAGTGTTCCCGTCTTGCTCGAATCCATAGTATCGCCAAGCGTAGGCCTCGTCTTCGTCTTCTTCTTCTCCATATGAAAAAGGAACATACGATCCGATGACCGTCGATTGTGATCCATCGACTCCTTGGCTACAGATTGAGGCATCCTTTGGCTCCACAGTCGCCATCCCGGTGTGGATATAATTGCACTCGGATTCAGAACTGGAATCAAGGTCGACAGTTGATAATGAGTCATTGCCGACATCAAAGTCAGATCCGGTATCTGGAAGGCTGCCGACGTCAAAGCCCTTGTCATTTCCAGTATACAGATTGTCCCTGAAGATGACTTGAATGATGGAAAGTGCCGAGTGCGGAGGTGTTGATATGAATTCAATCTCAAATCGTTTGTCGGCGGCAGCCAGGAGAGCCTCCCAGTCCTCTCTGCTTCGCTCCTGAGCATTTGCGCACATGTGCATCATGATATCACAAGCGCTGGTCAAAGCAATGCCGTTAGCAAAAAGATCAAGCACGACTTTGAATTAGCATTGAACCTACATATCGAATTGGTCGCTCACATGACCATATGGTCTGGGAGCGCCTAGACACCTTTCCAAGAATATCATGCGAGCGCCGTCCTTGAGTGCTGGCACCTGGTTTCTGAGAATATCGACCGCATAGCTGTCCGACCAGTCGTGCAGAACACATCGCCAGATATACACGTCGGCATCCTTGATCGTCTGTTCGCTGAAGAAATCATATTCGTGATACTCGAGACGTCCATCCAGCTTGTTCGGATCTTGCATCGATGCCTGAGAGATGACGTCGGGAAGATCTTCAACAATAGCCCTCTCTACACTTGGATAGGTCTGCAGTATGGTTTTGCACAAAGTTCCTGTACCGCCACCGACATCGACCACCACCTTGGGGCACCAAGTTCTCTGGGACTGCTTGACCTGATCCCAGCCAAGGTGGTTGACAGTGTATGGTGGCTCCATTCCGGGTACCTTCATTGACCATTCCATGGCATTCGCAAGTCGGGTCATTCGATCCGGTTCGGATCCAACTATAGCAAAGAGGTCTTTGTCGCCATTGCTTCCGTGGGCGATGGCAAAGGGACTCTCGGCAGGATTGCTGCTGCTAGGGAAACTTTGCATGCTGTCGGCAACTTTCAAGGCAGCTGGTCCGATTTCTTCAGTAGCCATTCCAATCCAATCATGAAGCGTGGTTGTAACCAATAAGGCCGAGGCTGCGTTGTGTTGAACCATTCCGACTATTGGCTCGTCAAAGACACGGAATGATATGGCAGAGCGTATGTATCGCCGTGTTTGGGCCTCCGAGAGGCCACAACGATCGGCAAGTTCACCGTAGGATATTGAACCGCTCATTGGCACGTTCTTTGCCAACTCAAACTTGTACAAGACATGGAGTGTTGCGGTCCAGGCCGGCTAGACGAGAGCGAGCGACTCATGAGTTTGTTGTTTCACGACAGAAGCATCTCAATGGGGAATCATCACTTACACCCATAAATGACATGAAAAATATATGTCCCGCGGGCCCAATGATCAGGGATCGTAGCTCATCGAGGGCTTCAAGAAGCTGTGCGCGGCTGTCCTCCATAGCTCGGCCGTAGGGACCAGCGTAGTGTGTTGCTCCATACTCAAAGGAGGGCTGTTGAATTCCAGCCGCATTGAGTGTATCGTGAATTGCGTTTGCCTGGTTGGCTATGATTTGTCCAAGTTCCGGAAGGGATCGTGTGAACGCCATTGTTGCGGGCTTCCAGGTTCCAGGTTCTAGGTGGTGATACAGCACGGTGGGTGGCCAAGGAGCGGCTGTGGTGCAAAGAATGAGATCAGAGGTCTTGAGTTGTGGAGTTTACGTCAATGGCAATAAAGAAGGCATGAATGGCCGTTAGCCTGTCATGTGGCAGTCGGTGTTGGAAGGTTCGATGGATAACGGACGAATCTAGAAAGCTTGAGCTGTGGTCTCGAACCAGAGATCCCGTGAGCCGCCATGTCGGCTCCTCAAGTACTCTCTCATAAGCCCGATCAACGCCTCCAACAAGTCCATGACTATTGTTCCTCTTGGGATGGAATTGAAAAAGAAAACATCCTCTCCTGTCGCCGCACCGCCGTGTCATGAGCTGACCCAAGTTCCTGGGTTCTTGAGGCTTATCCCAACCAATAGTACGATGCTTGCTGGTTGGGATGGTCAGACAAAGTCATTATGCCCTTGGCTGAAGAGTGCCTCTCGACCCAAGATCCTTGCAACGTAGTATATATCCACCCGAATGACCCAGTTGATTAACCATGGAACCATTAATCACGTCGAAAATCCTCTTTCGAATAACACTCATCGGTCCGCTTGTGGTTTTCGCGTGAGGTCAGCAAGTTGACAATGCGCCCGGCGCCCGAGAGACCGAAAGACGTGATGAACGTCTCTTGTCCTTGTCACACCTGCCGTGATTCACAATGCATATTGACCACGCATCGGTCAGATCTCAAGGATCTTGCACAAGGCTTCCCAGGGTTGTTGATGAATCTCGCGAGGCCCGGGTCCATGGAACCACTCCGGAAGGATGCCGGCGCGATCGAGTTCAGAGAAAAAAGAAAAAGAAAAGACAAATGCTGTGTGACCTGGCTGCGCCCATTATAAAAGCAATTCGTGGACGAATGTAGTGACTTGAGGGTTAGTGATCAAGTTTGTCAATATAATTGGTTCAACTGAACTCCTGTCACATCTGTCGGTGACCATTTTTCAGATCTCATGATGTGGTCGGCGACCTGTTTTCGTTTGGGCCAATAAAGGTTATCGGCGCTCGACTATCTGAGGAATCCTTGCGAGAGAGGATCTCGCAGATCTCAGACACACTGCAGATACAGGTAACAATTATTGGTGTCGCTTATGAGTGACAAGGAACGTTCCGCCAATCGGAAGATTGATCGATTCGCGCGGTGTGGGCTGCACCTTCATCGGGTTACACACGATCCTTGGTACTTTTATCGCAGATTCAGGTAGCCAAAATGTTGGTAGCACAGAGATCTGTTCCGATCGAGCAATTTGAGTACCTACTACGGAATACCAACCTAGCATGTCCCTCTCAGTTCATACAGATTACAAGGGGAAACCAACAAGGCTGAAGCGTGCCATGTCCAACATAAAACAAGGGTGGTGTGATAAAGAAGATGGAGGGAGATTCCGAGTGTGATAAAGACGTAATGAGTGACCCCAATATCCCTGCCAACAACTCCTCCTCGACAAGTCTCATGATTCATCAAACCCATTTCCGTACTTAGACGCGAAATGGAAGGGCAGTTTCTCCGGGCGCATTATACGTCGGCACCTTCATTTCCAAGGCCTCACCGGAATATCCAAGGTCTTCCGCCGTGAGAACTGCACATTTTTCACCGATGAGCAGAGCTGTGGAGTACCTGTTGTTGCAGGTTAGCAGTGCTGTGACATGCATGCATTGCTCCCCAAACAAGGATTGCGCATGTGTGGAGAGGAGTGGACATTCACGTACGTGTTGCAGCCTACATTATCAGGGCAGATGGATAGATCCGCGACCTTGAGACCCTTCACGCCATGAACATTTAGACGCTCGTCCAGAACACCGTGCTTGACGATACTGTTGCCCTCTCTTGGGGCCATTGAGCAGGTCTGTGAATAATTAGCAGCTGCGCGGACTTTGCTTTTTCTTGCAAGTAATAACAAAAAACTCACTCCAAGACAGTGCCAAGTCGATTCAACATGGCGTTTGACCCACTCTTCGATCGCTTTGATGTCCTCACTACTATACTTGAGCTCCTCCCTCACATGCGCCTTATTACTGTTGAGGATGTGGGCTTCCGCTTTCTTGCTGGGCTCTGGGTTGTAACTACTCCAGCTTCCATGTTGCAGGCCAGCGCTCAGATTACCTGGCAAGGCATACGCCTTTGTGGTTTCGAGGTCCATGTCATTAGCACGGGCGGGTGAATCATAGGAGAAGAACGGATGATTAGCTTGCACCTCCCCAGCATAGGCGTCCATGCGACGCGCCGTCTCTCGGGATTTGATATATCCCCAGACCATGGGCGCCATATCACGCTCATCACTCATGAAGCCAGTATCAAAGTCCGGGGTCGCATAGGGGTCGGCCGACTTGATGTGGGTTGATCCACGAGAGAAGGGATACTCGAGGAAATGGAACATGGAAAAGAACTTTCCGGGTGGCCTGTCTTATGTCAGCCTATACTTGAACTTTGAGCAAAGGAAAGGTTGTCCTACATCAGCATGTGGTCTCCAAACCATCCGGCAATGACCGAGTAGTGCATCACTGGCTTGTCTGGCTTTTCTTTGAAGTATGACTCCCAGCCGTCTTTGAAGTGCGGGGTTGGCCATGAGGCCATCTCCTCGAGCTCTTCTGGCGAGGGCCGAATCTTGACACCTGCTTCAATGCCATTGGTAGCCAACGGTCCGGTACCCTTCAGCGCCCATTCATCAAATACACCTTCTTGTGTGTCAATACCTTCGTCACTTTGTATGCGGTCGAAGAAACTTACGCTTTTGAACTTCTGGTACGCCCCGTACAAAGTCATCAAAGCTGTCCGTATCTGGCTTGGCCCTGTAGGCCGAGAAGGTGAGATAATGATCTTGGAAGTTCAATCCAACTCCTGGAAGATCGACAATGGGCTCTACACCAGCTGCCTTGAGCTTCTCGGGGTCGCCTAAATTGATCAGCCCCATTACAGCCATTACGGACTCAATGATTACCCACCAACTCCGGACCTCTGCAGGATCAATGGTGAAGAAAGAGTTCCGCCAGACACGATGATTTGCTTGCGGGCCCGGAAGGTACGCGTCTTCAATTGATTAGGATGGAGCGGCTTCGTAGGAACTGTCTGGACCGCGACTGCGCGGCCGTCCTCAATGATGACCTTGTCGACTTTGGTGTTGCACGCGAGGTAAAGGTTCGAATGAACGGCGCGAGTGGAATGGATATAGGCATGGGCGCTGTCACTGCGTCGACCGGTCTAATTTCTTTGCTCAGTACTCCTGGTAGCTTGAGGTTTCAGTTATTGGGCTTACGTCTCGATTGATCCACTTGAGCCAATGCTCAGCTCCATGTCCTGTGGACAGGTCCTGGAGATCATCAACAATAGGAATGTCCTGCGACTCTGCCGCCCGAAGGAAGTCATCCTTGATTGGGTAGGTACTATGACATGTTAGTTTCCGACGTAACCGCGACGATTTTGACGTACTAGTTGCCAAAGGAAACCTTGATTGGCCCCTCGAATCCATGCACATCCCTAAAAGTTTAGTTATGATAACTTATCAGCGCTGACTTGAGTCGTACCTGTTGTGAGATGCACGTTGGTATGTTTCGTGCTTCTTCATCAGAGGCAACAACTCCTCAGTGGTCCACCCCTTGGCCTGAAAGTCATCATAGTCCGATGCCGAGGCCCTTGTATACATCTATAATGCGTGAGAAATGGAACCTCGAGATCTTGCATGCTGACCTACGAGGAAGTTGATCGATGACCCTCCTCCAAGGATATGGGCACATGGAACGACAGCCTTCCTGCCCGCAAGCCACTTGCTCGGGCGAGACTCGTAGAATGATGCCGTTTTGGAGTCGAGCTTCATGTTTCGGGGGTAGATACCCGGCCGGAAAACCCAGGGGTTGTTCAAGTTGCTCTCACCAGCCTCAATGAGAAGCACTTTGAGGTTATGATCCAAATTGGCCAACCTAAATATGTTGGCAAGCAGAGCCATGAACAAGGATTTCTGGAAAGTAAGACTTACCTCCCAGCAACTACACAACCACAGCTCCCTCCACCACAGACGATGATGTCGAATTCTTCTGGCAAGGAGCCCATTTTGTTCTCTGTACGTCAGGCAGCACTTGACTTGGAGATTGTCCTTGAGTGAAGCATTCGAATCGACAAATTTAGGAGGCCTCGAGACCTTTAATAAGTGGTCGTCAGTGAGGGGAAGAATGAGCAGCATCAAGTAAAGGAAAGATCTCTCCTCCAATCCCATCTCTCCAAGGGCAACTCGCATATGCCTCTCCAAGCAAGGTCCAATAAGAAAGGGACGGTTATCAAGAAGCTGAAGCTTACATACCATGATCAAGAACACAGCCCCTCATCTTGCGATGTGCTTCCAGTCCAAGAGCAACCGCAGGTCACAAGGGCCACAAGCACACATCGCCTCCGCAGCACTACCCGGCAATGTGAAGAGAACTGTTCGGCAACTTCGGCCATGTCGGACTAGATCTTAGGACTAGTTGGCTACCTAACATGGTTTCATATGAATATGGCATTTGATGTGTATCTGGAAACCTATCTTTGGAGCACTACAGTCGTCATTGACCACCTTGTAATAGATTTGGGAAAATACTTCCCGTCCGTAGCCATTCTGACATTGTTCCAAGACCATAAGAAACGAGTCTCGGCCAAGCTCGGGGTTTTGCCAAGGCCCATATGTGGATAGGGAACAATATGAGGAGTTGGATGTCCATAGGCTTGTTTCATTTCATTGGTCAATTATTCCTATAGAACCTGCAGATTACATGAACTTCCGTGCATGGCAAATGCGGGGGTGGAGCAAGACAGCTCATGCTCCATGCCTCGTTTGCATGCATTGGGGACTGCCTAAAGACCGTTGACAGATCTCATGCAGCTAAAACCCCACAACGCAGGTGCTGGCGCTGGTGCATGTCGATCCTGCTGAGACTGTGTACTGGGTTTGCCCAAGTCGGCCGCCGCATCGAGGTAGTTCCAAAGACAGTAGAAAGGGGGTGATTCGAGAGCGATAAATTGCGACCACAGGTGTCCTTGGGTATCGAGGGTCGTGGTTGAGCTAAACAAGAACTGAAACTTGCGACCTCTGTGCCTATGTTTCTTGTGTGGGAAATATGGGTCATTTCAAGGACGATGCTCTTGGAACAAGCCTACGACACGCCCGCAGTCGGGAGCGACATGTTAGAGGGCCGGCTTTTACGGCAGTGCAACCCATCCTTATGCAAAGTCTAATATTGGAGAAATATGTACACTCTCGACATATCCTGTATTTCCGGCGAAAAAGCCGCCAATATGGCAAAAGAGACCATCACCACCATTGATGCAATGGCTCGCTTTGGGTTGCGGGGCTGCATCATTGTTGACATGAACAGACGTTGACTGCTGCGCCGCGACCTCGATAAAAGTACACGATGACGAGGCCCAGATTGGTTCTCCGCATGTTTTGGATTTCCAAGAACCATCTCAGCCAATCTCGGCCATGCCGGTGCTGCGAGCGATGCGGGGAAGAGACTTGGAAGATCGGCAAACGAGCAGCGATGCCAAGCAGACAACGAAGCGCGACCGGATACGAGAATTCATGCTGTATATGTGCTGTTTGTAACTTGGTCTCCAGTTGGACTTGGGATATCGTGGACTACACGGTGGCTCTGGGCTTGTTGCTCTGGATAGCCAAGCATGGGTAATGTTTCCCTCAAGGATTGAGAACACAGTCCAGGTCTGACTTGGAAGGGTTGTAATAGGTATATTACGTCTGGCCTGCTTATGGCTATGTCTAGGACTGTGCACTGATATAAGACGTCGCGCAGACCTTGCGAGCTGCTTGGTTCACACGACGTGCTCACTAGTTAGTTGTGATCCCCTTCGTTGCCCAGGGCTCGGGATTGATTAGTCGGCCAACCACTACTAAGACTGGACTTACAACCCCACGATGCTGGATGTGTACGGTTGACTATCAATCTAGTGTAGACGCTGACTTCGAACATATTTGGCTTGGTTTAGAGGTCAGGATGTCATGGCTCGCCTCCTGATATCTCTGAACAGCTGGAGGCCTTGATCATCAGGTGTACAACAGGCTCCATTTGATATGCAGTTGCTCTTTATCTTTGAAGAAGATCAGCCATGGATTCCAACGTAAATTTGGCTGCTCGAAATACTGACTAAAATATCCCTTCCAAGGCTGGTAAGAAGAACATTGTCAATATGACCAAAACCCTTCAAGCTTTGTCATATGGTCATTAAGATGCCATGAAAGCTGCGGATGAACTCGGTAAGTGTATGTTGTCCCAAACACTACCAGCTGCCTATGGGTATGTAGAGCATCAATGTATCTTGATGCATGAGTGAGGCTCATCCCTTTGTTGTTGTGCAAATCTGCTGCGATTCAGGCTGAAGACGGCGCAGGTGCCTTGTGAGGATATCTCACGTAACTGATTAATCTGGAGAAGTCAATCCGGTAGCATAGGCCACAGCTCTGTGATTGTAAGATGAAATATGGCAGAGGCCCTCGTCTACAACATAGATGAAGGGAATTTAGATGCCACAGACTGTGAATGTACAAAATAGCATAGAAAAAGACAGAGCGGGAAAGAAAACAGACGGGCGAAGAATAGAAGAAAGATAGCGGCAGCTAGAATTATATGGCAATAGCATGCAAAACTGTTCCTTGCTTTTTCTTTTTAAGAGCCTGATGCTACCGAAAATGTGCGTGAATCGTCAATATCTATGCATGCGCTGTTTCAGTAGCTCTGTTGCCCAGAACTCACGATCAAGTCTTCATCCTGTTTTGGCTGGTCAGCGTTTTATTCGGTATGGAGGCTACAAAAAATGTACAGTACATACCGGCACAGCAGTGAATGAAAACACCATCACCCTGGGTGAATTAATCAGATCAATGTTGAAGGAAGGAAATGCGCCTACGCTCTTGTGTGCTTCAACGGCCTCACCAAAGCTTCAGAAATCCAGCCAGTGGTGGCACCGACAAATCTCTAGACGAGACATGATTGGTCGAATGTGATCAAGCACAAAACAAGAGCTGCATTCCCCCCCACAGCTCCCATCAATTCACCATTGCCTTCACGTCCCATGAAGAATATGTTATTCATGCATGAGAAAATGCGAAGGGTGTGCGCGGCGGAAGACTGTCGCCATCAACCACGATATGTAAAAGGTATGAAATGTGGTTTAGGAGACCGAAGGAATGGGCCGGGGTAACAGACTTTAAATGTGGAAGCATTGACAATAATGGTCTACACAAGAGTTTGCGGATACTGTATGTAATCTAAGGTACAATACATCTTGACCTGTACCGGTGACTAATGTGTTATTAGAGCATGCTCGGGCTGCAGACTTTAGAATAGTGTGAGATTCAAAGAAGCAAACCTGCAGTCTTATAGTTCAGTTGACTGGGGTGCTCTTTTGGGACTTTGTTGACATCTCGTACGCTGTTCGCACAAATTACAACACTCCAAAATCAATGTGGTCTTGGCCGGTATGGACTGGCCGTGCAAAGACTTGAATAGGGGATACATCATACAGGCATAGTACGCGGGTATGTGTGGTCACCTGAGGTGTACTGCGTAAGATCAAGAATTTCAGCCAAGAAGCAAGCGCCAAAGACAAGCTGCAGGTTCCCCGGTATTGATGGCCTGGACCGTGCCGGATTGCCGCAGCCCTTGCCATTACAGTTGTGCCCAGCCACTATCCCTCGCCATGATACAGCACAACTTTTAGGCTGTCCAAATGCTGTCGCGCAACTGATGATCGCGTTCATGGTCAATCGCGGCATGATAGAATATCATTGTACATATTTCTGCGCTTCTTACCATGCATATTTCCAGCATCGGTAAGATATCAGGACGATCAAGAGCGACGCAATACACTAGTGGTCGACAGGGCATGGCCAGCATGTTCTGGACCTTTTACTCCGAAGCCGTCTGCATGTTACACGGGTTGGAAGAACAGAAACCAGCTTTGTGGCTCCTGGCCTGATTGACACTTTCGGGTTGAAACAAGCAACTGCCAAGTTTTTGCCAAGTTTGCCGTTATAATGACGTGGGAAACTACACCTCCTCATGGATTATAAACGTTAGATTGGTACAAGCCCCATATTTCTTTGCTTTGATCTGCCTGGTATCTTCCCATATCTGTTCTATGGTGCTATACGGCTCATAGAAATTTCTAGCACCTGTTGTGGGTACCAGACGAAGAACCTCAGTAACAGCCAGTACTGGCCAGCACAAATATTATGACAGAGTACGCAGCAGATCGCTGGATTCAATTACGGGGCTTGTAACGATCTAACGTTTATAATCCATGAGGAGGTGTAGATCTGTGTGGGGGAGGACCCATGCGGAAATCAATGGGCTTTGAGCGACACCACGCACGCATCCAGACGCCAGGCCAACACGCGTACGCACCAAGAATCCATGAGAAATCACGATCAAAAACCCAATTGAGCATGCCGACCTCCGTTGCGGGAACCCCCAACCAACCGTGATTGGCTCTTGCTCCTGGCGAAAGACACTTTGCGGTCCCTGTCATCACCTTGTACGGGCAAGCTTAACTCTGCCGAAATGGTTTCGGAAGGGCATTACCCAAGGTAATGTTGCGATGCTTCTCTCTGGCTCAAAGGCACATGACGTCAATTCCAACCATGGCTGCTGCTAGACAATGCATACGTCCAATCAGTCTTGCAGTCGCGATTCGTGGTTGAGCTAACGCATCATCCCGTCTGCTTGATTCATCATTACAGGGGGGCTGTTTTGCTCAAGATATATATCACGCGCCAAAGACAGTTGATTAGCTTGTTTGACTCTTGTTTACTTGTCCATTCCTCCACACCTCGACATCTCCGTCACGACACGATTGCAAGTGTAGCCTCTCCGCCACCTGGGACGCAGTAGGCTAGCCCCTACTCTCTCTGAATTCTTTAGGCACAACAGCATTGTCAGCAGCAGCAATAGGCATTTTGGATTAACCGCATTCTCACAATGGGTCTGTTCTCGAAGCACAAGGCTCGCCAGGAGCCTACCGAAGGTACAGCCGCCCCAGCTTCGCGTGGTGGCTTGTTCGGTGGCCGAAGTCACGGCAACAAACGTGTTGCCGAATCCTACTCCATGTCAAAGCGACCCAGCTTTGGACAATGGCTCAAGTATACCTGGCTCGACATTCTCACAATGGCCATCATGGGCGCCATTGGCCTTGGTGTAAGTATACACTCAAATTCGGCAATGATTTGCAACACTTTTGGAACTATGACTGACTGTTCCGTCCCCAAAGGTCTACGAAGCTCACCCGGCTCCGACTCGTTCGTTCCCCGTTGTGTTCTCTGATGGCGAGATTGTGTACCCCGAGTTCGGTTACCCGTTGCGGAAGGAGATTGTCCCAATCTGGGCTGCTGCTCTACTGGCAGTCTTTGTACCCATCGCCGTGTTTCTGTTTATGCAAATCCGTATTCGATCTTTCTGGGACATCAACAACGCTACCATTGGCCTGCTATACTCACTCATCACGGCGGCCGTCTTCCAGGTTTTCCTCAAGTGGCTCATTGGAGGACTACGACCCCATTTCCTGGATGTCTGCAAACCTGATCTGTCTCTTGCCAGTAATGAGGCTGGTGCTGTCGGTGCCGGATACAATGCTGCCGGTTTCAAGGAACTTTACTACACTCGTGAGATCTGTACAGGCGACATCGATCAGATTGATGACTCACTGGAATCATTCCCGTCGGGACACACTACTGCCGCATTCGCTGGATTTGTTTACTTGTACTTGTACCTCAACGCCAAGCTCAAGGTTTTTGCCAACTACCACCCTGCCATGTGGAAGCTGATTGCTATCTACGCACCCATCCTAGGTGCTGTCCTCATTGGCGGTGCCTTGACAATTGATGAATTTCACAATTGGTACGATATTATTGCTGGTGCCATCATTGGAACCGTCATGGCATTTTCGGCATACCGCATGACCTATGCTGCCATCTGGGACTGGCGCTTCAACCACATTCCCCTCAACCGCGGTGCCCCTTTCTCGTATGGTGGCAGTGGAATTGAGCTTGGTGATGCCCTGTGGACACGAAAGGTTGGCTGGGGTAGCGGCGGGCATGGTTTTCACCACGGCCACCACGGAGAAAAGACCCATGGTAATGACTATGGCCTACCTTCAAACGGCGCCGGGGTCTCGCGTAAGCCAGTAGGCGGCGGCACTGCAAATGCGGACAATATGGTTTAATCAGCCCTTGTCTTGGAGGTACATGATCGATTTTTATGATCATGTTTAATGAGATTATGATACGCTGGGATTGTATCGTTGGCGTTCTGAAGTGTTTACGATCGAGCAAGAATCAGTGTTCAGGGCCTTTATATTATACTGGGGTGAAAAGAGAGAGCTGGTGTTACTTGAGATACCCTCCATACCAATCAATATTAATTTTGAATCCATTATTTACTCTTCATGTTTCACCCAATACGCTGGCGCGTGATGACATGTTCACATGTTAGACACAGCATGAGATTCCAGATGCTGTTGCACAGCGGAAAAAGCTTGTGCAGTTAGCCGATCAACCTGAGTATGGTGTTGGGTGCGTTGATGTAGGTGGCCCAGCCTGGAGGTGGGCAATGCCAAGCTTGGACTTCTAAATGCTCTATTCAAGTCATGATCCAGAATATGGAAAGACGAAAGCGCACAGGTATCCTCGCTATTCAAGAGATGACCTCCACACTATGAAGCACACTACAATATATCTATTACTGATGACGCAGCGGCGTGCTTTAGAGGTCATTTTTCCATCATCCATGCCAAGGCCTAGCTCATTACACTAATGCTCAGCTAAGGAACATGGCTAAGACGCCAGCACGAGAACAGCGTGTCCGCTATAGGTAATTTGTTCAGGGGCAGAGCTGAACCCAGGCCAAGCTATTAGGCGTTTAATTTTAAGGTTAGATCGGATCGTCGCTCGGGCTGCCCCAGTGCCATGATGTAGTTTTCGTCCTTGTTGAAGAGAATCACTACATAGTAGCAGCTCGGTTCGCAGTAGATTAATTTTTTTATCATGTCGCTTGGAATCACTTACTTTCTCTTCATTGATATGTTCGTTGTGACTTCAAAGATGCTCTGTGCTTTAGCCCCCAAGATATTGTCGATTGGCACCTTTTGTTGTATCGGAGTGACGAGGGTTTTAGATTGAACTCAACACAATTGTCGGTCATTGACATGTCAATTCGACTGCAGGTCTCAGCCAACCGGAATTCGTAAATATGATGGAATGGAAGTTCCAAACAGGAAAACTTTTCCAAGCAACTGATACGCACCAAGGGTGTTTTCTCCCTCCTAATTAGACTGTCCCAACCAAGTGGTGGATCAAGCGGCGGTCTCGTTTCAAAGCAATACCAATTAGGCCTTGCTCGTATTCCAGTCACCCAGCCATAAGCTGTCATCGTCCTTTCTTGGCTTGCTGGGCATACATGCCAGATCTGCAGACCTTGAGCCTCATGAGGCATGGCTTCCTCGGGGTAAGCAGTGTTTATTAGAGTCAACACCGATGGGAAGAACGCTTGCCATGGGCCTAAATCAAACGTATCCTGAGAGCGGATTGGTCTCGAGCTCCGCGTGCTGTTTCCCCCCAGGCGACGACACATTCATTGTGCACCTGCACCTAAAACTCTTGGAATTCATCCCTCCTTCACTGGATTTCTTACATAAAGACGCCGAGCCCAAAGCCGTAGCTTCAAAGCCTTTCTCCCGTATTCCTCATTGTCTGTACTTTTACCACCACGGTCTATCCGCGTCTCTCATTTGATCCAAGCAACGTGCTGGTCTCTCACCACAAGCTTCCGCTATACTCGTCCCGGAAGTCTGATACGAAGTAAAGGCTTTACCCAACAACTATTTTTCAAGATGCGCTTCTCTGAAGTATTCCTTACCGCAACTTCTCTGCTTGGCTCCTTGGCCTTGGCTGGCAGAGATGCTCCTACACCTGTCGTTCGGGCCATCGAAGCCCGCGATACCGCAGCCTGTGCCAGCGCCGCAAGCCAGTGGCTGTCCGAACTCGACTCGACGCTGCCAACCCCAACCGGCGAGGTCCTCACCTACCTAGCCACAGCTACCCTCACCGACCAGTGTGCGATACCGACGGTGACTGGAGATCTGGGGTCCAGTTTGAGCAGCTATGCCAGCACTTACAGCAAATGGCAAAGCGATCATCTGCCTGAGCTACGTTCCATCTACCACGCCTGCTCCGATGTGCCTCAGGTCACGAGTCAATTGACTGCCGCCTTTGCGAGCGCGTCAGGAAGCGCCTGCAGCACCATCTTGGCCCAGATCACGGGCACCGGCGCGACTGGCAACGCTGCACCTCGCGAAACCGGAATGCCGATAGCAGCCGCCGCCTTGGCCGCCGGAATTGCTGCCGTCATGTTGTAGTCCAAGCTCTACCTAAGCAGCCATGGCTGAGGCATGACGGCCTTGACTTATTGGGCCCCAAGTCTGCAACCAACTCGGCGGGTTTATTTAAGTAAAAGCTGGAGTGGGGATTGATCGTGTGTGGGGGCTTTAATAGTAAATATCCGGAGAACTGGAATCCACCGAGTAAGGCGATTTGGGTCGCGGAGCGGAGCGGAGATGCGGATTGCTCAGCCGTCACGAACATCTGTCACCTAATAACCAAATAATGTATGATACCCTAATTGCTCTTGTTGATTGCACCCATAATTGAACCCTACTATGTATATGGCTCTACCATTGATATTGCCAGCATACTGATTCTGCCTGCATCATACCGGTACTTGCAGTGCTTGCTCTCTAGTGTGCGATCGCCATGTCACCGTCCCACGTGAAGGGTCGAGGCTTGTATTCGGGGGGGAAAAAAAATCAAGTGCCTCGATATAGGCCACGTGGTGATTACGTTCGTAGTTGATTTCTTTTTCTTGGTCCTTTCAATTCCCACTCCATGGTTTTGTACAGTCACGGCTCACTATTTTCTCATCTATCAACCAAACGTACCTGCGCATGGTTTTCCAAGAGGACTTATGGGACGCGATGGCACTGCTCCTCTGGCGGCAGCTCCTAAATAAGAAGTTCATGATAGTGGTTGCCTTGTTCATGGCGGCAGGAATTTCATGTTTCGCGGTTTGCCAAAAGGTAAACAGTACAAAGCTGCATACCTCAAACTACCACAGTGGACGACATCATTTGGACGTGATTGCGCTGTAGATGGCGGCGCGCCCATTAGCCGCGATCGAAAGACTCTGTCGGCAAAAGGGCGTTAATAAGCTGGCGTATACAAGCAGCGTTCAGCCATGTGATAGGTCCATAGAGCAACTGCAATTATATATAAGCATGACTAGGTTTCGAAGAGCCAAATACGAGATCCCAGCAGAGAAGACGCGTCTCGTTCAGTTATTACATAGAACTTTGACCTTTACGTACAACCAGTTCCAAAGAAAAATTTCGCTATCTAAGCATCAGCTAGGCCAAGCCAGGGGGGCTCCCAACTATCAGCCACAGAAAGGAACAGAAGGACCCCGCACTGGAAGACACCCCGCGCAGACGGTTGAACTTTAAAAGTCTCGGATCTCACTCGCCCCCCAGTCCCCAGTCCCCACGCCCGGTTTTGAGCAACTCAAACGAGCCAAAGTTCTCGGCATTGACAACTTCTGGTCTGTCATCGTCCGTGCCTTATCTCTGGTCCCTACCGACCTCTCATCGGCCGCGCAGACCCGGGCGATCTCGGGTGAAAATCTTGCCATTGTAAGGTTACAGCTACAGAGCACACAAGTTCTGACTGTCATTTCTTGTGTACCAGAATTCCTTATCTCGTCGGAATTATCTGTACCGTCTCCCCTGTCCGAAGATAGAGGACGTATGACAATGGTACTACGGAATATTAATATTGATGGAAAATGAAACTTTGATGCCGTGATTAAAATTCGCTAGATAGATAAATGGCGCCCATCTACAATTCTCCCTGAACGATTTCAACCCTGATCCGTACGCATTGGAAGCATCGCATTGTGCATTCTCAGGACAGGCCAAAGATTCTTTACTTGCAAGGAGTCTCGCCATGGCTGACGTCAAGGAGTATACTACTTCGCCGGCCGGCAAGGTCTTGGATACCGAAAATGCCCCGTCAAGAGTAGACAGCAACACAGTCGCGATCAACGACGAGACGGCGCACGTGGTGGACAAGGATGGCGAAAGAAAGTTGTGCAGAAAGTTCGACTTTCGCCTGCTGCCGGTTCTGGCCGTCATGGTATGTTCTATCGCTATAGACAAACCGACCATGACTTAATCTGTTTGGCAGTATCTCTTCAATGCGCTCGATAAGTCGAATCTGGGAAATGCGAAGACTGATGGGCTCCCTGACGGTAAGGCACCACCAGCCCTGTCCATCGTGACATTGTTTGCTGCAACACAGTCATATCATGGCAGAGAGAGAGACATGGTAGTAGAACCTCAATAAGGCTGACTCCACAATAGATCTGGGCTTTCGCACCGGCCAGTATAACCTCATCGTCGGCATCTTCTTTGTCCCCTATGTCATATTTGCGCCTCCATTCGCCATGCTGGCCAAGAAATACGGAGCATCACGAGCACTCCCTATCATGATGTTCAGCTTCGGATCGCTTACTCTACTCACGGCGGCCACACATAATTTCAGTGGAGTCTTTGCACTCCGATGGTTCTTGGGAATGTCCGAGAGTGCCTTCTTCCCAGTTGTCATCTACTACCTGACAACCTTTTATCGAAGAGGAGAACTGGCCCGCCGTTTGGCCATCTTTTATGCTGCTTCCAATATTGCTAGCGCTTTCAGTGGACTGTTGGCCTTTGGCGTGTTCCAGATCAAGTCGCACCTTTTGGATCATACTTGGCGCTGGCTATTCATCATTGAAGGCAGCTGCACCATCTTGTTCTCCTTCTTTGCTTTTTGGTATCTGCCAAAGTCGGCGGCAGAGGCCAAATTCTTAACCGAGGATGAAAAGGCTCTGGCATACCATCGCATTCACGTGGACAGTTCTTCAACGGTCAATGAAGAATTCAAGCTACGCGAAGCACTGAAGATCTTCAAGCTTCCAACAACGTATGGATTTCTGCTCATCGAAATATGCCTCGGCGTTCCCCTGCAAGGAGTCAGTCTGTTTCTGCCGCAGATTGTGGCGAGGCTTGGATACAACACGGTGAAGACAAATCTCTACACCGTCGCTCCCAACATCACTGGCGCCGTCATGCTGTTGATCCTTGCTTTCAGCTCTGACTTGACAAAGATTCGGTTTCCTTTCATTTGCTTGGGATTCGCCTTTACCTTTATTGGAATGATCATCTACGCATCAATCCAAGATGTAGTAGCGCAGAGTCAAGTGGCCTATTTTGCAACATTCATGATGTGCTGGGGAACCTCGGCACCATCAGTCTTGCTGAGCACGGTATGTATCCGCTTCTCAATCAATTGTATCAATGAAACAGAACTGACCGAACTACTAGTGGTACAATAACAATATCTCTAATGAGGGTGAGCGTCTAGTATTGACCTCAGTCGGAGTTCCTCTGGCTAATCTGATGGGATTGGTGTCGAGCAACCTTTTCCAAGACCGTGATGCACCAAAGTATCTTCCTGCGCTGATTGCAACAGCCTGCTTTGGAGCAACTGGATTCTTGGTGGCGGGAGCACTTGGCACGTACATGACCTTTGATAATCAGCGGAGGAACCGTCGTCAAGGCGTGACCCTGACCGCGCAAGATGTGCCGACATCAAAGCTCAGGGACGGACCAAAGGTAGACGAGTTTAGATGGTTTCTGTAGGCTTTGTATATATGCAGGGAAGTTTCACGATATGCAAGTAGTTGCAAAATATGTGTTTGAATTCATCGACCTTGAACGTGTGGCAGGCATCAATACCAGCTTCCATCGCTGAAAACATCCCGCATCAAGCTTATATTATACCCTTTTCGCGGCGTTTCCAACAGTCGACATTGCAAACATCTTTGCCTTTCCAGATTCGGCCATTGTTTATTCATTCTTTCTAGAGCGACAAACTTGACGAAACGCGTAGTTGCCAACTGGGCAACTCCCACAACGCGAGATTTGCGGTTCACGCCAATCTATCAACACACCACCAGTCCGTACCTGCGGCGTACGTCTGTCCTCTTTCAAAAACCCAAGCACTTTCTTTCGTGTTGTTACTGAGCCATCAGAGGTCGATCCAGGTTTCTAGTCATTGACGCTAGCCAGAAACATTTCTATCATCAATTGAAGATCACAATCGTCAACTTTCAAGCCTGCAGCAGCAGAGAATCACTCATTCTCCATCACGTCGCAAATCGATCGAGTCATCACGTTCTACAATGTCCGAAACAGCAAAGACACCCAAGAAGAGCGGCAATGCCTGGACGCCCGAGGAACACCTCAATCTAGTCCTCACCGTCATGCGAAGCGAGAATCCAGAGCTCAGCGTGAGTGGCTGGGAAAAGATTGCTCTCGAGATGAATCGCATCTATCCCGACAAGGGAATGTCCTCTTTCAAGCAAGTATCCTGATACTTTTTTTTCTTATCCGAGCAAAAAACCGCTAATATTCTTTCCTTCCAGACAGCAGTTCCAGAAACTCCGCAACGCCTACATTGACCAACATGGTGATGCCACCCGCGAAGGCCAAGTCGAAGGCGAAATGAACGGCAACCTGGGCAAGTCGAACTTGAAGAAACGCGCCGCTCCTGGACTTGGCGATCATGCAAGTAACGCATCTACCGCCAACAATCGCAACACTCGTGTTGGCAAGAAAGTCAAGTTCAATGATCCCGCCGACGATCAGGAAGAGTATGAGCGATCCGATACGACGACCGACAGCCGCAAGCCTGGAGAAACTATGCCTAGTGCTCCCCCGAAGCAGGCCTGTAAGCCACGCGCCAAGAAAGTCAAGGTTGAACTTGATGCCGATGCAAATGGCAAGGACGACGGCCATTTAGTCGATGGCCTGGAGATTGATGAGATCTAGAGGACGATGGTATTTGAGCAGAATTGCTCTTGGTATGCATTTGGGTGATGCGATGAGGACCACGAAAACATTGTAATCAGCACAAAGCCCTCTTGGACCACCACCTGGAAGGAATGTGTTAAGCTCGCCATATATCATGGCCAAGGCTAAACCCTGAGCCAGACCGTAAACGAGACTCGTTTTCCTGTATTATCCATTTTCAAGCGTTTTGTTCATCCGCCCAAAGGCCGTGCTTACGTGCGGCAAAGGCATCACGAGATAAACATCCAGTGGCAACGTGCCACTGTGACGACGAGTTCTGCTTTCATCATTCCGAATAAAGTCGTACCTTCAAATGGACCCATATTTGTTTACTGCTGGTGAAAATCAATTGGCATGATACCGAACATTGGGTGACTCTTATTTGGAAGTTTGACAATAATCAAAACTGAACCCCCAAAGTATCCGCACAGCTCCGTTTTTTCCCTCTGTCTTTCTGTTTGATTTGTATCGAGCTGTTCTCCCATGATTGTTCATTCCCATGTCTGACTTTCGATTTTATTCCAAGGAGGGAAAATATGCAGCTCAATCTAAATCTTCTGTAACGTGAATACAAACACTTTTACCGATTTATTATATCAAGATTTTCATATAATCACCTATCAATACCTGCCCCCTAAAAACAACAGTGCGAGTTGTCCTCCTATTAACCTAAGGCCTCGATCA